ACACAATGACCCATGGAATCTTGGACGACAACTGCCGCGCCAGGGTGGTTAGCAGCCATTGCGCGAGCCGAGTTCAGCGGAGTGACTGGATCAAGGCGAGGGCTCAGAAACAACAAAGGAGCAGCCGGATGCCCTGCAACTAAATTGGGGTGCGCTTTGGGGGTTGTGAAAGGGCCCTTGAACGATAGATTAGGGCGAAACGGCCAACTGGAGCAGCTGAAGCGAATATTGGACCAATAGCTTCCAAACAGCTTCGACTTGCTCATTTGGCGCTGGACATATTTAGACCACCAGCCAGCATCTTTGTCAGTAATATCATCACCATCACCACAGATGACAGCAGACTGAGACTCGGGGAGAATAGCAGCGGGCTTGGTGCTGTTATTATCGGAGCAGACGGTGTCCAGATTCGGCACATGGCCAAACTTCATCAAGTTACTGACGAGTTCAGTCGTATTGCCCTTCATGGCCTCGTGAAGCGTTGTTGCCAGGAGCTTGAAGGTCCGAATGGGATTGTAGAGGGAAGAGCCAACAAGTTTACGGATATCGTCGCCGGTGATGACGACTATAGTGCGTGAAGATGATAGTGCGGGAATTGGGACGTCATCGAGGTCGGCCACCCAAGACCAGAATCTGGTTTTGATCTCAGAAGGCGAGGCATCTGAGTCAGAGGCGAGGGTGCAAATAGATGGACCAGCTTGGAGGCAGCCTCGCCAGAATTCCTCCAGGATTTCATCCGTGTCGTGAAGATTCGTAAGCCAGCCCTGAATTTGGTTAGTTTGATGTATGAGCTTGAGAGACGGCGATTGATCAAATTCCGCAGCTCGGGGAATAACGCGATGAACTTACAGGACCATTTGCATAATCATCTGCATGAACCACTCCATCGAGCACCATCCTCCCAACACGGCCGGGATATAAACTTGCAAAGTAGTTACCGAGGGCTGTGCCATAGGAAAATCCAATGTACTGCAGCCGCGGTACATCATCTTCCTCAGTCCGTTTCCTGAGCTCTTGACGGGCGTCATCCTGTGCTTTACTGACGCCCTCGCGTTTTCTCAGCTCATCGACTTTATCCACCATCTCGACCATATCTCGAGCCACGCTAGGGGTATTCACAAACGCCATTCCATCTCCCCACTGTTTCTCCGAATCCTTGCATCGCTGAGACAAGGCTTTTGACAATGCAAGGCCATATTTGATTGAGTCGATGCCCTTATCGAGCCCGCCATTTCCACGAGCCTCGAGCTGCCACGCACTGCGAGACACGACGTCGGAGCGGAAGCAGTTGGAGCTTGGAGTCGTGCGACCGATACCACGAGGATCCCATGAGAAAATCTCGTAGTGGCGGCGACCAGGCTTATCGACATATTGCTGCAAATCATGCCCATCCGAGAGAACGAAAGAAACACCTGAAGCCCCTGGACCACCCGGATTCACAAAGATGCTTCCGCCAAAACTGGGGTCATGGTCAGAGACTACAGCGGGCAGTTTAGCAATGGCAATGACGGCAGTGCGAGCGTCGGTGCTGTTTGTCCAGTCAAGAGGCACTTCTAGGCGCGCACATTGATATCCATCGTAACAGTCGTGGTATTCCAAATCACGACTGGGCTTGATTGTGTCCCAATCTAGCTGAGGAGCTTGCGACGTCGAGTCCAAAGTTGCTGCATCGGCCAAAGCAAAGGACAAGGCAATTAAGGCTGTTTGAGATGCAAGATGCATGCTTCCAGTGCAATTCTCTTTCTCTTCCCGCAGAATGGGAAAAATAAGAAAAGGGAATGGAAACGAATCGACGGACCGTATAACGAACGACGAGATCTGCGACGGCTTGCGATTCGTGAAGGTTGCGGGGTGAGAGGAATCCAATATCCAATGGATGGCTCATCAATCTTCAATCTTCTGTTGACAGCAACTGATTCGAGTTACAGCGCGGATGGTCCACTTTTGATAGCGCACTACAGGGGACGGCACGCCCAAACCAACCCCTGGTACCTGTCCACTACCTAGCACTTAGGTGCTTCCAGGTTCCACGTATACCCGGCGGGTACCTTGGACCTGCTGGTATGGAGTGATGGACGTTTCCTCCATCAAATTGCTTCCACGTGTGGATTGCATTATTCGATGACCATCAACATGTATATTGTGATTTTTTTTTTTGCACAAAAAATTTCCTCTCTTCTGCTTTCGGTTTGGTTCATCTGGTTGCACCTCGCTTCACATAAGTACCTCGTGGCCACTTTCCCTAGTGCGGTACAACAAATGCAGGTACCTGTGTACATACCTGCCTAGTAGTCACCAGCTATAATTTTGCGACAACCATGTCAACATGTGTTGGGCACGCAACACGGTCAGGTACTTTTGTGTGGCGAATCATGGTGCATCACATTATATGCAATCCATGCCAATTGAACTATTCCAGACCGTGCCTAGGCAATAGACAAGAGCGTGCCAAAAGTTCGTTTTCGTCTGAGGCAAGCTTGTGATAACGACTGTACGGTGGATTTTCTGCGATGCCATTGAACTGATTGGCGGCCTTGTAACAATTACAATTTAGTTGCTTTCGGATCGGGGCGCGATCGCCAATAGCTGGGTTGAGTCCAGTCGACTTTGCACGGAGTATTAGGCGCTTCATTGACGCTGGGGCAGCGACAGCCATATTCCCAGGAGCATGTCAGATCCAACTTGATTGGTCTGATTCGCATCTCCAGCTTGAGATGTTGGTCGATTTCGAGCGGGGCTGCTCAAGAATTTCGGACTCCGAAATTGATGTTGGCCCTTTCATTCACTACCAGTGGTGAGATTCGGTCGGCCGGTGGAGATTTTGTTAGAGGGTGTCACTGTTGGGGCTCGCATGATCAATAGTCGGTTGGTCGGGATTCATTCTTTAGTCAGAAACGGGTGAATTAGTCTGACTGAGTACAGAGTATCGCGTGTAACAACAGTCCCTTAGCTGAGATGGCTATTATAATAACAGACATCTCTCAGGACATTTTGGAGTTCTGCAAAGGAGAGGAAGGAACTGCTACAGCTTAATAGAGGGAGCTGGGGTGGGAAATAGGCTTGGGCATTTCAAGACTAAACTGTAAATTAGCTTAATTGTCATAGACATAGAACGGCAACTCACGGTAAGCCTATAGGGTACTCTATTAAATCCCTTCTTCTTCTTTATCAGAGGTCTCCTGGTTAGACTGTAAGTATTGCTGTAAGCTCGGAAAGGTAGAGGTAGACTTACTGGGTGTAGGTAAAAGGAAAAGAATATTCGCTGCCATTGTCGCTATTATCCCGACTGACGTTGGCATATAAAAGAGTCTTTACTGCCGTTATCGTCGCTGTTATCGCCTTCATCCAGGTTCACGCTAACAGTATAACCGCGTTAGAGGACCTGTAGCGGATTAGTCTTGGGTAGTTTTAGTTGAGAGGGATAAGTAAACAATAGGTTTCCCTTCGCATCCTGTCCCAGCACTTGAACCTCACATAGTCGTTGGAGTGCTGGCTAGTAATTCTCTTTTATTATTTTACCTTCCACCGTCGCCCGTGTCCCTCGCCGCCGCCCAGCCGAAAGTCAATTGCCGTCGCACATACACCATAGATGCTGACGTTTGTGGGGGGAAAAGACTACTCGCTGCCAGTTGATCGGACATAAACTCATTGGTGCTTGTTGTACGGGCTTGGGGGGCAGTATGGAAGCGTTTGGCACTTACAACAGAAACTATCAGAAACATAGTATCATGATCTCAAGTACAAGAGTTGGAGAAAGAGCACTGGTCTTCCCTATCTCAAAATGGCACGCGAAATGACAATGTACAACGTGGACGCGATCTTCATCTAGCTGGCACAATTCCTCCTATTCTGTTATGCGTGGCATGTAGCTAAGCTTGCCCTTTTGTCTCATCTTGAGTATCCGGCATGTGCCATATCTCTGTATCACCTGTGGCCTCCCTTCCTTCTCACAGCCCAGTTCTATCTCTCTTGCGGGGAGAGGGTTCTTATCGCTTGCCAAACAGCAAGCCGGCCATGTCTCATACGAGGTGGCCGCAGCCATATCGGGGCTGATCTCGCTATGTGTATGGCCATCAACGGAGCCACATAGGGACAGGTCGTCGTCGGAGAGAAGGGAACTGACAGAAGGCCGCAGATCTGAAATGGAGAGGGTCGCTCGACGAGGCCAGGATGGAGAGGCACACGTCACGTTATGGGCGTCGAGGTTGCTCAGAGTATTGGTTATGTCGAGAGATAGATTGGCCATGAAGCTCCAAGTCTCGTGCACGTTGCCCTGTTCACAGCATGGACATCTATGATATGTACAAAGCTAGGTGGGAAAAAGACGACAGATAATGAAGAGCAAACATTTATCGTTCTTCTACGCGCCGTACAAGCGACACGCACATGCAGTTGTACGAGGTTTTAATCCCAGGAAATTATGATTCGATTACACAGGTGCCATGGCCAGAGGCACAAGCGGATTGCAATCTCAAGTGGCAAAGGCATAGACGCTGTTCGGAGTTGCACCGATTGGCCCAAGTCATTAGCTAAAGGTGACCATTTACACCGCATTTGGTTTGCTTTGCAGGTCCCTCTTCTCAATGACGCACGTTGAACGAGTGCTCAGAGAAATGGCTGCAGGCGCAGCGTTCGGGAACTAATGAAGCTAGGGGTTCGTTCCAACTTTACCAGAAACTCGGAGGAGAGTCTCCACTAGATGTGATTGGCTCGAACTAATGAATGAGACGTGCGCTGCTTTAGGTGATGGTGACGTACGAGTACAGGATTGATGGTAATTACCTTATGGTTCTGAGAAACATGGTCCTGTGAAGCGGGCTTACTCCCAGTCTCTGACGACACAGCGTGGCGAAACTGCCGACGTTTAAAAAAACTTATAAACCCAGAAATCGACATGTTCATGTCAACTGCCCTGCTTTGGATCATCCGTAAACATTCCATAATCTCCCACACCAGTACATCTTAGAACTGCCACATCCAAAATAATTCCCATCGGCGCGATGGAGTGGGCTAAGAAGACATACAACGAGCAATACGAGTCGTGGGTACCGTGGCTGGAGGATATCTATCTTCGATGGTTCACAAAAGACAATAAAGCCAGCTACACGACCAAGAGTAAGTTGGATTCTGCAAATCCTGCATCTAACAGCACATGGATCCCACGCCAACGTTGATATCTACTCAGGCAACTTGGATAAGGCCAAAGTTACGAACATTGAGCAAGTTGATTCCCTACAAGACGGCGTTAACGACCTTGGGGCTTCCCAGATTGGCCAGGGTGGTCTCTTGCACTCGGCTGGAGACTTGGTATCAAAACATGGTCTGACTCGCTCTGAGCGCCAAGGAAATGACGACCAGGGCGGATACATAATTTGATGTGTTCCTGGAGCCAATATCATTGCCAGGACTGCCAAAGGGTTAGCCTGGCCGCCACCAAAGGCAGTCAGCTACGTTGGTAACCTCATAGGAGTAAGAGAGTAAGAGGAGTGCCAGAAAAGGAGCAAATAAGGAATCTTGACAAGATTGAACAATATCTTTCAAGGAGCACGGAATGAGTGATATTAGCCTATCTGAATGTTTCTTGATCTTTACATTGTTAGTTTGTTACGCTAGCTAGGCCAAAGGCCATCCTGCCTCAGAGGATATATATTTTGCTACTGCTTTGCAGATCCAAACTATATTATGCCAAAAGAATCAGTCAGCCCAGTATGTCCTATGCACCAAATTGTTCAAGATATACAAGAGAAAGCGATGAAGAAGGGTATCCCTCTTTGCCATGAGACATATTTGCGACTAGGAAAAGCAAGAGAGGTATGGTGCCTTGTTGCGGGTAGTAGACAATGGTATGAAGACACATATGTAAAATCTCCTCAGAAGTAGATGTCATTTGTGTACATCTCTGTCTAGATGCACTTTGGCAGCGAGTACCCAACCGTTGAAGATGACCCTCTTCACAAACAGCACATCATCGCAGCTAATCACGTCCGCGCGACAATCGTGATTTCGCCCTGTGGTGATCAATTCTTCAAGCTGGATTCCCGGCTTGCCCCTGGCGCCTGAAGTAGTTGTCCGGGGTCAATAACGACGGAGGAAAACGACCGACATGGCGGTCAAAGTTCAAAGTTGACTCGTTTTTAAGAGCGCGATAAAAGAGAGGGTCGGTGCCTCGATCAGGCACAGGAGCATTATAGGGCGGGCAGGGCGATGTAGCTGTAGGATCAGCTTCTTCGCTACTCCGCACACAATACTCATACGTAGTGATGCTAAATGGTGACGTCGTTTGTTAGGTCCATCAACCTTGATTCTAGCCTAACACCATTGCGTACGCTCAACACGCGGTTCATAGAGGGCAAAGCCACCCCCGCTTTGTTATCGTTGCATCCCGGTAGGAACCGTCCTGCAGCTCAGACGCAGAAAAACTAATCAATGGTAGAGGAAGACCAAATCTGGTCTGTCTAGATGCTGCCAGACAGAGTTGCCCTCTTTCGAGCTGGCGATACAGTCCTCTTTCAAGCTTGTCGGACACGATTGGCTGGGGCAGATTCGTTGCCATGAAGGCTCACAGAGAAAGAGAAAGAGCAGGAGGCCTGCAAACAAGGCACCCTTTGCTTAACAGAGCGTTGAGCTTAACCCGAGGCCAAATAAACTCACCAATACTCACATGTAATGATAGGGTCTACAGGGCGAAGACATGGCATAAGGCCGCTCATAGTCACAAATGACCGGGCCACATATCTCTTCATGCGCCCGATGCACAGGAATAACATATTGTGCATTTGTCTTCTCTTCTTCTCTTTGCCTTCGTGCCAATATAGGTTATGGCTGAACTCGCCAAACGAAACATGCGCGTCAACGCGCACTAACCTAGTCTCTGATAGTAGTGATTCCGTATGCCCAAAAATTTCCGCCGCAGCCTCAAAGGGCCTTGCTCTATCCACTCTATTATCTACATTGTCCTCTAACGCAGTGTTTGATCGAGTTTTAGCACAACCTATTGCTTTGTTTGGCTCGCCACGATAAACGCATCATTCATTGCGGGCCTCAGGGCGAAGAAGCGCTCATCCTCTCCTGACCCCCCAGGGTCCTATGATGCGCTTGAGCGCGTCCCTGCGGCCCCTATACTGGACTACTCCTGTATTCATATTCACAAAGAACCAATTAGAATTAGAGAGATCGATAAAGATTGTGCTAACGAGACCGAGACACTGCTTGGTGGCCGTCAACTGCCTTATTTAGGTGCGCAAAAATAACTGGAAATAGGCTTTTATTAAGTTATTGCGGCTTGTATGGAGTTTTGTTATTCCCCTGCCATCTGTCAACGCGATCAATCTTTCTTCTCGAAAAGTATTTCTTGATAATAATATAACGCTTAAGACAAACTTCTCCTGCCCCTCGGATGTGGCATTCTACTTCTTCTGAGCGCCGATAGCCTAACCAACTCCGCTAGTGGTTGGAATCCCGCGACCGTCAATTATACAATGACCAAATCACGAGTCCTTTTCGGAGTTGCAATATAATAGCGTTGGCAGATGGGCTTCTTCTCTATTCACTCCGGGTGATTCGCGTCTATTGAGCACCTCTCCTCCACTGAGAAAAAGACTTGCCCCAGCCTGCTAAATCATCCCACCTTTATTGCCATTTTACCTAGGAAAACTACTTTTTTAGGGAATTGCTGACGTCATGTTTCTGGTATGCTGTGATGACATGGCGATGGCGTTCCTAAACCTAAACTGATGGAGTACTCTGCAATCACTTTAATGCACGCACTCCTGCAGTACTACACAGGTTGAACGTCCCCAAGGTTTGGTTCGACATATAACGGTCATAAAAACCTTCAATTTGCTTATCCGGCATTACCATAATGTACCTTTTCGCCACCTTTATTTGAGCTTATTACATCGACCTCACCAAATCTCATTGCAAGTCCGAAACCATTCCCACATTCTCACATACCCTAAGCACCTCTGCAAAGGAAAAGGAAAAAATAACTCCCATAGCAACCCACGTCATCCAAGGTCAGAGTTATAACTGGAAACTCACTCGCACACGTTAGACTGACTGTTAGTACTACAATAAGATGGAGGAACAACACAGCGACCGCACGTTCTTACAGGATGCAGACCAGACAGCGCAGCCGCGAGCTGATAAAGCTAGAGAGAGGAAAAAAAGTGTTGGTAAAGAAGAGAGCGATCCTGGAGGCGCCGAGAGCAATGTAGGATCCAAGTATTTGAGCCCTGATGAAGATGAGGAGAAGAATCAGGACGAGCCTGAGATCCCTGGCCAAGCTAAGTCAGCATTGCCTCAAACCACCAAGAGTCGGTCCACTGGGCCGGCATGGGAGAAGAAACAGAGATCCTATGATGGCATCCTGGCCGAGGAGGATAAATCTGGGGCAAAGATGGCCTTGAGCCAGCAAGAGATTCCGCCTCCACGGCGGCGGCGGCGACAGCAGATACGACCACAGCCTGACGAGCAGCCGGAGCCAAAGAAAGGCAATGACAATAGTGCACTAAGGTTGCGGCTGGACCTAAACCTCGAGATAGAGATTGAACTCAAGGCGAAGATCCACGGAGATCTCACTCTGACCCTACTGTGAGTATCTTCTTCTGTGAATAAGCTGTCCAACTGTGCTAATATGTCATTAATATGGCTCAGAAATTAGGTTTAATTTATATTTTTAAGAATCCAGGTTGTATATATTATACCATTCAAGTAATTTAATACTCTACCCTTGATTATTTACATGTATGCATTACCACATTCTCCTGTCAGGTCAGTATGTAATGTTGCTCCCATATTTTGGGGACTTAGTAAAGTACTGCTGTGCAGCAAATTTAGCGCACTATTAGACCTTTATACGCAATGCCTCCTAGGGTATTCTAGCTTGTGCCTAAGAATTTCGGACTCCGAAATTGATACGGTGGCGAAATTCGGTCGAGTACGACCATCAAGGCTTGGATGATCGCTGGGTTAATGCGACTGAACGGAATATCGCATCTTGGAACAGTCCCGTCCTTAGCTGAAATGGCTACTCATTATGACAACGGACATCTCAGGGTTTTTGGAAGCTCCGTAGGCTATGAAGCACTAAGCGGGAGGCCACCGCCATCTACCATTTCACCCTCTGGTGATACGCTGGAACTACCCGGTACCTGCGTGCATCTTGCGTGCATCTTGCTTGCAGCACATATGTGCAGCAGCACTGGTTATCAATAGATTCCTATGCGTAGAAAATGTAGATATTCAACAACTTGAAGACATTATAATCGGTAAAGACATTGTACGACGCACTTGTATTAGATATAGGTAAGTACTAAGGCAGTGCCGGCTGCAAAGGGAAGCGGGTTGCGGCGTCTTAGATATGAGGTATCTAGATACACAAATTCACAGAGGTCTTGGTCGATCTTAGCAGCAATCGCAATAATCAAGGCACAATAATAGTTTGATGAATAGATAAATATTGGTATCTTAGATACACATGGCCCTATCACGCACTTATAATGGGTATTATTGGAAATAATGTGTATGTCACGCATCGACACAACCCTCGTACCCTTTATCGCCGCCTACATAGAACGCCATTCCACCCAATATTGGCATCAAGAAAATCTGCCCGCCATTGAAGTCTTTGAAGCCAGCCTTGATATCTACGTCCTATGTGTCTCGTTAGTAGTTGATATGGGGGCTGGCTTTGCGCGCCGCGACAAAGAGTCGGGACAGCCTTAGCCAGGGTGTAGAGGAAATTGGGGATGATACGAAAAGAGAAAAGCAATTGACATCACGCGCCACCATTACATATCAAGACATAGGGAGACAAAAGAAAAGAGAACTCTACTGACTCAACGCGCGTAGACTAGCGATCAATACAGCGCTGGCCAGAAGTCAGAGGTGAGGATGTGAAAGGTAAGAGGAAATACTGACATCACACGCCATGACTATATATCACGACAGCGTAAGCCAGGGGCCACTGGAGAGAGGATGGGGGAGGGAATACTGACATCACATGCCATGACTGTTTATCACGACAACGTGTGCCAGGGGCCACCTGAAAAAGGAAGGGGGGGAAGAGGTAGGAGAGAATCAGTGTAGTAGATAGATAGGGGGGTACCCTTTCCCATGAATTGTTCAGTCAGTGTCGCTGATCGATGATAGTCAGACTCCAAGTACCTACCTCTCGACAGCTTGTTTTTTTCTTTTTTTTAAACAATGTCAATTCACCATGCGTAAGTTTGACGCATCCCACATGCACATGGCCGACCCATTCCTTTGGATCGCTCCCGATGCTTGTTCCTGGATTTACGACAGCCCCTTCGATCTTGTACCTGTTTTTGTCCAATCAATGTCTAGTTCCTGTCTGATCTTTGTCTTAGCTCGTGCTGCTGCTCCCGCCCCTCGTCCACGCCCGGCCGTAAGTCGAATGCTGTCCCACATACCCAGCACTTGTGCGCCACGAAAGCTGACAATGCGGTACAAGACCACGCGCTTCCAATGGGTCTGTGCGACCCTGATGTTTTGGGGCTTCCTGCTCTTCTTGGCCTGGCTCTGCCAGGCTTTTTTTGACTATAAAGTCCGGCTTCGTGCCGTGACTGGCGTTTGCCCGGCCCCGGCCCCGGCCCCAGCCCCAGCCCCCGCCGCCACCACCAACGTTGCCATCACCGATGGCGTTTCTGCCGGGCGCCTTTTGGCGCCTTTTTCTTCGTCCGTCCGTGGGCTTCTCGCCCCCCCCCCCCTGCCGCCGATACTGCCGTGGTGCCCTTTGGGGCGGTGATGGCCCCTGTCTGGGGAGTGATGGCCTCGGCCATCAATGCCTTTGCCGGCGTGGGACGCCCCCTGGCCGAGAACCAGGTGAGGCTTGTCGGCCTCGTGAATTTTATGTTCCCGAGGGCTGGCCCCCTGGTGACGTTTGGGGTATGTACTCACTGCGTTTTCATTCATGTATCCTTTGTAATTGTACTAACTGTTTCATAGGCCCAAGCTTTTTATATGTTGTTGTATGGGAGGGCCTAATGCCCTAGACGTTTCTTTGTTGTTTGGCCTGGAGGGCAGGTTTTTTTTTTTTTTTCGTGGTAATATATTGCTTTGTCTGGTCTGGTCTCAATCCATTCGTTTCTCAGATTCCAAGATGAATAGACCGGTAGTGATAATATCAGAACATATGGAGTACCTGTATTGAGAGAGTGGTGATAGTAGCATATACTACAGCAACATATCACTAGTAGCGGATACTAGAGGAAAGTTCGAACTAGTAGCAGGAACTAGATGAAACTGTAAATAGTAGGAGATACTAGAATGCAATGCCAATAGTAGCAGATAATTAATTATAATATTAACAGTAAAGGATAGTAATGATAGTAGCAGATACCTAAACTAGCGGGTATTCACGAGTTCTACCTAGGTTTCGTACTAATAAAATAAGTACTCGGTAAAACAATCAGAGGCCTCCCTTTACATTCTGTTCCAAGACTTAAAACTTCGCACAGTCGCCGGGTGCTGGATAGTCGACTAAGTACTGGTCAGTATCCCCTCCTTTTTTCTTAAGTTTCAACACATTTCTCTGTCTGTCCTGATCTCAGTCCGTCGAGTTTCTCCTTATATACTTGTCTAGCGTGTTCGAAATCCCATGCAGTGATTGTGGTTGTCCCTCCAGCTAGAATAGTAGCACCGGTGGGCCGAGGCACAATTTCGGACTCCGAAATCAGGCGCCACCACAGTGTTATCAGAAGCGTTTATTCAGGATCTATTCTGCGCCTTTTATCTTTGTATAGCTTTTGTATCTGCACTTCATGTATATAAAATGGTAGGTGAATATGCAATTAGATGCCGGATTCAGATAGAATTTCGGACTCCGAAAGTAAATACTACCGAAGTGCTGTCATAAGCCTTAATTCAGGCTCTGTTCCGCATTGTTCTTCACTTTATAATGACTGTCCTTCATTTGCAACGTCAGATAGATAGACATGTAATTGACCTGGGGTCGACTCTTTCAACACTTCTGCTGAATCAGTCGAGATATGGACCTAATAACAGCGACCTGTCCAAGCGGCGCCGACGCCTCTTTCGGTCCACGAGTGAATGCTGCCTGTCGCGGTTTCGACTTTACGATACAATTTGAAGATATTGTACTAGCTTGCTTACCATCATCATTATTTTTGCTTCTACTTCCATTGCCTGCATGGCAGTTATGGAAGGCGCATCGTTGTGTTAAGAGATCTACATTGCTGTTTATCAAGCTCGTATGTTTATTCAGTGACTCTTAAATTTACATCCTCTGCTTTTTTTTTTAAATACGCTTCCGGTTCACTCTGACTTATCGGTACCTTTGTGCTCAGGTAACTCTCGGGTGTTTGTTGGCCTACCAAATTGCTTTCCTCGTCTTGAGGGCATCAGGCTCTCATCATGACCGAGCCCCTGCCTCACTCGCATCAGATATTTTGCAGGTTCTTACAGTATTCAGCGCCCTTGTCTTGTCCTACATAAACCACTGCCGTTCAATCCGTCCTTCGACAATACTAGTCCTGTATTTATCGGCGCGTACCATAGCAGATATAGTTCGTGTAAGAACATTATGGCTGATCCCAGAAGCGAGAAACTCGAGTATCGTCCTCACGCTGAGCCTTGTTTTTACTCTGATCGCATTGGTCTCAGAGTCAATGGAAAAGGATGATATCCTAATAGGATCAGTTAAAAAGCCAGGTACTCCGGAACCATTCAGCGGGTTCTGGAAACAAGCCACATTTGCATGGCTTGCTACAACTTTTCGCCGCGGCTATACTCAAGTGCTCTCCGTAGAGGACCTTCCAGACTTAGATCCGAAACTCGATAGTGGCATTATCGGGAGGGAGTTGGCAAACACTTGGGCCAAAACCAGTATGTCAAAAGACTCCATATTTGTTGCTTCATTATGCCATGAAGACATAATGAACATAAACGCTGACACAGATAATGTCTAGGAAACAAATCTGCGAAGTATGCGCTCTTTCGAGTATGCTTGAATGCATACCTTGCCCCTTTCCTATCCGGAGTGTTGCCACGCCTCTGTCTCACTGCCTTCACCTTCTGCCAGCCCTTTCTCATTAACGCAATTGTCACTTGGGTTGGCTCTGCGGATGCTTCCATGGCCTTTGGTAAGGGCCTAATAGGAGCTACCGCCCTCACTTACATTGGCATGGCTGTAAGCTATCACAAGGAAGAATCTGCAGACATTGGGATTAGAGACTGACCAGCACTAAGGTATCGACAGCCCTGTATGAGTATCGCACGATCCGTTTTGTAATCCGCTTGCGTGGTGGGCTAATCTCTCTCATCCACGGCCAAACCGCCCGCGCCCGGAGCGTGGATCTTGGTAATATCACGGCAATCGCTTTAATGGGGACAGATGTAGAGCGTATCACGGTTGCTTTCAGGTATATCCATGAAGTTTGGGCTTGCTGCATTGATATCGCGATAGCAGTCTACCTTCTAGAGAGGCAGGTCGGTGTGGCTTGCGTCATGCCTGTTGTCATCATCTTGGGTAAGTAAAAATTGCTCAATCTTATAGAGAAATCTGGAAGACATAACTAATTCTGTGTTTCTGCATCATACAGTTTTCATCGGGGCCACTCTTCCGCTCTCTGCTTCTACTAGCACCGCGCAGCGGCTATGGGTGGAAAAAGTGGAAGATCGCCTGCGCCTAACCTCGCACGTTCTAGAGAATATCAAGGCTGTCAAGATGCTGGGATTTTCCGAAAAGTTATCGTCTATAATTCAAGGGCTTCGTCACGCCGAAATAGTGGCTTCTGCTGCATTTCGCAAGCTGTTGATTTGGAGAATTGTGCTCTGTAAGCATTTCCCCAGTACCTCCATCTAGCAAAGATGGAGGACCCATCACTACATTAACGTATAATAACTGACCATAAATAGCCCAATCGCCCACTGATCTTGCTCCGATAGCGACTTTTACTCTATATGTAATTATTGCGTTGATCCGGAAGGACAATTCTCTACTCGCTGCGCAGGCTTTTACTTCGTTGTCATTGGTGGCTCTGCTAACGACACCTGTTTTGACGCTTATCCAATCAATACCCGCCGTAATCCAGTGTATGGGATGTTTCGATAGGATGCAAGAATATTGCAGTGTCCCATACGCACCTGATATATCTGATTTACAGGTAAACAGCACGGAATCTTTCGGCGGGCCCTCTGTGGACCTTGAGAAGGTATCTATAGGATCACACCCACATGAAGATCTCGTGGAGTTTCACAACCAAAACTTTGGATGGAAAGATGTCAAAAACCCTGTTTTGCGCAACATCGATCTTAGTATCAAGCACGGAGCTTTTACTGCCATCGTCGGTCCCGTCGGCAGCGGAAAGTCAACTCTTCTAGAGAGTATTCTTGGAGAGTCTTTGGCTACCGAAGGTTCCACAAAGAGAAATTTTGCCACGATTGGCTACTGTTCGCAGACACCATGGCTTCAGAGCCATACAGTTCGTGAGAATATTATTGGCAACATGGACTTTGACAAAGATTGGTACAAAACGGTGATCTGGGCATGCGGAATTGAAGAGGATCTATCGCGACTTGCCCAGGGTGATAAAACACCTGTTGGCAGCAACGGGTTAAACTTGAGTGGTGGGCAAAAGCAAAGGATTGTAAGTCAAGCACATGTGTCTGACTATTTATTTTTGGATTCGGAAACTAAATTGAAGCTGAATAGAGCTTGGCGCGGGCTTTATACTCACGATGCAGAGTTGTTATTCTTGACGACGTCTTCAGTGGGGTTGATGCTGCAGCCACGGAGAAGATTGCTTCACGTTTATTTGAAGCAAACGGACTCTTTCGAAATATGAGAACCACCGTTGTTTTTACAACACACTCAAGTAAGGAAAAGTTTACATCCAAAATGAAATACACATGTTTAATCTCTAATTTTCTGATAGGCCTTCTCCTTCCATACGCAGATCAAATCGTCGTCTTGGCTGACGGTCGGATTTCTGAGAAAGGTGCTCTAAAGGATCTAATAGCTAGCAGTTCTTACATTCAAGCCATGAACGTTAAAACATCCTCCGCATGCAACGAAGAGATCGTGGCGTCGGACGAGAAAGCCTCAACCCGTGGCTTCTCTCATATTATAGGCGTCGATGAAGAAGAAGAGAGTGTTCCAGACTCAGCTGAGTCAACGCTGAATGAGTTATCAGAAGACGATACCGCTCGTCAAAAGGGTGATTTTTCTGATTATATATACTATCTAAGAGCGACAGGCTTACCTGTGGTTGCCGGTTTCTTCGGAACGGTCGCTTTCTGGGCCTTCTGTCGCCAGTTTCCAAGTACGTCTAGCGGTGATACGGTTTCCATTACTCATGATTTGAGTCATGCTAACTTTATATGTAGCTGTATGGGTCGACTGGTGGACAGCAGCAAATGAACGAAACCCTGAGGCTGGAGTCGGCATGTACCTCGGCATATACGCATTTCTCGGCATCATTGGTGTAGTCTTCATGACTTGTGCTTGCTGGTTCGTCGTCCGCGTGCTCAATTTTCACATCACATACTGATTACGAGCATAGGCTCATGTTTATTAACATGGCATCAAAATCTTCATTACGCTTACATGAGGACGTTTTGAATGCGACATTGAAGTAGGTTATCATCTCCATTCACTCACAACAACATGCTTCCTGCAGCTTATATCTAGGATGACCGGCTAACATAGGACATAGAGCACCTTTTCAGTTTTTCCAACTCGTCGACATTGGCAATATTACTAACAGGTAAGTCAGCTTCACAATCACGTTTTCTCTATCAGTTGTTACTCTATCCATAGAACTTGAGATGCTTTCATTTTATTGGTCTTTGCAAATTTCTGACTTTGGATGTTGGATGCCTTAGGTTTAGCCGAGACATGGACTTGATCGATATGGATCTCCCCATGCAGGCACTAAATTTCGTTGCCGGTACGTCTTCATCTCCGGCAGTGTTCCTGATATCATGTCTAATTGTGCATTGGGATAGCAACTGGTACCTGTACAGCTCAGATCGTTATACTGGCTGTATATGCCAAATATTTGGCAATCACCATCCCTTTTGTCGCTGGTCTTGTTTACATCACGCAGAAGTTTTATCTTAGGACTTCACGACAGTTGCGACTTCTGGATATCGAAGCAAAGGCGCCTCTATATACTCACTTCTTAGAACTTGTGAGCGGAGCGGTGACAGTTCGAGCCTTTGGCTGGCAGGCCGCTTTCGACGACGTGTGTGTATCACTGCTCAACTTCTCACAGCGACCTGTCTATCTGCTTAATTGCATTCAGCAATGCCTTCAGTTCTTTTTAGATATGATGGTGGCAGTAGTGACTATTTCTCTAATGGCCATGGTTGTTTTTATGCGCGATTCATTCGATCCGGGATCTGTCGGTGTTGCGCTAGTCATGGTCATGACTTTTAACAGCAACTTGATGCTTCTTATCCGGTTTTGGACTCTTATGGAGACTTCAATAGGTGCCATTTCGCGAATTAAGAGCTATGTGGCCACCACAAAGCCAGAAGAGATTGCTGAAGACATGCAACCACTGCCTGCTGAATGGCCTTCCACCGGATCGATTAAACTCTCCCAACTCGAAGCGGGTCACTCGTAAGTTCATTCAGTACATGTTATCTACGCGGTATAGTTTGGGGGGTGGCAGATCCAATGGTTTATTGGCTGGGATGCTAATCTATGTCGCACAGGATGACTTCGGCTCCCGTCTTAAAAAGACTTACAATGTCCATCAACCCTGGAGAGAAAATTGCTATATGTGGTCCATCAGGTAGTGGGAAAACAACATTAGCTCTTTCTCTTCTCCGAATGGTCGAAACTCAGCAAGGGAGCATCGAGATTGATGGGGTCGATCTGTCAATGCATAGCCGCTCCGAAATCCGGCAGAGACTGAACGTTGTCACGCAAGAACCGTTCATCATGCCTCGAGACGTCCGTTTCAACATCGACCCGCTCCAAAACGCATCAGATGAGTCCATGATGGCAGCATTGCAGAGATTGGGACTCTGGGACTCGATGAAAAGCGAAGGCGGCCTCGATATGCCATTGAAGACGACTTCCTGGTCTGCTGGCCAAAGGCAGCTTCTACGCTTGGCGCGTGCGATGGTGCGGAGGGGAAAAGTACTTATACTTGATGAAGCTACTAGCAGGTAAGGTCTTCTTTACCACATACGCGAAGGCGGCGTGCTCTTTCCAGGCATCGGGTGGCAACCTGCTCCGTTGAATCTATTATTGAGAAACGATTTCTAACTGCTCTATTCGGATTTATAGTGTTGATAACGCTACCGAAGAAACGATACAAGATATCATAGAGTCGGAGTTTGCAACTCATACAGTGTTATCAGTTTTACATCGGCTACGATACATTCACCGCTATGATCGAGTGGCCGTGCTGGATGCAGGTGTCTTGGTTGAATTCGATACTCCAGCAGCCTTGTTATCTCGAAATTCGAGGTTCGCAGAACTGTATCATTCTGGAAATCGCACATAGAGACTAGTGGATAGATAATGGTAAGAAAATTGCCCACTGCTGGTATTGGGTCACTTGTCCCGTCGGTTTCGAGTCATACGCAATTAGAATTGTACGATATATCAGCATTGCGGCAGTTAAAAATTATGCGCCGGAGAATGGAGCGTACATATATATAAGCGTGTTAGAAATAGACATCCATTAACTTTGGTCGTATTTTCCTCGCCACTCATATCCCATGAATCACGGTTGGAACACGACTAGGATAGGAATCAATAGCTCTTCTTATAATATATTTATATATCACCAAGGTGAAGCTATATACTTCATTCAACCGCGCTCACTTTACCGGCGCGATATCTTCGTCCGTCTTGTATGAGCCAGGATGGAGGATTTGCATTGCCTACCTAATAGAGACCACTAGTGTTTCCCTCACCTCGCCTGTGAATATGAAGTAGGTTCTATCCCTCCTAGATGACTTTTACTATTAGTCATGTATGGTTTGTCCTGGTGTTTGACGGAAAGTGTTCTTGATCGAAGATCTTGATGAGGCTGTGTGGCGACGGCTCATTTGGCGATAGCAATGTAGCCAAAATTCCTTTTAAATAAATATTTGCCACCAGGCTGATGTTGGAACAATTACCTCTGACGGTGAAATAGGTCAGCGCCTGTTATGTTTCCGCGCCACAGCCAATGCAGAGCGTATTGCTCCCTCTCCGTCTCGAGCAATAGCTTGGTAAAAGTGGCTATCCTGCTGGCGTAGCAGGTCTTCTGGTACGCCACTTTCAACAATCCGTCCAGCATCCACTGTGATGATGCGGTCCATCCATGCGAGCGTGGCAGCACGATGAGCAACGGATACCACAGTTGTCTCGGCAGGCAAAGCTTCCAGCGCGTCCTGAAGGGCTGCTTCAGCCGTGAAATCAACATTTGCCGAAGCTATTCCAAGAAATTTCATGTCAGTTTCGCATGTTCAGGGTCTATTCATGTCTGCTCATGGATATAGAATAGACGGTAATAGAGGGGGGGGGCTTTGACGTAATCACTCACCTTCATCAACCAGCAAAATCCGAGGCTCCATTAATAGCACACGAGCTGCGCAAAGAAGTTGGCGCTGTCCAGCTGAAATGTCCGATGCCTCAGAGGTGAGCTCCTTGGACAAATCTTCCGTTGAGCCGATCAATGATGGACTCAACTGGCATATCTTCAGTGTCTCGAGAAGTTTCTCGTCACTGTGGCGGCCAGCGGGGTCCAAGTTCTCGCGAAAAGTGCCTTTGAATAATAGAGGCTGTTGCGATAGGGTACACACAAGATCCGTTCTTAGCTTCTGGGGGTCCAATTCCGAGATGTCGGCACCACCTATCAAGATACTGCCACTGGTTACATCCACAAGTCGAGCCAATGTGGATATCAGCGTCGACTTTCCACTGCCTGTTCGACCAATAATGCCCACCCTTTCACCTCGAGACAGCACTAGGTTGACACTATCAAGAGCAGGATTTTGCCGTCTTTTGTAAATAACAGAGACGTTTTTGTACTCAATCGAGTTGAAGTCGACCGGAGGTTTGGGTGCTGCATCATTTGAGTGGTTTGGCTCCCGCGGAATACCTTCATAGTATTTCTTCAGCCGTTCGATGGAGTTCATTTCAATCTGTAGTTCAGTAATGGACCAGGTGAAGAGGTAAATGCTTTGAGAAATGGCTGTAGCATTACTGAGAGCCAAGCCTGCCTGTGTACCGGAGAGGCCCACGCTACTGTCTTGGTCGGTGTACACTACAAGCATGGCAGTAACCAAGAGAAGCAGTATGGTAGACAACTCGGCGCGAAAGGTTACCCAGGTGTCAAGAGATTTTCGACAGATCACGGCCGACATGTAAGTATCAAGCGCTCGATCATGTTTTCTGCTCATGAAGTCGCGTGCTCCAAAAGCTCGGATGGAGCTCATACCTCGAAGTGCTTCACTGACGATACTGAGGACTGGTGAATGTAAGATAGAAGCCGATCGTTGCACTTCTCTCGCAGCACTGCAATTATATATCAGTTAGCAAAGAGAGCACATGGAGAGAATGGGTAATGCAATAAACATACACAGCAAATTGTAGCTGATACCAGCCTGCGATCATCACAGACGGAATGGCGGCAGCCAGGGTTATGGGGGCAGCGGCTGCCACAAGGGCAATGGCTGCAATCAGTGCACTTCCAGCGGCAATGATACCATCAACAGAATTCATGATGAACACATCCATCGACATGACGTCGTGCGTGAACCTATTCAAGATTCTGCCAACGGGTTGACGAGAAAAATAGGCAATCGGAGCGCTGAGGACGTTGTCTACAATGGTGCTGTGGATGGTGTCGCTCGCACGAAGACTCGAAAACACCAATACGATACCAAGAAGAGCTGAAAGCCCGTTAGCTTGTGTTGAGGGACATGAAAATCTGGTTGTACTAGTAGTACAGTTACTTACCCGCAATGAAACCAGGAGAGACGGTCAAGCCTATAAAGGCTCCTAGATATTGGCTTCCTTGCAGATGGAATGCGTCGTCGATCCACCAGACGAACCAATACGATGACATTGTCTTGGCACCCGTCAAGAGGCAAACCAATGCGCCAATTGCTATAACGTCAAGAAGACCGCCAGCACAAGCAGCATAGAATTTCAGTGCAGCGAAGCTCACGGTACCCTCGGCCCGTTCTTCTTCTTCAAAGACGTCCTCGTCTGTAGAAGATGATTCGCCCACGCTGGTTACTGTTACTTCAGGCGGAGCCTTATCATCTGTGCTGAGGTTCTCCTCGCTTTCGTCACTGAAATCAGAGTCGCTATCGGCCGTATCGGCGGATTGCAGATATTTTTCGCATAGTTCGGTAGTAGCGGCAAATTCGCTGCTCGTGCCAGCCCAGGCGATCTTTTTGTCTTCAATAACAACAACATTGTCGCATCTGGGAATATAGGAGTGATGTAAAGTCACCAGGACCACAGTCTTTTCTAGGGCTCGGATAGTATCGAATAGCAATGCCCGTGTTTTGGCATCGACAGCAGCAAAAGGATCATCAAGAAGCAGTATGTCGGATTCCGAATATAGGGCCCTTGCTAATGCGATTCGCGCACGTTGACCACCACTGAGGTTGTTTCCTGACTCGCCAATAGATGTATTGTCTCTTGGGAAATCTTGATACAAGCCACAGGCACTCATGACGGTATGATAGCGAGCAGAATCAAAGGGGGCCGCAAACACGATGTTTTCCTGCAGCGTACCAGAGAAAACCCAGGCATCTTGGGAAGAGTAGGACACAGATCCTTGAACACTGCATGATCCCGACGTTGTGGTGACATCCCCAAGAATAGCTCGCAAGAATGTTGACTTTCCGGATCCAGTAGGCCCCACGACAATGGTCAGTTTGCGGGAAGGAAGAGTGAGATTTCCTACTTCGAGACCAGTGCTGGCTGATGAGGAGTTGGAATCAGAAACTGGGTGGGAGAAGGAGGCCTCTTTGAAGGTAACCAACGCCTCTTGTTCACTATTTGTGTCCTCAGCCAACTCCGATTCGTCTGCCGTTAAGAATACTTGTACCCTGCTAAAACTTGGCCAAGTAGCAAACTGTCTAGTAAAGGCTAGAGAGGCGTTGGATATTGGTTGATACAACATTCCAAAATACGTCAATGCAGGGAATACGACTGCTGCCGTCAGTTCGTGGCCCATGAGGAAATAGGCCAGAAACGCCACGCCAGCAGCAAAGCCACTCACAGCTTGATTAACAGCTGTGAAGTATCCGAAGGAAAGGACGAGATACTAAGAGATAGATGGGTCAGTAAAGTCTAGCCTTTGGTAACGGCCATCACGACCAAGAAAGGGGACATGAGCTTACGTTCCGCAGCGCTCCAGCCTGTTTGGCCCGAAACTGGCTAATTCGCTTCCTGAACACCATTTCATAGCCAAGAGCCTTGACGCTGCCGATGCCATAGAGAAGTTCTCGTAACGCACCAAGACGTCCGTCATTAGTCATAATATAAGCCCTTTGGGAATTTCGCATCCCTTTATTTGCCCAAGATTGAGATATAAATACGACAAGTACAAGTGCAAATCCTATGTTGAAGAATATTTAGTCAAGTGCGCACAACAGGAAGCTCGTCAATAAGCAATAAACTATGACTTACCAAAAAGTGCGGTTGGTCCCATGATGGTCACAGTGAGGGCACCAATACCAACGATTTGCAAGGGCGCACTCCATACGTCATGAACCTTCAGCATATAGTTTGCCAGATTGTCGGCATCAACGGAGCTCATGTTAATGATGCGCTCAGGAGGATACTCAACGCGGGCTTGTGGTGATAGCTTGATGCTCTTTTCGAATATAGCCGCACGGAGCATCAGCTCCATCCACGCATAATGAACCCTGCATAATTGATCTTTTGCGCGACCAAACACTGTGGCAGCCAAGGTCACAATTACTAGACCCCAGGCAAGCGGCGCATCATGAGGCTTCTCTAGGAGCTTGTGAAGCAGTAGAGGCGATCCTATGGTAGCCGCTGCAGATAATGCCTGGATGTGGTGAAATTAGTGACTGGAATTCTTCAAGCGGGGTTTGGGGATGCCCAAATTAGGTGTTACAAGACAAGACAATACAAACCTCCAGAATTGCTCCGCAGAAGAGCATGCCTCCCGTTTCCTTTTGCATCAAGAAGCTCAGTGCTGCTGCTGGGCGCTTCGCATATAGCGGCGCAGCTACACCGCGTAAATGAGCCGAAGCGCAAGAGAAGACGGGAAGCCATCCATCCTCCAGAGTTTTTGCCTTGCACACTCGCGATACCAGTCGACCGATCCACAGCTGGACAGGGGAGATGCTGTAAAGCAGCGGATCAGTAGCGACACTCTCGCCAGGAACAGGACCTTGACGGTCCAAGTCGTCTCTCTTAGGCGCCTGGCCTTGAGTCGCCATGATAAGAGACTTGTGCCAAAATCTGGTGTTTACAGAGCGTCAATGATGTTGACGGCACCAGCGAAAGCAAAAGGCGCTAACCAGCTGCTGTTTAATGAAACTAGTTAAAAGGCTCGATCTTGAATATTCCTTTGTTTGAGGAAAGAATGAATCCTACGGCTAAAAAATGACTGCAGAGGTAAGACACCCTCAGGGTACTTTGTGCTACATTACTATCACTCAAATCTATCTTGAACGAACCAACACCAACCGACGAACCAACGAACCAACAAATCAACAAAGCTTCAAGGTTGTCCTCGGAGTGGGCCGCATCGGAATCCGTAAAAATTGGGGCGAGTTTACTACAAAAGGACCTACCAGGATCACCCCTGAATAGGGAGACGCCACACTAGACACACGCCAACTACGAGTATGCTTATCTGACCAAGGTTCAGCTGCATGGTCGCTTGCCGCCGAACAATGCCTGGTAGGTAGGGACAGCTTACCCTACAAGAAATGAGGTCGTTTATTTTATACATGTGTATTAGTATCTACGATATAGAAACCCTCTGTGGTCAGATTTTGCTACTTGATTTATCTATTGATTCATTTTTATTTAATTCCAATTACACGAAAGACGGAAGCTAACATGTCAGAAGAAAAGTTGGTGTTGCCTGGGATTTTACTCCGAGAGTATGGTGTAAGCACAGCCGCTATAACCGCACCTCGTCATCCTCATACACGGGTAGTTTAGATTTGAACTACAGGCTATGGACTGATTTCGCAGCTTCATACGGAATCCCACGACTCAAGGAGATTAAAATTCAGAAGGATCATCGGCAACCACTTTTATTTAACTACACGAGGAAGCCCTGCCTTGCGGCTCACAGATTTCATTATCCTTGCACCTTATGCGGCATGCTGCATCCGATGTAAGCAGCTTTGGGCCTTTGACGGTGTCCGTCAGTGGATGAGCTGCCACACTTGCGGTACTTGAGAATAGATCCGGATTGCATCCCGGGGTTCTTTATATGGGGTCGAATCTTATGTAGTATGCTTTATGGAGAGTATGAACAGGGGTGCCATCGGAAGAAAAGAGTAGATTAATGCACCAGCTTGAAAGAGGCGTGGGCACGGCTCTTCCAAGCCGGACTCCGGAACCCTGAACGTAGAACCAAAGGAGCAGTAGTTGGTAAGCCGGTAACCAACAATGCCTGTACCAATACGGATGACTACAAGCTCCGGAGGAGCCCATGTACTCGTATGTGTCCGTTACTTTATCAGATATGATGGGCATATCCCAGTTTTCAAACAGGCCCATGATGGGTACTACTAACCGAAGCTATTATGGAACCCGGCATCCGGCGTAGTAAATCCATTCACTTTATATCGCTCCATTCAAATAACAAAAGGCGCGGACCGAACTCAGAAAGGTCCCCGGGAATCCGGAGGAGGTGTCTTCCGGTTGGACCGAGGCGTAGATAGCTCCGGTATCCAATATTAGCAAATTTCCTATGGAGATTGCCTCTACAGATCCCTCAGTATTAGGTTATTAGAGAAGTCAGTTTCTTTGATATGTAAAATGAGTTTTATGCCATCTCTTTGGATGACAAGTTGTGCAACCGCGACTAGAGAATTGCAAAATATTTCTCGCCGAACTTTGACCTGTACCAAAAGCTGACAAAAGCACACACGTCCAGAGTTTGAGAAAAAGATTCAACAGAATGTATTCAACAATAACAGACAACACTGCAGCTTTGGCGTCGGATCTCTGCATCAACAGCCTTTTCACTGTTGTTGCAGCGCAATATGGCAACAATGTTGCCATTAACTTCGAAAATGTGGATAGACTGACCTATAGACAGGTAAGTAAATATGTTGACCTCCTCGCTGACGAACTCAACTATCATATTTCGCATGGACAACTCGTCGCCGTCCTTCTTCCGCGATCACCGGCCCAAGTGATTGCCATCCTAGCCATTCTCAAACTGGGCGCTATTTATGTTCCAATCAATCCAGAGCTACCCAAAGCCCGGATTGGGAGCTTGATATCTTCGGTGCCGATTGAAATTGCCATTTGCCTTGCGGAAACTGAACATCAATTGCCGCACAAAGTACTGCCATTGACGCTCAGCGGCAAATATGGACATGAATCCAGGCTGAAGTTCCCCAGCAGCCACCGGGACACAAAGAATTGGCTACGAATTACAACAGACGACCTTGCAACAATTCTGTTTACTTCGGGTAGCACAGGGCAGCCCAAGGCCGTCAAGCTAACACACAAGAATTTGATTCCACAAGCTAAATTCTTGGCGAGAGAGTTGGGTCTTGATAGTTCAAGATCAGTATTCCAGTTCTCATCTTGTTCTTTTGACGTTCATCTCCTTGACATTCTGTCGGCTCTCCTCTCAGGAGCACAGCTCCATCAAGCGTCTCAGAGCGCTATTTTATCAGATCTTGAAGGACAAATTATGAGCTTCAACTCAGACACTATTCAATTAACCCCGACTGTGATCTCGACACTGCAGCCACATAACGTTCCATCCATCAGATGCATGGTGACTTGTGGAGAGGCGTGTACGGAAGAGATTGTCAACACCTGGGGCAACCGAATAGTATTATTAAATATATACGGTATTTTTTGAGCTTGACTCCACCCATTTAGATCTCTTTGACTCTGAGCTAATACAGTGTTTTCTCAAAAGGCCCTTGTGAAGCTCCTACGACGAGCATTAAAAGGCTACGACCGGGAACCTCGCCCAGTTGTGTTGGAAAACCTCCGTCATATGCAAACATTGCCGTGGTCAACGAGAGAGGGCAATCTCTTCCCTCAGGCCATGTTGGCGAAGTTCTAGCTTATGGGGAAACCGTTTCTCAAGGATACTTCAATGGCGAGGCTCAGGAGAAATTTACGCGCACAGTACAGTTTACTACGGGCGCAGCACCATCAAGTGGATGGTATGCAACTGGGGATTTCGGGCTTATCGATGAAGCTGGGGAGCTGCACCTGCGCGGAAGAGCCGATGATCAAATCAAAATTAGTGGACAGGTATGCCGCCTTTTTATAACCTTTTCTTTGGCCTCACATGGAAAAAGTATGATGCTAACGAATAATTCATCAATCAAGCGTATCGAACTTGGAGACATTCACCAGGTCATCTATGGAATCCCCGGCTGCGGACGTTGTGTGGTACTTGCTCATACTGTTAACCACCGTGCTGGTCTCTATGCAGTAGTGTCCACCGATCCTGGATTTGGCCAGCCAGGAAACAAAATTGTGATAGCAGATGGATATGGCAATCTTAGAAAGGAGATCTTTGCTTCTTGCAGAGCCAACTTACCTGCTTATATGGTCCCACAAGTCATAATTGTCAAGTCGCTCCCTCGAAATGTCAACGGCAAGGTCGACGTTAGCCAAATTCGGACCTTCTTGAGCTCTCGTCATACTTTGGATGAAATGAGGCTTGACAAGTCGGAGCAACTGTCAGAATATGGCCACCAAGTCGCCAGTATCATCCGGAAGCGACTGCAACAGCTTGTTCCTTCAAAGGACGACCTCCTAGAATGGGGATTTAATTCTATGGACGCTGTCTGGGTTATCAAAGAGTTGCATGAAAAGACTGGCCACCGAGTTTCGATCACCGAGCTGCTAAGCCACCCCACGATTGAGTCGATTGCAAACCAGATAGAATCAGTTTCTGTGGTCCGCACCTCTCATGCCAGTGAGCCTACGCCTATGCCAAGGGATTGGTATGTTGCTTCACCAGGACAACATAGTCTATTCCGAGCCACAAAGGTTTTCGGGAACAAGGTGTACACCTGCAAAATTGCCTATGAGATTGCGGGAAGCTTAGATCCGAGTCGATTTTTGGATTGCCTTACGGAAAAATATGCCCAGCATGCGATATTCAACACGTCTTTTGTGGAAGACGAAACAGGCTTTAAAGAAGGAAATATCGTTGCTCGAGTGAAGCCAGATACTTACAACAGACCTCGTGTGTCACTGTTTCCCTTCGAACAGTCGCGTCGTGCTCACTTTTCCGCTACATCGACTGGTGTTTCTTTGCTGGAGGCTGTATATGACTGGGAAATGAGCCAAGAAACAGACTTGGACATTGAAGAAGGACCTGTTGCAAGTGCTGCTCTTTATCAGACTGATAAAGACGCCAATCAATGGCTTGTAATACTAACGTTTCACCATATGGTGATTGACGAGTATTCGAGCAATACTTTCTGGTCTGAACTCATAGATCTGTATCAAGCAAAAAACCCGACAGCCATGATAACTCCGACCAAACGAATAGACTATAGCCAGTACGCCACCATCTACCGAGCCATACTCGAGTCGCGTGGGACTTCCGATGGCGACTGGTGGCGCGATGTGTTTCGAGGCTACCGGCCGCAGCCGCTGTTTCAAGATGCCATCGGAAATCACAGCGAACGTTTATCCGGATACGATGTCGCAGCAGACATTTACTGGAAAACATTACCTCAAAGGGAGGCCACTAGACTGACAGCGCGAAGGGGGAACGCCGCTAATACTTTTGGTGCCTGGCTGTCACTTGCGCAGCTATTTCTATCTCGGGTGACGGGAAAAACGGAATACTTGCTCGGTGTCCCAACATCAGCTCGGGCCGTTGACCCTCGTTTCGTTAGTGTTATGGGATATTGTATGACACTTGCGGTTCTCCCTGTCTCTCTCGATTTGGACCAAGACAGTCTGGCATTCGAGGCAGCCACGCTTGAAAAGTATCGCCAATGCGTCGCCCACGATCAGCGAGTTGAAGACATCTTGAGTTGGCTTGCAGAGGAGAATCAGACCGAAAATACTGCCAACGTAGACGCACTGTTCGTTTATCACGACCCGTTGGATTCGTCTCTTGACCTGGGAAATTCAGGGCTTCGCTACAAGAAACTTGCCGATGCAACCGGTGGGAGCCACTATCATCTTATCCTGCATTTGGACAACTCAGGGCCCTCTATTAGGGTCGGATTTGAATACCGAACAGAATCATTCAGCACAAAGTTCATTGAAGCTTTGGCACAGGCCTTTACAGAGTTGGCGGTTGAGTTGTCATGCAGCGATGAGCAGCGCTCAGTCGGGGAAATTGTCTCAACAGCGCCGTCTCAGGCTCTTCAATTTGCAGTGGAAGCTTCGACAAGACAAGCTGGGCCCGTGCTACAAGAGCTCAGAAGACGAGGCGAAAACCTCAACATCCTGGACCATATTTACATGACCGCGTCAGTAAACCAAAACGCAATTGCAATTGCGACTGCTGAACGGAATGTAACTTATCGGCAACTTCTTGAGTGGGTATCAGGAGTCGCAAGTAAGCTGCGCAGAGAAGGAGTGAAGACTGGCGACGTTGTTGTCTTGTTTATGGATAAGAGCGTCGAATACTTGGTTTCCGTACTTGCTCTCATTCGTGTCGGTGCTTGTTTTGTACCCCTCGATATTACGAACACACTGGCTGTGAACAACTCAAAGCTAGCCGTCCTTGCCCCTACACTGATACTTACTCGTCGACATGTAAATGGTGCTGTTTACGAAGATGAGAACTATTATCGAAAACTCGATACATCATCAATTAGACGCATCGCCATATCGACCCCTCCTCAGGTTGACCAGCCTCATCACAATGTCCACGAAACAAAGACATCCACAACAGAGCTGTCAGCTGATGCATACATTGCTTTTACTTCTGGTTCTACGGCTGAACCAAAATGCTTTCGCATATCACATCGCGCCCTGGCATCCTCTATCTGTAGCCAAGTTGAGGCTCTCAACATCTCAACCGGACATAGGGTGGCCATGCTTACTAGCCTTGCGTTCGATGTTTCTTTGATGGAGATATTCTGTACCTTTGTTGCAGGTTCGACACTGGTTGTGGCTCCGCACGATCAATTCATTACTTCACTGGCAGATACGCTGAGATATATGGCTGTAACTCACGCCATCGCGACGCCGACGATGCTTGCTGCCATTGATTCACCATCAGAGGTCCCCTCGTTGAGGTCTATAATCCTTGGAGGAGAACCAATCCCAAGTGCTCTGTACGAGCGATGGTGGGGGACTGTGGACATCAGAATCTCGTATGGACCAGCTGAAACAACGATTGCCACCCACGACTTCATCGTCACGACGAAACCGACAACCAGCTCTTGCAATATCGGTAGACCGTCTCCATCTGTGCGGGCGTTTATTTTGGATGCACAACACAACCCTGTTCTTCCGGGTATTCCAGGACGTTTATTCATTGGGGCAGCGGATGATGGTAGATATGATCAGCTAACATCTGGTTATATCTCGCCGCTCTCTGCTAATAAGCGTCTGGTGAACCATCCAAGTTTGGGCAGACTCTATGACACTGGCGATATTGTACGATACGATCTCCAAGGGACATTCACCCTTATCGGTCGTACTGATGACCAGGTCAAGATATCAGGAGTTCGATTCAATATTGGCGATGTTGAAAAGACCATCGATGTGTTCGTGGGTGCTCAACGGAGATGTGCAGTGGTTATCTCCGAGACTCAGCCTGGCAATAAAGCTCTAACATGCTTCATCGAGTTTTCTGACACAGAGGGTTCGCTTACAATCCCATCGGAGCGCCACGCTACAACAGTCTCTATTATCCTGTTGCTCAACAATGCGCGACGCGAAGAATTGGCCGCATTGCGTGATCGGGTGTCTGAAGCGCTCCCAGCTGCCATGATCCCCAAATACTGGATCCCAGTCAAGGAATTGCCCGTGTCTCGTACGGGAAAGATTGATAGGCGTCGATTAAATGAGGAATTGGCATCCGCTCATCGCCACGGCACAAACATTGAAGCATACAGCAGCCTCGTCGCACAAATTTCTCATCTCCATGAAGCTAGAGATGACGAAGAGGTCATTAAGAGCTCTCAAAGCCTACAATACCCAGCTAGCGGATCTGTTCCATCTTACAGAGAGAGACTGAACGATGAATTAATGCAATCCCTCGTCATCGCCTGGACGGAGATTTTACCTATCGATGAGACGCAAGTTGACATTCATAGGTCATTCTTCAAGACGGGCGGCGATAGCGTATCGGCTATTCGTTTCTGTGCCCGAGCGCGAAAATTAGGCATTCGAGGCTGTACTGTGGCGAAGATGCGATCCAATCCCAGCCTCTCACAACTTCACGATGTCCTTGCTTATGACAACTCTTCTCTGCTGTCAAACATGCCATCATCTGATGACGAACCGACGGATGAAGCTTCCGGTCTCACGCCGCCCTCTTCGATGCCCTCTACGCCAACAAGTTCAGGATCCTCATTTGTGAAATTACCTGGAGCTACCGATTTCACCACTCTCAGTATATCCGGACACTCTGTCTCCACTACTGATGTTGATGATGAGGAATTTACTGGCATATTTCGACACGTGGAATCTTTTATGAATACTTCAGAACTATCACAAGAGATTGCGGCAGCAGGTATCAACGAGAGCGAGGTGGACGTTGTATATCCGCCTACTGCCATGCAGTCATCCATGGTTCAGCAGTCTTTACTAGACTCCAATTCAGGCGTATATCATAGTCAACTTATCCTCCACCTCGAAGGACCAGTACAAGAGATGAAATTGAGAAAAGCATGGAGTGCAGTATGCAATGCAAATCCTTCACTCCGCACCATTTTTGTGCCCTTGGAACGTGGTCATGTACCCGGAGTGGCATATTTGGCGGTGGAGCTGAAGCAAAACGCACGCATTCCTTTGTTCGAAAGCCGTCAGCTTCCCCTCCCGTCATCGGAAATGTTTGAAGACCTCTTGGATCATGACAGAAAAGTAGGAATCGGAGCCATTACGAATATCCACAAAATGACCCTAGTTGAGAGAGGTCCTTGCGAATATACCCTTATCTTTACATGTCACCACGCTGTTTTCGATGGTTGGAGCACAACTACTCTGTTGAAGCAGCTTGGCGAGGCCTATTCGGGAACTTTGCCGCTGAAAACCAGCAGATCGAATGCTGAATACTTCACGCAGCAATTGACGCGTGATAGGGGTGCGTCGGAGGACCTATGGAGACAATACCTGGCAGGGGTTCAGTTGCCACAGCTTCCACAGCGAGAACACGTTATGGAAAGGCCGTCACACAAAAGGATAGAAGCGGCTCTTCAAACTGCTATTTTAAGCAGTGAGTTTCAAGCACGCGCTGAAGCTTTTGGTGTGACCCCTTTTACTATCGTACAATTGGCCTTTGCGCTTGCTCTTGAACGCTCTTGGATTGATCACAGGCGGTCTACTCGTGTCGGATTCTGGACGGTCACCAGCGGAAGATCACAAAAGGTAGACGATATCAACGCGATTGGAAACTTCTTGAACACAATTCCATGCGTTGTGGCTCTTTCCTCGACTACCAGCGTCCATAAAAGCCTCCAAGCTACGTATAGAATGTTCACCAAAATGTCAGAGCACGATTGTGTTTCTACAACAGATATTTTGCGCTGTTTCGAGAAGCCCGAATGCGACATCGACGCTCTCCTGGTGTTTGAGAATCACCCAGATGCTAGCGAGCCACAACTCCACTTCGGCAGCAACATTCGGCTTAATTCAGTGGATGGACGAGAAGTATCGAGTCTTCCATTTGTTGTTGTTGTCGAGCCTGGACAGACTGAAGTCAAGATTATTGCCAAGTTTGATGAAGCACGACATCACTCTGGCTCAGTTAGACGAGTTCTTGATCGTTTCTCCACCATATTGAGCAACATTGTTTCACACCCAACTCTCGATGAATGCAGTCTGTCTAGTATAAGCTGCGACTATCACCATTCAGAGAAGCAGTTGGTCTTACAACAAGGAGTGAATCTGAGCCAGCAGTCTGGACTGCAAGAGACCCTGGTGTCACTTTTTCGCCAGTGTGTTGCTAAACATGGGCAACGTAAAGCTTTAGCAACTCACTCGTCATGGTTGACGTTTGCCGAGTTGGATGATCTTACCGACCGACTGGCTATCTACCTCTCACGTCAAGACAATAGCAATTCCAAAATTGTTCCGATTGTTCTTGAGAAGAGTCCATGGATGGTCATTGCCATGCTTGCAGTCTTGAAGAGTGGGCGTGCCTACTGCCCACTTGAGTTCGACGCACCAAGCCACAGGATATCTTTCGCAATTAAGAGGCTCGGCGCAGGCCTAATAATCACAAACGAGAACGGTTTCCCAAAGTTGGCGAGCCTATCCGCCTGGGGTCATCCACAAATCCTCGTGATTGACAACATCCAGACTCTGCTGGCTAACGCTGAGACTCGCACTTCTAGAGATGCGGTATCCTTGCTGCCTACATTACATCCTGATATGGCATGTTACGTTATGTTCACATCTGGAAGCACTAGTAGCCCAAAGGCATGTACACTCACACACGGTGCTGTCGCCAGCGCAGTTCAAGCGGTTCAGCCACTGTATAACTTTGAACCATCGTCTCGGATCCTGTTATTTGCAAACTATGTCTTTGACGCTAGCGCGATCGATATCTGGGGCTCTCTCTCTTCCGGTTCTTGTCTCTTTCTTCTCCACGACGATGAACTGAAATCGGACCTCATTGGGCACATAGACCGTCTCCAGATTAATTGGATTCATCTCACCCCAACAGTCCTCCGAACTATATCACCGGATCAAGTCCCCAGCCTCAAGACTATCATCCTTGGAGGAGAAATGATGGTTCCAGATCTTCTTAATATCTGGGCGAAGCAAGTTGAGATCGTTGCTGCATACGGTCCAACAGAAGCGGCAATCCAAGTCCTCACTTTCCGCCCGAGTCGTTATCCTATCGACGAAGTTACCTATACAGCTCTTCCAGGAAACTTGGTGGTGGTTGTCAACGAACGCCGCGAAATCTGCCATATCAATGAACCTGGTGAGATTGTGATTGCTGGGAAACAGCTTTTCGTCGGGTATGAAGGCAATAGCCTTGCCACCCAGGCGGCTCTTACGACGATCCATGGATTTGGCGAGTTCAAATTCTACAAAACAGGAGATCGCGCCTATTATTCTCACATAGGAGAAGATGGGAAGCCACATATACGCATCCTTGGCCGCGTAGACCATCAAATGAAGGTTTCGGGCATGAGAATAGCGCCCGAAGAAATTGAGCAAGTTCTGAACGCAGACCCGGATGTTGTATGCTCTGCTGTTGTCGCGAGCTATGGAAGATCTTTAGACGCGCTGGTCGTTGGCCGGGACAATAATCTCAATGTGAACCGGCTCATGACTTTGTGTCGGGAGAGGCTCCCCGAACGGTTACGCCCAGTTATCCACCAAGTGAAAGAGATTCCTCTATTAGCAAGCCGCAAAGTTGATCGAAAAAGACTGTCAACACTTCTCGATAATGTTATTGCCTCGAAACCTGGCGGCCGTTCCTCAAGCCTTGTGTCTCAAAATGATTCAGCAAAAATATCCGCAGTTACTGCGATTATTGAGAATGTTCTTGGGACAAAGGTGCTCGATGTAAACGCGCCACTGGCAAATTTGGGCTTGGATTCACTCGGTTTTATGCGACTTAAGCATTCACTATGTACCAAGTTTCATCTTCCTGATTTAACGTATCGTCAGCTACGCAACATCGCCACGGCAGCCGGAATCGCTGATCTAGTTGGCATGGATCAATCGTCGGCCGTCTCATCTGACTACGACGTTGTTAGCATAGCTGCCGATAAGGAGAACGTGTCGCCAACCCGGGTCTTGGATGAAAAGTCCACGAAAACGCTCATTAGGCGTACTGGTAGATTTTTGGCCCTTCCGAGTCAATTGGCTATGTGGGTAGCTCAGGAGCGCTTACAAGATACGACGTACAATGTTCAGCGGGTATGGCGCTTCGAAGATGTCACTGCAGACTCACTGTTATCTGGACTCCTAGATGTTGTGCACCGCCTTGAGATGTTCAGGACGACATTCGAGTTTGATCTCTCTGCAGGGAAGCTGTACCAGGTCGTTCATGATGAGTCTCTCGTTGCGGTACAAATTTCTCGGATTTCGCATGTCGACATAGACGACTTACGAGCAAGTTTTATACCACACAACTGTGCAACGATTGACCTCAGAAATGGTCCTCTGGCCATATTCCATCTCATCGCTGATGGGAAGACTGTAGTCCTTCACTCAACCATACACCACATCATTGTGGATGAGTTTACTAGCATCCAGCTATTTAATCTCATCCGATGCGCCAGTAGAGGCAGTTCCGACTTGTGCGCCTTTGAAGGCACTTCTTCCATCGCTCTCCATGCTGCTCAAACAGCAAACCGACACGACGAAAACCACCTTAACGAATGGAAACAGCGGATGTCTGGAGCAATAGGAATTGATACGGAATCTCACTATGAGGACTCTTACAATCAACTAAAGTATGCTCTGTCATTGCCGACGGTGGAAGGAGGGAAAGACAATGTGTCATTTGTACACCTTCTCAGCTGCTTTCACGCGATTCTTCACCGCTATACGCAATCCGATGATGTTACCACCATAATTCCCATTTCAAGTCGTGGGATGCTACCACCCCATCTCTGTCGGAACGTATTGGGCAATCTCACTCATACAGCGTTCCTACGCAGTCGGCTAGGTAGTGAAGATTCACTTGAAGACTTCACAAAGCAGATCCGCGAAGGAGTGGATTTTGCCTTGGAGTCAGACATGGCCATCAACAAGGTGGCTTCTGCTTGTGGCCTGGACACAGCAAATTTCATGATTCAATTTATCATGCACGATGCTCAGTCATATGATGATATGTCATCCGATATGACTGATATGACTTTGGACCTCATCACCTCAGAAAAACCAATGTTTGACCTTATGTGGCATGTTTTCGCTCACAAAGATTGTTTGGATGTCTTGGTTGAATTCAATGAGCAGAAGTATGCCAAAGACGATATTAAAATTCTGGTACAGGCGTGGGAGAAAGTCATCGACAAGAGCAATTGCCAGGGTGGTCAATCCATATCTTCGATATTATTTACCATAATTCCCGAGGACTCACTTTTCAAGAAAACTGATTCCAACACAAAGTTGACAAAGCAAGCATGCGAGCTTCAAGTCCCACCTCCTTCGGATCTTACATCAAGCCAGGAACATAGAGCCACTTCAACGCCCATCGACATCTCTGGTGGGTTCAATCAGCGCGCTATAGAGCTGCAGTCACTCGTCACGGATTCGCTATGTAGAGCTTTAGGCGTTACAATTGTCGACCTCGATCAAAACCTCCGCGAAATTGGCCTCGATTCCTTCGCTGCAATGTCATTTATCGCCAGTATACTTCGCGTCGAGCCAGAGTTAGAAATCAGCCTGCGAGACATTACTGCATGCCCATCTGTTCGACTGCTAGTTGACACTCTCGTCCAAAAGGATGTCCCACAGTCCAAGTATGATGAAGCCAGAGCGAGATTTGAGTCTTTAATAAGAGAGTCCTTATGCAAATCTTTGGGCATCGCGTCGATTGACGGCCAAAGCAGCTTGCGTGAACTTGGCCTAGATTCTTTTTCATGTATGGCATTCATGGCTGATATGATTAGGCACGAGCCAGATATCAGTGTCAGCATGCGCGACGTTATGAGCTGCCCTACGATGGAATCACTTGTGGAACATTTCGCTGATAGAGCTTTGTCAGAGACTAGCGACAACAAGTCTGACGACGGAAGCTATGTGGCATTGGGAAAAGACATGCTCCAACGTCCACAACACGGTTTGGCAAGCTCAATGCAAAAAAGATTCTATCTACTCCAAGAACAGCTCGGAGACTCAACTTACAGTCTGCCAAGTGCATATCGTGTTCATGGTGTCCATTCATCTCGCGTTATTGCGGCTCTCCAAGATATTGTGACTGAGCACGACATTTTCAGAACACACTTTGATTTCACAGATGAAAGTGAACTACTGCAAATTGTTGATGAATCAGAGCGCTTGGAATATACTATCCATGATCTTAGTAACCATAGCGATGTGACAGCCGCTGAAGAGGTTACCAGGATTAGCCACGAAGAATGCATGCGCGAGTTCAATCTTGCCGAAGGTCATCTTGTGCGATGCACTGCTATTATTCTCCCCAACGGCGAACAGTATATAATCATCAATTTTCACCATTGCGTCGCCGATGAACGAACCATCACCGGCGTTTGGGAAGAGCTGTGTTCTGCTGTGACAGACAAGTCTTGTTCCAAGGAGACGGCCAACTTCGACGCTGGCTCGTACATTGACTTTTCCACTCGACACCACGAGATGCTCAAATCTAACAAGCTTGCAGAAGCTCAAACATTCTTTCAGAATTTGCTAGTTGGTCCTGAAAACTCGCATGGGTTATTTCTGAGACAAGGACCAGAGACAGAGAGCTATCCCGATGCTATTACAATCAACCGCGGCACAATTTTCGACTACGATCCAGTGCAGTGGGCTTACAAATCGGGATCGACTCCTTTTGCTGCTTATCTGTTTACTTTCCAACTTCTTCTCAGTTTCAAGTCAGGCACCGAAGGGTCATCAGTTTTGATCCCCGCCACTTGCCGAGGACCTCGGGAGCAGAACTTGTACGGATGCTTCATTAACACGCTTCCAGTGAGATTCACAAAACTGGCGGGCACATACTCCATGACCGAAACTCTGCGAGACTTTCAGGATTGCCTCGCCAAGATTCTTGAGTACTCCGATATCCCATTCGAGAGACTTTTGGAGTCCATAGGCTGGGGTGCCAATGACTTCGATACGATCTTCACGTATCATAATGTACCGGCTGGAGCACGAGAAAAGGCCAGAACTATCGAACCTTGCAAGGGAATTCTCCCAGAAGTACTACCTGGCATCTCTGCAAAATTCCCGTTGGCTTTCACCATCACAAGAGAAATGACAAAGGATGGGAAGTCAAAGTTGGACATGAGCGTTGAGTTCAATCCAGATCGCATCTCAGAAGTCGAAGTCTTAGAGATATGCAAGGAATACGAATGCCTCTTGCGTCATTTCCAAAAGCTGGGACCATATGCTTCCTTGAACGATATTGAAGGTGCTTATACTAATAAAAATACCTTCAATCATCTTACAGTTGCCACGAATGGAACGACTGGCGAGAGCGAATCTCACAAAGATACCAGCGTGACTCAGAGAGACTCTCGGTCTGAACTGCAGCCTGTCTCAAAGGTCCCTTCTTGGTTCCATGGCATGCCTAATCCCATAGTGGAAACAACCCCGTTTGCCGACGTCCAAATCCTTGACCAAGCCAAAGCCCGGCCTTCCGCCACTGCCATGATTTTTGAGAACGAAATCTCGATAACATACAAGGAGATGGTAGATATGATATCAGGCTTGGCTAGCTACCTGTCGACACGTATTGGCCCTCAGAATATGCTGAACCAAGCTATCTGTATTGTGGGCGATGCGTCCATTGAACGAATAATTACAATCTTGGCGATTATGACGGCTGGTGGCGCTTACGTACCCATCGAACTGAACAATCCAATCGACTGGAACCTCACCATCATAGCAGACTGTGAGCCAGCTGCTGTAGTCTTTATCCCAGAAAAGGAACCCCTACGTGTTGAACAAGCTTCACAGCTTCGAGCTCAACTCAAGGCGAAGGGCATACTCTGTGTTGATATCAATACTCCGCTACCAATGGCATCGGAACCATTCAAATTGACCACAAAACGGCTACCAGAACATTTAGCCTACGTCCTGTACACAAGCGGCTCTACAGGAAAACCGAAGGGAGTAGCCATCCAAAATCATGCGCTTCGGAATGCTACAGTCTCATTACGCCCGTTATACCGTCTGGCTCCGAACAAGCGGCTCCTACAGCTAGCACCTTGGACTTTTGATGTTTCAGTCATTGATATTTTTGGCACCTTGACTGTTGGAGCGACTCTTTGTATTGGTCGCAAGTCATGGATGCTGGACGATCTCCAGGACACTATGGCCATGCTGAGAATCACACACATTGCCACTACCCCCACTATTGCTGGCGCTCTTGACGCAAATGCACTTCCAGACGTTGAGTGTCTAGATATTGGCGGAGAACCCATGACAGAGCTGTGTCGAGATGTCTGGGCTTCAAAGGCCACGCTTTTCAATATTTATGGCCCTACAGAAGCCACCGTTGATGTCCTTGGTCGACAGTGCTTCCCCGATACGGATATATCAAACATTGGTCGGCCTTTGGAGAACGTTTTCGTCTATGTTCTTGATGATAAGCTCAGGCAGGTCGGCATCGGAGAGGTTGGTCAACTAGCTATAGGAGGCCACCAGCTTGCGCGCGGTTATCTGAAGCCACCGGCGGGTGCCGCGGCCTTTGTAGACACAAAGGATTATGGACGCATTTACCTAACTGGAGATTGTGCGCGTTTCGAACCGGACGGCAGCATAGTTTGTCTTGGCCGTATGGATACTATGGTTAATTTGCGAGGCCTGCGAGTTGAGCTGGGAGCCATTGAGAGTGCCGTGAACAATGCGCTCGACCAGGGCAAAAGTGTTGTCATCATGATTAAGCGGCCATCGGGCGATTGCCTTGTAGCCATTTTTACGGATGCAAGTCTACAAACGAAAGGCAGCTTGAAACCTCTTTCATTGGCCGGTCTTCGCCCTCTCATACAAAAGTTACAGGCCTCGGTCAAGGATAAATTGCCAGCATATTTTATGCCCTCTTTATGGGTTCCTCTCAACGATATCCCGATGAATAATAATGGCAAACTGGACAGGAAAATGATCAAGCGTCTTATCGGAGAACTATCAGAAGAAGCTCTCGATGGTTACCTTCCCCAATCGGCAACGAATGAGAAGCTTGATAAACTTGACGACCTAAGTCGAGCATTGCCAAGTTCATTGCCTTTTCAACAATCGCGGGTCAATGAGAGTGGACTCCTTCAAGATAACACGATCGGCGTCCAAACTCAAGATATTATGATGCAAGCTCCGGGGAAAAGCGAGCAGGATACCTGTGACCAGATGGGGATGGCTGTCCGTGCAGCGTTCCATACAGTTCTTGGCACCAAGTCCCTAGAGAACAACAGCAATTTCTTTTCTATGGGCGGTGACTCAATTTCTGTCATCAAACTCCGTTCAGCCTTTACAAAAGCCGGACTCAAGTGTAAGGTGAAAGACATCTACCAAAATCCAACAATTGGCGCCCTCACTCTATTGTTTGGCGGGACGATATCACACGAATCGCCTAATGGGATTGTCGCTACAGGGAGATTTGCTTCGAGTAGCACTGTAGCACAGGTCCCTACAGAACGGCCGCTTATTACAACACCAGCACCAACAACCGAGACTAGGATACAAGGCGCTTTTAAGGAAATCCTCGGAGATCGGCAGTTCCCCATGGATGCCAGTTTTTTCTCAATGGGCGGTGACTCTATATCTGTTATTAGGCTTCGATCGGTCCTGACAAAGGCCGGATTTACGCTTAAAGTAAAAGATATTTATCAGAACCCTACCATCACGGCGCTCGCAGATTTTTTGGACCCAAGCAGGTCTACCAGGAATAGTACAGACAACGGCAGTATGTTGCAGAGCTTTGTACAGTCATTACCAAAGACAGAGAGTCAGATGGTCAGCAACCTTGTCCCTCCCACGCCAATCATTGATTGGTTCTTTGCTTCCCAGAGAGCTAATGAAAATTGGTTCAATCAAGGTCACATCATTAAGCTGAACAAGAAGCACACATACGAGGACTTCCAGAGGGCTTGGTCTAATATCGTCGAAGCCCACCCGATGTTACGTTTAGTGGTGTCGAAAAGTGCCACCCATGAGCATGGAAAATGCATCGGTATACCCAATGAGAGCACCAATCATACCTATTTCCTGAGAAAGCGTCTATCGTCTATGGAGGAGCTTCCTGAAGAACTTTCGAAGCTACAATCGTGCCTAAATCTCTCCAGCGGGCGGATTTGCGCCGTTGGCGGGTTTCATATAGGTGACGAACTCTACTGTGCGATATTTGCTCATCATTTGGCCGTGGACGTGGTATCTTGGCAGGTCATCTGGAGCGACTTAGAGGATCTACTTCAGGGGGATTCCATTGAACCGGAGTTCTCATCCTTCCCTGAGTGGGCTGAGTATTTGTTGAAGAAGCGTCAATTAGCTGGGCAGATTCCAGCTCGAATTCATGCTCGCGAATATAGCTCCTTCCTTACCACGGAACAGATGAAGCGCCTCTCAGAAAATACAGAAGCATCAGGCAGTTTTATGAATGTCAAAGTAGATGTCTCTACTCTCGACCTGAGACGTGAAGATACGGAGCCTGTTGACATGATGCTTGCCAGCCTGGTTCTAGCGCTTAGCACCTGGCAGAGACTGAGACCTCCGACGAATCAGGTTGAGCTTCACTTTGAATCACACGGTCGCGACTTGGAGCTGGAGGATCTTGACCTAACCAGGACGGTTGGGTGGTTTACTCGCATCATTCCTATTGCATTCAATGTACCATTGCAGGGATCTGTGAACGATTTCACTACCATGGTCCAGCAGACGCGAAAACATGCAATGTCCAGCGTCAATCTTGCTTCAGCAATTGAAACAGCTCCTGTAGATGGAATGGTTACATTCAACTATCTGGGGCAGAGAGCGCGAACGTCGTCCTACACCTCCTTTGAGAATGTAGAGATGGATCTCGGCATGTACCAATCCCCCACAAATCAACGGTTTTCCATCTTGGACATCGAATGCAGTTTGACTCATGAGGGTCAGCTGGACATTGGTGTCTTTTACAGCACCGCTATTCACACTGCCAAAGAGATACGCCAGCTACTGGATTCTTGGTCCTACTGCATACGCAGCGTGGCTGATGGATCACAGGTTGATATTGCGGATATGCACAGAATCGCCGTAGGCCGTGGCATTTCCGGGCCCCCTACTGAGAGTCTTAAGGCACCTATTGATCATACCACCTACAGCATTCCTGAGTGTATGCAAGATCAAAAAGACGCGATTGAAGAAAGCATTGTAGCATGGAAGCTCAACACCCAGGACATCGAAAAAATGGCTCCTGCCACTGATGGACAGGCGGCGATGCTTCTAACCAGCCTTGGATCTCGATCATACATGCATTCGTATAACTATGAGGCGACTGACACAAATACTGACATTCAACGATTACAACATGCTTGGGATGTCGCCTTGGGGCGTCATTCCATCTTTCGTACAATTTTCATGCCGCTCTCCCCGCAGGCAACCTACAGTGAGAAAAGCCATCATAGCGATATACAGTTGGTGCAAGTCATTCTCAAGGCAACCGAGCTGCCTACTCCTCTCGTACAAACAGGCAAAAAGTTGAAGCCAATGCAACCAGGTTTCGCAAAGCAGCTATGCAGACTTCACATCCACAAATCCCCAAGCACGCAAAAAGTTATCTGTACCTGGACTTGCCATCACGCTCTCATAGATGGCTTCTCTATGCGTCTAGTGTTAGATGAGGTTCGCAGTGTCTATAATGGCCAGGCACTGGCGCCCCAAATTACTCAATTCAGCGACATCGTCGTATCGAGGTATGAGAAGGCACGCCAGGATCCAAGAAGCAACGACTTCTGGCAATCACAGATGCGTGATATTGAGCCAAGCATTCTGGTTAATCCATTGAGAGCGGATCAGGTGCCAACGGAGATGCAAAAGGCGATCCACGACACTCTTATCGACCGCCACCAGCAATTCTGTTTCCCTGTAAGCCCCAAACACTTCAGAGATGCTGCTCACTACAATCATACGACGATTCCGATTCTCTTCCACGCTGCCTGGGCCCTCACTCTTTCCACTTATCTATCTACTCGAGACGTTGTGCTTGGTAGTGTCGTCTCTGGTCGTCGTGGAGAAGACATTGAGCGCATACAAAACGTAGTAGGACCATGCCTCAACACTGTCCCGCTGCGAGTGTGCGTTGACTGGAACCAAACCATGTGCCAATTTATCGAACACGTTACAGATATCTTCTTGGACATGGCCGAGCATGAAGATTTGCTTTCGTTAAAGCAGATTCAAGGCCTCTCTGGAAAGAAAACTCTCTTCAACTCAACGCTGATTACCAACACGCCACTCAAATCAGAAAACATCGTTCAGTCTGGATTTCATCTCACCCTCAAAGACATGGATGAGGTGACTGATGTTCCTGTGCTCCTGAATATGTCTTGTGAGGATAGTACTATAGTAGTCGATGCGCGTGTGCATGGAGAAGACATTGATGAAGAACAACTCTGTCGTATGATGGGGACGCTGGGCATTGTGCTCCAGCATGTTGCAGATGCCAGGCGCGATACTACCCGACCGCTTCAAAGCATGGACTTGCTCGAAACCAATCATCATCGTGTGATTGATGACTTAGTTTCTGGTCCACGCTTTCCCATCGAATATGACGGCCTCACCTGTTCGCAGCTACTTCAGAGCCGTGTGAGCAGATATCCAGATCAATCAGCTGTGGAATTATACCGAAAGAAGGGACAGAAACCGGTTGTCATGACTTACAAAGCTTTGTCAACCATCGTCGAGCTAGGTGCTAAGAGACTCCGAGCTGGAGCTAACCTAGAGCCAAAATCGCGAGTGGCAATCTTTATGGATAAATCCACTGAACTCATTTGCGCTATACATGCCATACACCGAGCGGACTGTGCCTACGTGGCACTGGATATAGACAACCCACAGGCTCGTACTAAACTGCTACTTGAGCAGATTAGCCCATCTGCCATTATCTGCTCAAAGGACACTCTAAAGTTGCTCCCACAAACATTCTTGGGGAATGACAAATGCCCCTTCATAGTAGCTGAACAACTCTTCAGCCCTGTTACGCAATCTTCAAACGACAGCTACTACCTGCCTCCATCCACGGCTACTTCAGATGATGTTGCAGCCATTCTTTTCACAAGTGGGACTACGGGGACCCCCAAGGCTGTGATAATGCCACACCGTCAAGTTGTTGGTTATGGTATAATGATGGCAGAAGCCATTGGATATGGCAGTGACGATCGAGTGTTCAATTTTGCGCGTCTCGTCTTTGATGTCTCGCAAAGTGACATATTCGGAGCCATCTATTCTGGTGCTACACTGGTACTCGCTCCTCAAACAGAGACAGTATCTAGGCTTCCAGCGCTGTTAAGAGAATCAGGTACCACAAGCCTGAACACAACGCCTTCTATTGCTTCTCTCCTATACCCAGATAGCCTTCCTCACATTCGATCACTCTGCCTAGCAGGTGAGATGGCTACAAAGGCTGTGTATGAGAGATGGACACCATTTGTCAGAGTCATCAACGCGTACGGTCCTACTGAGGCCGTTGTAATCTCGTGGAAACACGCCACCGCTTCGATTGACCCACGATGCATAGGACGCCCAAGTATTGGAATACAAATACACATCTTGGATGACCACATGCGCCGTGTTCCCATGGGTAGTATTGGGACAATTTGGTGCTCTGGAAGACAACTGTCAGATGGTTATTACGGTCGACCGGAAGAAACAACAAAGGCCTTCCGAGAGAACCCATATGGGCCTGGTCTCATATATAACACAGGTTAATACAACCAATCTCTTCCTTTATCCCTTATTATTAACATTGGCTAATTCATAATGAGAGCATAGGAGATCTAGGAGCATACGACTCTAATGGGGAGATAGTGTACCATGCGCGGAAAGATCGCCAGATCAAGGTTAATGGTCGCCGTCTGGAGCTTTCAGAAATTGAGAGAACTCTTACAACTCGAAACCACAGCGTAGTGGTACTTCTACTGGATTCAAATCTTGTTGCTTTCTGCTGCAAACTGGAATCATCGAATGATGGGCTCACGGGCCCAGATGGTACAGCTGGATGCGGGCTCAATGACAACATGGCTCAGACACTCGCAAGCATGGAAGCCCAAGCCCACCAGATGCTACCAAGTTTCATGATTCCAAAGTGTTTCGTCCCTGTTTCGGCAATACCGTTGACGGGTAACAGCAAGGTAGATCAGCTTAAGCTGCATGAAGTCTACAAACAATGGAAAACACAGCGCAGCGTTCCAGTTCATGATGCAACAGCTTTGACACTACGGCCTACCGTCCAGGCACCGGAAAAGTCAACATATGAGCAACAGGTGCCGCCTCAACAACACGGGCGATCGCAAGACATTGACTGGTCGCTGCGCGAGGATGATTGGAGCGACTACTTGCTTCCGTACTTCAACCCCAAGGCACCCTTAGGTACGCAGCCGCGGGGCCAAATCTTCGCGTTCTTCGCTATTACCGGCACGTCGAAGCAGCACAGCATCTTGGCGCCCTATTTGCCCTCATTCAACCTCATTGGAGTTGAGAATATCTTCTTTCACCAACCCGATTATTACAGTTCATTGCAGGCTATGGCAGTGGAGCACTCTGCGCTCATACGGCGGCAACAGCCCACTGGGCCGTATCTGCTGGCCGGCTTCTCATTTGCAGGCCAGTTAGCGTATGAAGTGGCCAATGAGCTGCGCCACTTAGGGGAGGACGATGTTCGTGTGGTCTTGATCGACTCAGCCGCCAGAGAGCGTGCCCCGACGAGGCCTGGTGGTGTGACCGATGCTGACTGCGAAAAGTTCTTCAAGGTGCCAACCACTCTCGAAGCTACAGCGGCTGGGCCCGAAGTCGTTGACTACCGTCAAGGCCTTCTTAACCAAATCCGTCACAATATAACTCTGCACAACGAATACGTGCCACGCCCCTTCGACGGCAACGCACTCATTATTCCGCGCTTACCAAACCAAGGCGAGGCCTGGGATGATGACGAAACCAATGGTTACGCAGAATTCGTACCGCAGGCTCGTTTACAGGTACGAACCGTAACAGCAGCTGACCATTTTGCCGTCATGGAGGAAGAGCAGTCTTTGCGCAAGATTGGACACTTTATTGAGGAGTTTATGGCTGGTTTTTAATATATAGAGAGCATATGTGCAGAATACAGTGGCGTTGTCAGGTAGACTGGTGTGGAGCTAGTAAAACCTGAGGCTCAAGAGAGCATTCAATACTTTTCTTTGTCTACAATTTAATCAGAATTAAAGAACAAATCTTTCCCAAAGAAACTGCACAATTTTTCATCAGCGTACTCTAGCTAAGACAAGATATTACTTGTAGACATTTTCTATCTCATATAACCATATCGCTAAAATATGAATCGGTTTGAATAAAAGTGCGGGCAGAAATATAAACATAATTCATATTTATTTAATCGGAATCCAGCTTCTTCCATTTATGGGCATAATTTACTCTATAAGTAGCAAAAGTAAAGTATCGTTTTGTGCTGAATATTCTTTAAACCCACTGGAATCTCTAATGATACTAAAATTCTTGAGTGAAGCTATGTGATCCAAACAGTTAGATATTTCAGGCTCGCTAACTTAGTAGAACCACTCTCTTACCTTTACCAGAGTCTGTTGTGAGGATCGACGACATTGGTGGATTCTTCACTATCCTTCCACAGTCTGTTATGAGGATCGACGACATTAGTCGATTCTTCACTATCCTTCCAGAGCCTGTTGTGAGGGTCAACAACGTTGACCGAGTCTTCGCTATCCTTCCACAGTCTGTTGTGAGGGTCAACAACGTTGACTGAATCTTCACTGTCCTTCCAGAGCCTGTTGTGAGGGTCAACAACGTTGACCGAGTCTTCGCTATCCTTCCACAGTCTGTTGTGAGGGTCAACAACGTTGACTGAATCTTCACTGTCCTTCCAGAGCCTGTTGTGAGGGTCAACAACGTTGACCGAGTCTTCGCTATCCTTCCACAGTCTGTTGTGAGGGTCAACAACGTTGACTGAATCTTCACTGTCCTTCCAGAGCCTGTTGTGAGGGTCCACAACATTTGTCGATTCTTCACTGTCCTTCCAGAGTCTGTTGTGAGGATCCACAACATTTTTTGTCTGCTCTACCGGTGCGGCAGCAGCCACAGCGGCAACTGCCAAGTACAAGACGTTTTCAAATCTCATGTTGAAAGTATAAGTAGTGTGATAAGTGTGTTCTTGGTAGGTTATAGGTAAAAGAAGACGTGATATCATAGGAAGTCAAGACTGGAAGCCTGGGAGAACTTTATATATTTTGGAATATTGTATACTAAGCTCCGTCAAGTCATACCCAGTCGATCTTCCCCTTGATACTCCATCTTTGCATCCATGGAAGCCGCATCGTGATTGGAAATACATCAATAATGCTCTCGAGAGTAGCTTTGTTGTTTCGGCCCAGATAAGATATAATTTTATGAATCAAGTTTAATGTTTATTCTGTTTCTGCTATAATATCAAAGAATTATAATAGACCGCCTTATGAAGCATTTACTATTATCACATCATAATTAGAACAAAGACATCGTGCAAAAGTTCCAGATGAAAAAAACCGCTCGATCGTACACTTTGGGATAATTGTCACGAACTTATGATAACCTAGGCTGTGATACGTCATGCGGGGCACCCATCACGCCAAAGACTTTTTTCTTAGCTCGTGAGATATATGGTTTCTCTTGGCCAGCCTCGACCAAATAAAAACGGATGTTGGTTTCTTATTAGTATAAAGTAGCAATTTTTCGCACCTCTTTCGGATCTAAAAATGGTCCAGACGAAGAAAGTCGTCGTGAGAGTACTGCAATCTCGCGGGGTAATCTTTAGACACCTGCCGTTTGGAGTTACTGCTGACATAGAAATTTCGAAAAAGGGTCCATGGAGGTGGCTCTTTTGAATTCTTTTATCTCAGTCATCCATTTTCAGTTACTGCTTATAACGTATGGGTTCTAGTATGCAGTTTTGGAGCCACTTTTGTGATTTGCCTATCTTACACTAGAAGTATCGTTCGTATAGCAGTTCTCGCTATATGCTCTCTAACTATAGGGACACTAAGATGCATACGAACTACCCGCCCGACCGGAGGAGGAAAGACTTTGCGAACAGGGAGCCTATTGTAATTCTATATTGAATTCGATAAGCTCAGTCGATTTAGATCGTCAGTATCTACTGACGGCTCCCCTTTGTCCAACTCATTTTCTATATGTTCTTTCATTGTGTCTGATCGCTGAGATCTTCGTCATGAATAAGGATTCGTACGATCTTCTGTTGACCGGTGACTACGGAGAGGACGCCATCCTTCAAAATACTTCTCGTCTTTCTCATGGGAGCGCACGGCGTAACTCCCTATCATCATATTTAATAATTGCTTCCAAGATATTCCCATGGATTCTGTCATTCATACTTGCGACCATCATTATATACGACAGAACTAATGGCTGGGATCGATTTCGTCAACACAAACTATACGCTTCGCACCAAGCTTATTCTCCGGCCCAAAACGAGATTGAATACAAATTAACGAAATTCCATACCAATATTGTGGATGCCCCCGACGAATTTCAAGGAGGCCCTTCAGAAATTCTGAACAAGGCATGGGATGGTTTGTTCAATTGTCAGTCACCCATAAATGATACCATATTCCAATGTCACATGTTTGATGACCTAACGTTAATACTTGATCAGTTGGTATATCTACAATCCCTAAAGGTCAAGCAAAATTACTCCCAAACTATACATCACCAGTACCTGGTCACGAAGACGAATATATTGTTGAGCTTGACGTATTTCACCAACTCCACTGCCTTGTACGTGCTCATATCATACTGCATGAATGAAATACTGACACCTGACCTTTAGAATATCTTCCGTAAAGCTTTCACGCCTATTTATCTCTCAGATTGGGAATATGTTAAAGATGCTGAAGTTTCCCTGAATTGGACGGTTCCCGAAACATATCCATATGAGGCGTTTGAAGAAAATCGAGTCAAAAACAGTATCAACCCATGGCACATCGGTCATTGTCTCGAAAGTTTACGACAATCGATCATGTGTCACGCCGATATTACTCCAGCCGTTTGGCACTGGGACTACTCTGTTGCCAACCCAGTAAGAAACAAGCCTTGGCTCACTGTTCTACATACGTGTCGCGATTTCGACCGTATCCGTGATTGGGCTAAAAAGCGCAAGATACGATGGGATTTTGACGACAATGTTGAAATACCGCAGCAGTTTGATATACCAACATATCCATGACATTCTAAAATAGATATATATCGACCGTAACTTGGCATGTAATTCTAATGAGATAATGAAGTAAACCCATAGCATAAGCATAACGAAGTGGAACTCGTGCAAAGACACGGACGTATTTGGGAGTCTTTTACTCAATTTCGAGATTCTATTTACCTGGATACCGCATTCAAGATTGATGAGACGAAAAGCAATCACTAGTTTAAATTAACTTGCAAGATCAAAGAATTGGTCCATCGTTTGGAAGGTGGAATCCCAATCGACACCACTTTGATACACTTTATGTACTCTCGGGGAGAAGTAATCAGGTCTCGTCATCTTGAGTCAGTTGCGAAGGGCAATATGAGAATTCTTATAAAATGAACAAAATTAAGCTAAAACAAATTATACAATCATATTTTATCCCCAGCCTCACTTCATTTAGCTACCAAATTGCTATATGAAGAGTTCTTCAAAATACTCAGCGCCAAACGCGAGATGGGCATTGGGCTGAGAATCTCGAATATGGACAAGCGGCTATCAAACTCCTTCAAGAACCAATTCCGCACCTCAGTAGCCTTAAGAGAATCAACTGTAAAATACAAATTAGTACATTTCATTGGCAACAGGGGCAATGGAACAATCTTCACTTACTTCCGTACGCTGTCACTGATTTATCCACGTCAATGTTGGATGCATCAGACGACATAGCCGCAGCAACATGGACACGCAATGCATCCTCGATAATTAATCTTGCTTCTTCGGTTGTTTTAGCACTCTTGATGGCTTTTTCGTAGTTTACCTTTTGTTGTTTTTCGCCCGCAGTATCGCCTTGTAGCTGTCGATCAAGTCGATGGACAAATTTCAGGTCAGTAGACCAGCTGCTGCCTCCGTTGTCGTCAAGTTGGATAGAGCCCGAGATACCCACTACCACTTGGCTGGGTATTTGCAAACCATTCAAGCCGATGCCGCGGATAGCAAGCTGCAATGCAGCCTTAACTTCCTTCTTGCCAACCAGAACTGATGCAAGATGCGGAAACTTCTTGACGAAGTCATCCACTGAACCGATGTTGCCCGTATCCATGTTGACAAGACCAAGATTCAGACTGGTGGCAGGGAAACCTCGATGGCGTCTGTGAACCGCTAGTGCATCTTCAAACGTATTGCCGGCACTATAGTTAGCCTGGGCGCTGTTGCCGATAATTCCAGAAATAGATGAAAGCAAAATGAAGAAGTCGAGATCCTTATGGCAGCCTAAAGCATGGTGCAAGTTCCAGGAACCCTGGACTTTCGGTGCTGTGGCTGTATTCCATTGCTCGCTTGTCATAGACTCGAATGGAGAATCAGCCAGCACCATGGCAGCTTGTATGATACCGCGAATGCGCCAATTCTCCTTTTTGGCTTGACTTGCCACGCACTCTACATCAGAAGCCGAGATAATGTCACAGCGTATCACATCACACCGACAACCCTGCTGGGAAAGACGATGGATCGCGGAGAGGGCTGAGTCATTTGGTTTCCCAGATCGTGATAGAAGAAGTATGTGGCGGGCCCCTTGTTCGCATAGCCAGTCTGCCATCTCAAGACCCAATGCACCCATGCCACCAGAAATGATGTATGTGCCACTGGGATCCAGCCTACTCTGCTGCAGAGTAGGGAGTCCAGATACAAGCATTGGAACGAATGATTGAGGCCCCAGTGAGAAGATCATGGGTCGGTGATCCTGTGCTTGATCTAAAAGTTGGCCAATCTCTGATATGGGCTTCTGGCTGGAGGGCGGTAGCGGCGGGAGAGTCAAAGTCTTGCTAGAGAATAATCCGAATACGGCGCGCATGGAAATCCGCATATTGGATGTATCCATATCTGCAGTATCGAGACGCTCCAGCGTAACATCGAAACGAGGCGTAGCTGCTCTCAGGTTGTTCTCACGGTTAGTTGAAGGGTTGACTGCCACGAAGCGGCCACCTGGCCCGAGACTAGCCATCAGATGCTGTACAGTTGCCGGATTCTGAAGCGACGACAATACAAGGTGTATACCCGAAGCACCAGTTTTGTTTCGCATCATCCTGCTGAATGAACGGGTCATCTGATGCAGGATGGTACAACCTGCAAGCTCGTCCTCGTCGACCTTTTCACCTTCGGGTACTACGATAAACACATTTAGGCCAAGCCAATGTGCGGTTTGTCCCAGAGCAGCTCTCAAAGCCGAATCTTCCACATCAATCAGGACACCCCCGGTATCGGCATGTTGTCGCTCTGGGAGTTCTGGTGTTGAACTCCGGAGAGGCGAGTGGCCTGCACTGTCTGGAGGTGTAAGATTTGGCTGTAGTTTCTTGCCCAGATCAGATGTAAATTGGCTCATCATCTTAGCATTAGACAGCAATCCGTAAGAAGCTGATGAAGTTGTTTGCTGTTGGTTAATAAGAACTTGGTGCGCCACAATGAACGGCGTTATCCAGTATGCTAATTGCGTAGCCGAGATATTTTCGGGTACTTTAAGAAGATCAGAAGTGCTGGCAATAAAGCTAGTTTTCACATCAAGGTCCATGGAGACGTCGAGGGGTATAACGAAGTCGCCCGCGTGATAATCGGACACGCAGGCTCCTACCTTGCGGACGATGCCGACAACGGCCCACGGCATAGGAGCCGTTTCCAAAGTCGAGCCAGCGACGTATCTGGTCTCTACCATAACTTTGCCAGGGCCTACGGAGCTATGAGGCTCGCATGGCGTCCATTGTACAGACCCTTCCGCCGTGGATAATCTCAAGGGCTGGCAACACTCATTCAACCCGATGTCAATCGATGTGGTGTTGGAGGCCAGCAATTCAATCTCAGCATCCATAGCCGCATTACGAACGAGACGGGGAATGAAGATTTTGTTGTCCAGCTCAGCATACTCAGTCTCGACAAGGACCTCAGAGTCAATGCCAGGCAGAGTCATACTCAGAATCTTGGTCACAATGGACGCCATGTCTTCGCAAAGGCTTGAGCTGTTTGGTGAAATATCCAGATGCGGCAGCACCAGCTGGGGGTACTCTGCTCGAACCGTACGCAACAACCCTTGAGTAAGGCTGTACCTCAGGCCGTCTTCATCAGGAGCCATTAAGCCGCCTGTAGTCAACCAAAGCACATAGCGTGCGCTGGCCACCATACTTTGGAACTGGATCAAATCCTCTTTGCCCCAATCGTAGACAAGGCTTTGGCCATATTCTGCCAGCGAGATGATGTACGAATTGGTGGTTTCAATAGGAGTTTGACCCTAAGAATCGAATATCACTATTAGTGAATATCCAAATCACACATTTCTTGAGAATAAGAAGAAAAGAATCAGGGGATTGGGTTGATCGACGATAATATTCATGTCACAAAACAAGGCAGCAATAGGGAAAAGCTTAGCTCGACAAACTGCTATCGGCCATAGAGAACAGAAGCCACTTACCATGCCCTGAATAGTCACTGGGACTCCATATTGGCCTAGAATGTCAGTCAAAGCATCGCGTAGCCGCAGGGCTTCCGGATTCTGGTCGTTGACACCGCGCTCGAGTATGATCACACCCTCTGGCATTAACGTACTCAACAACATTGACGATGACTGTTTCGAGTTGGCCATGCCAGAGTGGCTAGTTTCGCTGCCATCTACAGTAATACTCACCTCATCCCCCTTCTGCATATATATGCGGCCGTTGTCATCGAGCCTCGCTATTTGGCCACCGGGGTTAAGAAGGCGTGGAATGGAATGCAAAAAGAGACTGTTTCCTCGGCCTCCGTGAGCAACCAGTATGATTGCATCATAAGGGCCATTTGCAAGAGACTTCTGCATATATGCTGGGAGTGTAGTGTGGTCCTCACTTGTGTCCGCCTGCGGAATTGGGCAGGAAAACATCTTACCCCGGCCACCAGCCCTCTGATGTGATGCAACTGTGGACCGGAGAGTTTCTAGAAGATCCATGTCCTTTTCAGCTCCGGCAAATAAGACATTCGCGTTGGCATATTTGTGTAAGTAGCATTCGAGCCATGAGGTAAGCAGCAATGGGCTATCCTGGATATTAGTATGGGAAGGCAGTTTCATCATGGCAATGTCCTCTTTCCATACGATGTCAGCTGTCCGCAGATTGCTGGCGACTGAATTTGTGGCATATCCAGCGTCTTGAGATGCCTCTCCCACGTCGCTCAATCCCATCGATTCAATGACAATCTGCGGGCCACGAACCTCCGTATCAGCAAAGAGGATATCGGCGACGAGTGACGCTTTTCCGGTGCGTTTGGTTGAGGCCATGCCGAGAAATTTGGAACCAGGACTGGAAGGCAAATCAGCTGAGATGAAAACACGCTCAATGGAAACTGGTACTGCTGGGCGCAGCATTTCCTCCTGGGTCTCGAGTGCAGCGAAGGCCAGATGGAACGCAGAATCCAGCGTCGCAGGATGCAAGAGATGCGGAAACTCATATTCCATGGGCATAATTGCCTTGGTGTCAGGCACCTTGAGAGTACCGCAGGCAGCACCATCAGACAAGGCTCCATTCTCTGAGGAAACAGTATCAATGGTTTCTAGAGCCTGGAAGGTCGGGCCATATTCCAGCCCAATGGATGCAAGTTTCGCATAGAACTCTTTGACATCGACAGGCTGGACGGCCAGTCTTTGTGTCTTCAGTAACTTGACTCTAGTCGCCTCCCACTCCTGTTTTTGTACTTCCAGTTCAAACCCGTGGTCTTCTTGTTGATGTTGGCCCTCATAAGTAGCAGCAACAGAGCCAACCACAAGGCGGCGTACAGGCTGGTCAAAAGAGTCAGAGTAAATGCTGAAACTATACACTGCGTCCATAGCCGCATACGGTTTGAGAGTTATAGAAATATCGGTGGCCGACCCATCGTCTTGAAGAGCAAGTCCCGTCTCAAATGTCACGTCTGTAAGTTCAATACCTTTGAGTACTCGACCTTTCTGTACATCCTTTGCTGCCAACTTCAACACGGCTTCAATAGCCATGACAAGATATCCAGCAGCAGGAAACAAACAAGCCGAGGCCACACGATGATGCGCTAGCCATGGATTCTCAGCCACGCTGAGAATGTTGCGCCATCTAGGCTCGAAAGGATTCTGACCATCAACCGGCATTCCTAAGAGATCCGTTCTGGGCTCTTTTCGGACACGGACAGCGTGGCTAGCTAGGTGCTCGTGCCAAAAGCTATTCTCATGATTCCAAGGGTAACTCGGGAGGCGGGGGAGCATGCACAGGTCCAACTCGGATGCTGCTGAGATTCCGTTGACTTTTCCCAGGTCAATTGAATGTCCCGTCGACCAAAGGAATCCCGCAGCCTCGAGTGATGTCTTGCGTGCGTGGCTCCCAGCCACCAGCATGGAGCGATATGGCAGCTTCTTTGCTAGACGAGGGCTGATAGCAGTTAAAATTTGCTTAATCGGACCCTGCAGCGTTTTGGAGGGTCCTATCTCGATAATCGCGCTGTATTCAGTGTCTAGCAGTTCGTCGCCATGGATATCCGCACCAGTTACAAGATTGCGCAGTGCTCCAGCAAATCGGACGGGGGACAGCATATTCTCCATCCAGTAATTTCCGCCGAGTATGCTGCCCTCAATGCGCTGCTCTGTCACAGAAGAGAACATCGGCACTCGCACTGGTCTCAGCCTATCTTCTAGGCCGGCTAACAAGCGCTTGCTATCCTCAGAAACGACCGCCATGTAATGAGAGTGGTAAGCCACCCCCGTCCGCAGCTGGCGAGAGAACTTGCCGTCCTTTACCAAAGCATCGTGTACTTCTGCAACTGCGCTGCTCTCACCAGAGAGTGTTACACTAGATGGGCTATTGATGCAGGCTATTGAGACCGAATCCTTGCCATCGATGTATTTGGCGGCCTCAGATTCGGAAATTCCTGCGGCCAGCATGCTGCCCTGAATTCCGGCTCGTGACGAGACGACGCTGGAAAGTGTGCCACGGTAGTAGGCCACGTACATAGCATCTTCATGAGATAAAACACCTGAGGAATAGGCGGCAGCTGGTTGAGTGTGAAGGCGTTAGCCATATTAGCAACTTTTAGGGAGGAGGGAGATGCATACCTATTTCGCCGGATGAATGACCAATAACAGCAGCTGGCTGTACATTCCAAGTAGATAGCATATCCACCAAACCAATCTGGATAGCCGTACAAAGAGGCTGCGAGTACAGCGGGTTTCCTAGCTCTTGTGCCGACCCCGTCATGAGCATATGTTCAATATCCCAATCACCACCGCAGGCTGTCACTACCTTCTGACTGCGCCGAATGCTCTCGCTAAACACTGGGTCAGAGAATAACTCACGAGCCATACCGGCTCTCTGAGCACCTTGGCCAGTAAAAACGAATATGGCTTTGTCCTTGGGAGACGAGCGCTCGCGGGGAAGTTGGTTTGCCTCAAGAGACGCACTTAGATCGGCCAAGCTATGTGCCACAACAAAACTTCGGAAATCCAGTCTGGTCCGCTTTTCTGAAAGAATGTGACTCAATGACTGCATGGTAGCAATGTTGTCTTTCTGGGGCTCATCTTTGAGAAACTCTGCGTAGCCTGAAGCAACTTTGTCCAAGCTACCTTGGTCTTGGGCGGAGAAAACAAATAGATGATCTTGCTGCTCTACGTCTGGGGTATCCTCGCTGGCGGTGTCATCTCCAATGCTAGTAGAATTATCCTCGCTATCAGAACAAGAAGAATCTGAGGAAGACGTTGCGGATGATGAGGATGATCCATGCTCCAGGTTAATGGACAAGTGGCCCAGGAGAGGGGTTGGATGTGTGATATGGCGTCCATGAATCCCACGTGAGGAGAGATAATGCAATGCATCATCAAGAATCGCATGAGCATTTGCGCCACCAAAGCCGAATGAATTCACGCTGGCTCGTCGAACACCTGCCTGGGGCCACGATACGTTTTCCATCGGCGCAATCAGATTCCAGTCGTCCATGTGTAGCTTGGGATTCAGCTTTTTCAAGCGAGTCACGGCAGGTATCATGCCAGCTTCGAGACACAGTACTGCTTTGATGAGGCCGGCCAGACCAGCTGCACCCTCTGTATGGCCGACATTGGGCTTGACACTACCGACATAGAGAGGACCATTATTCGAGGCTTTTCGCTCGGCACCAATGGTTTGGGCGATAGCCTGCATCTCAATTGGATCCTACACGCGGATGAACGGGGTTAGTTATTTATAAGTAAGAGATGAAAATGCCAGTGCGTTCACGTACCCCTAGTGGTGTTCCGGTGCCGTGTGCCTCGAAATAACAAGTGTCATTCATGGAAATGCCAGCTTTCTTGTACGTCTCACGAATCAATTCAGCTTGGGCATCTCCGCTTGGAACGGTCATGCCGGTAGTCTTGCCGTCGAAATTTGCGCCCGTAGCACGAATAACAGCCCGAACCACATCTCCATCTCTAATGGCATCCTTGAGAGGCTTAACCATCACGGCAGCCACTCCTTCACCCCTACCGTATCCATTAGCCGACTCATCAAATGTGTGGCTAATTCCGTCAGGTGTGATCATGTGCATCGCAGTAAACTGAGCCATGAGATTAGGATGCAAGATGAGATTCGTGCCAGTTACTAGTGCCTGGTCACATTCTCCAGCTTGCACAGCCTGGCAAGCAAGATGAAGACTGTAGAGAGCAGAAGAGCAAGCCGTGTCCAGTGAGAGGCTAGGGCCGCGAAGATCAAAGAACCATGATATACGGTTGGCCAAGATCGACTTTGCAGTTCCAGACCCGGGATGATCTCCTAGAGAAAATAAATCCCCTTCGGCGATTTCCTGATAGTCAGCAGTCATGACACCGCTATAAACCGCAGTCCTGCTCCCTGAAAGCTTTTGCATTGTAATACCCGCTATGTTGAGTTCAGTCAGTGATCTAAAGGCATCCCCTGAGTGAATGAAACACACCGTTTTCAAACGTCTCGTATGCTACTTCAAGCCCCAACCTTTGCATTGGATCCATAGCGGCCGCTTCACTTGCCGTAATGGAAAAGAAGGGGGCATCAAAATGTGAGACATCGTCAAGAAAGAATCCAGATTTGGTGATGACCTGGTGAGGATGAAAATGTTAATTACTGCAACATCATTGATATAGTCTCTAAAGAAGAAAAGGAACTCGCAATAATTGATCAATGTAACATCTAAAGGGCAACTGTTTTCTTTCTTTTTTTTTTTTTTACATGTAAAAGACACTTACCGCTCCACGTCGACCTCTCGAAGGGTGATACCAGGCGTCAGCATCAAAACACCGCTCAGGTATTCTGCCATGACCGCTCCGACCCTTCTCGATCATATCCCAAAACTGGGTTGGAGATGCTACGTTGGCAAAGCGGCATGCCATGCCCACGATCGCAATGGATCCATCGTCCATGTTTGTAAGAGTGTCTGGCTGTGAGTTGGCCTTATTTTGTTCCATCTTGAATAATAGATAAGCAGATGATTATGTAACTTGGGACGTTTTTATCGAGGATTGAAGTTGCTGCGAATCGCTTCCGGCTCCGTAATTGTTGTCTAATGTCGTGAAATTTGCCATGGTCGTGTGAGAGCTGCTCTGCATCTTATATACTGATTCTCTGATCACCATAGACGCTCCGTGAACCTCACGAGGAAAGTCCAGTAGCCACTTAGGGGGTAAACCCTTGATGCTCAAGGCGTTAACGCAATTCCGAACATTATTGTATCGTTACTCCTTACTACATTTGCTGTACAATGAAATTGTTAGTACCAATATGCTGAAACCAAGCCGTAGGTACATGCCTTTGTCGTTATTTTCGCTGAAAAACTTGGTATCGTCGACGCTACTCCACTCAATCTCGGTACATCACTCCAACACCTCAGTGCTAACATTATGATAACATCAGCATGGTAACCAGAAAGTCTCGTCGTACACAATGATACACCTCTCTCCTTCTCCTGCCAAGAGATGGTCATCAGAAACCTGGCAAGCAGAAGACAGTGGAGTAGCCGTAGAACCCGTTTGCTGTTTCTCTTCAGTAATTCGGATACCGAAGCCGGAGAAGTTTACTGACATTGTTGTGATGATTGATAATCCTTCCCGGAGCAAAATGACCCCATTCATAGAATGACCTCTGAATCGTGTTACTCTATGGCAAGGATGTACGTTGCTGTATCACAGAAAGACGCGTCTGAGACCCAGTCCAGGACAGGCTTCAGACGAGAAACATTCTAGGACCCTTTGTTCTCTCCGGCGTTGAATAGGTGCTAAAGAAATCAGCTCCGTACTCCGTGCAAAGCCTTCAAATCGGTCACCGAATAATACTATAGTCAGTTTAGAGCGACGATTCAAAGGCGGCAAAGGGCTTGTACCTACTCAAATTACCATAAGCTGTCCAGATGGGTAATCAAGCGCTCCTTTGAGAGACATGTTTCGCAATAATGGATTCTCTATAGAACCCTCTCTGACAAATGGGTTGCAAATAAAAGACAAGTAGCAGGACCATAGTCACTCACCCACAGGAAACACAGCTAACCGTTTGATTGATTTTTTCATATGGATGTCGATCACGCAAAGGGCTCCCCTGAGATCTACCGACCAATAGGTACCTACATACTCTCCCAGAGAGGTTAACGGACTCTGCTCAATCCAGATATCAAGACTAGCCGGCTAGGCTGCTTCCTTCGGAGTCCAAATTCTTTAACCGCACCCCAGGCGTCGGCACCGGAAGTTGCCTGACGCACGTCAGATCCACATCGGAGAGCGAAATCACAGCTAAGACCACTCCCTTGACAGAGCTTGACAGGGGTCCATCCGTGGCCGGTTTCCTAATAGTTTGCGATTCCCACTCCAAAATCCCCAGATCGACCCTCAAAATCTCCATTTTTCGCTAGCGATTTCCTCGCGGATCTCAACTGTGGATATCCAAAGAGGGTCGGATCACCACGACGACGATTACGTCATGGAGTTTTGCGTCGAATTGATTCAACTTCAGTCGTATTATAACATAAATGTGATTCTCTTGGTTGCTACAGCGTAGTTCTTGCCATGATCAACTTGTATTGTGATCCGGTGTGATATATTAGAGTAATACAGCCTATCCTTACTTGGATGCTACGCCCTTAAGAACCACATATACTGTCAATATCCTAACCCATCGGTTTAGATGGCATCTAAAATGTGTGTACTCCATAAAACCTAATTCCAATTCATTATAAACAGTCATTCAAAAATCGCCAAGCTATCGTTGAGCTAAATATATGTCCGCCTAGTCCTGCAAACAGCCATGGTTCCGCTTTAATATGAAGTCCGTAGACCACCAACACCACCCTCTTATATTGACTCCCATACTCCGGACCAATCCACGCTCTCCGAAGATCCGTTATTGGTTAGATCATTCTGATGCTTGATGCAAGAAACTCTCCGCGTCTCCCAATACGGCGAACAAGTGGTGCTCCAGATCTCTCTGGAGCTGGTCAAAACCGGACACCGGAATCCCCATGGCCCCTGCTGATCCGGGAGGCTCCCCAATCCGCATCGTTGATTTTCCAATCAAGGGTGTTATCCGGCGTAGCTCGTCGAGAAGAATCTGGACAGAGCCAATGACATGATTCTTTCCCAGCATACTCCCCCCCAACGTCGCCCTTGCGGCAGCCACTGCCTTGCCGTACCTGTCAATCATGTGGAAGCAGATCAATGACACCACAACGGAGATTTGATAATCTGCAGCCAGGCATGCACACTCCATGATTCTCGACACCTGGCCCGTAGCCCTTCGGTTTGCGAAGATAACATCGCCCACGATGGTCTTCACGTCGACGTTGGCCGCGGCCCAAGTCAAGTCGGTTGAGGTGCTGTCATTTCGGATATCGACGAGGATGGCAGCCGCCTGGGCCAGGCAGCTGTGGACGGACTCTGACGCGTCGGAGGCGCCGCTAGAGCTGTTTTTCGGGCTGTTGGTGTTCATGGAGCTGCCGCCGTGGCTGCTCGCGGCCACGAGCTGTGGTATGTCCTCCAGGTTCCACTCCTCATAGTATGCTGCCGCCGAGAACGCATCGATCTCGCAGTGTACGTCCCGCGTGGTTAGGTTGCACGCTGACGCGGGCACCCAGGAATTGAAGTCCCACGTCGCACTGTCGGATGCATAATCGTTCATGGTCAAGTCGCATCCATCTACTTGCGGACTCCGTAATGATGTTGCTTTCTGATTGCACGCTGAAGCTGGGGGTCGCCCATAGCGGTTTGATGGAGCATATAAACACTCGAGTCCTCGCTCCACACATCTGGCACATTCAGGCCGTGTTGTGCTGCAGCGGACTTTGGCCGTGGCACAGTTGGTGCAACTGCTGCGAAACTTTTGGCGGGTTTTCGGTTGTTCAGACATTGTCAACAACAGTCTTGTGCAATTGGGTTCGAATACCGAGACTCAACAAGGCCGAATGTGAGGGCGAAAGGTAGAAAGGAACGTCGGGTAGCTATTTAATAAGCAGTTGTCGGCTTGCATGCGCGCTGGCTGTTGGATGCGCTACCCAAATCCTACGGCATGCAGAGTCCTTGTCGGGCCAGCAGCGCACACAGCCTGAAGGAGAAAAAGGACCCTTGAATTTTTGGAGATACGGCTCCAGGGCTACCTGTGCACTAATTCAGCATATGCACGGAGTACGATTCCAATTTCTCCAGTCCAATGAAGGGATCTCATCCATTGCTCCGAGGTATGGGGGTACCTCCCTCACTAAATTGCAAAGGGCAGCTAAGTACCTGACAAAACACCCCTAGCAGCAATCATTTTAGTTATTCCCGTGCGGCGCCTAAGGGTAGTTAAGATGCCTAGGGTAATAATACAGGTCGTGGCAGCGGCCAATGGCTTGAGACAGGTACCAATTAGTTCTCTTTTACTTCTAGTTGTTTATTTAATAGATTCCTAATTAATTACGGAATAAACGCCATGTAATCTTGTTAACTATTTGGGAAGTTACTCGCCCAAAATGCGGTAAAGTAATCGAGGCACAGAGTTGAAGCCGTGTGGGGCTTTGGTGATCCCACCACGTACCGAAGGAACTCCGTTACAAGTACTCGTTACATGTGGTGTGTTATCATCTCGGTGGGAAAATAGTTCCATGTCTGTTTAATTTTCCATTGTCGCCACACGTATTATTGTCAGTATCACTTGCTGCGTGGCATGTCCCGTCCATGGCCTGCTAGTACTCTACTAGCATAGCGTAGCTCACAAGATCCGAAATACCCCTCATTTAGCTCTACGAGGAATTGCATCCTTCATCAACCCAGGGCGCTTGTGAGACAAAATAAGCAACCGTGTCTGTAGCGTTAATCACGGGCTCGCCAACCGGCAACTGATGCGCAGCTAGCAAGCACATCTGGCAACGAGAAGCGGACTTAGTTGGTTGAGATGATGCCATCAGATTGAAGCTAAACATTAGTACGGCATGTGAATTCAACTGCACAAGCTCAATTGAGCTTTCAGTTGTGTATGTACATCGCGATCCAAAGTTGTGCAATGAACCCGGAGGGACTCTTGTTCAGTAATCGCCACCGTCAAATTACAACACATTCGAACGTATACACAACAGATACTAAAGTACCACGGATCCTAAGCACCCCCAGCACCCTCGGTTGATTAGCAAACGCACTCCGACTGGAGAAGCACCGAGTTAGGTTACTTTGAAGGCTGTTGACCACCCATAATAGAACTTTTACGCCCAAGTGTCTGTAGGGGATTCCTATGGCAACGATGCCTCTGGATTATTTCAGAGTATCACAATTCAGGATTTCCTTCGGGATTGAGCTTTCAGTTGTGTATGTACATCGCGATCCAAAGTTGTGCAATAAACCCGGAGGGACTCTTGTTTAGTAATCGCTACCGTTAAATTATAATACATTCGAACGTGTATACGACAGATACTAAAGTACCACGGATCCTAAGTACCCCCAGCACCCTCGGTTGATTAGCAAATGCACTCCGACTGGAGAAGCACCGAGTTAGGTTACTTTGAAGGCTATTGACCACCTACAACAGAACTTTTATGCCTAAGTGTCTGTAGGGGATTCCTATGGCAACGATGCCTCTGGATTATTTCAGAGTATTACAATTCAGGATTTCCTTCGGGACGTAGATGTTGGGAATTTTATTTTATCTTAGTTTTTTCTCGCTTGCTGATAATATAGAAATGCACAGAATCTCGTGATGTGCGAGCAGTTGGTGTTGTAGTGGTGGTGGGTGGTGCTCCTGCAGGCTACCCTACATACGCTAGCAAGATTGCGGCGATATTCGCATCCCCCATACCGTCGTATATACTTCATACCCATACGACACCTCAAACGCGCAAACTGTGGGACAATCTCAAGTACGCTCATCGATATAATTCATTTGAAGTTTTCTTACTATCGTGGCTATCATAGTAAATGTCTTTTTATGGCTGTACGCGTGAAATTCGCCGAGTTCGAGCAATCACCATCATAACGTCTTGACTTTTTTGAGTAATTCGTCTATGGTTTACGGATAGTCTTTGACTTGCAGACTGCTTACTCGAATATTTTGGCCTTGGATTAAGTACCTAATACTTCGTAGATGTTGTCTGCGAAGCTAGCCAATCTATCAAATCAGATCCGCGTAGGTTATTCGTCTCGTATTGGGCTCCACTAACTACAACACCATGTCTCACATACAATTGCTGAAAAAATTGCGAATATGCAGCAAGTTCTCCCCGAGAGAGTTACTAGAAGAGTGACTGCAGGGTAAAGCACATCACGAAAAGCCGCGCACCGACTTGATGAAAGTATAGCAATACCCATATACTATGTGGAATCATGACGATACGATGCAGCTAAAATTACCCAATATTGGAAGAGTCCGAGATAAGAAATAATAATATTATAGTATGCAGAATAAGGTCGACAAGATCGAACGGGCTCACATGACAGCCTAAGTCGCCAAAGTCGGTAATTCGGAATAATACCGATATTCACAAGTTCAGAGACATAATTCACAATCAGTAACGTGGAGTTTTCGGAATAGGGGAGACATCGCTAAAAAACAACTTAAAAAAGCCAGCCTTGCTGAATATGGCAGGTGACTTGCCGTGTGTGCCAGGTGGAGAGGTAGCACGAGGTGTTTACCAGGGAATCAGCCTCGGCCGCAACCCAAACCATCAACACTTTGGACCCTGCATTGTTTGAAAGGAGGACAAAACAACCAAACAGCCGATTCGTAAGCTCTTGAATGTTTGAGCTCTCGTCAGCACGCCAGCATTTGTAGAGGCCAGGAGCACATATTTCCCGTTGGATTCGGTGTCCGACGATAGCAGTGGGGGTTACTAGGCGACCGGCTCAATTAAGCTGTCACCCGGTCTGGTGGCTTGGGTAGCTTCTGACTTGGTTGGCCAACGACTGTGGTCTTTTGTTCGGAGGATTGGCGATTCTCCACCAATGCCGCAAGCCAACATCTCACATGGTCTAGCTCTTATCCTAGCCATCACGCCACTCAGCCTATCACTAACGTTTTAACTCGCGGGAACCTTGAAAATCCCATTGAAATGCCCGGAACCAATGTCGATGCTGAGCAAGGGACACTTGATGTCTTAGTCGTTACTCGTACTTATTCCGCCTCGGCTGAGTTAGAGCCGTTCATGGGCTGAAACATGGTGCTTTCAGGCCCACACTTTCGGACTCCAGTGCCTGCTTGATCTCTCCAGATCTCGGTCGTGGCTTTCGCTCACGCTAACCACTATTGAGGATGCCAGATCCGGATTCCGGTTAATCAACCCCAGCTTGCCGTATCTTCCTAGCGATTGCAGTGGATACAGAATCCTATTTCCTAATCTCTGGTAAGGGTATGCGTACTCGTACGGAGTACGGCCTGGTTAGACTAGTGAGCGTCAGGAATCTGAGAATTAACTCTCCAGTCTCATTAAACTGCTTAGCCACCAGATATCCCCCGAAAGCTGGATGTAATGGGCAGTAAATATATATCCAGATATTGATCACACATACTGCAACTCTAGCAGTTGGGTATTTGTTATTTGAAATTAGTGTAGCTTGCTACTTCTTAGTCAAATTACGATATTTTTTTTATCGTTGGCAGTGTTTAATCACGCTCAACCCCGATATACACCAACGTTTGCTTAGCACAGACAACGTTGTACCCAAATTCATCAACCATCTCTTAACACTTCATCCACCATGAGTGAAAACTTTGACACTGTGGTCATTGGACGAATCGAAGTGGAAAGGTCTATGATCTCCGGTAGCCCTCAAGGAATGGAGGCAAAGGGCGGCCCAATCTCTGTTGCGTCTCACGAGACCACAGAGACAGATACCATGTCAGAAGGCATCACATCAGCAGACTCAACTTCCGAAGACCTTGAATTTGGAAGCACTGATGTCAAAAACGCATTTCTCGTCAAGTTCCCTCAATACTGCCTCGGCGATATTGAGGATGTCTATCCTTGCACACCTCTTCAAGAGGGCATTTTAACGAGTCAGACGCAAGGCACTGAGGATTACATTATTCGTGCCACTATGGAATTGCATTCAGTAAATGGCGCCACTTTTGATCTGGAGCGCCTTCAAAAATCTTGGGACAGCATCGTCCGACAGTCTGCTGCTCTACGAACAGTCTTTGTTCAATCAACATCTGGAGATGGGTTATTCCATCAGATTGTTTTGAGAAATGTACCTACAGGAATTCAGCAAATCCAAGCCGAGACTCTCAACGATATAGCAACGAGGGAACCATCATGGGAAGATGGTCGTGTTGCCCCTCACTGCTTAACATTCTGCAAGCCATTAAATGGGCCCGAGGGTCTCAGGATCGAACTACACCATGGCGTCTCTGACGCGATTTCCAGCATGAAAATCCTTCACGAGCTCATGCGTCTCTACGATGACCCAACTCGCCAACTTATGGGGGTTCCTTTCCGTAGCTTTGTGCAACACCTCCAGAGCAACTCTGAGGAAGAAAAACTGAAATACTGGCAAACGTTTCTGGAGGGCTCCCAGCCATCCATGTTTCCCAGACTTCGCGTCAACAGGACGAATGAAGAACTACCACAGAGATGTCGTCGACAAGTCAACCTTGACCGGGATGGTATTTTGGATATGGTGAAAAGCTCAAAAGTTAGCTTTTCTATGCTTTTCCATGCTGCTTGGTCAGTACTTCTACGGGCCTATCTGGGGAGAGACGACGTAGCTTTTGGCTATATCTCCTCAGGCCGTCATAATGTGCCGTTACCAGAAGTCCAGGAGGCACTTGGCACTTATATCAGCATGATGGTAGCCCGAGCTCGAATGGACGAAACTACAACTCTGGTCGACCTTGCAAGCCAGCTCCGAAAGAACATTGCCAATTCTTTGCCTCACGAGCAATGCTCGCTGGCATCAATTCAGCGCAGAATGCAAATCAACGGCGGATTCTTCAACACGTTGGTTGACGTCCAAAGGCGACCAAAACTTCGGCGCACATCCGATGAGATCAGCCTAAACCTCACCCATGTGCACACGGTTGCTGAATATGACATTGTTGTCAATATCGAGGATACTGGCGACGAATTGCTTTTCGTGCTTGACTACAAGTCTAATCTTCTTGGAGAAGCCGATGCCGAAAACCTCATCAGCTGCTTCACATCCATCGTCGGTCAAATTCTGCAGAACCCCCATCGCAGGATAGCGGAATTAGATCTATTCACAAAGGACCACCGTAATCAACTCTTACAGTGGAACCAAGATCAACTTCCAGTGACCGATGCATGCGCTCATGACCTCTTTGAAGCCGAGGCTGCTCGTCACCCCGAAAAAATTGCAGTATGCTCGCTCGACAACAACTTTACCTACGCGCAGTTAAGTATGCTGAGCACACGCTTGGCCGCGCACTTAAGATCTTTAGGCGCAAGCCCAGGTGTTATGATCCCGCTGTGCATGGAAAAGTCGGTTTGGGCAATTGTCTCCATGCTGGGTGTTCTGAAAGCTGGCGCAGCCTTCGTTCCCCTGGATCCTGCTTCACCCACCAGTCGCATTGAAGGCATCCTTGAGGATACAAATGCCAAGATTGTCATAGCCTCCACTTCTACTTCACAAAAAATGAGCCAGATACAGAGAAGCCAACATGTCGTCGTCATCAACGAGGCATTTGTCGCGGCTCTTGAAGAGAACGGAGATGTTGCTAGCACAAGCCTCAGAACTCATCCATCCGCGCAATCTCAAGATACAGCATATGTTCTCTTTACTTCAGGATCTACAGGCAAACCGAAAGGAGTTGTAGTTCCTCACCAGTCTCTCTGTTGCAGTATGTATGCCCACGGACCAGCCACAGGGATCGATCAAAACACCAGAGCGCTTCAATTTGGCGCCTATACGTTTGACTCCATCATTGCCGAAATCTTCACAGTACTTGTGCACGGTGGATGCGTCTGCGTTCCTTCTGATGAAGAGCGTATGAACAACGTGACAAGCTTTATTGAACGCGTTGGTGTCAACTGGGTTATGCTAACGCCGACATTCGTCCGAACACTTGACCCCAATTCAATTCCTGGAGTTCACACTTTGGTGCTCATTGGTGAGGCGGTTGACAAAGACTGCGTGGATACATGGCTTGGAAAAGTCAGACTGTTCAATGGTTACGGACCGACAGAGACGACCGTCATTTGCGTCGCCTGCCAATTCCCTCAGACTTATGAGCCCGACCCAACCGTCATAGGTAAACCAGTTGGATGCAGAGCCTGGGTTGTAGACCCTGTTAACCACGATATTCTCTCACCAATTGGAGCTGTTGGAGAACTTGTTATCGAAGGGCCCAATATTACGAAGGGGTATTTGGGGGATACTGAAAAGACATTAAAGTCCTTCATCTCCCAACCGTCATGGGTGTCCCGCTTTGCAGGGGCTGCACAAGAGACATTTGCATTCTATAAGACGGGCGATCTGGTACGACAACTCAGTGATGGCTCACTCAAGTTCTGCGGTCGTGGAGACAGTCAGGCTAAAGTGAACGGACAAAGACTTGAACTCGGAGAAGTCGAAACTCATCTGCTGAGTGATGATTCCACCATCCACGCGCTCGCCGAAGTACCCAAATCTGGCCCTTTCCAGGGACGTTTGGTAACTGTATTGTCTCTCAACGGCCTCACAGGACCAAAGGAGAATGAAGATGCTGTGGAGTTGCAATTCGTCAACAGAGAGTGCTGGAATGCAGCAGCCGATATGTGCATTCGTCTGATGGACAAGCTGCACTCAGCGTTGCCAGCATACATGGTACCAACTGTTTGGATGCCTGTTCAGAAGCTGCCTCTCCTGCCTTCTGGTAAATTAGACAGGCGGCAGATACGGACTTGGTTGACTACTGTCGATGAAGACGTGCTGAAGGACACAGTCGAGTTTCAGACCAGTGGTATCGAGAGAAATACAGACGATGAGGCGTTCTTTCAGGAAAACGAAACAGGACGGCGACTTCGGAAGATTTGGAGCGAAACCCTCAATATTCCGGAAACTAGTATCGGTGCTTCGAATGCTTTTCTCTCTGTTGGAGGAGACTCTATTTCAGCAATGAAAGTCGTTGCGAAGGCTAGAGCTCAAGACATTTTTGTCACCGTTCAGGAGATTCTCCAGCACCGCACCATCTCCGCTATAATTGATCATCTTCAGACAAAACAGTTGTCTGTTGAATCAACAGCTGCTCAAAAACGAATTGAACAGTCGCATCAAGATATCACTTCTATTTCGGCTTATCAACGACATCATGCCGACTTTGACTACTGGAACATGACTGGTCGACCAAATTTACAGAGTGATTCCCTTTCAACAGCCTTTGAGCTGGATGAGGAGATAACATCAACTCTTCTTGGAACGTCTAACGACGTTCTTCGTACCGAGCCTGCAGAACTTCTGATGGGAATTTTACTGCATGTTTTTAAAGCCACCTTCACGGACCGAGATTTGCCAACTATATTTGCTGAAGAGGATAGAACAGCGAGACTGAGCGACGATCGCTCTTCTGAAGTAATCCCGGTAAGTGTTAGCTCTGATGATTGTGCTGACATTTCGCAGACAACCAGAAAAATTAAAGATGCTCGACGAATACTACTCAAGAGTCTCGATTATGACACAGGCCTTGCTTATCACGATGACGATAACGAAGAGATGGAGATACTCTTTAAATACCGTGGAATGCTTAGCGAGGACAAGTCAGAGGAGAACAACAGGTCTACTACTTCCAGGCAATCGCTTGTTCACATTTCTGTTATCGTTGAGAGCAACAAGCTTGTATGCACCATTCAATGGTCGCCTGACATGGCTCATCAAGAGAAAATCCGTACCTGGATCGAAGCATTCGAGTCTATGACGCGAGAGTGCGCTCAAGTCGGTACGCTAAAACCGCTGGCATGCCTCAGCGATTATCCACTTCTGCCATACGACTATGAGATTTTGGACAACGTAATACAGAAAGTTGCGCCTCAATGGAAGCTCCTGGGCGTGGACGAGATCGAAGACATTTACCCTTGCTCACCCTGCCAAGAGGGCATGATCATTAGTCAGATTCGACATCCCGACAGAAACCTTTACAACCACGAGACTACGTGGAAAGTTACCCCGTCTGATGGAAGGGTTGTGGACCCTAGCAGACTGGAGGCAGCCTGTCGTATTGTCATCCAGCGACACCAAATATTGCGAACAGTCTTTTGCGAGGCCGGGGGACAACATGTACCCTTTGTCCAGGTTGTCTTCAAAGATGCTGCCTCGCTCAAGATTCAGGTCTCTAGGTCGGATCTCTCAGCCTACGACACCGCAATCCCAGCACCCAAAGTCGTTGATCCTACCAGGTTTCCCTATCATTTGGCTGTTTGCGAGTCTCCTGATGGCGTTTCTTGCAAGTTCGTCATCAATCATGCCTTGCTTGATGGCTCTTGTCTGAGAGTCTTGATACGCGAGTTGTCACTTGTATACGACCAGATATCCCTACCAACGCCACCTCTATTCAGCAGCTTCATTAACTATTTATTAACAAACCCCACCGACGATTCATATGCTTATTGGAATTTCCGATTGGATGGAATAAGTTCATCCCATTTCCCAAGCCTGAATGACTGTGATGAATCCGGCTCTACACCTGGTAGGCTTGACATTGCAATCCCTGACGACCAGGTTGCTGCGCTGCGGAGGTTCTGCAGAGAGCATGGCGTTACTATTGCCGCTGTTATGAGCACCGTATGGGCCCTGGTACTTCAGACCTACATTGGAAACGATACAGAGACAGTCTGCTTCGGCTACATGGCATCTGGTCGAGATGTTCCGGTACCTTATGTCCATGAATTGATGGGACCTCTTCTGAACATGCTTGTCCAAAGAGTCGACCTTCAGCCGTCTACGAAAGTCGCATCTCTTGTCCGCAGTGTTTACGATGGCATTCTGGGTAACCTACCGCACCAAAATTGCTCGTTGGCAAAAATTCAGAGTGGCCTGGGCCTTGGAGGACAAAGTCTCTTCAACACATTGGTAAATGTACAAAAGGTCTCTTCAGTATACGAGACCGACACATTGCCTGCTATTAATTGGGAACTTGTTGGAGAGGGAGGCCCAGCTGAGGTAAGATGAAGTCCCCCAAGATATTACTAGAAGCTTTGCCTAACATAAGCCGTAGTACGATGTTATTTTCGGTGTTGTGGACTCTGATGAGGGCATCATGGCTGATCTTCTTTTCTGGACATCATGCATTTCTGAAGCGCAAGCCGTAGATCTCCGAGCGACTTTGTTACAGACTCTAAGCTCTCTTTTAGAGAGCTCTGGCAAATCAACGGTCAGCGAGATTCAGGTTTTTTCAGAAAGCCACGGCCGTCAGCTCCATTCATGGAACGCACATAACCCGCACATCGTGGAGTCGTGTCTACATCAACTATTCGAAGAGCAAGTTGCTATTCACCCAGATGCTGCAGCAATTAGTACTACAAGCACAGAAGCAAACTGGACCTATGCGCAGCTAAACGATGTTTCGACAAGACTAGCTGCCCATCTCCAGACTTGTGGAGTGGAAACGGGCATGGCTTTGCCGTTTTGCTTCGACAGGTCACCATGGACTGTTGCTAGCATGCTTGCCATTCTTAAATCTGGAGGAGCTTGTGTTGCTCTTGATCCGTCCTATCCGATCCAACGACTGAAAGATATCATCAGAATAACGGGAGCAAGAATAGTCGTGTGTGAGGACAAATATACTGAGCTATTTGAAGGTCTGCCAGACCTAATGATAGTTTCGGTCAGCCCAGACCTTTGGGATCGCATCCCACAGGTTGACGGGTGCACCTCATCAGTTATGCCGAGTGATCCCGCCTTCGTCAACTTCACTTCTGGAAGTACCGGAGTGCCAAAAGGAAATATTCTCGAGCATAAATCTATTGCCTCCGCTCTTTGGCACCATCGTGTCATAGATCCGCTGGGTAGACAAGCACGGGGTCTGCATTTTGCGTCCTATACTTTCGACATGAGCTTCGCCGAGATTCTATTGGTCCTCTGTTCTGGGGGTTGCCTCTGTATACCTACCGAATATGAACGCCTTAACAGCTTGGCAGCTACGATAAACAAGCTCGAAGTCAATTGGGCTTATCTTACCCCCACTGTTGCGAGTCTTCTTGATCCATCGGAAGTTCCAAGTTTGAAGACTATTTGCCTTGGCGGAGAACCGGTACTTGATACTCTGGTGACGAAGTGGATAAACAATGCCACATTGGTCGCGACATATGGTCCTTCTGAATGTTCAATCGCCATCTCTCGATCCATAGTGCGTGGCTTCGGGAATGGACAGCTCGGTCCTGCCTCGGGTGGTCTTCTCTGGGTCGTCAATCCAGTGGACCATAATAAGTTGGTACCTCTTGGAGCTCCTGGCGAGCTGCTCATTGAAGGACCGCTGGTGGGTAGAGACTACTTGGACGCGACCTTGGCGAAGGCTACTTTCATCGTGGATCCAGCTTGGACGAAAGATTTCCCAGTGTCTGGCATCGCACAAGCTGGACGACGTATGTACAAGACGGGAGACATCGTCCGTTTCAACAAGGATGGATCAATGACTATGTTGGGCAGGAAAGCTGAAGATGCCCAGGCCAAAATCCACGGACAGAGAGTTGATCTTGGAGAAGTGAGCCATCACATCACTGCGAGCGATATGGTCAAGCATGCGGTATGCTTCGTTGCGAAGAAAGGCCTGTTTGCTAACAGATTGACGGCAATCATCTCTTCTATGGATCTGGCAGACGCCATATTGGGGTTTGCTGATCAGCCTTTGAACCTCCAGGATGGTCCAGAGGCGCGTGAGAAAATCTCAGATCTTCGCCATTGGCTCGAGGATCGCGTCCCGAGCTACATGATGCCGCGGTCGTGGATTTTGCTGGAAAAGGTTCCCGTCACGCTGAATGGCAAATTGAATCGCCGTGTTCTTCTCCAATGGCTTGAATCTGTGGATAACGACACATACGAGAGCATACTGACGCTCAACAATGATGACGAAACAAATGCATTGGCCTGGTCAGGCTCCCTTAGCCCAATGGAAGAGAGTCTGGCCAAAGCGTGGAGCCATGTTCTCAATGTTCCAGAGGGACAAATTAGTGTCAACCAAAGTTTCTTCAGCCTTGGAGGAGATTCTATTTCGGCGATTAAGGTATCTTCCAGATTGCTCAACGAAGATATCCAAGTATCCATGCATGATATTCTACATTATCGTACCCTAGCCGAAATCGCCAAAAGAGCAACACGGGCCAGCTCGGCTCCCAACGGCGTTCAAGCACAAGTTGGTGCAACCGATGCACCATTCTCACTGCTATCGCGACGTTTATCCAATTCACAGTTTGAGAAGTTAGTGGCCAAGGTTGCATCCAATCTCGAAGATGTTGGCACAAATATGGACAGTGTCGAGGATATTTATCCCTGCTCACCCATGCAAGAAGGTATCTTGTTTAGCCGTGCTAGGCAGGACGGCCTCTACGATTTGATCAACGATTTCAAAATCGTCTCCCGCACAAGCACTGAGCCTGTCAGCCTGGAGCGATTTCGCCATGCTATCGACCTTGTCACAGCGCAGCATCAGTCGCTTCGTTCTTTCTTCGTTGAAGGCGACGATGCAACCCCGTATGTGCAAGTGGTTAAGAAAATGGTAGAAGCTCCCGTTGTTTGCATCAGTTCCTCTAATTCACAGGAGCCTTTTGAGGATGTGGTCGTGGATTCTATTCCACTACATGGGCTTGGCTACCGGTTCGTCCTCTGTCAAGTCTTACCCACGGGAGACGTTTACGGTAGACTTGAGATCAACCATGCCTTGATCGATGGACAATCCATGAAAGTCCTCATCACAGACCTTCTGTTAGCATACGATGAGCAGCTGCCTCTCTCTCATAGTCCACCACTTTACGGAGATTTCATCAAGTACCTTGAACAACTCTCGACGGAGAAATCGCTGGAATACTGGACTTCTGTTATACGAGGCCTTGAACCTTGCATCTTACCCTCGCTTAACAATTTGCAAGATCAGAATATGTGCAATGAAATTGATGAAATCTTGGATCCACACCTTACAGAATTGATCTTCCAATTTTGTAGGAACTATGACACCACGATTGCCACTGTGATCAGTGCTGTTTGGGCACTCGTGTTGCGGGCATACGCGGGCATGGACACAGTTTGCTTTGGCTTACTGACATCCGGACGAGCAATTCCGGTGCCACAAGCAGAATCTATCATCGGGCCCTTGATTACTATGATGGTCTCGCGAGTCGATATGAATGCAGAGATGCCGATTCTTGAAATGATACGCAACATACACGATGGTTTCCTAAACGGATTAGAGCACCAGCATACTTCTCTTGCCGCAGTACAGCAAGCTTTTGATGAGGGCAGGCAACGCGGGAAAATGTTCAATACTGTGGTGAACGTGCTTAAAGGTGACGTCGCAGCTGCTGAGGAATCGCCATCTAGCATCAAGCTTGAGGTTATGGACGCCAGCGGTCCAACTGAAGTAAGTCTCCTCCATGTGTGCACAGTCGATTCTTATTTACTTACGTCGGTTTTTTAAATCATAGTACGATGCTTCTTTAGACGTTATACATACGGATACAAATATCTCCTTGAGTTTCAGCTATTGGACAAACTGTCTATCGAACGAACAAGCCAAGCTCATGCAGCAAACCTTGTTACATGTTCTGGAAAGCCTTGTCCAGGGAGCCTCTGGCAGAGTGGGCGACCTCGATATACTGAGCGAAGCTCATAAGTCTCATATTATGCAGTGGGCCAGTGAGATGCCTCCGACAAACTACTCTTGTGTCCATGAGCACGTGGAGAAAAGGGCTAAGATGCAACCTGATGTAGACGCCATCGTCACATCGGATCTGAGCATCACATACGACGAATTGGAGAGACTCTCTTCTCTTCTTGCAGCCCATCTTGCTTTCTTGGGTGTCAGACCTGAGGTGATGGTGCCTTTCTTCTTCGACAAATCGCCTTGGACTATTGTGGTGATGTACGCCATCTTGAAAGCAGGCGGCTCTTGCGTGGCCCTCAGTCCAGAGTTTCCTGATTCAAGACTTACTAATATGATTGAGGCTACCGAGGCAACGCTTGCTATTTGCGACTCAGAATACGTGGATAGGCTCCAAACATTAATACCAACAGCGGTGCCCATCGACACATCAGTGTCTACGGCCAATGCTATGATGAGTCGCTTCGAAGCCCTTTCTGGCACAAGTCCGTCTCAGGCAAAGCCATACCACCCAGCTATTATCGCATTCACATCAGGCTCCACTGGAACACCTAAAGGTATCATCTTGACTCATGCTTCAATGAGTACCAGCATGTTTGCACACGGACCTCTAGTTCAAATGTCTGAATCTAGCCGTGTTCTCCAATTTTCTTCGTACACTTTTGACGCCAGCTTGGAAGAGATATTTACCACCCTTGCCTTTGGAGGTACAATTTGCGTTCCAACCGAGTACGAGAGAATGAACGAGTTACCAGCGTTCATCAAGGCTCATCGTGTCAATTTCGCTGCTTTGACGCCTACTGTGGCGTCATTACTTAATCCAGAAGAGCTCCCGCTGAAGACAGTTGATATAGCTGGTGAGGTGGTTCCCCAAACGTTGGCCAGCAAATGGGCGACCCATACAAACTTGGTTGTTACGTATGGACCCGCAGAGTGTTCCATCATCAGCTCCGGAATGCTAGTTGACCCAAATCATGTCCAAAATGGTACTCTTGGAAAGCCTGCTGGTACCCTGATGTGGATAGTTGATGCCAATGACCACAACAAGCTGGTTCCTATTGGTTGCGCTGGCGAGATTCTTATAGAAGGACCTCTACTGGCGCGTGGATATATCAACAAGGACCAGACAGAGAAATCTTTCATATTTGATCCTTGTTGGACGCAAATGTGCCCTGTCTCTGGTGCTGGTGATCAGCGTCGATTATACAAAACAGGTGACTTGGCCCGATATGAGCCCGATGGATCCATCATCTACCTTGGACGAATGGATTCCCAAGTCAAAATCCACGGACAACGAGTTGACTTGGGCGAGGTTGAGACAGCCCTATGGAGTCATGGAGTGAGCCAGTCAACTGCAATGGTTCCCAAAAATGGACATTTTACCAAGAAGTTGGTCGTGGTATTCTCAAAGAGCAATGCCTCCTCGGCCTCTGGGCGCATTCTCGAGGTCATGACAGATGACGATGTTGCAACTCACGTGGCAGAACTGCGAAAAGGTCTACAAATTGCCCTACCCGGATACATGTTACCTCGCGTATGGGTTCCTGTTGAAGCTCTCCCCCTAAATCCAAATGGAAAGCTGGACCGTCGCGCGGTTGGGCAGTGGCTAGAGAGATTGGACGAAGAAGCCTGCGAGCGCATTCTTGCGCTTGGTAACTCTCTCAAACCGGCCTCTGAGCTTACAGAAATCGAGAAACTCCTAGTCTCTGTCTGGTCAGAAGCATTAGGCCTTCCCAAAAGCATGATTGATGTTGACCAGCCCTTCTTCAGCCTCGGAGGAGACAGTGTCTCTGCCATACGAGTGGCATCGCAGCTGAGATCTCAGGGTATACATCTAGCTGTTCATGATATTTTCCGTCATCGTACCGTGTCAGCACTGGCGGAACTTATTACCAGTGAAAATCCCAATTTAGCTGGAGCCATTGGCAAAATCCAGCCCTTCGCTTTAACGCCGTCACAGCTCATGCAGCTCAGAAGCCACGCGGGACCGACCAGCACTGTTGCTCGGAAATTAATCGCGAAACTCAAAAGGAGAGTAGATTTCGATGAAATGAACGCTGCTTTCAAGACACTTAGTGAGCGGCATCCCATGCTAACTGCTCACTTTGAGCGCGATTCGAGCGGTACTTGGTCGCAAAGATTAGTGGACACACCAGGAAATCTCTTGGAGCTTGGCCATCTGCATGCGACATCGCTTGAAGAGGCACAGTCGCTATTCTTGTCCATGCAACATGACTTGGATATTGCGAAAGGTCCCCTTGTGGCGGCAAGTCTGGTCGATATCGAATCGGTGGACACCGAAAGCAGTCAATTACTGATCTTGGCCATGCACTCTCTCATTGCAGACGATGCATCATTACGGGTCATATTAGAAGATCTGGAAACTCTGCTATTGCATGCACCTGCTGGCTGTAGCCCAGCGTCATTCCAAGATTGGGCTCTTGCACAGTTCAATAACTCTCAGCGAAAGCTTTCTAACAATAGTTTTGCTGCAATATTAGGCACAGCTCAGACTAATTTTATGGATTACTGGGGCATGCAACATCATCCCAATACTCACAGTTGTATCAAAACCTCAGAAATCTCAATTGATCCCGACACAGCATCACTTCTTCTCGGAAAAGCCAATCTGACACTGAGAACAGAAGCTGTTGAAATACTACTGGCTGCGCTCTGTCACTCCTTCACAAACACTTTCACTGACCGCCCTCCACCGAAGGTGTTTTGTGCTAGTAATGATAGAGATGGAGAAGCCGATGACAGTAACATTTCTAGCGCTGTTGGGTGTTTTACGACCATATCGGCTGTATGCGCAGAGGAGAATTACACGACAGCGCCTGTCAGCAGCGATCTTGAAACACGGATAGTCCAAACTCTGAGATGCGTCAAAGACCAGCGTCGCTTCGCCCATCACAACGTTACGGGACTTGAAGATATGGAGGTGTTCTTGACCTATACTAAAAAATCGTGTCTTGAAACCGCGTTGTTCCAGGAGATGCCTTGTGTCGAAGGCAACGATATTTCTGAGCACCAGACAAGAAAATCTTTGTTCGAGGTGTCTGCGGAAGTCATTGATGGACAAATAGATATCAGATTCCATTATCATGAGAACATGGCACGCCAAAGCGACATCTTTGCCTGGATCCAAGCATTCGAAGATCTACTTCGATCCTCTGCTTCGGGGTTGGCTCAAGCTTATCCTGTGCCTACACTATCGGATTTCCCTCTTTTGGACGTCGAGGACTATGCGTCTCTTGACAATTTGGTGGAGCGCTGCAAATCTCAGGCGCAGATCTCTGATATATCCTTGATTGAATCTATTCATCCCTGCTCACCAATGCAAGAAGGAATTTTGCTGAGTACTTTACGATCAGCTAGTATTTACGATGGGCAAGAATTCTGGAAGGTGCTCCCGAAATCTCCCAGCGCAGACTTGGACATACTCAAGCTTAAAGCAGCCTGCGAAAGCGTCATTGCCCGCCACGATATACTCAGGACTCATTTCGTTGAGGCTCACCACGGACGTTCAGCTTTCCTTCAAGTTGTTCTTCGAGCAGTGAATCATCCAGTTCAATTGGCAACTTTTGACGATTTTGATGACTTGACGCATCAGCCACTGCCACAACTACATCAAGCAGGCATCCTTCCATACATCTTTACGCTATGCGAGTTGGCAACTGGTGACGTTTATTTGCGTCTCGACATTAGCCACGCGCTTTCTGATGGCGTTTCAACCGGAATTCTGATGCGGGATCTTCTGCTGGCCTACGATGGTAAACTCTTGCCAGCAGGACCATCCTACAGAAACTACATATCTCATCTTGAGTCTCAGTCCGGAGAACTGACACTTCAGTTTTGGCAAGACAATCTCAAAGACGCAACACCATGCCATTTCCCTCTGCTTAACGAATCCGGGGTTGGCAGTTCACCTATTCACCGGAGCACCGATGTGCCGCTTTCTATTCAGCAAAAGGACGAAGTGCGAGAATTCTGCAAGTTGCATAGCACGACGCTGGCAAACTTTATGTCCGCAATCTGGGCAATGGTTCTGCCATGTTTTTCCGATGCGTCTTCTGATACGGCTACTTTTGGTTACCTGGCATCGGGTCGCGATATTGCACTTCCCGGAGTCGATGATATCCTGGGTCCGATGATAACCATGCTGATTCGCAGCGTCAATGTTAGCCCCGAAACCACAGTCTTAGGCCTCATTGAGGAAATGCAGCAAGACTTCATTAAAAGCTGGCCGTATCAACACTGCTCCCTCGGCGAGATTCATCACGCTTTGGGACTTAGTGGTACGCCGCTCTTTAATACCATTGTCAACCTAGGTCATGCTGGTGGCTTCAAAAAGCCCCAGGACATGCCAGGTGATATTCTCTTTGTGCCTGAAAATGTTCAGAGCCGCAGCGAGGTTAGTTTACTGGTTTTAATGCGCGCGTCAGAAAAATATTATTTATCTGTCCCACTGCTTTGCAAGAAAATGAAAATAAAATTGATAGAAAACTGCTAACTGATTCTTGCGTCTTTTATAGTACGATATTGCTTTCAACATTCTAGACTCTGACGAAGGCTTCTGGCTCACACTTAGTTACTGGGATCGCTGCCTCTCTGAGGCACAGGCCATCGTCCTTTCGCACACTATCCAGGCAGCGATTGCATCTGTTCTCGAAAAGCCAGAACAATGCATTTCTGCTGTGGATTTGGTGGACGATTTCCACACTCAAATGATGCAGTCCTGGAATGCGGATATCCCTGAGCCAGTATTTGACTGTATCCACCTTGCCTTCGAGAGGCAGGTCAAATTGCAGCCAGAAGCTCCTGCCGTCTGCTCCAGTGATCCGAAGATATCGATCTCGTATAAGCAACTGGATTCTATGACCGATAATCTGGCGTCCTCTCTACGAGAGATTGGGGTGGGACCAGAGTCACTTGTGCCTTTCTGTATGGATAAATCCCCATTCACACCAGTAGCCATGATCGCGATTCTCAAAGCCGGCGGCGCTTGCGTTGCCCTTGATCCGAACCAGCCAATTGAAAGACTTCGGAGCATTATCGAAGCTTCAGGAGCCAAGGTGGTATTGGTAGCACCGCAGCACAAGGATCTGCTTGCCAACATTGTCCCCCATATCGTCCTCGTTGGGGAAGAATCTCTACGCAACCTTGAAGGTTCCGCCAAGGCTCTTCAGCCTACTGCAGCAGCTTCCCCAGCAAATCACACCAACCCAGCTTTTGTTATCTTCACTTCTGGGAGCACAGGAACTCCTAAAGGAATCGTAGTTGAACATGGCGCGTTTTGTTCAAGTGCGCGATCTCATGCCCCAATTTTGGGCCTACACAGCGGTACTAGGGTCCTGCAATTCGCATCTTACACATACGATCTGAGCATCGCCGAGACTTTCACAACATTGATGGTGGGTGGGTGCATCTGCGTGCCTTCTGAGTACGACAGATTGAATCGGTTGGCCGCAGCTATCAACGCAATGTCAGTCGAATGGATGTTCCTTACCCCGACTGTAGCAGCTTTGCTACAGCCCGAGCAAGTACCTACCGTGAGGACTCTTGTTCTTGGAGGAGAGCATGCGACTCACAACAACTTCTCAACCTGGGGTGGTAGGCCGGGCATATGTCTCATCAACAGTTACGGCCCAGCAGAGTGTTCTATCTGGACAAACGCGAATGTTGGTGTCAAACCGACGTCAGATATTTCCAACCTGGGGCGCCGACTCGGCTGCTCATTATGGGTAGTTGATCCCCGCAATCATCATCGTCTTTTCCCAATGTACGCCAGAGGTGAACTGGTCATTGGTGGGCCAACTCTGGCAAGAGGCTACCTTCACGACCCAGTCAAGACAGATGCAGCTTTTATTCAACCGCCAGCCTGGTACACCGATGACAGTGGTACAGAGCAACGACTTTACAAATCGGGTGATCTTGTGTATTATAACTTGGATGGATCCCTCTCTATTCAAGGCCGCAAGGATACACAGGTCAAAGTTCACGGACACCGAATTGAACTTGACGATATTAATCATAATATGGCTCGTATCCCGCTAATTGAACATGCAATGGCCCAACTTCCACGTTCAGGGCCACTGGAAGGTCGTCTGGTTGCAGTAGCATCATTGAAAGAAGACAGACCTCTGGCCAGTTCTCCTCAGCAAATTCTCAAGATTATCAGCGACTCTGGCCACATGCCGCAGGTAGCCACCAAGCTTGGACAGATCAGATCCGAGCTAGAAAAACAGCTGCCTAAGCATATGTTACCGACTGTGTGGGTTATTGTTCAGAAGATGCCTTTGCTCTCCTCTGGCAAGCTGGACAAGCGCACCGTTAAAGCTTGGTTGGATTCGATGGACGAAGAGAGCTTCAGCCAAATAAAAGCAATGTCAACTTCGGATGCGGTGTCGCAACTATCGCCACCTGAAAATGACGTCGAATTTCTTTTGCAAAAGGTCTGGTCCGAGGTATTGAAGTGTGAACCTTCGACTATTGGCGTGACAGTCAGTTTCCTTGGCTTGGGAGGCGATTCTATTTCTGCAATGCAGGCGGTTTCCAAGGCACGCGCTGCTGGCATGAACATTTTCGTTCAGGATATCTTCAGGCTAAAGACAATCCGAAAACTGGCTGAACAGGCTGGTGTGGCAGGAAGAGTTGACGAGCCCATCGCTACGCCTGGCCGTTTTGGACTCCTGCCAGCCAAGGGACCACAACAACTTACCCGACTTGTGAATGACTGCGCATCAATTTTACATCTCGATGGAACTGGTGCTAGTATCGAAGATATCTTCCCCTGTTCTCCTATGCAAGAAGGTATCTTAATCAGCCAGGCTAGGTCACCAGATCGCTATCATGTTAGAGCTTTGTTCGAGGTCTTGGTCCAGTCTACGGAATTAGTCGACGTGGACAGACTTGAACAAGCCTGGATTAAGGTGGCTCAGCGACACCAGGCATTGCGCTCCGTATTTTTAGAGGAGTCTTTTGGTGGAGAGAACATGCTTCAAGTTGTGTTGGACCGAGTCACCGTCCCAGTATTGAAGCTGGAATGCGAAAAGCTCGAAGACTTCACCGAATCCACCGAGGTGAACCAATATGCCAAGGATGGTCCCCCATACCGCTTTTCCATCTGCAAACTGCCATCTGGCGTGGTCTATTGCCACTTAGCCATGACTCACGCCCTGGATGATGGCTCTTCAATGCGCGCGCTGCTGCGAGATATTTGCCTGTCTTATGACGACCTGCTCCCATCGGGTGATCCACCGCTCTACAGCAATTTTATTTCATATATTCAGCGGCAGTCTAAAGATGCTGGCCTCAAGTTTTGGGAATCGTATCTTAGTGGGGTTGCAACCTCTCACTTCCCGGCATTGACGACGCGTGCCTCAGCTGATCCAACTGAGGATGGTATCGTCGAGAGATGGATCGAAGGAGACAAGGCAAGCTCTCTCCTTCGGTTATGCGAAGAGCACGACATTACGATTGCAGATGTATTCAAGACGGTTTGGGCCATCGTTTTGCGCTCTTTTGTCGGCGCCGATTCTGTTTGCTTTGGATACCTTGCTTCAGGTCGCGATGCTCCCATCAAGGACGTTCACAACATTATGGGACCTCTCATCAATATGCTGGTATTCTATGCCCATGTTGATAAATCCAAGTCCCTCATTGAACTCTGTAAAGAAGCAAATGACTCGTATCTCCAGGCACTACCACATCAACAATGCTCGCTCAAAGAGATTTTACACGCTGTTCGGGGACCTGGACAATCTGCCGCCCTTTTCAACACAGTTGTGAATGTGCAGAAGGGAGTAACTGCATTCTTTGCCGATGAACAAGACTCAACAGCCCATCGGACCATCGATCTTCGTAGTCGCATCTTCCATGACCCTACTGAGGTACGTCTTCCCGAATTGTCGTCTGCTTACAAGTATAGTGCTAACATAAACTTCTGCGAATGTAGTATGAATTGAGCATTGACATTCAAAATTTTGAGAGTTCAATTGCTATCTTGATGAACTACTGGACTTCCCTTCTATCAGAGGAGCAAGCCGATCGGCTTATCGATCTTGTTCTTGACGTTGTTGAAAGTCTTCTAGACAACCCGATGCAGACTGTCGGACAGCTTGAGCTATGCACGAGCAATGATGCATCTCTTTTGCATAGCTGGAACAATGCTCCACTGGTCGAGGAGGAGCGTTGTCTTCATGAAGTTATCGAGGAGCAAGTTGCTTCTAAACCCGAGGCCGTTGCTGTGGTCTCTGACGAAGGCTCTCTTACGTTTCAGGAATTGGATAGCATGGCTAACAAACTTGCGCATCATCTCAAACAATTAGGAGCAGGCCCTGAAACTATTATCCCGTGCTGCTTTGAGAAGTCTATCTGGGCGATTGTTGCCATGTTGGGTGTGTTGAAAGCGGGTGCTGCATGCGCCGCTCTCGATCCAGCTCATCCCCTGGAGCGACTGCAAACAATTTTGAAGGATACTGAGGCACCATTCGTTCTCTCCTCTTCACTTCAAATTGCTCTCGTGGCACAAACTGGTCTACAGGCGGTTGTTGTCACAGAGGAGACACTCAACAAGCTCCCTCCTTGTGCCTCTGCTCCCAGCACTGGTGTCAAGCCTGATAACAAAGCCTTTATTGTCTACACTTCTGGAAGTACGGGGACTCCAAAGGGTGCTATACTTGAACATCGTAACCTATACGCATCCTCTAGAGGATTTGGTACGTTTGGAATGAACAGCGAATCCCGAGTCGCCCATTTCTCTTCCTATGCTTTCGATGTTAGCATCGGAGAGACGATGCTCGCTCTGACACACGGCGCATGTGTGTGCATCATATCGGAGGAGGATCGTCTTGGAGACCTGACGGCAGCGTTGAACAGACTCCAAGCGACATTTACACAGTTGACCCCAACTGTGGTGCGCACCTTGGAGCCAAGCGAACTGCCCTATATGAAAACGGTAGTGACAGCTGGTGAGCTTCTGACAGACGACATTATTCACAAATGGACCGACAAAGTTCGACTATTCAACTCATATGGACCCTGTGAGTGCGCGATCAATTCGACCGGGAGCGATTTGCTCAAGGCTGGTGCTCGGGGCGCTGTAATCGGAAAGCCTCTACAGTCGAGGCTCTGGATTGTCGATCCCGAAAACGACCAACTGCTGGTTCCCCCAGGAGCCGTTGGTGAACTGGTAGTTAATGGACCAATTGTGGGACGTGGTTATCTAAACAATCCCGACAAGACCAAAGCTGCTTTCATGGAAATGCCGCGATGGGCTACCGCCTCCTCGAACGCTGGCAGATTCTATAAGACGGGAGACCTGGCTCGTTGGACTTCTGACGGCAGCATACACTACTTGGGACGCAAGGATGTCCAGGTTAAGATTCATGGACAGAGGATCGAGTTGGGCGAAGTGGAGTATCGCATCGCAGAGAAAGCAGGATCTGCTTTCAAGGCTGTTGTGGCGGCCGTCCCCAAGGATGGCAGACTGAAGCAGCGACTGGTAGCTCTTATGTCTCTTGGCGACCAGAAGCTACATCAAGGAGGGGGATTTTCTGTTGTTGACGATGCTGACCTTAAATCGAGATCATTGGCAGAAATTGCCGATATTATTGAATCGGTGAAGAAGAGTTTGCCGCGGCATATGGTGCCTAGTCTTTGGATACCAGTCCATGATGTGCCCAAACTCCCTTCTGGCAAGACCAATCGTCGCTTCATTAACCAATGGCTGGATGAAATCGACGAACAGCTGTACGCAGACCTGACTACGTCTTCCCAGTCGAGAGTTGTTCCGCCAAAGTCCGACATGGAAGCAATGCTTCAAAGAATCTGGGGAGATATCCTTCATCTCGATGCGACGAGCATCAGTACAGACCAGAGTTTCTTCTCTCTTGCTGGCGACTCTGTGCTGGCTATGCAGCTCATGGCCCGCTGTCGTGCTGAAGGTGTGACGGTGAAAGTGCGAGATATCTTCCAGTACACAACAATTGCAGCCCTGGCACCTCGATGTACTCGTGATGTGGGTGGACCAAACTCTATATCAGATGATTATATACCGCAAACAACTCTCATTGAAGCTGAGCATGGGGACCTCGACTTTGATGGCATGTCAAACATCGAAGCCGTCTACCCTTCCTCACCTATGCAGAGCAGTATTCTCGCTATCCAAGAAACACAGAAGAATGCATGGTTTGCAAGCTTCATAGTAGAGGCCGAACTGCCATCTCAACACAGATCGACTCGGATGGAGGACCTCGCTATGGGGTGGCAAATGGTGGTTAATCGTCACGCCGTACTTCGCACAGCTTTCAGAGCTGGAAAGCAGACCGGTCGGCAATACCAAATCGTGCTGAAAGAGTTTACAGCTCCTGTTTCCTATATCACAGATGCTTTATCAACTGATCCTACGTCTATTTTCAATATTTCGCCTGATATTCCGGACTATGGACTGCCACCACATCGCATGGTTCTTGCAGAGACTATGTCGGAGAAGCGTGTCTTCATTCAGCTGCAGATCAGCCACGCCTTGTATGATGCTGTGGGTATATCAGTACTATGGCACGATTTCCAAATGGCATACTCGAGTCTTCGAGGAGACGGCGTTGCTTTGGACAGCATGCCTGTTTCTCCTTATCGCGCCTTCATTTCCTACATTGAGGGTCTGCCCAAGCCAAGCGCCGTCGGCTTCTGGAAGAATCACTTAGAGGGCATTTCACCCTGCTTTTTCCCATCCCTGCCCGATGAACGATCAAATAGAGGCATCAACATGACAAGCACAACATCTACGTCGAATCCTCCTCTTCATGGATCATTTAATAGCATCGCTGTCCCGATTAATCGGACCAGTAAGATTCGCGCATTTTGCAAAGAGCAGGCTGCTACAACTGCCAACTTATTTCAGGCTGCTTGGGCTATTGTACTCCGCCATTTTACCAAGTCTGACGATGTGAATTTTGGATTCATGCTCTCCGGACGCGATGCTCCCCTGCCCGAAGTCGATACCATCCTGGGCCCCCTAATCAACCTTCTACCTTGCACGGTTAAAGCTAATGGCCACCGGACACTGCAATCCATGTTACGGGCTTTGCAGTCTAACTATGCTGAAACATTGATGGTGAGTGGCTAATCAATTACTTTGGTGCAAATAGAGGCCCCCCCCCCCCCCTTTTTTTTTTTGACTTATGGCATGCTAACCTATGAAAAAGAGTCAAAATTGCTCTCTAGAAGAAATCCGCGCAGCCGCGGGGATTGACGGGCCATTATATAACACATTTCTGAATATGCAACGCGTGACCAAACAATCGCCTTGCTCTCAGAGTAGTGTCCAATTCAATGAAGTTGATGCGTTTATGACAGACGAGGTAAGCCGTTGTCTAAATCCAAGAATTCGCATCAAAGCTAACCAGTTATAGTATGCTATCTCCGTCTACATTTCGGATGTCGGTGATGACATATTCATGGAATTGTCATATTGGACATCGGTTCTCACGGATGAAGATGCCCAGATGATAGGCCAAGCTATACTTCGAGCACTAGATGTCTTATTCGCTGCTGACTCAACGGATAGTCCGCTGAGTCTCAAGTTGTGATGAAATTAGGGGTCGTTGGAATCCAGGTTCACGGTCGTTGCATGAATATAGGATAGTTATTATGGCATTAACTCACTGAGTTGTATGTCTCGAGAATATTACTTGTCACGATCTGCTTCTACATTATCGACACACACAACGTGACTAACGCATAGATAACACCGGGTCAATCTATATATACGCGCTTCGTAGACTGTGTAAATAGTATAGGTCTTGCCATAGACTTTTGTATGTGAAACCAAGACCATCCAAAATAACTGCCGCTCATGATAGGCCTGTGCTCAGTTGGTTCTATTCTGTAATTATCTCAATGTTGCCTTGACGATAACTGCACCTCAAGCCAAGATTGATGCCCATCTTCTCTTTATCATGTAATGCAGTCATTGTCATCCTTTTTAGCACTTGATAGCCACGTAAGAGATGATTTCTTTTTATTCTGCTGATCCATCTTCGGTGATGCCAGCGGTAAATTAGCTCTCTCTATCGCGGCTTTACCATGCTGACAAAGATGTCGGGCGCATCGATAAAGAATTGATCATTCCTCTTAAAAAATATTCGCTTCTTATATATATTTCATCAATCCCAATTATGTGTAGGTCTTTAAGATCTCTTGCATGTCTGCCTGAAACTCAGCTGGCAACTCGTAAACTAGAATGATTCTGTATCTGGTCCAACTGCTCATAACTGGGACGTTCTCCCTTCACAACCATAAATGCTGCCGATGTTTTATCGTCAAAAAATGAGTTGGCACCCTGAACAGCGGCATGGTACTGAAAGCTGAGATTGGACTTGGCTAAATGGTTTGATAACGGCTCCGCTCCACTTGTCTCTCCACGGGGCACCAACATGTCCAGCTCTTCATTTCGGGTTGTTCGTAGTATGGTGGAAAATGATGACCTATACGAAGTGGATGATGCCCCTATGCATGCCAGTCCAACTATCACAACTGCGAAAGTAGCGAATATACCAGTCCCGTATGCTGTGTAAAGATTGCGTGGGTTGTAGGAATATTCATTTAGAGAAGTCCATTCCGTGACATTTCCGGTTGTACTGTTATCAAGACTACGCCTGTTTATTGTCAGTGACTGTTTGTAGGGGGTCGTTCGTCTCTTGTATGGTGGGAAATGAGATTTACAGTAGATCTGGGTTGCTGAAGAGACTCAAGGTGATGTTGGATACAAGTTGTTCCAACGTCTCTGCCATGGTGAGATTGGTGCCGTTTCCAGATTTCTCACCCAGGATGCCTGTCTGGCCGAAACCATTTTGCAAATATTGCATATCGTGAGTCTGGGTGAGTACGGTAGACAGAACTTGAGTTCGTACTGGTTGAAGGGAGCCATAACGCGTTGCGATAATTTTACCCATTAGGATGCCGCCCAATGAGTCCATAATAGATACATAGGCAACCTCAGGGAGTGTATGGTCACCTTGGCCCGTTACGGTGGCAACACTAACTGGGTTGAGCCTTGTCAGGTTGCGGATGTTGATGGTCTGTTTGCCGTTCTCGAATCCTAAATCGACGCTATAAGACGAATTATAGAGCCCGCATTCTATAGTCCTATTTGCGAATGAGCCGTATGTTGGAAATCCAACGAAAAATCGGCAGCGAGCTTGGTGGTCTGCGGAACTCGCCGTGTCGTCAATAGTGGCCAAATTCCCACTTAAGTCGAGAATGGTTTGGGGGTCGAAAATTGCCCGCAAACCACTCAATGTTCTATTCTCCCAGTTAATGATGGTATCTCCTGTTTTGTTATCTCGTGCCGTCTGGGGAACAAAACTGAAGTATGTAACTACTTGATTAGACATTCCCCAAATTGATCCATATGCTTCTTGGAAAGTTTTATCATAAGCGGCATGGAATGCAGAATTGCCCCCCAATGGTCCGCATGATAGAGAGGGACCGTAAAAGTCTAGAGAGTATGAACTATTGGCATACGGTGCCTGTATGGGAAGAATGGTTCCTTGAGATGCCACAGACGAGACCAGTCGGGCGACCGCAACGGAAGGGGCAACATATCCGCCGCCACCTTCGTTGCCCCATTGGGCAAACGGATACGGGCTAGTTGAGTTTATTGTGGGCAAGGGCTTAATGTGTTTTGTCTCATTCAGTTGCTTAGATGGCTGAACTGTCAGTGCCGCGGGGGTGAAAACGGCAACAATAGGTAGCGCCCTACTCGGTACGAAGATACAGATATATCAGCCAATATAAAGCCATTAGGGATATCGGGATATTGATCATAGAAGGCAAATAACTCACCATAAAATGCCAGCAATCAGCACTAACCCAAACCCCTTTCGCCAGAGCTCTAGAGTTAAAAATTCCCACGCATTAGTAGTGACGCTGAACATGGCGTCTACTCCTTTCAAGGTTGCATGACGGGATCGTAAGGTTGTCCACAGTAGTTGTGTATAGGCAAATCCAGCAGCTGCTGTCAGACAAGTTTTGACTAGAAAAGCCATGCCAGTTCCGATGCGAATGTTCCATTCTTGTTCGATGTTGCTTTGTACAATTTTTGCATTCAGAGATGAGTAGAAGAAATGGTGGCCGAGCGCAAAAGCTATACCGCACAAAAGACAGCCGATCATTAAGCTCGGTACGGCCCAGTGTGCCTTAAATAGCGCCATCTTCGGAGGAGCTTGCGGCGAATTCGTCCAGACAATTCATCTAAATCGCATAGAGAAGGGGCACAGTGCAGTATCAGCCTGCTGAGGCGGTGCAGATTTATCGAAGGATGTTCTATGAAAATAATTGCATGATCGTCTATATAACGGAAAGCTGTTCATCTCCATAGTACAATTAAAGTAGCCTTTAATCTTGAAGCGCTTTCAGCACCTGCTACAAGAAGCGGGGACCAATCATGGAGTGGGCGCTTGCCCTTGTGGAAGTATACCTCAGGAGGATTCAAGCTTGTTTCATGTGAAACACGGGAAATCCTTTGTGTATCTTATTAGGTGGCAATAGAACGATGATTTGAGCTAGTAATCTTTACCGTAGCAGTTTCTATGAGCTTTGCCAACACCAGCAAGCCCAACCACTAATCACTTTTTCTCATTTCATGACGCGACAGCGGCTGCTTTGTGCCAAGAAACCTTGCTGAAGGGAATTGGCATCACCAGATGATCCCGATCCAATCAGATCTTCCAGCATCCAGTCCAGTTTTTTTGAGGAATCTCTTTCAAATACACATTCTTAAGATGTGATCTATCCGACAGTGTATGCCATGGCCTACTTCACCGTAGACGGGACGAGAATATCCACAAAAGGAAGCGCTGATGCAATGTATCTCATGAGCGACGCAGTTAGCGTGGCGCTTCGGCATTAACCAGTATCAGTCTTGTCCAAAATCCCTCGAGCAACCCGGTCACTTGCGCGCAATTGAGCGAAGAGACGATGTGAACAAACGGTGCATGTGTAGCCGATCTTTGGTTCCCGTGACTTATCAGTCCAGGCTAGACGTTTAGCGAGAGAGGCTGGCGCATTCTGCTTTTGTGAGCGTCTAGGAGATTTTGAATAAGGTATGTATTCTTACTTTTGTCCCCTAAGGTCGGTCCAGTTTAATCTCTAATTGTTTGCTTAATGCTACCTATTGACTCGACTGATATCCCCTGCCTGACCTTGTGCGAGAGATTGCGGCAATACACCATGTATGTTATTCTCGCTCGCTTTATGTGTCACTTATAAGCTGCACTCTTCGCGGTGTAGGGTGGCTTGTGTCTGCGCACACCAATTACATGAAGACAGTATTACTCCGTAATATGCTGTTGTAATACATAACGGCGTGATGTAACAGTCCATATGTAAATATTTCACGTGCTTAAAAAGGGGGCATATTGATTTGATTCATAAGTGTTCAATAATCGCGCCCAGCCGGTTATACAGGTAGTGTTTCATTTAGCATTAGCATAATACCTAAGTGCTCATATGTGACTTTGTGGCGAACAGAATGGAACAGGTCGCTGCATCAAGGAGTCATTACTTAGTGCGCTGTTTATACATCGAGAAAAAAAAAATCGGAGGAAATAGAGTGTAGAAGAAGGTATGAAATTACCCATAGGTAGTCAGTATTCAATACATAACAGTCGCAAGTCTGGACCCGAATGCTTTGATGTCATATAACTTCGCTAGGTGTGCTGACATTTTTATCATCACCGTTTTAAGGTATTCCTATTGTTCTGCTATCCCTAAGTATCCTGCCCATTTAGTCAATAACCCCCAGCCCACAGAAGGAACAGAAGGACCCGATAACCCCACGATGGTGTCTATGCAGCTGCTGGTGGGGACCTGCACATCTTCAGGCTTTACGTACATACGGTGCTCAAGGCCAATTAATTTACTGAAGCTACAATAAGGCTATTATAGAATGAGAGCAATTTTGCCATTTCAATCCGGGTATTTAAAACACTTAGTATTTATGGTTAATAAATCTCCGAGCTACTCATACTCTGCTGTTTATTGATATGCCAAGCTATGTAACCCCGCAAAGATAATTAATAAAAGCAAAAAGCACGACAGTGTAACCCCTAGGGAATGGCATCTTCAAAAGATACTCTTGGCAGAACGGTTAATTCAGTTCTCCTCTATTGCTTTCTTTATGCGGTTGATTACGGCAAAATATTTCCCTGGGCGCTCATAGGCAGAAAGCTTGAACAAGCATTTAGAATCTTTACTTTGGTCAATCTTTGCTGGAGCTAGACTTACATTCCTTTACTTCTGCCAAGGCAAGGTTAAACTGCTGCTATTACAGAGCACATACTTCAGTCTCTGCTCCATTCTTCAATAGGAGAGTTACAGTAACATTTTATCTTTACCCGGGGCGGCTATAGAAGAGTCTCACATATCCGAATATGATGAAGCATCCGCGAGCTCTTCATATAACATTTCATTATAAGGCTTTGTATCAAGATTACCAATGCCCTACAATTATAAATTCTTGCGATACCCGCTGTTGAGATAAGCTATACTATTGGATTCTATTCCAACAAGTAAAGGGAACATCATAGCGCAAGACGGCTTGTGGAGTGTCATTGTTGTACGAAAATTTGAACAGAAACCAGGTATATTATGTGGGTGTTGAAGCTGTCCATGATGTTGCTGACTCTCTGAAATAGAACCAGTAAACATCAGCAAATATGAAAGCAAATATAATATTTTGCCTTCTGGCGCCTCTGGTAGCCGCTCTCCCGGCCGAATTCATTCGATTGGAGCCTGAACTTGCCGCACGCCGCGTTAATATTACTGAGAGAATGGCTGATTTAGAGGATCGACAAGCCTCCGTGAGCATTGATCAGCTCTTCAAAAGGAAAGGCAAAGTTTATTTTGGAACTGCAACTGACCGTGGCTTACTCCAACGAGAACGAAATGCAGCCATTATCCAGGCTAATCTTGGACAAGTGACGCCAGAGAATAGCATGAAATGGCAGTCACTTGAGCCTAACCAAGGCCAGTATAATTGGGGAGATGCAGATTACCTTGTTAACTTCGCCCAACAAAACGGCAAGACGATACGTGGACATACTCTGATTTGGCACTCACAACTACCTAATTGGGTCAATAACATCAATAATGCAGATACTTTGCGCCAGGCTATCCGTACTCATGTTCTCACTGTTGTTGGAAGATATAAAGGAAAGATTCGCGCTTGGGTAAGTTGTGAAAATCTCAACTCGTTCCTTTGGTGGGTGGCTGCTAAATTTATGTATTTTTATGATGTCAATAGGATGTAGTAAACGAGATCTTCAACGAGGATGGAACACTACGCTCTTCTGTGTTTTCTAGACTGCTAGGCGAAGAGTTTGTCTCGATTGCTTTCCGTGCTGCTCGAGAAGCTGATCCGTCTGCTCGTCTCTACATCAACGATTACAATCTCGATGTTGCCGGGTCTAGTAAAGTCAACTTGATGAGATACTATGTGGATAAATGGATCTCTCAAGGAGTTCCCATTGACGGCATCGGTCAGCCAGCAATGTTTAACCCCCTTTGACCTCATTTCCGCGGTTGATAGCTCAGAATATTTAGAACTAACATAAGACGCTCTGTACAGGAACTCAAACCCACATCGGTGCTGGAGGAGGTGCCTCTGTACAAGGTGCACTTCAGCAGCTAGCTACAGCACCAGTCACTGAATTGGCCATTACTGAACTTGACATCGTGGGCGCACCGTCGAACGATTACAGCGCAGTTGTTCGAGGATGTTTGAACGTTCCTAAGTGCTTGGGGATCACTGTGTGGGGTATTAGCGACAAAGTAAGTACATGGCACTTTTACCCTGCTAAACAGAGAACCTTATTGACGTATTCATAGGACTCGTGGCGTTCAGGCTCCAGTCCCCTTCTATTCGACAGCAACTTCAATCCTAAAGCAGCTTACAACAGTATTGTAAGCATTTTACAATAAACTCTCTGCATATGGTGAAGGGAAAAGCGTGCCTCAGAAGATCGAAATATAAAAAGGATTACCTCAGATGCGGAATACCAGTTCCATTGTAAATGCTTAGAAATATACATGAGCTACAGGTCTACACTTGTACCTTCGAGATGACATATTCTTATATTGCTTCCAATTTCTCGGCTCCCATCGGGCATTCGCCTCTGTTCACGCTATACGAACTTTTGAAGTGTCTTTGGGAGGCATTTCCTGCTTTCTAAACGTTTTAAAGCGAGAATCACAAATCCAAAAGTCAAACACTAATTACTCTCTGCCACAGATGGAGGCAAAGGTCTCGTAGATTTGTATCTCAAGTTCTGCTTCTGCATTTGCCTTAAACTCAACTGACAGGGGCGGAATATGAGAAACAATGCCTTCATTCGTCATTCATTATATACCATTACGCTCGTAGATCCTCATAAAAGCACATCAAGACATCGCCCGTTACGACAGTGCGAGCTGCCAGCCCCGTTGTCGAACGATATCCCTCCAATCGACCCTCTCTGTCTCGCTGGATTCATCCCTCTTCTTCCAAACATCTTCCAAGACCTCCCTACAAGCATTGACATTTCTAAATTGCCTCCATTTGTTCATTGTGCAAAGTCTGTTCCTAATACACTCAATATGCGTTACATCCGTAGCCTCTCCACCAGCAATAAAAAGAGGAAAAAGCAACGAGCACTCAGCCAGAGATCCCTCCGGTACTTTTTGTGCAACGTCGCATACCGACTCAACATATACGGAGATGCCTTCTGGCAGTATCTCAGCCGCACGCTGTGGGAAGTATTGGCGTACGACACGATCGAGGTATATGAGGCCTGCACTTCGATATGTTTCGCTAAGGAAGGCAAGCGGCGTGTTGGCGGAAGACGCTGGACATTTCCATTCTCGAAGACTAAAAGCGATATTGTGGGCTCGTTGAAGTGGTGTATGGTAGTTGCAATCCAAGGGTAGTTTTTCGAAGATGAGGGCAAACTCGGCTTCTTCTAAAGTCAAGTCACCGCCAACGGACGCCTTGTATTCTGCGCAGTCTGCGTTCAAAACACTGATTTCAGATATCAATATCATAATCTTAGACGCAAAAGCAAAGTAGGGATCCGCCATGGCATCGTCTGCAGACATCCAATAGTCGCCCGTGATCAATGGCCTCCTGTCTAGTGAAACGCTCATCAGGATGTCATGATAGGCAAAGTTCCTCACAAGCCACCTTCTTTCAACCGATTTTAGCCAGTAGTCGCTCAAAACAGACCGCGACGTTTGTAGCGGGCCTACTTGCATATCGGAACTCTTGGACTGTAAGGCCGCCGCAGCACCTGCTAGATGGTGTGCCCAACTACTGCTGGTTGCGTCCGAAATAGTCTCCATGGAGCACATGGCCATAGCTACAGCTAGACACATTTCCCCATTAAGACTACCTTCTTGAAGGGCAGCGCTAAGGTTGGCAAGCACCCGCCCACGATACTGCAGCGACGCATCGTGAAAATTGGGGTCTCGAAGGGCAAGGTGGGCCGAAGACCATGCAGCCATTGCATCAAGGAGGGCAGGGCAATCGAATGCCATTGGCAATAAGACTAGGTCCACTATTAAAAAGGAATTCTAGAAAATGAAAAGAATGACTGAAGTGAACTAACCGGATAAGAAACAATTGTTTTCCGCGGTTGCGGATAGCATAATAGCGAGAGTGGAAGTGTAATACCGCATCATGGACCTTCGACTGGAGCTCCAATCATGACCAGCGGGGCTGTCAAGACGCACAAGATCCAGAGGCTCATGAATCTTTGTCAACCTCAACACTTCGGAGATATGATCGCTCTGCGAAAGACTAGAGTGTTGAGAAGCCCAGTATGGCTGTGCCTGGGAAATCCCGGAATCCTCCTCCACAGCATCCTCGCTCCAGGCACTTGACAGCTGCCGGGGCTTCTCATGCTTGCAAACAAGGTTAAGTCGTGAGCAGTGCCCGCATATGGGCAAACCCTGGTCGCATTTCTTCTTGCGCTGGCGGCAGGTCAAACAACCGCGGCGCTGTCGCGTGTAGCCGCCCTTTTTCGTCGATTTGCGTTGTGTGACCAGCGGTTGTGGAGTAGACTCTAGCGGAACGGCCAAAGTTGACATGGTGACAACTCATATGTCGGCGTGATGGGCGTTACAGGCGGCAAGAGATTCCAATGTGGGACGTTGTGCAATACAATATACACTGCGAATAGATGGGATGAGATGCTCAAGAGGAAGTGAAGTAGTAAGAGAGCGGAGATCTAGAGTCTCGGAAAGAGTTCATGCACGGCGTCAATGGCGGCACGAGATTGCTATCTTACTAGCGGATGATTGAAGATAGCAATTGAGCGTCCATTGGCTGGAAAGAGGCGGAGCGAGTCATGAGTAAATGTGGGTGGGCCAAGAGCGCGGGGAATCACAAACGTGGGGGGGGGGGCGATTTGGAAGTTGTTGGAAATATACTTTGTGAGAGGCAAACTAGCACTCGCGGAGAAGAGATGAATAACCATAAGGGGAATTAATAGTGCATTATCTAGCCCAAAACGTATAGAAGGAAATGTTCGTCTAGTCGAAACGTTAATGGACGGACTCGCCTTCATAGTTGTCCAACCTAGGCCCAGTAAAGGTTTTACGCAGTTTGGCAACCCATGCAATTGTTGTAACGGCTAGCCCGACAGCCATAACTACAATCAGATAGTTCATGGAGCTAGCTGTGACAGGATAACCCACGGGAAAGCAGAAACAGACTGAGAAGAAAATGACAAACAAGGTGGCAACTGCGTTGGTTATGTAGCCAAACTTGCCCAGAGAAAAGGCTCGCTCGGGGAGAATGCCGCGGCCTCGGAACAAAAGAGCAGCCTGAGGTAATGCGACAGTGATGTTGAGCGCAAATAGGGTGAGGTTAATGAAACTGCTATAGGCCGTAGATGACGCAACATAGAGGACCCCAATGATGATCTGCAAGACGAGCATAACCGCGGTGGCGCGAACAGGACTTGCCCAGTTGAGGCGAGAGATGAAGCTGGAGAAAGGCACCCCGCCGTCACGGGAAAGAGACCAGATTGTTCGCCCCGCGAAAATGAAGAGGTTGAGGACAATATCGTAGAACATGACCATATAATACACGGCCCAGATGGTTGTAGCTACTTTTGAGTTCAGCGCCTGGTTGTATACCTCCAAAATCGGAACACCGGACTCGATGAGGGCCTGGAGATCCGTAATAACAAACATGAGCGCAATGTTCCATGCAAGGACTGTGATGACACCCAAGACCATGGTGGTAATGATGGCAATAGGGACATTTCGGCTCGGGTTAGGTACTTCTTCAGAGACGTGGGTAGCGGCGTCAACTCCAGAATATGCCCATAAGCAGCCTGTAATGCCAATGAAGATGGCCCATCCATCTGGCCACCCGCTGACATTCTGATAGTCTCTGAACACAAAATCCGCGGTTTGTTTGACGTCTTTGACAGCAAGCAACGTTACAAGAGAGGCGACGAATCCAACAAGGGAAAGTACCAGAATCGTCACTCCCAGTTTGCCAATCGCGGTTGGGAATCGAGATGTGACAACAAAGGCGATGATACAGAGCAAAATATGCAATAGATATGTATGCCAAGCCTGTGTTTCGTAGCCTTCGTTCCAAAGACCCACGACGTCGAGGATAGAGCCGGCGACAAAGAGGTTGCACGACACCGTTGCTGCCATGATATAAATCACAGAAATCCATCCTGTAAAGAACGCGGCGACTCGACGTGTAGACGGCGGAAAAGTCATGTAGACGATATGATATTGGCCCCCAGCAGATGGGAATGCAGAAGCAAGCTCTGCAAAGCCAATGTTGATGATGACCATAACAACTGCGGCAGCAATGAGGCCGTAGATGAGGGCTGGGCCACCACCGCATGAAAGCGGGACGGCGACACCAGAGGCGAATGCTACCCATGAATTCATGGTGGTGAAACCGAATGCGATGACCGAAAGGAGGGTGAAGCGCTTCTTGAGGTGTTCGTCGGGATGCATGTATGGTGACTTGTCTTCCACATGTGACTGGGAAATGGACGCGGTGTCCGGAATGTCAGATTTGCCTGAAGCCATATCGACGAACGGCTTTCGCTCTTTGGCGTCGATTATAATAACGAAATTTGAGAAGAAGAATGATGAAAAGAGTTGGGGTTAAGGGAAGAAAGAAGACGAAAAGTTGGGGGCGTTATGACCAACAGCTGGTCTGACTTGGGTATGTCAAGAAACAGTCCGCGAGAGCCATCCTATATAACATTGCGCGGCGGACATGTATTTAGAGGTGTTATATATCTGGGACACCCTCATCGCGGTGAGAGTTGATACTCTGAATACGACGCACTGATAACGGCACAACCTGGAGGTGGGTCGGACTAGGCGGCTCTACTTGGCCGATCTCGGGCTTTGTTGAAACGCATCTCACTTAGACAACATCCCCGCCATTAACGCCGGGTGTGGGGATTGTGGGGGAGGCGAATCCGGGAACTCAGACACGGCGGCCTTATATAATAGAGATGTTAAAGGCCAAATGTGCTGGATATGGTGATTCCTATCATACCTTTCTTTACGAGCAATCTTGAGCAAGTCTTATCTAGAAATGAAGTTCGTGTCGCTGTTACACCTCCTGTCTTTTATCGGCTCAGGTTATGCCTGTGGCGGTCATCATGATGAGAAGGAATGGAGTAGTGAAGAATTAGCAGAATTGGAGGCGAAATGGGGGCACGAGGTATGTACTGGGGTAAAATCGATGTTAATAACTCTTAATCACTCACACATATAGTGGTCGTTCAATGGCATCGGGTCATTTGCTCACCTGGATTATGTCAAATGTCTCACCAACCCTCAAGAGAAATATGACATTGCCATCATCGGAGCGCCGTTTGACAACGCCGTTTCTTTCAGACCGGGTAAGGGCTTTCGCATTGTTCAGACGATGAATCTTACTCATTCTTTCTCAGGCGCCCGATTTGGCCCCAGAGCCATCAGACAAGCGTCTTCGCGCCAGACTTCATTACGCGCATTCAACCCTCGCGCCAACATCAACCCGTACCAAAATTGGGCAAGGATTGTTGACTGCGGAGATATTCCTATAACTCCCTTTGATAACAATATTGCAACAGAGCAAATGACTCAGGCATTTAAGAATCTTGGCAGAGCTCGGCCTATAAGCTCCTTGAGTCAAGGTAAACCGAAGCTCATCACTCTTGGCGGTGATCACAGTTTGGCGCTTCCCGCTTTGAGGTCCTTGAATGAGATTTATGGTAGGCCCGTTCGTGTGCTTCACTTTGACGGTATGTGTATCTCCCATAAACTTTAAGACAAACGAGCAAAAAAGCTAAATCACGGCAGCTCATCTGGACACTTGGGATCCTGCTGCGTACCCATCCGCTTGGGGCTCAACACACTTCACCCATGGCTCAATGTTTTGGATGGCTAACCAAGAGGGTCTGCTATCTAATTCATCAACCGGCCAGTCTGTCCATGCTGGTTTACGTACCCGCCTCAGCGGTACGGATTGGGCAGATCACGAATCCGATACCGCTCAGAACTGGGTTCGCTTTGCGGCTGATGAGATTGACGATATTGGCACCAAAGGTATCATTGATGGTATTATGTCGGTGTTAGGAACTGAAGACCCTGTATATCTGTCTGTCGACATCGACGTATTGGATGTTGCTTTCGCACCGGGTACTGGAACTCCGGAGCCTGGTGGTTGGACTACCCGGGAGCTTATCAGGATTTTGAGAGGCATCGAGGGCTTGAATATTGTTGGTGCTGATATAGTCGAAGTCAGTCCAGCGTACCAGGGAAGAGGTGAGGAGACTGCATTAGCAGCAGCACAAGTCGTCTATGAGATTCTAAGCTCTATTGTCAAGAAAGGGTTGGAGAATGGGCTTAAAGGAAAGGAAGGGAATGAAAAGGATGAGCTGTAACAAAACGCGAAATTAGAATGTGCTTTACTATTACAAACAGGCTTTTATAATATGTTATTGCCACAAAAGAAACATTACCATGCCAAGTATAAGTATGAAACAAAGTAAACTGTAAGCTGATCTCTATAGACTATAGGATATAAATGCAAATGATTCCACATGTTTACTCCACATGTAAAGAGCACGAGAGACATGCTACACAACTAGATCATGTATCGGATACTGGTATTGGCTGGCATCCAGAAAGTAGCGGCTCTTTTCTCCATGAAATTGTCCATAAAGTCTCCGAACAAACAGATTGAGAATTGAGTCATATAAACTCCGAATCGTACGGTCCTTCTCCCACCAGTGGTGGCGGACAAACACACCGCGACATTTGTTGTTGCCGATGTATGGCGCTCCATTACCTTGATCGCAGGGAATGGTGCGTAATTCGTCTGGTCCGTTGTAATCATAACGTAGGTGATATCCAAATGCCGCTTGCTCATGCGCCCATTCTTTTAACCAACGATCACAGCCGGGGTAGCGATCGCCAGTCGGACAGTTTTCCCAGGCATCGAACATCTCTTGTGTACGGTTACTCTGTTGCGCAATAATGAACCCGGTATTCCAAAGCAGTCGACCCTTGTCATCCTTGTTGTAGCTCTCGTCAGGATCTTCAGCCATGGCGACAAGCGTCCGTGGCGTTATGTTCCAAAAACTCATCAACCATTCAAGTGGGAGATGAGGGTGAACGAACTCAGCATCCGCGTCGAGGAAAACCACAACAGCATGGGATTTAAGAGCTTCTTTTATCATAGGGACTTTCACCCAGGTGCCGTGACGATCGTTGTAATTAGGGGCTCGCACGAGTCGGTAGTCGTATCCATGGATCATTGCTGCGGCGGAATCTCTTTGTTAATATGGATTGGAGAATAAAAGTGAAGGAAATTGGGTATACCATACAATAGAGATAATGACTCATAAATCCTGCAGTCCGACCTGTAATCTTAGACAGATCCGGCTTCTCCCCATTCAATATCTCGCCAGTGTTCGTATTTGGCCGACTATCGACGTCAAGAATAATGAGTTTTTTGCCAAAAGTCTCTGTCCATCGATAGGAACCGCTCGGAATTTTGTAATGCTCGCCGTTATCGGCAATGAATGATTTGGAAGCAATGTTGTGCAAGTATGGTCTCCATAGGTGTTTCGCTAGGTACGACATATCTGTCCAATTTGCAGGCGTTCCGTCTCCGAAGCACAATCTAATTTAGCATCGTAAATCAGCTGCATTCTCATTTGGCATCGCCATTCCATCCCTGATGTTAAGAACCAAAAAATGATGACTCACGGTGATGGCAAAGTCACGTCAGCTGTGTAGAGCGTGGCTATATACACGATAATGCCGTACACAAGTAAGAAGCTTCCTACCGCCAGCGGTATTTTGAGCTGTCGCCATCTGTGGTGCCACTGTTCTCGCTCTGGAAACTTGAAAAAGGTGATCCCTCGAGTGACATGTCCTTCTATTACAGCTGCTGTCCATCCGGCGCGCATGTCAAGAAAAATTTGCTGCCTGAATTCTTTTTTTCCTTCTTGAGACGTACTGGCTGCTGGTTTGCAAATTTCTTACAGTATAATCTTTCGATAATTTCTACGAGAGACTATATATACATAAACCAAAGTGGCTTTCCTTTCTAGAAACAGCTGCAAAGCAGATACGAGATACAATTTTACCATTTGAGTAGGTGGAGCAATTAACTGCAGTGAGGAATGTCGGTAAGAAGCAGCTACTTGCAACGCTGCAACAGTCTTTCTTTCTAACTTGCTCTTTCACAACCAACACATACGAGTAAGGTGTGATAACTTCAACATGAAAGATATGGACCAACAATATCCACCAATAAGTCTGCGCCTCTTTTGCACACGTAACTAAGAACGTAATGCCCGTGGCCTTTGCTCTCTCCCACTAGGGATACATTGATGTTAGCGCTTGGTTGAGTGAAATAGTAGTAGGCTGATAAACTCGTAACTGCTAAGCCGTAGTTGTAAATGTCGCTCAAAAAGCGAGCTGGGACCTTTTTGGATATGCAGTGGAGTATCAAAATTCTCGTATTCACCTAGTATGCAATGCAGTTATGGAGTGGAGGGTGACGACTTTTGTAGTAGGGCTGGGATCCCTGCAGGCGCTAGAATTGTGACAAGCAGTGGTGTTATGCTTAACAAAGCTTGGTAGACAAATTACATTAGAGCACTTTGCCACAGTCGACAGCTATTATCAGATCAATAAGAAGCCGACAAAGTAGTGATAAAAGAGTAATGCATTAAGCAAATGCTATTTGATGGTCAACCTTTTAGGTTGAGTCTAGCTTTATGGTGGTGAGAGAATATGTACCAATTCCAGATATTCGTGAGCAGCAGCACCTAATGGGGCCATCCCGTTGCCGTCTATCGTATCAATCTTAGTGCCATCCTTGCGTAAAGCTATTGGTAGTACGGCGTACCCACCAACATTTCGTAAGTAGCACGTTATTATATCTTTTGAATCGTCCCTTGTCGTAAACGATAATACGAGCACTGTTCATAGGACCAATGGGTAGCCGTGATATCAACTGGAGATATCATTGGCCATATCAAAGACCTATAAAGTGGCATCACATGTCAGTCGGACCCTGTTTGTAGAGTCACTATAGCTAGTGCCATCAACTCTGCTTTCAGGATACGCTTACTTGACAGTTATACGACCCACGTAGGAGTTTTTCACAATGTATTGATGGGTCAACAACGAGAGGTCGTTACACCAAAACCTCTTTCTGGAAGTAGCTATAATTTCTTCTTTCGTAATTCGGCACCGGCCGGACAGCGAGAATTCCCGTAACCGAGAGACCCGCCTTTCTCTGCTGTGTCAGCTTTCCATCGATACGAAAATCACTACGCCGCTGGCTAATCCGTTGGCTAACCCGCTGTGGGTCTTGGTTCCCGTCTCCAAATTTGCACCTTATTTACTCTTGGCGTACAGCAGCCTGATGGCTCCCACGTGGCCTCTCTTTGTCTGGTCGCTTCTCGTTGGTCGTTTTACGGTGCTTTGTATCTATACAAGCTTATGATATAGAAGTGCTCTCCTAAGCATGGGTCACCGCCTTGACAGATACACCCCTGTAATACACTGTAATCAAGGACCAACGTAGTCTCTGTCTCGCATCCCAGGAGATGCTGCAATCGCTCGTTATTTGCTATCTATGTTCTTATTGTAACATCATCGTCTTCTTAATGCTTGATAGTGTGAATAAAGACCGCCAGTGCTTCCGGCGACTGCCAAATTTGATCATTCTACAATCGTGATTTGAGTCAGTCACAGGATTAGCTTCACCAATGGGAGCTACACGGAAAAGCGAGTAAAGGAGGCTGATGCCGTGATGTCGTAGTTGAGGGTACTGCTCCCGGGTATGACAGGGGGACATATCCGTGCCGACGTGTTCAACCCTCTCCTGCCAGAGCCCCTTGAACATTTCGCATTTCGGCTAAAGAAGCACAGGAAAAACTTTCATAGAAGCTTATTTTTAGACTGGCTGATATATCATTCCACGTGTTTCTTTGTGTATTCAGTGTTTGTAATCCTTGGCAGTGTATGAACACTACTCGCTCAATGCCAGAAGAGTCTTATATAAAGCTTGAGACCACCTGAGCGACCTTCCGATGGTAGTTGCAACACCTCCTTTCTTTCCATCACATTTGACCTGTTGCCAAAATTATACGGCAGCCATAGTATTTCCATACTCTTTGCGTCTTCTCTCCTTATTTAGTAGTTGGTCATTTGTCGTTTAGCCATCTTTATTAGTAGCCGTTCTTCAGTTCCTAATCACTGGCTAAATAAAAGTATGCTTTTTTTTCTTTGCATCTTGGAGACGACATGCACACTGTTGTGAGCTTTGCTGTTAAGCGTTGACAGCTGTGACCTCAATATTCGACTTTGTGTTACTGAGAACACGTTCGCTAGTTCAGTCTATATTAAGATGTTATTCCATAACAAACTGCACAATTTTCCGCCTCCAGATAACAGAGCTGAAACAGGCTTGAAAAATGGGAGTGGCTCATAATCGCTATTGGATGCACGAAGAGGAAGATACGGAACCGCCGTATTCGTGCTATAATTAAAATTTGCTGGGGGTATCTATGTAACGAAACCCCCCCCCCCCCCCATCCAAGAATGGTAGATTGATGTGATATTTTCTACTATTACATAGTACACGCTATCAAGAGATTCGTTAGATGTTATAACACTACGTGATAGATTGTCAGCATCTGCAGAAGGTATTATACATTAACTACTTTGCTAAACCATGAGGGAAGGGAAACCAAGATGGTGCGGTGTGGGGCAGCCACATCGCCGTTTAATGAGGGTTAAAAGGGATGAGATTAATTGTCCAGCTGCTAAATCAAGTGACGTAGGGCGCTGGAGAGAAAAGAGAGTGAAGAGGTGACAGAGGGTAGGACCAGCGTGTAATGTAATAATAACAGCAATAAGAGTTCAGTTATGGAAATTGATATAAGCATAATTAAACTAATCTTAGTGCTGCCAGGTATTGGGGTTTGACTCTCAGGGTTCGTGTGGCAAGTTAATAGTACTACCCAGTAGTACTGAGCAGAGACGAAACAAGCTGCTGATCTAAGCTTGCTAAGTTGCTACCCCGACAATGTTTGCCTGTAAGCTGCATTTTCCTAAGCACGATCTTCACGCATGTTTGAGTCCAACAAAAATTGCCCAAGTGGCTGTGTCCATATAGCGTATATAAAGACAGTTGATCGTATAGTACGGGAGCAAAGACATCCGGCTGGTAGGGCAAGTTGCTAGTCTGCTGCCAATACCCCGATTTTCTAAAAACACAGCAGCCGCCAGGGTCTTTCCTGTCAAAAGTACTCTATAAAAAGTGGGAAATCTCTTTAGGAAAAGAGTCACTAGGAGCACTAAAGAATTCCAAATCCCCTCCAAGTCTCCCTAATTCCCCGGTGACATCGTTTTCTCCGGGGCTATCCCTCTTCCACTGTCTCAAGATAGAAGCCCGTTAGAACGGGAACCGACAACCGCATCTTCTCCGCTACCGGGCGTGCATGCGATTGGCACCGACAACCGCCAGGGACAGCTGGAGGTCGGCGTCTGTGGGGCAAGTTTCGGGCACAGCTAGCACGGAACCCCGAGTCGCCGGCCTGTTTCTCTCCCTGTCCTTGTGTGCTCTAAAAAAAGATGACCCCGGGCGTTAGTAATAGTAGTAGGTCGCAAGTGTGCGCCAAAGCACCCATCAAGTCATGCTGCATAAGTTTATATATCAAATTTATCTACCCAGATGCTATGTAGACAATATTATTTCGAGTCATTCCCATTAGCCAACGTCCTTGCATCTCAATTCAACATTCGGCTCAGACCCCGCGTCTCCAGCTTATTTTTCTCTATCCCTTCTGTATACCATTCTTTTCTTTTGCCGTATTTATTCCTTGTTCTCTGGTTCCTTTATCCTTTTCCCTAGCCTCGCTATACCTTTTACAGAAGACTTGCCAGTTGCAATGGAGCATTTACGGGATGAAAAAGCGTCCGACGGATCCCCTATGCTATTACCCGCCGTTTACACGGCGTATGATCCTTCAGCATCTACTCCACTTGCACCGCCGCTCCTAAGGAATGTTGGTAAGTAAAGAGAGGTAAAGAGAGGACGAAAGGCACGAGATCCATACCTTGAACGTATTGTTGGACGCACGAGGCTTGTCATCCGCGTGTTCTCTTTGCTTTTTACTGCCTCTATTATGATTGTACTGGGATATGCCGTCGCCAAGTACCTAAAAACCCAGCACATGAGCGTGACAGATGATCGCAGTGGGTTTAAGATGAGACTATGGCCGTCTGGCTTGAAATCGCAACCGACGCTGGTGTTGCTCGGAGTATCGGCAACGGCGACTTTTCTAAATCTGGTTCTTTGCACCGCCAGTTTCTCATCTACCGTGAGTGCTCTTTACCTATGGCATACCATTTTCTCACCCCCACCCTTCCACTGGTTACTCTCACATAGCTCCTCCTCTGCTTTCTCCCACCTGGCATTCGAACCGATATGCCAGAGCTATAATCGCATTTTGGATAAAGGAGATTCTAACACTTTATAGGTGCGCCACGTTACAAAAGTCGGCAACATTGCCACCGTCATTGTTTCTACTATTGCTATTATCCTCTGGCTGACGGCTGGTATTTTGTACAAGGTGGATGACCTCAATGAGCTAGAGCACTACGACATGCTCTCTTACGTCTGCACACGCACCACGACGATAATCTTACACGCACTGTAGGCAACTTTTCTGCTATGTGTATACAGATGCGTTATGCTTGGTGGGCAGTGATTGTCGTTGGTGTCCTGGAGCTGACGGCACTCGGAACAGTTGTCTGGGCTATTTGCACTCCTAAGAAAAGGGGTGTGTACGCTGAGATTTAGTGCTACAATTTGGCCATTTGTCCCATTTCGAGATCCATACGTGAAAAAATTAGTCAGACCAGTAATGGATGGTATGGAAGAGGATATCAAGGACTCACTACTGACACCAAAGGGCTGGTCGGATACCAACCGCTCAGACGTCGAATGGGGGACGCAGGTAGGGGAAGTCTGCAATGAAAGATATTCCATTTTCTTACTATCCTACTTATCTTTGAGAATCTTCTCAACAAGAAGGATCACACAAGCCACAAGAAGAGATACAAATGAATACGAAAGCAGCGTATTTGCTGTCTATTTTACCAGATACCTAAGCACAAGTGCCAACTCTTATTTTTTTGACAACGGTCGTTCAGGGTAGACATTCTCATAGAAACCCCATATGTTCCGGCCCATAGAACCTGATCCAAGTTCGGTCGACTCGACTCATTTCAATTCAATCAGATGCACTCGAATTAACTTCATCCAATTTCTTCCAGACCAACAAGGTCTATAAGTACCTTTCAGGTCACTCGCTTAGACAGCTGAGATAGCTGGTCGATAACACTGACAATCACAGCAGAAGTCAGATACCAGTCTGTCAGCTACGTGATACCTATCCGCTCTTACCGACCTAACCGCGTTACCAATATAAATCTGAGTATAAATATTTATCCCCTGAGAAAACTAACCTATAATAATCTAGAGAAATCCTCTCCTTCACAGATGCCTGGCCATGCCGTTGTGTCAAGGGGGCTTGGTTTATATGGGGGGTTTGCATTCTCATAAACTGGCAAGTACATTGGCAAATAAGGGGTTTCAGTTCAGGGGACGTACAAAAAAACCGATTCCGGCATTTTGAAGAATTTATTCCGATTCCGCCGCTTCAACTAGCTCCCCCCTTAGACTTTCTTACGGTATGGAGTACACTAGCCTATGGAACCTTTCCCCTGAGTCGTTGATGTTCAACGCAAAACGCTGGTAATCATAAATGCTTCTATTTATTCCAAAAAAATGTGTATTAATAGAGATAACTTTCATGTTGTGTAAAAGAAGTTGCTGAAAGAGGATACTATGAGGGAGGAGATAGTATATACCTACACACATAAACTAATGAGGATTGAATTAGGACAAAAATGCAGCTGCTATTAGTAATCCCCATCCAAAGATAGAAAGCGTCTCTATCTCTTCAGGTACCCGTAGTCATCTCACCAAACAAATTGTGGCCAACGTTGATCGCTCCCGAGGAGTATTACCGATCAGGTCCCTAGTCCGGTTCCGCTTGAGTCCATGGAAATCTGCACCCGGCCGTCCCGGTGTACTTGGTACCCACATATGCCGACCTTGTAAATACCGAGGAGCGTATAAGTGGGCAGCCGAGGAACGCAGAGATAGGAATTGGTAAAAGCACAATACGAGAAGAACTGGATACATTAGGATTTCGGCGCGCAATGTATCCGATGTTGTGGATTGGTCAGTAATATCTGGTTGAGAGGAAGGACACACCCCAGGCCTTGGTTATATAACTATACGTGCATAATTTCTCTCCTGTTATCAGTTTGATTCATGTGATTGATTCAAAGACTTGTAATTTGCAAGTGTTCTACTTGAGTTCATGACGAGTACAGTAGATGTGCATCAACTTCATAAATGTACGAAGAAAGCGGATACCGAAAGACCGCGATTTTACTAATAATCTCCAACGTCGATAGGGGGCTTAGAAGATGGTCTGGAGCTTTTATTGCGTCATCAGATAACAATTGAATCCCCCCTGACTATGAATGACTGGCAATGGATGGATACATTTGCATGTGTATGAGAGATTAAATAAAAGTAAAAATAACAACTCCCTATCCACCCCTATCTGAGGCTATCTCACTCCACTCGTGATACTTGACTCAAAGAAAGATCCAAATAAAAGCGTACCTCATAGTATATACCGGATATTCCGGCCCCGTCGAGGATTAAGATATAACATGCTTGATTCCCCTACCCAATTAGGTCCTTTTAATTGAACATAAGAGTCGTTTGTTTACATCTTTTAAGTCAGTGAAGATACAAACGCCATGGAATATAACGATTTCACCGACGACTCTGATCCTGGTTTACCAGAAGGAAAAGAACATGAAGCCGCGCCTATTCGTCTTCGCGAAATGCGAGAAGCCTCCAGTGCAGAGACTCTCGCTTTTCCCCATGCAGGAATCACATCTCCTCCGAGCAAGGGCGCCGAATGGAGCATGACACCCCAACTGATTCAACAACAAGAACGTGAAGCCGCAGCAGGCTTCAAGAAACGCGAGCTCGGTGTCACCTGGGAGAACCTCACCGTGGAAGTCCCCGCTGCTTCGGCATCCGTCAAGGAAAATCAGTTCTCTCAATACAACATACCTCAACTCATCAGAGACTGGCGCCAGAAGCCACCAATAAAATGTATTTTGAAGGACAGTCATGGCTGTGTGAAGCCAGGAGAAATGCTACTGGTCCTAGGCCGCCCTGGATCCGGATGCACCACCCTCCTCAAAATGCTTTCCAACCGTCGTGAAGGATACCATACAATTAAAGGCGATGTGCGGTTCGGAAATATGACTGAACAAGAAGCTGCTCAGTATCGAGCCCAAATTGTGATGAATACAGAAGAGGAGCTCTTCTATCCACGGTTGACAGTCGGACAGACAATGGATTTCGCCACTAAGCTTAAAGTTCCTTCTCATCTCCCAGACGGCACTGAGTCAGAAAAGGGTTATGTGGCCGACACAAAACAATTTCTTTTGGAGTCCATGGGAATTGCGCATACATTTGAGACGAAAGTCGGAAATGAGTTTGTTCGCGGTGTGTCCGGTGGCGAGCGGAAACGTGTATCAATTATCGAATGTCTCGCTACCCGAGGATCAGTATTCTGTTGGGATAACAGTACGCGCGGTCTTGATGCAAGCACGGCATTGGAGTGGGCCAAGGCTCTTCGAGCCATGACCAACATCCAAGGCCTCTCGACTGTCGTCACCCTATACCAGGCAGGAAACGGCATCTATAATCTTTTTGATAAGGTATTGGTTCTGGACGAAGGAAAACAGATATTCTATGGGCCTTCTGCCGCAGCAAAGCCGTTTATGGAAGACCTTGGGTTTGTGTATACCGAAGGCGCTAACATTGGTACTCAATTTTCTACCCCCATTGATGTTAATAGTAAGGACAATGCTGACAAAGTCAAGGTGATTTCCTGACCGGCGTAACGGTCCCTACTGAGCGAAAAATCCGACCTAGCTTTGAAAATAAGTTTCCAAGAAACGCCGATGCCATTTTGGCGGAGTACAAGCAATCTTCAATCCATGGCTCTATGGTGTCAGAATACAACTACCCAAACACCGATGTTGCCCGCGACCGAACTCAATCATTCAAGGAATCCGTCGCCTTTGAGAAAAATAAGCATTTGCCGAAAAACACTGTCCTTACGACCAGCTTTATGGCCCAACTCAAGGCGTGTACTATCCGACAATATCAGATTCTATGGGGTGAGAAGTCGACATTTTTGATCAAACAGGTCCTGTCACTCGCCATGTCTTTGATCGCTGGTGCCTGCTTCTATAACTCCCCCGCTACCTCTGCCGGTCTTTTTACCAAGGGTGGCGCCGTCTTCTTCTCTCTCTTATATAATTGTATTGTTGCCATGTCTGAAGTCACAGAGTCATTCAAGGGACGACCTGTCTTGGTGAAACAGAAGTCCTTCGGATTCTATCATCCTGCAGCTTTTTGCCTGGCACAGATTACTGCGGATTTCCCAGTCTTATTGTTACAGTGCACGATTTTCACTGTTGTGATATACTGGATGGCTGGACTCAAAGCTACCGCTGCAGCATTCTTTACTTTCTGGGCCATCCTGTTCATAACTACACTGGTGAGTGAAAACTACTGCGAGTGGCATTTAGTAACTTTAACTGATGAATTAAAGTGTGTTACGACCTTATTTAGATGCATTGGCGCCGCATTCAGTACTTTTGAGGCCGCTTCTAAGATCTCGGGTACAGCCATCAAGGGAATCGTCATGTACGCCGGATATATGATCCCGAAGCCCAAGATGAAAAACTGGTTCCTGGAGCTATACTATGTCAACCCATTTGCCTATGCATTCCAAGCGGCCCTATCGAACGAATTCCACGACCAGCATATTCCCTGTGTGGGAGACAATCTCGTTCCGAGTGGACCAGGGTACGAAAGTGTTGATTCCGCCAACAGAGCCTGCACTGGAGTTGGCGGTGCTTTGCCAGGTGCGGACTTTGTGACAGGTGACCAGTACCTTCTCTCACTGCATTACAAGCATTCTCAGCTCTGGAGGAACTACGGTGTTGTATGGGGCTGGTGGGGGTTTTTCGCCGTCATCACCATCGTTTGCACGTGCTTTTGGAAAGCTGGCGGCGGCGGCGGCGCTTCGCTTCTGATTCCTCGCGAAAAGCTCAAGAAGCATCATGCTTCTTTTGACGAGGAATCACAGAATCAAATCACGGAGCGAGCTAAAGACGCTGCCTCTGAGAATGTAATGGAGCAGGCAGATGACAATTTGGTCCGCAACACATCCATCTTTACCTGGAAGAACCTCACGTATACCGTCAAAACACCATCAGGCGATCGTGTGCTCTTGGATAACATTCACGGATGGGTTAAACCAGGTATGCTTGGAGCACTGATGGGTTCTTCTGGCGCAGGTAAGACTACCTTGCTCGATGTCCTCGCTCAGCGGAAAACAGACGGCACGATCAAGGGTAGTATCTTGGTTGACGGCCGCCCTTTGCCTGTGTCCTTTCAACGAATGGCTGGATACTGTGAGCAATTGGATGTCCATGAACCTTTTGCCACAGTCCGCGAAGCTCTTGAATTTTCTGCCCTATTACGCCAGCCCCGAACTGTTCCGAGAGAGGAAAAGCTCAGATATGTCGAAACTATCATTAATCTTCTGGAATTACACGATTTAGCCGATACGCTCATTGGCACCGTTGGCAATGGACTGAGTGTGGAGCAGAGAAAGCGTGTTACGATTGGTGTTGAACTTGTGTCCAAGCCAAGTATCTTAATTTTTCTTGACGAACCCACGTCTGGCCTAGACGGACAGTCAGCATATAACACAGTTCGTTTCCTACGCAAATTAGCCGATGTTGGCCAAGCTGTGCTTGTAACGATTCATCAGCCGTCGGCTCAACTATTTGCACAGTTTGATACCCTTCTGCTCCTAGCACGCGGAGGCAAAACAGTCTACTTTGGAGACATCGGTGACAATGCAAAGACCATTAAGAATTATTTTGGACAATACGGTGCTGTATGCCCTATCGAGGCCAATCCTGCCGAGTTCATGATTGACGTGGTCACTGGGGGTATTGAAAGCGTCAAAGATACAGACTGGCATCAAACCTGGCTCGAATCTTCCGAACATGGGCAAATGATGACTGAACTCGACAACATGATCTCTGAAGCTGCCGCTAGCCCGCCTGGGACTGTTGATGATGGCTACGAATTCTCAATGCCATTATGGGAACAAATCAAGATTGTGACACAGAGAATGAATATTGCCCTATTCCGAAACACCAATTACGTCAATAATAAATTCTCATTGCACGTTATTTCTGCATTGTTGAATGGATTCTCATTCTGGAGGGTTGGTCACAGCGTTTCCGACCTAGAGCTTAAGATGTTCACAACTTTCAACTTCGTCTTCGTTGCTCCTGGCGTGATTAATCAGCTTCAACCGCTTTTCATCCAAAGACGAGATATTTATGACGCACGCGAGAAAAAGTCAAAGATGTACTCTTGGGTTTCTTTCGTTGTTGGTCTCATTGTGTCTGAGTTTCCCTATCTCTGTGTGTGTGCAGTTCTCTATTTCGCTTGCTGGTACTATACCGCACGTCTGAATGATAATTCGAACCGCTCAGGTGCAGTCTTCTTCATTATGCTGATATACGAATTCATCTACACGGGAATTGGTCAATTCGTCGCCGCCTACGCACCCAATCCAACGTTCGCGGCTCTAGTCAATCCCCTCATTATCAGTATACTTACCCTGTTTTGCGGAATCTTTGTACCTTATAGACAGTTGAACGTCTTCTGGAAGTACTGGCTTTACTGGTTGAACCCTTTTAACTACGTTGTCTCGGGCATGTTGACTTTCGGCATCTGGGGTTCCAAGGTTTCCTGCAAGGAAGAGGAATTTGCCATCTTTGACCCGGCCAATGGGACATGTGCCGAATACCTCCGGGACTACATTGCCGGAGACGGTTGGCGGATCAACTTGACAAACCCGGATGCTACCTCGGGCTGCCGAGTTTGCGAGTTCAAGAATGGCAGCGACTTTTTGACGACGCTTAACATTAACCACTATTTCTACGGCTGGAGGGATATCGGAATCTCGGTGATTTTCGCTATTTCTGGATATGCTCTGGTATTTGGAATGATGAAGCTTCGAACTAAGGCATCTAAGAAGGCTGAGTAGCTAAGTGAATAATGCAGTGTTGTGTGGAATGTTACTTTTATACGAAGTGTTACGCAATGAATGAGGTCAAATTAGAACGTTACTACTTGAGTTTTTTGGCATATAATCATATAGACTGGCAATAATATAGTATTTCAATGAACCCTTCATCTTTTACTTCATCATGTAAGCTGCATCTAATGTGAATGCAGAGAGGCTTGCGGTCTTCCCCAGGGTAGCTAACCAAGGCCATCGCTGAAAGAACTATTTTTGGGAAGGTCCTAAAGCGAAACGAGTTTGCGAGTATCACTATACTCTGTCAGGGAATGGCACAGACCATAGAGATAGGCATTGTAGGTTACACTAGCGGCTGGTGGAGTCCTTCGGTATAGATTGTGGCAATGGTTTCACATGTTGATGCATACATATAAGCCAATATGAAGCTAAATCATCAGCTGTATCTCACACGAGTTCTCGGACAAGCTAGATACATAAAGTTATCTACGTTGTAGCAGAGTAGCGTTAATAAGCTGGTTACATCACCCTCCTGTGAGATACAAGGGCCGAAAGCCATGACTAGAATCCCACAGATTCCAATAAACCCGGAACATCGCCACTAGAAGGGCAAGGTGGATGTCCATATCGGGAAGCTAACCCACCCCAGTCCTTAAAGCGAGCCAATTACAGAACACCGTTTCTTATCACTCATCTGCGTACACTGGAATGGACGGAAAAGACGGCATATCGAATTTTTACGTCTGGAAACTGACTGTTGATAAGATGATGTAAAGGAGATAAGAAAAAAAAAGTGAAATAACCCTTTAAAGGTATGTTGCGCACGATTTTATTTCCCTTTCCCCCCTTGTCCACACGTCGGCGTTGCTGTCGTGTGATGTGAAACCATATTGGTATTGGTTGCTTTGTCCTTCCTTTAAGCCGCCCGAGCCATCAATTTCATCGCCATGTCGATTGAGAAGCGCGACCTCGGATCGGGGCCTCCGACTCCCGAAGGCAATATTCAATCCGACGTCGAAGCGGGTCAAACCATAGTTCTCTCGGCAGATCGCGTACATAAATTGCAAGCACGCTGGGCCATCTTGCGGTACTTGAACGCTTTCGAATCATGGCTCGATCGTAGACTAGGCGTCGAGACACAGGGTGTGGATCGGATTCCAGAGGAGGAGAAGCGTCCACCATCGGTATGGAACATCTTCCTCATGTGGTGGTCGCTCAACATTCATGTTGGCGTTTTGCCCTTGGGGTTGCTGGGACCGGAGTTTGGTCTCTCCCTGAAACAGTCAATCGCGGCCTCGATTATTGGCATTATACTTGGTGCATTGATGACGGCGACTACGGGCACATTGGGACCAAAGGTAAGAAAACATCGATCCAGTTCATGTTCTCCGAATATAGTTCTGATGAAGGCAGCTCGGCATGAGACAAATAGCCACATCACGATACTCTTTTGGCTTCTGGGGCGCCAAACTGTGTAGCGTCCTCAACATCGTCGTGGGTGGTGGCTTTGCAGTCGTCAATTATGTGGTTGTTGGCCAGATACTCAGCGCTGTCTCGGGCTATACCATGAGTATCACTGTTGGTATCGTCATTATTGCCATCATATCTTATGTGGTGTCCATCTTTGGCTTCAGACTGATTCATACTTTCGAAAAATACTCGTGGATCTACACGTTTATCCTCATCTGTGTTCTCATCGGACAGGCGGCGCCTCATGTGAAAACCGATTTCCCGGGCGAAGACGGCAACTCAGGCCTAGTATACTCAGGAACATTCCTAACCATTGTCGCGATCAATTTTTGTAAGTTATTGAACCCCATCCCCTCATTACGCATATCCTAACTCCGCACTGCTAGCGAACGCATCGGGTTGGTGTTCGATCGCTGCGGATTATTATTGCAACTTCCCCGCTAGTACTCCGGCTTGGAAGACTTTCTTCCTCACCTTCTGGGGCATCGTTATTCCCACCACCTTTTCCGTCACTATCGGTTGCTGCCTTGGAAACGCTGCTGTTACGGTCGCCTACCCCCCATACGCCGATGCCTACACCAACCACGGCTTGGGAGGCCTCATTAGTGAAATCTACCACCCACAGGCTTGGTCCCGTTTCTGCCTCGTGCTGCTTACCTTTTCAGTTCTCGGTAACAATATTGCCATCAACTATTCGTCTGGCCTAAGTATGCAGCTTCTAGGCCATTACTTCCACGCCGTGCCTCGCTTCATCTGGTCCCTGGCCTTTGCCATTGTAGTGGCGGTGCTAGCCATTGCGGGACAGCAGAATCTGTCCAATGTCGTCAACAATTTCGTATCGCTGCTGGGGTATTGGACTGTTAGCTTCACCATGGTACTACTACTTGAGGATCGCGTCTTTCGCCGCAAGGATGGCTACGATCTTGAGGCTTGGGACCAACCGCATCTGCTCCCTTGGGGAGTTGCGGCTGTGGCGGCTTTACTCGCAGGATATCTGGCGGGAGGTGTACCAGGCATGAGCCAGACATGGTACGTGGGACCCATTGCAGCCAAGTTTGGTGGTGATGGAGGTGATGTGGGTATATATATGAGCGCAGTTATTACCGTTCTTGTATACACCATAGGCAGGTTTTTTGAGAAGAAATATACCGGTCGGTAATTTCTACATATTTATTTATAAGTTCAATAAACTGGTATATACTTTACTATTTTTTTTTTAATTATGTCAGGACATTACAAATTCTTTTCATTGTGTCATTCAAAAGTAGTGGTAAGATAATAGTCGAGTTTTTGCTTGGAGTAGAGACGTAATACAGGTAGAGCTATGTAAGTTTATTGTCGATTTTGGAGATAGTTGTAGTATGCGGAAATAACTTTATGAAGTCTGCAGAGTATGATTATCGCCAGATAGCGTGTCTAACTAATCCCAATCTTTACTCAGCCACTGTATCTGATTAGGGTCGAGTTCCATGAAAGAATATGTGTATATATCGTCGAAACCCATCTCTAGCATCTTAAGAGGAAGATTTTCCGCCGTAGTGTTGTTCAAGCTGGTAAAATTTGCCGTTGATATGGGTATATTGTCAACAGATTTCGGATTCTCTGTTTGGTGTAAGTTAGTGTTGTTTTTAAGATATGACACTATGCCCGGTGTTGTCACAAGCCCAACTTGGTCGTTTGGTATCACTTGTCGGGCATCCCAGGACTCAAGTATCATTTTGGATACCATTTGGTAGAAAGGGCTTTTTGCATTTTCTTGAAAAAGGAGGCGAGCTGTAAAATTCTCGTCGATTTTCGACCAAGCCTGCGCCGCAATGCTGCTTGTAGGGCGCCGTTTCAGGTCTTGCAAAAGCTGTATATATGCAGTAAATGGGAAATGATACATTTGAATCAGCCAGAGAAAGTCTTTCACGATAGACGACGTCATGATTCTACTATCACAAGCAATCATGTCCACCGCCATTAGGCCTAGAGCGTCACGCTGGGTTTCTCCAACTGGACCGTCCAGTGTTGAAAGCCGCTCTATGATGCGATATCTCGCGATATAGCCCCGTGCAGTCCATATGGTCATAAACTGTAGCGGGATCTCTGGATTGCAGAGCTGCAGATATTTTTTCTCCAGCTCTTTTTCGAGGGTGTCAACCTCACCACCCTTGACATCAGACTTGGTGCTAAAATTCTTCGTTGTAGCGTTCATGGCCGGGTTGGTAAAGTTAAGATAGAAAGAAGAGTGTCTGATGAAATCTGCAATCATGCCACGCACGACGACGAAAATGGAGTCGCTGATCCCTGTTTGAGTTCTAGGGCCATCTCTCAGTCCGGCTCGGAGCTCAGAGTCATTGACATTGAGAGGTATGCGGCAATCCCACGTGGGAGTCAGCGAAGTCTTCTTAGTGTCAATCAATTCGCAAATGCGGGTGTCGAATAGAACTAAAGCCCACCAGAGGCGTCGACGCATCTCGGCCTCAACAATGTCGTACTTGGCCAAGTCCGGTTCATTATCAAGCCCCAGGCGCTGTGCCGTGCGTAGTGCAATTCCAAGCATGGACGAAACAGAACGAGGATCCATTTTTGGTCTTATTGAGAGCTAAAACTGGTCAGAATTTGAACAATGATGGGTGACAAGATCCTACCAGATGGAGAAACAAAGCGGTTAAACAATTGCGATTATCTGTCCTGAGAAAGCGAGCGTTGAGAAGGGCTTCTTGGGAGCCACGATGATACTGCTGGAGAAGAATGCTCCTTGGCGTGCCAAATAATTTAATACAGTCTTCATTTGTCAAACTTACCACAGCCATGCTGTAGATGCCAAACATGAGCGCTTCAAAGTTTGGTTCAATGTTCGGTATGTTGTCCGCCGCCTCTATGATGCAACTCTGGAGACTGGGAGCATGTACGACTTGCAAGAGAGGATTGACGTTTTCAATAAAAAGATGACAAAGCCTGAAGATTTGGACGGCATTTGGATGCAGCGAGGAGAGATCAGCTGGCTCTTGCCGTGCGCCAAAAAGAAGTTGATCATTTTCGTGGTATATCAAATCCCATGTATTTTTAATAGGGTTATCACGAACATCATCGTATGATGTATCGCTGTCATTATCTCGGTACTATTCCCATAAGTAACCATATGGGATTGATTGGTTGAAGGGCCGACGTACGCTGCGGTTCACGGCATGCCAATAGTTTCTGCCGATGGTGCACACCAAATAGTTGTTAGCATATCTACGATATGGCCAATTTGAGCAAAGCATACTTTGCCTCGTAAACTGTTTCCGAATGTGCTCTTGCTGCAGGGTTCGCGTTGTTCAGACGCTCATTCTCCTGATATAAGTAATCTGCATCCTCCACAACTGGGAAATCATCACCTGGAATTCTATATTTGCGCAGGTGATCGAATTTGATATTATTCGCCCGAAGCAGGCTCTCGTAGACGCGTAGCTGATCCACCAACTCTGGCGGCGGGATTTTGCGGCGTCTTCGGCGCGGGGCCAACATGGCTGGCTCGCAATCCGCTTGAGTTTTGATGCAATTATTGCAAGGGAACTTTCGATTGCATTTGATCTTGCGCTGATGACAAAGTACACATGCGAGGATGCGCTGTGACTTCACGAGCTGCTGGGAGAATGGAGTGTCATTAAGTGGCGCACCTGGACCCGCGTCTGTGGACGGTGTCTCTCCATCCAGCTTCGGCTCCGCTTCCTCCATATCCTCAGCCTGTCGATCCATTGATAGCCTGTTAAAGATGGAAAGAAATAAAACTTCAAATGTCCGATTTCATCCAAATTGACCTGTAATTTGCGCATAAGAGGCCGCAAAATTCACAACCGGACGATGTGAAGAGTCCGCAAGTTTGAGAAGATTGCCGTGCGCTAATTGCAGTATCAGTCATGTGATTTCCGGACATTCTATAACGTCCGAAACTATATCGGTCCCGACGTTTCGTTAAAGCAGCCGAGAGCGTGTAGGTTATCGTCAACAATAGACAATATCCCCAAGAGTATAAAGTATGATGGAAGGTTTCGAGTCTGAACACATGGAGGCATTCCAACATCAAGGAGACTCGGAAATCGTTCTATTTTCTATATTTGCGCCGCAGAGAAACAACTCTTAGCTTATAAAATGGCCTCTCGTCCTCTTGCATCTTGTTGCTTTAAGGGTGTTAAGCATGAGTAAGTACATCACATTGTCTATCACAACAGCTATAGCAACAGATACAACTGAAGTAGAGTCTTTTCAATTGTTTCTTTCAAAAGCAAGATGAACAGAAAATGAGTCAAATACACAACTCAGCCCACCTGCAGCTTATGTAGTCTTGCAAGCCCTTCTGTTCTGTGTGAAGAGTTATACTATTCTGCTCTAGTTCAGTGTCTTATCAACAGCGGAGGGCTCGCCACTCACTTCCTTTATCAGGACTCCAAAGGTTGCTAGGCTAACTATTTGGTCTTCTTAGAGGCGAGACTACTGGAAAGTCTTTCAAAATTGGCAACTACGATGCGTATCTCGCAACTCCTAAAGACACCAATAACCATCAAGGCGCCGGTATTTTATATCTTAGTGATGTATTCGGCATCTGGACCAATTCGCAGCTGTTGGCTGATCAATATGCGGCAAATGGCTACACAACTTTGATCATCGACATTCTCAACGGAGATGGATTGACGGAGATCCCTGGTCATAACTTTGACTGGATGAAATGGTTGATGGGTGGCTTCCGAAATGATTCCACTCCTCATACTAATGAATATGTGGATCCCGCTGTCGAAGAAGCCATAAAACATATGAGGAATGAGCTAAACCTTACTGCAATTGGTGCAGTTGGATATTGTTTTGGAGCAAAGGTAACATCAGAGTTTATTTTATGATACTTTGTTCCTGATCTCCAGACCGGCAGATGTCCTGCACATTATTTGAAGCATCTACTACCCATAAAAATTCGTTCTGAAAGACGTCAAGAGCAGTACACTAACACGGTTGTACAGTATGTTGCTCGTCACTCTGGCGCAGAAAAGATTAACGTTGGCTATATGGCTCACCCTTCCAACGTTGATGACGATGAGATCAAAGGCTTTCAAGGTCCTCTATCCATAGCGGCTGCTGAGTATGACGACCTTTTTCCACAAGAGCTGCGCTACAAGACGGAGAATCTTCTCAAGACGAAAAGCTTTCCATACCAAATCAATTTATTCTCCGGCGTCTCGCATGGCTTTGGTGTTCGCGGTGACTTGAGTAATCCGGTTTTCAAGTGGTCTAAGGAGCAAGCGTTTTTCCAGGCTATTGCTTGGTTTGATCAGTATCTTAATAAAGGTCCTCTCGTCTAAATAGATAATGATTTCTATTTAGATAAAGATAGTTTATGTCATGAGGTTTATGTATCGTTAAATTAGTAGAAGCTAGAACCTGTACGTTGGAGCTACCGCAGCTAGGTTTAATTATGATGGAAGTAATATAGGTGTATATCTATATATTTCATCCAGTGAGACTTGTTCCAAGCTTTGAGGAATCGATTCTCTCAATAAACGTGTTGCTATAATCGCAGTGAATAACAAGAATAACCACGCACTCCGGACTCTTTCCTAACAGGAATTGCGCCAAGAGAGCTACACCCTTTTCCCTTTCCCGTGAGCTCTCGGTAATTGTAGAACCGTACTATTTACTTTTAGAGCTATGTATCTGTGGTGATAGCAACAGGGAGACTTAGCATTGTTGCATAAACAAATGGCATAGTCATTGCCGTAGGCAGGGTAGAGCACCCACTTGCCAGAGGAGCTGCGCGTTTTGGCATTTAACATGACGGTTCCTTCAGCTGTAATAATTAACAAGTATCAAATATAAACCCCCAGTCGTTTTCACAGTGTATGGCTATTACACTACAGACCCTAAATTTTACATTAAATTACGACATCGAAATCACGAACCCCGTAAAACATGACTTACCTAGGTTGGGAAGCACAGTTACCGATTGCAACACAGACCGGGACGGAATATTCTTCCCAGCTGATCGACTGTCAATCGCCTAATGTCTGCTACATTACACCCACCTCCAAGATCAGCGACCACCAACAACTGTTAAGTTTTCCCCTGCTTTCCAACCCCGCATATCGCCACTAAATGGATATGTGGCAGTTCTCGTTCAAAGATTCGGGCTGTAGAAATCCTATGACCGTTGGTCAACTCTCTCATCCAACGATTCTGATGACTTCTACATTCCTGCTTGACTCTAAGAGGATTTACCCGTCATCGGGAGATTTAGCCGATTGGTAGGGTAAAGTTTCTCAGCTAAACAAATAGCGAATCGTGTATCGTAGGCTAAATTGGTAGCGAAAGAGACACGGGATATGAATGCTTTCACCATCCAACCCTGTTAATATCTGGTTAGAGGTAGCAGAGCGTGGGGTATAAAGCCAAAGGTATTACTGGCAGAATTCAAGGACCGAGATCTCATATTCAACAATCATAGTGCCGCTGAATCTGACTACTTCTTCACTTAAAAGCGGTTCATTTACATTAAACGAGCACATGGCTCATACCCAATCTCTGGAGATGTCTCAAGAGACAAACAAGAAAATAGCGGCGGAGCATATGCCGCAAGTTGAAGCCTTCGAAACAGCCGACAGCTGGACCAACATCGCCGAAGATGCTCGCAATGCAACGGAAGAAGAACATAGCTTGACTTTTCTCAAGGCAGTCAAGATGTACCCGCAAGCATGCATGTGGTCCATGATTGTCTCAATCGTAGTCATTATGGACGGATACGACACGGCTCTCATCGGCTCTCTTTTCGCCTATCCCGCTTTTCAACAGCAATTTGGGCATACCCAAGGACAAGGGAAATACCAATTGGAGGCAAAGTGGCAGACTGCTTTAGGACTGGCTAGCCCTCTGGGCAATATCGTTGGCATTTATCTCAACGGCTTGATTACTGAGTGGTTTGGTCACAAGAAAGCCGTTTTGGGAACCCTTGTATTTCTCAGTGGGGTTCTATTTATCCCCTTCTTTTCAAAGACCATTGAGGTGCTCTTTGCCGGCGAGCTGCTGTGTGGTTTGGCGTGGGGCGTTTTCACCACTTTGGCTCCGGCATATGCCTCAGAGGTTGCTCCAGTAGCTCTTCGGGCATACCTCGAGACTTTCGTTGTCCTTTGCTGGGGAGTCGGCCAATTCGTTTCATATGGCGTCCTCTACGGCTTGGTAAATCGCACTGGCGAATGGTCTTGGCGAATCCCGCTGGCCATCCAGTGGATTTGGCCTGTTATTGTTATTCCCCCACTCCTGTTTGCTCCCGAGTCTCCATGGTGGCTTGTTCGCAAAGGTCGTATCGAAGAAGCTGAGAAGTCTATGAAGCGACTTTCGTCCAAGAGATCGGAAACCAGCAAGCAATCCGTTGCATTGATGGTCCAAACCACCAATCTAGAGATGGCCATGACGGAAGGTGCCTCATACAGGGACTGTTTTCGCGGAACAAACCTGTGGCGTACCGAAATCGGATGCGTCGTTTGGGCATCTCAGGTTCTCTGCGGTTTTGCCATAGCTAACTACTCGTCCTACTTTTACGAGCAGGCTGGGTTACCGGCAGCCAACGCTTATAAAATGACCATTGGACAAGGCGGCATTCATTTCTTGTGTACTCTACTTTCGGTATTTGTGACTGCACGATTTGGCCGACGTGGAATCATGCTCTGTGGATATGCCGGCATGTCTTGTTCTATGTTTATCCTTGGGTTTTTAGCACTTGCTCACCAAACCACGGGATTGGGTTACGGCCAGGCTATTATGTATCTTGTCTGGTATGTCGTTTACCAGTTGACTATTGGTCCGACTGCCTTCGTCGTTGTTGGCGAGATATCTTCCACCCGCCTTCGGTCCAAGAGTATATCTCTGGCTCGTAACGCATACAACGTTGCGAATGTGTTCAGCGCCACTGTGGCTCCCTATACTCTGAACCCTACAGCGGGAAATTTGAAGGGCAAGACTGCCTTTTTGGCAGCCGCTTTTGCTCTGCTTTGTTTGTTGTGGGGCTATTTTCGCCTCCCAGAAAGCAAAGGTAGGACTTACGAAGAACTGGATCTCTTGTTTTCCCAGAATATAAAAGCTCGTGAATTCAAGGATACGGTTGTCGACAGCACGGATATGTCTGAGTTTCACAAACAGCATTAAACACACATCCTGACGTGATTCCAGCTCTCCGACTATTGAATGGAGGTATGGAACTAGTAATACTATTATCTTGGTCAGGTCTAATATAATACTCTGTTTGAATTGAAGCTGAGTCGTCATATACTAATTCTTGTGATCGCTCGCAACCGGTTCCCCTGCAGAATCGACACAAATAGATCTATCGTATTGTTGCAAAAGCAATTGCTTCACTTGGCGTGTAATATATGTAGTATCATAGTAAAGTCTATGTCCCACTATAACACAAGGTTTAAAGCAACTAATCAAAATATATTACAGAATTCCAATATTATTCTTGTTTTATCATGAGAATGAGCCGTTTTCTTGGCCATAGTGGATCAAGCAAATGATATTATATTATGAATAACCTATATGTAATTTATTCACTGTATTCTATTCTATTTGTAACAAGCTTTGCGATTTTTGTCCCGTCAACGCTATAGAAGATCCTTCAACTCCACAGTCTCGCGAACCGAAAGAGGAGCCCGCTTGGTACAAATTTTAAGGATTTACCCGTCAAGGTATTTTTCCGACCAATCATTCAGTGCCGTTTTGGCGATACGTCGCGACAAAACCATTTTGGTGTTGGATGTCGACACCCTCGTCATTGAATTTAGGGTAAATGCTCCAGTGACCTGGACTTTCCTATCCTCCGGAGAACCAGCACGGTTAGTCTCGAATGGAGAAGAGCGTCAGATGCCGGAAAAATTAACCAGAGGATTCCACAAACTGTAACGAGGGGATTGGTTAAGAGGAAGCCAAGATGGTGCGATAATAGTGTTATAACCTGATGACTGAGGAGAGAGGGCCTGATTGAGTAATACCGCTGTACCAATACCTTTGTAATCCTATCTTCACCAGAAATATAGGACGTATGCTCCTGGAGTGACATAATGAAAAAGTTCAAATGGAGAAAGATCTGACTTAGGGCCCACAGGCTGAGGATTATTACCTTTGTGAGAGCAAAAGGACATGAAGCGTAGCGTAAAAAAACAAAAGAAAGATGCCGTGATTAGCATCTGGGGTAGAATACCAGGCGTTATAACCCCTCCCTGCTTTTCCATTTGCAGAAGAGGAGGGGAAGGGACCCTGGGATGGATCCTTTACACTAACGAGGGGGGGAAGGGGAAGTTGGGAACTACATTCTAGCATTAGCCAAAAAAAGATAGTTGTTGCGGTATGTAGCAGCTTCCAAAGGAGCCTCTGGACAAACGCACCCAAGTGCACAAAGTGTAGGGTATTATTGTAACGCGTGCTGCAATTGGATAGAGCCTCTCCTCCTAGGTGATCTAATTGGGAATTACAAATAATAGTGATCAAATGACCCGGTAGCCTACTTTATTCACTACCCTCAAACTAAAGAAGTCAGTTAGGTGTTACAGAATTTGTTCCTGCTAGAATACAGTCATTACTCAGAAATAACGGCAAAAGTATTTGCAAATAAGCAGTAATAACATTAATCTGCAATAAATATTATTGCCAACTCTCTAGTCGGATGTGCTGCCACATGGGTCGTTAGACCGCTTATAATCGCGAAGAAAACTTGACGGTAATGACACTGTTGGGAGGAATTGCAACCTCGATAGACGAGCCCCGCCGCTTAAAGTTGATTTCAGACACCCTGTGATCGTTATCGGTCAACCAGACTTGTGCACTAGGTTTCTTCCCGGCAGGAATAGCAATATCAGCAAGCTGTGACGAACTGCCGCTGTTGGTAAAAATGGCGATGACAGATTTGTCATTGTTCTGGAACGCTGCGATAATGACATTTGGCAAAGCACCGCTGACGGCAATGCGGTTTGCACCGGGGCGAATGAATCGCGACCACATGGTGAAAGCATAGTAAACGCTGGAGGGCTCGGGTTCATCTCCAAGAACATCGACAAGATGGCTTGCGGACTGGTTCTGACCAATCTCAAAGCCCTCCCAAAACAAATATGCAGAGAGTCCAGCATCGACAAATCCTGTTGCTAGTTTGCTCGCCCACGTCATACCCTCATTCAGAGCACCATTATCGTACCATGTCGTAGTAAATGGGGCAGTACTCGTCTCAACTCCTGCCTCTGTGAGCCAGGTGGGCAGGTTCGTCTTTAGCGGAAATGTAGCGTCGTCTGAGTACATGTGGGAAGATATAATGTCGAGGTACTTCTGCATTCCGGTGGCCATTAGATGATTAGTATAATTGGCTTGTGAATCCCAACCCACTGCATCACAGCAGGTAAGCCTCAGATCCAAGTGTGCGCGTTTGACTGTCTCGTAGAGAGTTGGGATGAAGGAGATGGCCTCTTGGGCGTTGGGACTAATCTGCATCTGCGAGTATCCAACCCTTTTAAGACGTAAATATCAGCATCAACAAGAACGTTTTGATACAAGCCTGTATGCAAGACAAAGAAATCACATACTCGATGTCTGGTTCATTCAAGAATCCAAGATGGGTGATGTCAAGGCCTTCTTGCTCGTAGAACTTAACGTATTGAACAAGATAGTTGGCGAAAGCCTGCCTCCAGTCACCAGTCGAGCAAGTGTGGCCAGTTGTTCCACAGAGATATCTGGAAGAAGCTATTAGCTGCGATTCTTTACGTCTAAGAGCCTAACAATACATACCCAGGCGTGGCCTCATCTCCGTTGGTCTTCATATAGCCAGGTGCACTCCACGCATCCGCATAAATAGTCTTCACACCATAGCTGACGGCCTGCTTGGTGAACCAAACTTGGCCTTCATCGTCGCCATCCCACGTGTAATTGGGCTTATTGGAGGCCAATCCAGGGCTGTTTGGCTCAATGGAAAGCGCAGTAGTGGAAGGGATCCAATTTCGGATGATGCTGAATCCAGCACCTGTTTTTGTGTCAAAGAGAAGGTCAAGTGCCTTCTTTCGCAATTCAGGGTCTGCAGCCTGAAATTCAGAAGCTCGCCCAAATGCCTGGGAGAAGCCAAAGCCGTCAATGCGCTGCAGCTTTGAACTGGTATTGATCTTAATTTTGGCTGCTGTGGCAGTTGGCACAATCGACCCCACGAGCCCCACGGTGACAAGGGCGATTGCTTTCATCCCTTTCTTGTGTCAAGTAACTATCAAGAGAGACCTTCCTATAATTTGCTAAGCACAATGTCTTTTGTTTTACAGCAGGGACTAAAGTTCTTATATACATACGTGTATCCCCCCTGCTTGATTGAAAGGTAGGTATTCTGGATAATTATACGATTCTCAGAAAACATAACGCCTGCCATGTCCCCAAGACCTTGTCAAGCATATTAGCCGGTGCATTTTCAATCCCTAACGCTGATCTCAGCACGTAGCTTGCGCAACTTGTCGTTAGTGGCTGTTAAATTGGCAAAACCAATTTTGGCCCTTTAGGAATCACTACTTGCTCCACTGCTGCATTTCCCCTGATTTTACGGAGCAACTACCCCGCATATTGAACAAAGCTTTGCACATTGAGTATCTCAGGCTGAAGTGAATTTGCCGTCTAATGGTAATCGGCATTGTCGAATATGCGTTGGATAAACATGGGGATTGAGTCGCTACTTAGATAACAGTTGCTGGTAGCATCCATGGTTATTTAGTGTCTTGCAGCTCCCAAAACTTGACCACAGAATCGATGAAGCTTACCTTACTGCTCACATTTGTATCTCCAGCCTGAAATATTCCGAATTTCTCACTTTGTTTCCTTCGTGGTCAAAATTCTGAGTATGCTCCCGTCTGAGACTGGCCTCGACGGCTGGTTGCGGTATGCCGCACTTCCTGACGAGTTTGCCAACCTACGCTCCCGATACTCAACAATTATCTCCCTTACGGGCAACCAAAGCAGTCCTGTATTCACTGCCGCAAGAGAGCTGCAAGTCGGTCTGTCTAAAATATTGGGCCAGAGTGTCAACCTGGAGACGAAGCTCCTGGGATTCGCAGATGTCTCCTCTATTGTTGTAGGAACTGTGAAAACGTTCTTATCTGCTGGCCGGGACACTCCTGATACACTGTCTCTGAAAGAGGATGGATACTGTCTCATCTGTAAAGATGGGAAGGCTACAGAGATCATCGGCCAAAACGAACAAGGTGCACTATACGGCGCTTTTGAGTTCCTTAGGCTTCTGTCCCGGAACCAGCCGCTGCCCAATATGCATATATCCAACCCCAGCGCTCCAATTCGGTGGGTAAATCAGTGGGATAACCTGGACGGCAGCATTGAGAGAGGATATGCGGGCCCTTCGATATTTTTTGCGGACGGATACGTGCTCGAAGATCTGACTCGTGTTCAACAATATGCGCGGCTTCTGGCATCTGTTGGGCTGAATGGCCTGATTGTGAATAACGTCAACTCCAATTACAACCTTCTTAATCCCATAAATATGCAAGGACTGGCTCGGATTGCCGACATAATGAGACCATGGGGAGTTCGAATTGGCATCTCTCTGTATTTTGATACACCAAAAGGCCTCGGAGGTCTGCGCACATCTGATCCTTTGGATCCCGACGTCATTGCTTGGTGGGGGAGCATTACTTCTGAGCTATATCGTCATGTCCCTGATATGCTAGGGTATCTGATCAAGGCAAATTCTGAAGGACAGCCAGGTCCACTGACATATGGTCGCACTCTTGCCGATGGTGCGAACATGTTTGCCAGAGCCCTGCAGCCTCACGGTGATGGCGTCGTCATGTATCGAGCCTTCGTCTACAACCACCACCTTGATGAATCTGACTGGAAGAATGACAGGGCGAACGCTGCGGTTGAGTATTTTGATGGGCTGGATACTCAATTCGAAGATAATGTCATTATTCAGATCAAATACGGTCCCATTGATTTTCAGATCCGGGAACCACCGTCGCCCCTTCTTGCTCACCTGCGGAAAACGCCTATTATTCTCGAATTGCAAGTGACACAAGAGTATCTTGGCCAACAAGATCATGTTGTGTATTTACCACCGCTTTGGAAGACCATTTTCAATTTTGATCTCCATGTAGATGGTCAGCAGTCCTTGGTCCGAGATATAGTATCTGGTCAACGCTTCAACTGGAGTAGAAGTGGTTACGCGGCTGTGGTTAATGTAGGAAACGACCCTACATGGTTGGGAAGTCATCTTGCTATGGCTAACCTGTATGCATATGGACTGTGCACTTGGGACCCTCAGCAAAGCGAAATTGATATAATCCAAAGCTGGACACATCTGACCTTCGGTTTACACAAAACCATCGTGGATACCATAACAAGTATTTCCATGGCTTCATGGCCAACATATGAAGATTACAGTGGCAATCTCGGCATTCAAACTTTGTGCGATATTGTCACACATTGCCATTATGGTCCCTGCCCAGCGTCGCAGGACGGCAATGGATGGGGTCAGTGGACTCGTGCTAATGCACATTCGATTGGCATGGATCGAACTGTCGCCACTGGAACAGGAAATTCTGGGCAATATCCTCAAGTTGTTGCTGAGCGGTTTGAGCGTATTGACACCACTCCCGATGAGCTTCTCTTATGGTTTCATCATGTTCCGTACACTCATCGTCTGAAGTCTGGTAAAACAGTCATTCAGCACTTCTATGACTCCCACTATGCCGGAGCTCTTGTCGCCCAGACATTTCCGCAGCAGTGGGAAGCTTTGCGAGGATTGATAGACAATGATCGATTTGACCATGTGGCTTTCCGTCTACGGTATCAAGCAGGCCATGCACTGGTATGGCGAGACTCAATTAACAATTTCTACTACGCCAAGTGTGGCATTAAAGACGAACATAACCGAGTTGGTAACCATGCATGGAGAATTGAGGCGGAAGATATGACTCTTGAAGGATATGCAGTGGTTCCTGTCACGCCATTCGAGGCTGCCTCTGGAGGAAAAGCGATCGCGACGATCCCAGGGGCGAATATCGGTACTGCACAGTGTACTGTTACTTTTCCCTCTGGGGTTTACGACGTCGCAATTAACTACTACGATCATCTGGATGGCAGATCTCAGTATCAAGTCTTTTTGAATGAAAAGTTAGTTGGTGCTTGGACAGGTGATCTTGAGGACAAACTGAGCCATGACTTCTCGGATCGTATTGACGGCCATTCTGCTACTCGAGTCACCTTCAATAGTGTGAATGTCGAAAAGGGCGATTCACTGAAGATCGTTGGTAAGCCAGATGGGAACGAACTCGCTCCGGTAGACTACGTTTCATTCTTGCCACGAGGTGTGGTGGACTAGAGCAGTTCAGCTGATTAGAAAAGGTTGCATGGAAATATAAATAGAAGCATCCCAAGACGCATTTCTAGGTTTTGAAAACAAAAATACATATATATTAATTCTACATCTGATTCATGAGTCGTTGTTGGATCATTGGTATTGGTCTCATGCTTTGAACGAAACACATTTCGGAATGGTTCTGGCCGGAGGACGATATTTCATCAAAATATTTCTTGCCTCTATTTTTGCGGCTTCGCAAAGCTACAGCCACCTTCTGCATTTTTTTGAAATAGTTAATGTAGACGGTAAATTGCGACAGGTAGAGAAGATATTGACTCACAATACTAGGACAACTTAGGGAGCGCCCCCCTCACCAGATATATGAAGAGCCCCGGTTGCATTCAGAGGCTTCAATGGTGATGGGTTGAGACACTGTTCAAAAGGTACAGCATAGGCCTCCCTGTTTCCTTCTTTGAACGTAAACCCACTACCTACCAAAAGAACTTCTGACCTCTGTGGTCCGTTACCCCCTCTGCATTTAGGCTACTCAGATTACTAGGTTGATGATTGGTGGGCACATTTGTTTGCAAATTTACCCGGTGGAGCACTAAATCTACATGTGTCCCTATGAAAGGCTGTTTAAGCCAGTATTTTCTTACTACTACAGATCAACCATAGCAAGTACTCGTGAATTATCGCTCCTAACTACGACAGTCCAGCTATTATGAGTTCAACTTCAAACAGCCAAGGGCATTGGGTTCACACCTGGGCTAGTATGCCAATGCTTGCAGAAAGTGATAGCCTTCCCCCAGATGACTTTGTGAGTATAACACTGTAGTTTGGCAAAAGCTGTAACTTCCAACCGCATCAAGTTTGAGCGCCTTTCTAAATACCCTACACAAACTCACAATAAAACCTCCGTCGCAGATACAAGGTGGTGTGGCCTTTTGTAACACCACTATTCGTCAAACCGTACGACTATCAATTGGAACCGAGAAATTCTTGCGAGTCAGGCTATCGAATGCGTTTGGGTCTAAGCCCATTACCATATCACAAACAACGCTGGCACTAGCGACCAAGGATAAGTCGGGGACCACAGAGATTCATTCCGAAACCATACAAAACGTCAGATTTGGCGGAAGCGAATCTTCTATTATTCCAGCCGGAGCGCTTATGGTTTCTGACGCCGTAAACTTTGGGTTTCCCTTAAACTCTAATACTGTATTGAGTATCAGTATCTTCTTTGAAGCTGGTCATGACGCACAGTGCATAATTACGCACCCAGGTAGTCGCACTACCTCGTATTACACTAAAGGCAATCGTGTGTCTGAGGGTGACTTCAATCACCTTACCGTCAAGCAGAATGATCACTGGTAGGTAAAGATTCTCGTTGATTGAAGAATTCCACTCAGAGATATAATATTCACTTTTGCGTCTTGTTCTGAAATATTCTGACCTTCACACAGGTACTACATTAGTGGTGTCGAAGTGTTTGCACCTCGAGATACGCGAGCCTTTGCCCTCATTGGGGACAGCATTACAGACGGCAGATGCAGCATCACGAATGGTGATACCCGGTGCGTTTATACTCTCGATACTCTCGAACCAAAAAGCTTTACTGTATTTGAGTGCTGACTCGCTACACATAAAGGTGGCCGGATATCTTATTTAGGCGACTACAGGCCAGTACATCTGGATTACATACTTCCCTTGCAATAGTGAATCAAGCGGCCGGAGGTAATCGTGTTATGGATGACGGTCTTGGACCCAGCGTGCTGAGTAGACTTGATAGAGACATTATATCTCTTTCTGGTGTCAGCTGCGTGATGATATTTGAAGGCATAAACGATATTGGCATGGCACCCGCCGATTCCTGTAGTCAAGGGGCCATTAGCAATCGGCTAACTGCATCGTATAAGCAAATTGCTATCCGACTGAGATCGCAGGGCATTGCAATCTTTGTAGCAACGTTAACGCCCTTTGGCCTTTCGCAAGTGGATCCCAAAGAGTGTGGGAATACATCCCCAAACTCTTACTGGAACCCAATTAGGGAGTCTACGAGACAGACTGTCAACAACTGGATTCGCACAAGCAGTATCTTCGACGCTGTAGTTGACTTCGATGAGATCTTACGGGACCCAGCACACCATTCGTTACTAAAAAGAGAATATGACTCAGGCGATGGATTACACCCTAATCAGAGTGCATTTTACGCCATGGCAGACTCTTTTCCGATTGATATTTTGGAGAAACTATTTTAAATATGCTGAGTTATATTACGATCTAATCTATTATGCATGCTGCATCTATAATCAAGATAAGGGAGTTTGTATAACCGTCAAAACTAGTTTAGACAAATGCTATGCCCCAGCTTTCAATTCAAGATCCAGAATCAATCCAGGGATCAATGTAATTGGTGACGGCGGATTGAATTCTCCCCCAAAACTGATTATGAATTATCCTAGCAAATTTTATTCAAATTGGGGATATCGATCTTTGCGAGACAAGCACTGCTAGCTATGCTGTTATGGGAGATAACCTCACTCTCCCACACCAAACCTTTCGCGCTGGTGACATGGCTATCAATAGATAATACGCTTCTTGGAGCTCAAGATGCCACTCTCGATCAAAAAGAGCTACCCAAGGTATCCAACTACCACTGGAAGTTTTTTTGTGGTAGGAGGATTGTCGCAATAGGCCTTTGTTGCATTATCTTCAAACTGAAAAGAAAGAGAAGGAAGAGACAGAGTGGTCACAGCTCCTATATCTTTAATTGCTCCAATTTGAAGTTTTTGATGAATCAATTATAGGCAAATATTATGGAACTTGTGCCCCCTGTCTTGCCCTTCGCAGTACCGACTTCTGCGTTGTCACTTTCAGAAACTTTCACATTCTCTCCAAAGGTTAGTTCAATTGTATCAAAAAATAAGAAAGTTTGCACGGTAGACAGTTTCGATGAAAATAAAGTAAAAATAGCCTCACCAGTTTTCTGGGTATATAAAGTAGACCAAAGCAAGTTCAAACGCGATCCACGCTGTATAGGTACCATAGAGCTTTCAGGGATCATTTTGTCAAGGTTCTCGCTTGACAATAGTCAGTGAATTCACATACGTATGTATAATGAGATCAACCTGTAGAGATGATTCTATTACAGTAACGCTCCTCACTCAATGCTTGAATGGAAAGATGTCTACTATATAAACAATCTCCCTCCGCTGAATAATGCCTTATCGAATCTGTTGCTGCAGCGTTTGTTCAATAGTATATGAGAAGATATACAGCAGCCTAAATCATGACTCGTGGTATGTAAATTGCCAGTTCTGCAGCGAGCAAGTATTCTTCAATTTGTAGTGCAATACCGGCTGAAATAGTTTACAATGCGGTATAGATTGCGAGGTAGCTAATCTGTGACACTGCTGTGGGGAGCTGATCAATGATCGTGTCTGTTACGGTTTGTTCGCACCTGTATGGCGGCTGTATCTTCGTACTGTCAGCCATCGGGGTTGCTGTGTCTTCCATAGGACATTCAAGTTGACTGCTAGAGTTGTATTTCTACGTGAGAAGTGTTATGTTGCTCAGCCCTCGTTGCCTCGAACGGAGCATCAGAGCTCTCTGATGTCATCCGTTTCCTCTTGGGAAACAATGGTTTGTGATGAAGATACTAGCAAGCACGGCATCTTAGGTGCGCAATTCTGGATTCACTCAAATCTGCTTCTGAATTCTAATACATTCTTTCCAACCCTCGACTGCCATCACATTGCCATCATCGTCGCTATTCTGAACTCGAGTTCGTAATTTCAAGTATTTGCGATGACGTGCTGGAAATATTTTGCTATCATGATCTGAAGAAACCATTGTGCGACGGAATGTTTTAACTAGCGCTAGTTGTTTGGCTTTACCAGACAGTGTAGCAAGTGTCTATCCTAAGAGAGCCGCTTAAAAGAGAAACAAAGTCTCTTCAGGCCCTTACCTCAATGGCCTTGCCATAGCCTTACTGACTCGCTCAAATAGTTCTACCCTACAGCGTGGGCGTAAAACCCGGGCATGGCTGGTGAACAGGCTTCTAATAGAGCATGATCAAGACGGCGTTTTTCTAGGATGGACGCATTGTTGCGCGGTTGACGAACGGGAATATGAGACTAAAACGTTCATAGTTGGCCTCAACGCAAAAGTTCAAAAGTTCGACGACCGTAGATTTTAGTCAAAGGATTGCACCGCAAGCTTCTGATGCTGCGACTGTTGATATTTGTCATCTACCTTGTCGTGAGGCTGCGTTGTAGGCGTTGGCATGGTAGATCTAAAAATGCGACATAGAGAATGACGAGGCTTGCTAGCTTTTTTTACATTAGCGCCACAACGTACTGCTTGGCTCAATGACGGTTAGTTTTAGAGTCGTAATCCTAGGGTGGCTCATTTTGACAGTGTCCCTATATCAGCGATCTTCCATAAGCGATTTTCGGCAAAAGAAGCGATTTGCGGCGAGGCTTAACTAAGTTGTAGCCTGTTGGTAAATATATAGGCTGTAGTTCGTAGTTATTATATCGTTTTCTAATTGAGTTTTCAGTCTGCAACATCAGACTCGTTACCATCTCATCACCCTCAGAACTTCTATTTCCTGCTCACTTGTCATTTCGCCTCCCCATCGCCAATGTTTCACATAATGTTTAACGTAGGCCTGCTCCTTCTTACTGTAGGCTCAGTCCTATCCGCCTCTATCAATCACCGGGAATTGTCGATGTTACGCATTGCTCACCAAGAGCGAGGCATTCTCACTTTCTCATTTGACCATAGCAAATCGTCATCCAGAAGTCTAGACCTTCTTGGCACAGCCCAAGCCGGCTTCAGACCAGGCTGGCTGCAATTGCACGACAATTTGCTTTATTCTGTGTCGAGAACTAGTTATCCCAACAATCGTTCAAGCTCTGGGGGGGTTTTTTCTTTCGATAAAAACGCCGAAGACCCCGACGCCTTGAGTCTTGTTATCTCTCAATCCTCAAATGGTATGGGAGGCGTTTTTTGCGATGTTGCCAGAGATGGCAGGACTTTATCTGTCGCCAACATGTAAGTATTATATTCTTCCGTCCAGCTAGGAAGAAGCTTTTCTCTTTCTTTCTTTTCTTGGACTTACTCGTTCGTTTATCTAGCGATGGTTCGACTGTGTCTATCTATCCTTTGTCATCGCATGGCATAATTGGCGACGCTACTTTTGTCTTCAAGTACAATCTCACCCATCCAGGGCCAGGAACAAACGAGTCTCAGATCCAGAGCAATCCACATGCTGCTGCTTTCGATCCTACTGGAGAATATATGATAGTACCAGACCGAGGGGCAGATCATGTCTACGTCTACCATGTCGACGGGCCAGAACGAGTAACTCAGATCAACAACATCACCCTCGAGTCAGGAACGGGACCTCGCCATGTCACATTCCGAGCGTTCAATTGTACGCGAACATTTATGTATCTGGTAAGCGAGCTGGACAACACGATCAGAGTATTCGCTCTCGACGGCGTCAACAATGATAGCCGTGGCCTCCGCCCACATTCGTCCCTGAGCATTTCTCTAGTCCAAATCGTCTCAACCCTTGGCCATGGCTCAAATCGCTCAGAACCGAACAATACCAACCTGGCCGCGGAAGTGGCCCTTTCGAACGATGGGATGTTTGCTTATGTGTCGAACCGTAATACAGTATCGTACAGCACAGACACACTGGCCATATATTCAGTTCACCCGGATGCGTTGGAGCATCTGGTCTATATTGGGAACACCCCAACCTACGGCAAGATTCCAAGACATTTCTCAATTTCTCCCGATAGTCGGTTTATTGCAGTTGCCAACGAAGTATCGAATAACCTTATTATATTAGAACGCGACCAAACATCTGGACGTGTGAACTCAGTCGTCGGAAACGTGACTCTGGGTGAATTTGATCTTACACAAAACAATGGACCGATGGCCGTGGTTTGGGATAGTAAAGTAAAATATTATCTTTAATACATTACGAAATCGACTTACTATCATAAGTTGGGGTTTTGTATGTTAGTATGAGTACAGCATTTACAACAGATACATCACATTTATATAATACGCTAGGATTTCATAAGTTCATACAGATTCCTTATCTTCATTATAAAAGCTAACTTACCGTTACTTTGTAACTCAGTCAACACTCCGAGCTATCGAAATCATCACTCCGACCATTGCCGCAACGTCGAGAATTGATCCTCAATCGTTTCACTACACGGCGGAGGGTTGTCCTTGCGCATCACCTTAAAACCGTCGTATTACAACATGCGGTCGAATTCCCCTGCACGTGGGCATTGCAGGGCATCCACGCTCGCTTGGGACCACTTGCAGAATATCTACCTGTTGCTGATACGCAAGTCGTCGAAACCGATGCAAGCATCAGTAGGTATGTTTGAAGAAATAGAGGTATCGCGACACTAGTGATCTGTCTGCAAAAATTATGGAGAGGTAGGACACATCCCGTATACATTGTTCACTCCAACCATTGCTAAGTCGTTACTAGCCTCAAAGATCCGCTCAATCTTCTGAGCCGGATATGCAAGTGGAAGGTATAGTGGCAAAGGCCCCAAATACACAAATTCAAGGGTTCTCGGTATGTTCAGTTGTACAACGCTGTTCGATCATATTTCTGTTACAGAATACCAACCGGCTACCGGTGAGAACTTAAGTGATGGCCAGGTTCAAGACGGCCGCGGCGAGAACATCCCCTCTCAAAACTGTATCGTCTACGGACCCAAGCTCATCCAACAAATACCTCGCCTGCTCCCACCTTTGTCTTATTACCCGACAATCCAAACATGGATGGCCAAAAACATCAACCTTGCCCTAGCGAGTGCTCTCATGGAGCTTTGTATGACTGTCAAGCTTTCACCAAGCTACCCCAAGATCAACTGGACGCGGTTGAAAGTGCGCAGAAGTTTTTTGTAAGCTGCTGTCACCCATTAGTTGCTTACTATAGCGATAGGATTGAGAATTACTGTGCACAGTTCTGCTATAAAAACGCGAGATAGGAAACGTTAGCTCTATTTTGCACAGTGGTGTCGGCAGTGACAACTAATTTAACATCCACACCAAGTATTTTTGTAGACCTAATTGAGATGGTAACAATATGTAAAGGCCCCCTACCCACCTTTCAGACGTGTGTCTCGAGATAAATACTTCACTCCACTACTTAAATGCCCATCTACTCTTACTTCTTCCAAGTTAATTATATCCTTCCTGCATTATTATATTCTCCGTATTTAATTAAGTAGTTTCTCTTCAATTCAGTTCATTTTAATAAATCGTTGGGATATAGCTGGTATATGAGTATTATATTGGCTTATTTACAAAGAGCATGCAACCGCGAGGCCGATCAATGTATGGTTTCTACCATTCCCTATCAATTATTTCAAATTCAGCTTCTGTTGGCAATATCTAGAGAAGTCAGCGATTTTCCTTTTTATTACAACTCATCAGTTGCATACTCACTAATTACAGCGTTAGTCAAGAATATAAAGTCACGGCTGAAAAATATACAAGATAAGGCTACGTACTAACTTCCCAAGATAGATACAGGAATCCTGCAGCTGCAGCAGCTTTTTCGTATTCCAACAGATATAAAACGTAAGAATCAAACTCGACACTAGGTAAAGCATTTACCATTATATAAACCCTAAAGCCATATTCGTAAGTTTCAGTAACCTGCTACCTATCGCTAATTCAGCCTTCATCTATCGTCATTTCCGGTCCATGCTCTTAAAGTAGAAAGGGATTAGGTATTAAAGCAATAAGCTTTCCCCCTGGCTTTAGCGCATTAAAAATATTATTCAACATCCTTATTAAATACTGCTAATCAGCAGCATAGTTAAGTAACCACGCAGCAAACACTATGTTAAAAGTCCCTCTTAGTCTATCTAAGCCAAGGTTTTAGAGGAGATCTGCCTGCTCGAAATCTCCAACGAAGTATCTAATAGCGCCATCTTCCCAGTAAGCTGGAAGTTCTTTCTTTGCATTTTCAATCATACTAGAGGAGACGTCAATTCCAATAACTTCAGCAGCTCCTTAACGGGCCATTATTTAAGAATAAAATCCGGTTCCACAAGCTGCATCTAGGACCCTTAACCCGCTAAGATTATTTATAGCCGTGCTAGCATACCTATTCTGCATAATTGGAATCGGCCTCTTCTTCAGGCCTATGTACAACGCTCCATAATCGTCGTATTATGCTATTGCAGCTCCGGCCAGATTGCATAAGACCGTTAAAACTCTTGAACTCAGGAAGCACTTCCTATAGCCACCTATTAAGTTATTAAGATCAGCTTAAATAAGCTTTTTAAAGTAAGAATAATCTCAATAACCATCTAATACTAAGGCAAGGCTTTTAAGTTAATAGTAAGGCATCTTTGCAGGCGGTGCCCCGTAAGTACACCACCTCCTAAAGGAATTATACACCAGTTTTATTAATTTAATACAAGGCACTGGTTTATTAAATATAAAAAATAAATAAAAACAGCGGTAAACAGCAGCATACACCTAAGTAGGTAGACATAAGGAAGGGTTACACAGCATATATTAAACCCCTCTTCAAAGGTGTCTGGTAACCAAGCCCCAACAAAGGTCTTCCATAGGCTTCGGCCTTAACCTACCCAAAGCATAAAGGCGGAAAATTATCCACCTTCTACATACAACTTTCAGGTTTACCTTACAGCCCATTCATCCATCCTATACCATCAAAGTGCAAGTACTCTCTCTATCATTTCTCTCGACTACGACGCAATATAAAGCAACCACAACACAGAAAGAGCAGCATAAATAATCAGCAAGTTATCTTCGGCGCTAATAACAGCCGTATCCAACCATAGCGCAAACACTGGAAACCGGGGCCAAAAGGCAATCACTCGGACAAGCTCAAAGGTTTCAACAAAGGCCAGAGAATTACTCTAGGTAGAACCAGTGGCAATAATAGCAAAAGCGAGCGCATCTTATACAATTCAAACTCAGAGTTAAGCCAAAATGCTTAAATCTGTTTGCAATTACAAGCTTCCTACTTAACGACCATTATTATTAACTGTTAGGAACACTGCAAAAAGCGGAGATAAAGGCAGATATTAAGATTCATAGGCCAATATAGAAGGGAAAGGAGATAGCTAGAACAGTTCTACGTAACTATGCACCTTACCAAGCTCCTATTAATCCTTAAACTTTATAAACAAATTCCCTGTCTATGTACCTCCATATTGCATTTATCTCTGTTTTACTACATAATTAGCCTATTCACACCCAAGTAACATAGTAGGCACTCATTTATTAAGTTTTCAATATTCAGTCTTCTTACATATCATACCTAACCCCGCCAGAAGTACTTAAATATCTACTTTATTAAATAGTAAATAGCTCTAGTAAAACATTTATAAGGTAGGTATATACTTCCGCTAATATAAATTATCTTACTAAATACTACTTCTTATCTAAGGTAGGGGTTTATTAGTAGGAATTACCAAGTAGCAGGTGCTATATATATTTGGCACATTATGTCTATGTACTAAAAATAAAAGGTTAAATAACTAGAGGCTATCGAGGTTTATATTCCAACACAATGTAACAATAGAAGCGTTCCCTCGTAAATTTAACAATTAATTTACTAGATAAGTACTTACAGCACGCCATAAGTACAATTGCATACCTAGCACTTAGCGAAGCTCGTACATATACACTTTTTAGGTTATCGTAGTAGGTCTTATTAAAGACATTTCTAGACCAGATTTTAAAAAGCAGTATTCACACAGCTTAAGTTTTTAAAGTAAACAATTTTTTAGAGTGTAAGACAATTTTTTTTATCATTTATCCTAATCTAAACTTACGATTTATACACTAGCTATTAATTATAAAATGCGAAACCACGGCACTCAATACTCTCACGAAGAAGGTCGCCCTTTAATCTCTTAGGGTAGTCAAACAGCGTATGTAGAACTCCTGGTACAATCAGCACATGCTACAGCTCGCCAGAGATATTGTCTATCTTACCAGGTAGAGGATTATCGCCTAATATTACTTATATAAATAACCAGGCCTCATCAAGCATCTGGTCTCTAATATAGTACCAACGGTAGTTACTATTACTAAATAATTAGTACGTTTCGTACACCACATCGCTTTTAACTATATCTTAATAAGCAAGGTCGTATTACAATCTATTATACTAATGTCAAGTAATACCAAAGGATAATCGCATACTAGGCCCTTCAATAATACCCAAATACTATAACACATTTAGCTGCCTATATATAGTCAGGTGCCAGTCAAAGGGCCATACTTAAACCATTGGTACTTAGTTTTGCTTAGCTGAGCAGCCTCACGTAGGTTTAACTTAAATATTATACCTTCCGCATTAACTTAAGTTATGTCTGTAAAATGTAAGAGTAAATCTATATAAGTTCTGGCGATATTTTACTAATGTAGGCGATTAAGGTGGGTTGAAGGTGAGTATAGCTTCCTCCTATATAAACAGGGAATTCAGAATGTCGTCTTCGAACTTTAGTATAAAGTCAGCTAAGAGATTGCAAAAGAAACTATTAATATACTATAGTATTAAAAAATTGAATTCGATATGTACTAAGTGCTTCTTTTACGGTAGCAGCGGCTCGTGGGAGGAAAATGTTTACAACCTTTTGGTTGTCGTCAAACTCATCGGGCGTTAAAAGCCCCGTATTAATTTTAATTAGCGTAAACCCGTTTTTCTCGATTATAGGTAGAGAGTTAAGCTCCTAAACGTCGTTTACTATAATGTTATTTACTTATTGTAGATTTAGGTTACTCTTTTCCAATCCATCAGGGGGTTTAAATAAGACGTAATATAGCTTTTCTTTATCCTACTTCACATTATGCTAAAGGAAAAAGAATAAGGCAGAGATTACTGTAGCTATAGCGTTAGGCGTATAATTACTAGTTTAAGACAAAGTAAATAAAGGAGCAAAAATTTAAATACTATCTTTAAGGAAAGCTGCAGTATTCTAGTATGCAGATACTTTAGGTATCATCTAGACATGTTGTAAATCGTACATAAGCCTCTGCTGCACCCTCCCGCGACTTATTCTCGCCGTTAAGAAGTATACGGCGTTCAACGTAGTTCTATCTTATTAGCTATTTTTATATATAATTTAGCGAGAAATTCTTATTAGAAGAACGAGGACTAATAACTCACTAGTCGTAGATAAGAAGGTTACGAACAATAGGCTAGGCTCGGAGAAAGTGGAAGTCTCTGTATAATAATAGCCGGGCAGTACATCCGTGCTTACCTATATATATATATATATATAAACTTTATAAAATCCACGACCCCGCAATCTTAAATACTTTACTTTAGCATTAATTTTACCTCGTCGTAGATTCTTTTACTATTTACTCAACTTTATATTTAAATAGCTGCGAGATTATTAACCACTAAGTTACTAAGTTTAGACTCTGTAGGATTATAGAAAAAGTTTAAGGCTGGTCTTCTCACCAGCGTCGAGTTAGTTTAAGCATATTTTACACAAATTAGCAAACATAATCAGCAGGGCGTAAAACTAAATGCTATAATTTTAATTGTTTTTAAACCGCATTCTGATAGAGTGCTTAGCGCAGCTTGACCGTGAGCGAGCGGCAGGTCTTCTTCGAAGCCCGTTCTATAGTATACTAATACTTATTAAAGTCTGTCGTTTTAAGGCGTTATATTACGGTCTAGAATTGTTAACCTCGCACAGGATACCATTGCCACAAGACCTTCTCTCGAACTGCCAACAACCTTGGGTAGCCTTGCCTTAAAAGATTCAACTATACCCAAAAATGCCAGCATAGTTAATAAGGTTAGTAACTGGAGATATTACATACGGTAGCCTGGAAACTCTAACAGCATATCCAGCTAGAAGAACTGGGCGTCATAGTGTTAGGCAAAACAAATTTGAACGTAAGAAAAGTAATACCCCTGCGTAAGCGAGACTTTTAGCTAACGGACGACATTTAGCAATTTTGCAACTTCAAGTGCGCTACAACGCCCCAGCTGTTCTTGCAAGTCTAACATGACATATACGCAGGGCCGATGCAAATTCGAATGGATGGTCGGCAATTGGAGGACAAACACAATCTGCATATATTGCTCGTAAGCCAGACGAATCAGGCCTTGGGCAAAGTGTACGATATCTTATCCTTCTTTAACGCTCCAAGCTGACTGACTACCTACTCTGTCAGGACCCATGTGGTTCCTCAACAGGCTCCGCAGTGGGCGTTTCAGCAGGCTATGCGCCATTAGCCCTGGGCACTGAATCAATTGGATCTATAGTCATGCCGGGATCCAGAGCCGGTTTGTATGCCTTCAAGCCCGCTCTTAATACTGTGAATATGGATGGAGTTTTCAAAACCTCCGTGGAGCTGGATGTTGTCGGTGGTCTTGCTAGATCGACGGCAGACTTAGCCCTTCTAAGCGAGGTCGCTTTAACAGAGGAGAAGCGGAAGCTTTTGCCAGAAGAGGGCTATCAGAAATACCTGACCAAAACTTTCGACTTACTCCGGATAGGCTTTCTTGATCCTACAAAGTGGTCTCTTCATCCTAGCATTGTACAATTAGATGAGGCTACGTTGAAGCAAATGGTGAGTTATCCAATCCTATTCTTGTAATTCAAACTGAGCTTTGTATAGAACGACATCTACTTCGCCGCTATTGGACTTGTCAAAGAGCACGCTATCAAGACATCCGTGACCTATCCAGTCGACATACCGCCCGCCACAGACCTGTGGTATGAAGGGCGAAATCCAATCGACGTGATTATATGTAGGTATACCGATACAATCATGGCCGAATGCTGACAATCAAAAGCATACGAAGGCAAACAGGCACTTGAGGCCTGGCTAAGCGAGGCTAAAGTTCCGGGTTTAATTACGATAGAAGATGTCATAAAGTTTAACTTGGACCATCAACAGGAAGAATTGCCCACGGGTATGTACTATCGTATTTTGTTTGAACTATGCTGACGAGCAATTGAAAACTGAAGACCACCCGGACCAGAACCAGCTACTGAAGGCTTCCCGAGATCCCCCCACGCGAAAAATGTATGAGGCCGTCAAGGAGCGGATTAAGACAATTTCAAAAGAAAATGGGATCGACAAATTATTTCGCGATCAGAATCTGAATATACTCGCATTTCCATTGGACAGCCTTATGGTGTTCATATCAGCTGCATCGGGTATGTTTCAGTGAGGCAACCGGTGAGACTGTTCTAATTGATTCATAGGTTACCCAATTGCGACGATGCCCGCTGGAGTCATCCAAGCAGACGGGAGACCATATGGACTGGGTATAATGGCTCAGACTGGTAGAGAAGACTTGATGTTCCAGTTCATGAGTGCTTTCGAAGCCCACTCTGCCCCCCGTGCTGTTCCCTCTCGCGTTCAAAACGATGATGCATAAGCCAAAAAGTCCATAGGAGGCCGGGCTTTTGAGGTGACGGCTGGAGCAGTGCTGTACGTGTAATCACATCACTATGCAGCTAGCACAATAAATGCAGCTAGTCTGCCTTATTCCCATTTTTTACAGAGCTACATACCTAGAAACAAGTCATGGAGTGGAGATGGTTGGCTCATCCTTCAATGATACGTTGGCTCATAGTGTATCACAGCATGATAAACGAAAAGGAGGGGGGCTACGTGCATGTCTTGTATATGAATACGAATCTACTAGGTAGTTTCTACTCGTGAATTGGCACATCGGTCCGCGCTTGTTCCGTAAATGCATGTCTTTTTATAGGTCCATGTGGTGGTAAAGTATATGTACCCCGTGTATATAAGACGATAGTACATCCCCCAGCCCAGTATTCTCATCCAAATCCTCTTCCTAACGTTGACCCCTTATTTATGGTACGCCAAGCTATGGCATTGAAACTTCTTCACCCAACAGTTATATCCGCCGATATCAATGTAACACTAAAGTAAGTTCTTCATATTTCTACCACTACATCCTCATTAATCAATTAGTGCAGTGTTGTTATCGTGCCTGGCATTGGTCTTCTTCGGCCGGCAGGATGGAGAAACTCATCAGGAGAATGGCTTAAAATGATACAGAAACGACATAGCGAGAGAGTGCGTATCTGGCATTTCGACTACGAGGCTATAAAAGGCCAGTCTATTTTACAATCACTGCTCCAGCAGAGCCATGTTCTTCCGACGGCACTTCACCAACTTAATCCGAGAGATGTAAGTACAATATTCTCCGATGTGTACTGCAAGGCGTAACTAAAACCGACAGCTACCTTGTAGGGCGATTCTGGTCGTGTGTCAAAGTCTTGGCGGGCTTATATGGAAACAAGTAATACTCTCTTCTCCTAAGGTATCACAAACTATTAACAACCTCAAGGCCTATGCAAACATGGCGGAAAAGAGACATGAAAACAATAATGTTCTTGACCACATTTTTGGTGTCGTATTTCTCGGAACCCCGCACGTAGAGGACACAAGTCAGCTCGATATCAACATCGTTGAGACTATAGTGAGAGCAAGCGCAGCTCCGTTTAACTTCTTATCGTTCACACAGGAAGACAATCAAATGATTGCGCTGATCTCAAAAGGTTTCTCGGACTTTACTGGTCATATCATTTCAACTTTTGAGACCGTTCAAAGTAAATATCGAGGCGTGAAGTGGAAGGTCCAATTTCCAAGGACCCGTTTGGTAGGCTGCTTATACCCCCTCTTATCAGCCGTTGCTAATCAATTAACAGGTGTTGGCAAAAGAACATGCTGTCTTGCCTTCAAACCCTGGAGCTGAAATATATGGGATTCCAAGCAGCCATGAAAATCTCTGCAAGGTAGAGATCGGTGGGGAATTGTATAAAGCCATAGCTCGCTTGATAGATACTGCAGTGCTCAAACATGAAGTATTCTCTATTCCCCAGGTTGTTACCGGTAAGTCAGCTTCCCATTAATGTGGCAATTTCTGACAATCCCGTAGAACGCTATGAGCTTCACATCGATGGTAGTTGCCCAGACGAATGGGATATACAAAGTTTAAGAAGCCATAGAAGCAGGATGGCAAAACCAGCTGCAGAGGTATCGAGCTCGTCGCTTATAGAATGTCACAAGGAGAAAACCCAGGATCGTGTCTCATCACTTCTCAGCATCGAACACAAGCAAGAGACTCTTTCAGCCAGCGCTGGCTACTCTTCTACCTTCTCTTATGAAGTTGTGCCATCCACCAACCACTTTGAGCCAGAGCAGCCCAAACTACGCATCCCTTGTTTCTCGGTAGGATCTCAGACTCGCAAAACTCCATTTTTCGGACGTGATGATGTTCTTCGATCTATCGATAAAAGCCTGCTTCCTGACAGCATCCAGTCACCTATTGATGAAGGATCAATCCGGCCGTCCGGAAATCTCAAGACTTTTGCATTGTGTGGCGCTGGAGGAATTGGGAAAACAGAACTGGCATCCGAATACATCTTCACCAGAAGAGACAAATATCTTGCCATCTTCTGGGTTACTGCAGATAGCCGAAATGTCTTGCTTGAAGACTTTGCGCGCATAGCAGTTGAAATTGGCCTCCAAGAGAAGAATGAAGCAGGAGATTTGGCAGAGGCGTGCGAATTAGTCAAAGGGTGGTTGTGCAATCCTGTGAAAGACGCCGAATCGCCTCTCAGTAGCCCTGGCAATGAAATCCCGTGGCTTTTGGTCCTTGACAATGTCGACGACTGGAGTACCATTGAAGACTTCTGGCCCACAACCGGCATAGGATCCATTTTGATCACAAGTCGTGATCCACTATCGCGGTCGCACGTTTTCACTGCCCAGCATGGCTTAGACCTCGAACCATTCTCCTCATCAGACTCTCTTGAGTTCCTCCATGTTGTCTCTCAGAATCCTTTCAAGGGCTCACCTGGATCTGCTAAGGCTCTCGCTCGGTGGGCTGGCGGACTTCCTCTTGTCATCAATGCAATGGCAAGTACGATGTCAGCCCAAAACCTTACTTACGATATGATGCTGAGCTTGCTGGAGAAAGACGGCTTTGCAGCCGTTTCAGTCGAAGGTATATCACAGATGCACTTGTTGCCTGACGTATCTGTTTCCATTGCCTCAATGATTGGCCTTGCATGCTTAGACGAGTGCACACAAAGCCTAATTTATGTACTGTCATTTTTAAACCCCGATAGCATTCATCAAAAACTCCTCATCGACATTACCGACGAAGTACAACTTTCTACATTTCCAAAAAATCATGATGAGCTCAGCTATGCTCAAAATAAGTTACAAAAGGCCTCTTTGATCACTTTCAACGAGTCTACTCATACCATTCGTATGCATCGCATTTATCAAGACATTGTACGAGAGTCTCTGACACCTCAAGTACGAGTGAGGGCACTTTTAACTGCCCTCGAGATCGTCTCAGAGGCTTGGGTATATCAGCCGCTTGAGAACCGCTTCAATACTGCCCGATATGAAGCATGTTCGGCGGTTTTCCCCCATGTGGACCGAGTTTATCAGCATTACGAGAAACTGTTTAGATCTCGACAGATCGGGGCGTCAGAACAAGCAGCATCTCTCTTCAACGATGCTGGATGGTACGTCTTGGATGAGAATAATCTTATCATACTAATTTCTAAGCAGGTATTGTTTCGAGAGAGGTCTCCCACACGAGTCTAAACCGTTTTACAGACTAACACAAAGCATTTGTGAGGCCCTTCAGCAGACGAGTCCTAGTGAAAAAGTGGCCAGTTTACTACGTGAAAACCATAACAACCAGGGTTCGGCTGCCAACGAGACTAATAATCCCCAAGAGAGTCTACATCACAATCTTACATGGATCAGCTTGATGCGCGAACGGATATCATCAGATGGCCAACAAAAAATTGACTATGAACTCGGCTGTGCATATAACGAAGTTGGTGTGGCCTACGCGATGAACAACATGTATTCTCTAGCACTCGACTTCTTTCAGAAGAGTATTTCTACATACAAGTCCCTCCCTGACTACGATGAAAAGTGGCTTGGGTGGCCGCTACCAAACATTGGCATGGTGTATTGGATCCAGGGAAACCACAAATCGGCGTTGGAGGTACTGCATCGTATGCGTGAAATATACGAAACTGCCTATGGCCGTGACGACAGACAATCATTTAAGTATGGTTCTTGCTTTATAAATAAAAGCGAAGCTAATCTCTTCTTAGAACGGGAAAGGTTCTGTACGGAATTGGCAATGTCTATCTGTCTCTTGGAGATCTCGAACATGCAATGGAATACCACCTACGAGCTCTCAGCCAGTGGTCGGAAACCCTTGGCACGGGACACCATCGAATTGGTGATGTAAGCCATAAAATAGCTCAGGACTTGATAGGACAAGGACAATTTGAGAAAGCACAGTAAGTCTTTTGAGCATAACAAATTGACAGTCACTGATATCTTGATGCCAGAGAATACCTTACGCAAGCACTTAGAATCTTCGCTCGCCGTCCACACCACAGGCAAGAACATGCTCGGACGACCTTCAGACAGGGTCAACTATATCTGGCAAGCGGCAACATTGATCAAGCTGAGCAGTCATTCAAAGCAGCCCATAAACAACGTCAAAGTTTAATGCCGCAAGACGTTCGTTCATGGGATGAGCTTTCAGAGAAAGATTACGATAAACTTGTCATCTTTATGTCACGATAATCCAGATGGTGCAATTGAGTTGCGGCTTTGGAGCCCAATATCCATTCGATAAGTCGCAAGTAAGGGTTAGAGGCTTGTATGCAAATTCTTGGCGTGCATCAGACAAGAGGCATGCATTTATAAACCGTGTTCGACTGTGATAAAGGATGTCTCGATGTTTAGTGGTATTAGGTACAGAGTACATGGCAGATCAAGCAAAGCTACCTACGAAGCGGCTGTGCGAATGTGACAATCCTAGTAAAGTATAGCTTCTAGATATGCTTTAATGTGGCAAAGATTTTGCCAAGAGGACCGCGGGTAAAAGCTGGCCCAGGCGATCCCAAAGGACGACAACGCACACTGATCAATCTAGCTAACCTTGATTAAACGGAATGACCCCGATCATTTTGGCTTACCGCGATATGCATAATTAGCCTGGTTTTATTGAAATAGCTTTAATCAGTCTATCCAGCTTCGAACTATCCGGTTGAATTCACTCAACTGAGTGGCTTCGCGTTCCCTTATGGACGCTTTTGGCGGATAACAGACCAGCTGCCCTCAATATAACAGTATGGTATTAGTTGAACGAGATGGCCGCGTTTGAGTAGGGTAGACTCCGCCGACGCAGCATTTCTGCTTGCCCTTGGGGACACTTTTAGCGGCCATCAGACGCGTAATATTCTGTAACGACGCAGATAATACTATTACATACTATGCATGTGCACAACAGCTATTACTTCAGTAATATTATACATGCAGCCAATAATGTGACGTACGTATCCGATAATATGATGCACTTAGCCGATAATATGACTTGTGAGGCTCACCTTGCATGCATTTCGTAAGACTACTTGTAAGACATTTAATTTCCACAATTGTCCAGCCTGGCCATAGAGAGTACCAGTACCACACGTCACGCATATAAGAAGCCTATCCCCAATTCACTTCCAGCCAATCTCTTTGTTGACATTACTTGACTTCGTACTTCTACCTCCAATACCAACTTCGCCGGTCTGCATGCGGACTCAAAATATTATGAATCCGGATTCGATCTCCCCAATGAAGGATTCATTGATCGTAAATAAATCTACAGACGAGGCGCATCAAGGTAATGAAACAGTTGTATTTACGCTGGTAGTTTTATCACTAAACAGTCCATTCAGTCGCCGCTGTGAAATATGCAAAGCTAGTCAGCGAATTTGCGAACCTACCCGACGGCCGAGGAGCGAACCATGAGATACTTCGGCGATTCCTCGAGAGGTTGCTATCACATGCATCAGCTTCAAAGAATCTTTCTCGTCATGAAGAGCGCTTTGCGCTTGCGTATACGTTTGGTAAGCTATGTGCATCTATATGTTGTACGTATAACCTGTTGACAGGTCGCACCTAGACAAGGATGATGAGAAGCTTGAAAAGGTGTGGACGCTCAGCTGTGCCATAGAATACGAATCATGCTTTGACTTTGCAAACAAGACGGATTCAGAGACCTTTAAATCTTTGGGCAGGCTGCTCTTTCTTCGTGGTTTTCCTTCTGCGGAGTGGCTGAGCCTTATTGGCGCTAGATATAAAGTTGATTCGGAATTCTTCATGCGATTTCTGCATTTCAAGCCAGCTAAAGGAACTACCGTCAACTATTCTCTTCCAGCTCTACCAGCAGCAACATGGAACATTCTCGAGCTTCCGATAATAACGATCGGGGAAAGAAAAGTCCTCCCAGGATTTGTACACCAGGCTGATATAGATAACATGCGCAAGGAAGCGAGATTAAAAATTCAAGAGCACCATGATCTTCTACGCGGACACGAAATTACGGTGGCTTCTTCTATAGTCAGAGACGTTGCTATTATTGATCACAATAGTTTTGCTCTCGAACAATGTATCTGGATTTGTCTCCAGCCTCTTACAAGAAAAAACGCCGAAGATTCTCAATGGACACGTAAGTTACTTCTCAGTTTACTCTAGCAGTTTCTGACCCGAAAATAGTTCTTGTGTGGACAGATGCAGGGCGTACACCAAGCGTCAAGTCTATCTTAGACTTAAAGGTCCTTCCAGAAGCGTTCCAGAACAATGCAACATCTCTAGCGCCCGTCATCGACTACAAACCCGGTACAGGTCTCGCAGCTCAGCAATATACTTCCCATGGACATTTACACTCTATTGGGGGTGCAGAGGCAGCATCACAACTTTGTGTTGGATATGGTCGGACTTTGTATACGGATGTCATGGCAACAGACCCACTCTACGCCCTGACCGAAGTATTTAATATTACTACAGCCTCAGTAAATCAGTATCTAAATCTTGTCGAGCACAAGTTGGCTGGATTCACCGACGATGAGCACTACGATAATTTCGACATGCTATCCAACCTAAGATACAGTAAAGACATACTATATCGACAGCAACGACAACTTGAGCAGGTCAATGCTTGGCTGAAGCTTTATCAACTACATGGTGGAACTGGCTGGCGCACAACTAACCAGGAAGATCCCAAAGCAGCTCAGGCGGTGACATCAGTCGTTCAGCGATACGAGTATCTCCAGACACGAGTTAGAACATTGCAAGCTCAATGTCAAGATGCTATCTCTAGTCTTATGAATAGCATCAACTTAAAGGAGATAAAGAATTCTTACGAACAATCTAAACGTATCGGCAAACTCACCTTCCTGGCTTTCGCGTTTGCACCACTGTCGTTTACGACATCCTTCTTCGCCATGAACATAGGTTTGAAAGACCTCTCGCTTAAAACCTGGTTTGCAGCAACAATTATGCTAGTGAGCGTAACCTTTTTCCCCATGATATTTGACGTTATGGGCTGGGTTAAGAATTTACAAAAGAAACTGTGCGATGTGTGGAGGAAGGCGCGGTATATTTAATACTAACGGTTTGCGCCACTGCGAATGTTGTGGACTTTTCGTTTTTTGTTTCTAATCTCATCTTTTCTTTCGTAAATAGCAATATAGCGTCAAAATAGAACAGTCAAATTTCATATGTATAGTATCCAGCACTATTATATTTTTGGCCTAAATCTAAGATTTGACTTCGTTAGCTGTCGCTGATCAGATTCAACTACAGGTAAATTCTGGATTTGGATCCAAAGGCTGGGAGATAGTGCTGTTCTGAATTTCCTATTACAGTTTTACTCACTCTTGATTATACATATAACCTCGATCCATAAATATCACAGTTTTTATAGTCAAGAGACTTGGAGGGCTAGTAAAGCTGTAACAACTAGTCCAGAGAAAGACTGTCCGCGCTAGACTTTTTTTTTTTCTTTTCCAAATCTACAATGGATCTGCATTTCGTCTAGCCCAACTTCACCAGATAATTTAAATCTGGGGAACGTTTAGCCTGATGCTGTAGGTCCCTGAGCCCCGCAAACTCTTGTGGTCTTTTAGTTGAAATGAGTGATATATAAGCCTCAACAGCCCTCTGGTTTTCGGCCTTTTTGCAATTTCAACACTTTTATGCAGCCAACAGGTCGACGCCGGCATGGAACGTCATCATCTTGGCCTTGGATCATTGCCAGACACCAGCTTTGCTGGCCTTTTCCTTCAGCTACGTACCTAGGTAAAACAAAATCTGAGTATTATTTAGTACTCTTCACTCCGAAAATGTGCGTAAAACTAGATAGATATAGCTAGCTTATAGAGTGTTATCGAAGATTCTCAAGACGTAAGAACGGTGCTCCAGCTGTATTGTGTTCTATACGACTTGATTCGTGAAACATACCGCACGTAGCATATAAAGCAGGGAAGTGTATTGGTCAATCTTTAATGGGTATTGATAAAACCGTAACCAGTATAATGACCAGCTAGGGTAGCCATATATCTCTATTTCAATACTATACTATGTGGATAACACTCTTTGATAATGCGGCTACTCCTTATCTTTGTTCTTCGAGAACCTAGTGCTAAGACCTATAATCCAGACTAACACATTGGCGGCGCCAGTTCTTTGCGGCGCCTCAAGCTGTTTTAATCGTTTGATCATTTAGTTTCTTTAGACATTTGGTATTCTTGTAAAACCTCTAGAGCTTCAGTAATGAGGTTATAGTCATAAAACCAGTTGTCAATTTCCCGGTGCGTATCTGCTTGTCCATTAGCGAACTATTATGAGTATATTGGTTGGATCGCAATAGAGCAAACCGACATGGTACTTTCGCATCAAAATACTTTGTGTACTCTTGTGGAAGTTTTAATGGATCCCATTCGTGCAGTGATGACAAAACTTGAGTGCCTCCAACCCTTCTAACACGAAGCTTGTTGAAAGCTTCCAGTCGATCATGTACTTCGCTGGCGGATTCAAGGTCGGAGAAGAGTACACCCAGAGCCGCGGCATCCTCGATGGCAGCGGCTGCACCTTGTGCTCGTACTGTTGTTTTTAAGAACGGAGTTAGTCTTTAATGTGTACCCATGAGCCATGTTGATTGATGATGATAAACTGACAGGGTGGCATAGGGTGGGCAGCATCTCCAATTAGCACGATTTTCCCCTTTGCTAGGGTACTCAGTGGCGCTCTCCTGAAAAGTTTCCACTGGCCAAATGTATCCTTGAGCCTGTAGAGCCCATTATACACGCTATGAAAATCCTTAGTGGCACTGTCGATTAGGTCTTGGGTTAGAGGCAGATCATCTCCGTCAGCACTCTTGCACACTTCCGGTGGGGTGAGAACGCCAACGTTCAGAAGTGTTCCCCTAAAATTATAGTGTTAGCGCAAGGGATTCTCTAGCGACCTTCATGCTGAGCAATTGTGGGCGACATACTCCCTACAAGGATAAAACACGATGCTCTTGTCACCACCTTTGACAATATTGAGTGATGTCATGCCGCTTTCAAAGTGGCAGCGAGCTTCGGGCATGCTCAGAAACTCATGCGAGGGAATAAGGAATCGAATCATAGACATGTAGTGCTCAGGGTAGACGTCATGTCCAACCACTTGCGATAAAAAGGCAGACTTTGGATCGAAAACAATTAGTATTGGATAGATGATAGTTTATATGTAATTGGAGATACCTACGCGGATACCGTCTGCCGCAATAACCAGATCTTTCTTTATGGTTCTGCCGTCCTGGAACACTATTGTACCATCAAGCTGCACATCTTTGACCGAGGAAGAGAGCCGTAATTTTGCAGGTTTACGATCGCCATCCGGAGGCTGGACTGCGAGTCTCCTGAGTTCATTGTGCAAGTCGACCCTGTGGAAAAATGCCCAAGGCGCTTGATATTTTGATCGGTAGCCCGAAAAGTCCACGTAATCTTTGGTCTCCGGTTCCTTGTAGTCATAATATACCGCCTGTATGGGATTAACGACTTTGAAGAGTGCTTGGGACGAATCATCTTGCCTATGTACACAACTAACAAATGCTACTTACACTATTATACTCACCTCCTCTAGCTGAAGCGACGTCAATCCCATAGAACTTAAGAATTCGAAACGAATTTGGTGGACAAGATATGGCAGCACCAGTTTCACTCTTAAATTCGGACCGTTCGAAAATCTAAAAGCAATTGTCATTAGCATGATGACGCAATACTTGGGTTATTTCATCGCGTCCGGCTACTCGTTCACTGACTTCAACGTCATGACCACTTTGGCTCATCGCAATAGCAGCCGTCAAACCGGCGATGCCGGCGCCTATGATTCCAACATTGAGTGATTTGGCTCCCTTCTTTGGCGCAAGATCCTGGCGGTGTGGTAACCAGAAACGGTCACCGTCTGCATCCCTGTTCTGTAAAGTCATTGCCATGATCGGATAGTTCGGATTAGCAAGATGACTTTCAAGCACATTTTCAGCCTTCCTATTTATTTATTGTTTTAAACCTATTCTTGTTGGAACAGATACATGATGTGACAATAAGGCCCCTGTTTGGGCGTAGAGCCTAAAGCCGAATAACTGTCGCGCCCATCTTCGAGATCACCGGAACAAAGCAACCCCCACTGTCCGAGCAGCGGATAGTGGTAATGATATCGGCAAGGTGGAGAACCTATCCGGTGGCGGTTTGCGGGTAGTATGGAGAACCAAGAAGCTTATGGCCGAGACTGGAGAGGTAGATGGGTAAATGGCATACCATGGAAACGGTCTCCTCTTGAGAAATATTTTGGAGAGTCAAAGCACAAAGAGTATAGGAGTTATATCGAAACCTGTATCCAAAATAGACAGGTTTACTCAGCCTAGCATTTACCACGCTCGTCTCATTCTATAGTCTCCAGGGTTAAGGACAACATTCGTTGGGCACACCTCGGCGACGACTGAAAATACCTAGCCGAACATATCAAGCATCATGTAATGTACAAAGGACCAAGTTGCAGCATATATACTATAACTGTGGCAGAATTCTATAATACGCTGCTGAAAAGACTATCACTTAGCACAGTTTGTTTGCATCAATAAATCGATTAATCTGTTGGGTCCATTGGCACCCTTTCCAAATGTTGTCGCAATAACTATTATTGGGTTCAGATGCTTCGATTACAAAAGTTTTAATTCCCTTATTCAGCCTTAGGGAATAACTGGCAGGGTAATAGAGTTTATAAACTCGGAGCTAAAATGAATATGGTTGTTTCCAGCAAACCTCTCATAGGACCTGTAATTGTTAGACATCAGCTGTATCAAGATATAGGCAGTTGATCAGTCTCAGCTTACCTCTCATTCAAGTCATGGTTAAATAGACCTCCTCCCTGAGTATCGCCACTGCTGACCTCAAAAACAAGGTACTCACCCTTCTCAACCATCACAGTGGTGGCCCAAACCTCAACATCCACAGGATACACCTCGCCTGGAATGACGGGCAAAACATCCGACGAGAAATAGTCTCTATATGGAAGCCATTCTTTGTGTCGTGGGTGCTTGTCATTAATCTTGCGAAGACTTACCCGCTGCCAGCCTTTGCACAATGGCACTGGCTCACCAGTGATGCCAGTGTAGTGAATCTCCTTACCATTGGGACCAAAGTGGCGCAGTGTCAAAAAGAGGTCGATATCTGTTGGGACTGGGCCACCTGGGAGAGGCGTAACCGAGATATTGAGGTGGGCCGTAATATACCCCGTGATCTCTGTATCTTGAGAAAATGGATAGCTTGAGAAGTGAACAAACTGAGGATCTTCCACGTTTCCAAGAGCTGGATACGACAGTCTGTTGTAGTGTATACTAGGAATAGTCGTGATGAGATTTCCTTGTGGCGTCAGATAGTACTTTGTATACTGCGTTCTAGCCAATGGCCACTCAGTCTCGAATCTTCGTTGAAATGCCTTTTCAGCTTCCGGATTATTGACTCCCACGTTACCTCTGCGCAGAATCAAGTCAACAGGGGGCCTAGTACCATCTGTCCAGCCACCTTTATCTTGTTCCTTGAGGAAAGCATCCAAGAAGCTGAGCTGTACTTGTACTGTTTCATCTTCGTAAAATGGGACATCATGTCGTCCGACATTCATACGGAGAAACTTCTTTTCTGAGCTCGCAAGCCTGAATCCTTCGTAATTACCACGCAAATGGATCATGATACTCCCCCAATTTCCAAGAGAGAGCAACGGAGTGACTATATCTTCCAAATTATAATCCCGCGATGCGTAATAAGGATCGTTGCGGAAGAAGTGTTGACTGTTATCAACCGCCTGGTCGCGCAAATTCTCAGCCAATTCTTTGGCGTCTAAATCGCCCTCAATTGTATCTGGTCCCCAATTCCGTTTTGACTTTCCTGGGAGGCCATACTGGTTACTCGCCACGGAATTGCTAAACCACCATTTCAGAAATCCGGTGAGAATCCCACCATGTCGACAACGGTCACGGTAGTAATCGGCCATCCCGTCACATGGAATCATGGCTGCTAGACCTTTTGGTTGGCGAGCTGCGACTCTCCATTGGCTTCCACCAAAATAGCTGATGCCCACCAGGCCTACCTTGCCGTTACTCCATGTCTGCTCGGCCGCCCATTCGATGACATCCACAAAGGCATCCGTGGTGGACTTGGACATGGTATCTAGGACACCAGGAGACTGACCACTGCCAACTTCATCGGCTCGTAGCACTGCATAACCATGGGCCGTCCAGAAGGCCGGGTCAGGTGTTTCCCATGAGGAATGTGCAGACTTGTGTTTAGGGTTAATGTCTGCGAATGATTTGGCGCTAAAGCTTAACTGGAGGTCAGGTATTAAATTATATTTGAGTAGTGTCGGATGATCTTACTGTTCGTAAGGGATATCCTTTCCATATGGACCATATGTCACTAACACGGGCACCTTGTTCTCACTCTTGGGCCGGTAGATGTTGCATCGGACGAGCCCTTGTAAGCTCTTAAGCGTAATGGTGACATTTTCTTCATATAGGTAAGGAAAAGAGGTGGGGTCGACCTTGTACAGGTCACGAATTCGGTTGGGCATTGTGATGATTTGACAAAGATTTAAATTACGCTGAGCTGAGTTGAAACATTGACCACTAAGATTAAAAAAAAAATCGTGAATCACAAATATATTTGAACGTGATGCTCAATTCATGTCTCCCCCTACCGTAGGCGCCGAATGATCGGGCTGTTCGGGATGTGGAGATTCTCGGGAACGAAGGCGGTAGAGCGTATCATCTTAGTTCCTAAGACCTTGATGCCATCTACCATTTACCGAGCTATCATCTGGTTTAATGTCAATACGCAACCTAAATATGGCTGAATCGTTTTCTTGTTATATCCGAAAATCGCTCCATGATACATAGGACTTCTTGGGTTGTGATTGGTACCGGCTCATTGCCCCAATTGGAGAGGATAATATCCTGGGCAAGATCCGTCACCAGGGCAGGCTCGGTCAGAGGAATCAATTGGCCTGCCCGATCCGTTAATACTAGCTGGCCTCGCCAGCCATTGTGTAGTTTAAACAGAGCTAGATCATCATCTCCATCGATGGCCACCTGAGGCAAAGCGACCTCGTCGTGCGGTTGTTGAGTCTTCCGTAACAGCGCCCATACCCAAAGAACCACCGCGGCATGATACAGAGCAACAACACCCATGTCAGCCAAATGCTTTTTGGCGTGCTTCTTAGCAGCGTTGAAAACCTGCCCCGCGTGCCACAATGAATCTCGAGCCTTGGGATTGTCGAACCATCGCTGCACATATGGCACGGCCGATCGAGTATCCTCCTCACTGCCTCGGCCCGCATAACTGGCAACCTTATCAAATGAGACATGCAGGTGCAGGCAGAATAGTTCCCGAAGGATCTCCATTTGCGGACACAATATTGACCGCGCCTTGACTTCGGCTTTAAACTGTTCCAATGTCGATACCAGCTCGGAGTGTCTAGAATTGAGCACAAACTCAGGCATCCCTGCGTCTTTAGAAAGAGAACTTAACTGTTGGTATTCTAGGACCAAGGCCCAGAAGCCAGACAGAAAGATGTGAATGGTGAACTGGGTATCCACCATATCGAAGTGTTCTCCTACCGCATACGGATGTCGTAATATTCTAGACAGTGGAGGAGGTTGAGTCAATCTCAAATTGTCTCTCTGTAAAAGAAGTTTCTGCCATTCGCGGCACGTAGTTGCTGCCCAGAGATCCATCGAAGCAGGCAGTGGAATAGACATTTCCGCATACGAAAAGACAGGAGGCATCTTTCTCGCCAGGGTCATACTGGCATCGAGTGTCATGGCAAAGTATGCAAGCCGTTTCATTGACTCCTTTGCTATCCAACATGCCCACTGCTCATCTAAGGATAGTTCTGACATGCACAGGTAAGTATCCGGGGCTTCATAGCTTTCTTTGCGAAAATGGTGGCCTCTGCGAAGAGATGTAGCCCCCAAAAGTGTGCTTGTCTCTGCGACTTCGATTTTTCGACATATAGCACTCCAGTAGGCGAGGTAGAGCTGGATGTAAAATGCTTGAGCAACTCCAAGGTCACGCCTTGCCCTATCGTCCTCCTCGACTAGATCATTGATGACTCTTGGCAAAATATCCTGGACAGCGTACCCAAAATGGCGTAGTGCAGGTGATGGAGAACAGACAGACCCATAAGCAATTAAAGCCCCCAGTAACTCCAGCCTCTCATTGTTGATGTCAAATGATGGTTCATGGATAAAAGAAGACGCCATGGTTTCTCTCATGTGAGCCAACGCATATAGGATGATGCTCGTCAGAATTTCAGGAGTCGGGAATGTCTCTATTATACAGGAAGCAAGATTCTTGGGTGCTCTCCGCAGAATCATGTGCATTATTTGATCTCTTGTGGCCAAGGACATAATTGTAGTCTCTAGCCCTGATACTGTGCCTGGAGACGACAGATCTTCTGGTCTGATACTGTTGTTCGGCAAGACCAGATCCTCGTGGGGAGACCTAATGTCAACTTCCCCATGAGGATCCCAACCAGAGATAACAGAAGACTTTTGGAAAGCTTCTGACCCGACTCCAATATTAGACTCGGGAGCGCTGGGGATGCTAGATGAAGAAATGTTGGACGGCACTTTGTCTGACATATCAAGGACATCGAGGAATGAGAAATCCGTATTGTCGAAGGGCGGAAACGCCGAATCATCCTGCCTAAAGTGGCCGACATCGGGGACCCCTAAGACATCTTGAATGATGTCTGCCAGTTTCTGAGAATTAGATGCTAATAAAGTTTCTGTAATGGTTGTATCATCAGTCCCGGAGGGTATCAGGATGTCTGTCTGTAAGTCAAACTCCATGGCAGACGTCGGCGTAGTTGGGTCCGACAAGACAGGCTGTCCAGGCGGGAGGGTTCCAGATGTCTCCTCACTTTGCTCCTCGCAGGACATGCCTCTCTCGCGACATCGCTTGCACGGCTTCTCATCGGTGCATTTTAGCTTCTTGGCCGCGCAAGATCGACAAGCCTGGTGAACACGGGGGCCGTTTCGAGCGCTCCTCGAGGGCTCTCCTCCTGCTAGTACTTGTGTATGATGAATTGTGGCGTGGCGTTTCAGCAAATCTTGCCTACTAAAGCCCTTGCCACACACCAAACAGAGAAAGGGTCGTTGTTTTGTGTGGCTTCGTACATGGCGAACAAGATGGTCTGCCCGCTTGTACTCTGCTTTGCAGAAGCCGCATTGGTAAATGCCAATCTCTGTAGCATCTGGCATGCTGGCTCGTGTTTCCAGAAGAGAGCGTCGCTGATTATTGAGACAATCCAACTTAGAAGAACGATCATGGAAGAGTGAGATTTCATAGCTGTCGTGATAAATGAAGGTCCGCTACCGCTATCTCCAGGAAGAGCCTCGGGTGTCCGGAGAAGGCGGGGTCACATCCCCATGGGGTGCGGCAGTGGCGGCTGGTGGAACGGCAGCCTGGCTAGGTTCAGTGTAAAGTTGGATGTCGCTAGATGGAGTTGATACAACTTACATAAAATTTTCATTTACACCAGTCAGTCGATGTTGATTAACGACGGAATTAGTATTTACTCTCAGATGTACGATATTATACCAAGTTGCAAGGAAAGGACAGGTAACGTAACAAGGTTCCGTTCCTAAAGTTTGACTAGATTTTTCCAAAACTACCAGATCACCAAGTTGGCATTTGCTAAGCATGCCAATAATGAATCTAGATCAACATCATATTGCGTCTAGATAATACCAACTGCATTCATCATCTCACCACTCTCCAGCAATTCTATACAAAAAGTAGTCATAGTCCATTCCAAACCAACGTCCAATTGCCGATACTCTCTAGAAAGGATTCAGTAACTAAACGACTATGACTTGGGAGTTCGGCATCTGACTGACCATCAGGATTTCGCAGCCACTAAACATCATAATCACGAGAGCATCTTCTCTTAAGGATCCTGTGAGCTCCCTCCATGCTGGGTGATAACGAGCAGCTTGAAAATCTGGTGTTCGTCGATGATTCACTCTCCACCACGAGGGGTTGCTAGATGACCTGTGAAGGTTGTCGTCTCCGTTTACTAGAGGTCTCAATGGAACGCCAGTGCGGGCTAAGCTGTTGTCCGGGATGTTATTACTTGGAGGCGAAGCCGCAAGGGAGATCCCAGCCAATGCCGATTGTTCGGTAGTGCTTGTAGTGGCGGACATTTTGGAAATTCTTGAAACTGACGTGCGTGCCTGAGATGACTATAGCAGGTTTTGTGGAGACTCAAAATTGCCATGACACAGAATATGTAGTTATGTGTATGGATTCCATGCCTGATATCACAGTATGTATTAGGCAACTCATGCATATGGAGCAGTGTGGCCATCCGACTTGACTCGGGAAGGTGGAGAGATTCGGAAAGTGAAGCACATATCACACATTTGCTCCACCGCCACACCTTGACAGAATCGGGTCCTTGCGATGAGAGCTACGAAAGAACATGCAAACCAAACGCGAAGTATCTGCTGATAATGCAGTTCAATTGCGGGTAGACTCACTATTAAATAATAGCTGGGTGACTTATAAGAATTGAGTATCTTTCGAGGTTTATTATTATTATTTTGAGTGAATGGTTTAGTGCAAGCGAAAGTGGATTTTAGCAGCTATGCCTTTCAGTTCTGCTGCTTTTACCTCCGGGGGCGGATAGGAGTGGGGGGCAATGACCGAACAACCCGAAATGTTCTCATTCAAGAAGCAGGTACAACATTTATTATCGCCGGTACGGAAATAAATCGATACACCTCGGCTTCCTGCAAATGTTATAGACGTTGACCAGGTCTATGTTGATACCTCGTTAGCAAGCCGGTATAGAACCCCGCCATCGGCGTCATTCACTTCGAGTAGTCAACAATTGAATCCAGTTACCCTAGACAACACAAAGAGAAATTACAAACGTGCCCAAATTTCACCTATTATGAGCACTTACTTTAAATATCATCCCCCCTGTATCTACATTTATCGCCATATCTGAACAATTGAGCAACATACGACCTCACCCGAGAGGTAGTACATTGCAAACTTCAGTAACGCTCTGATTGCAACTCGTTCCCGCCCGTTTCGCTTACTGAACTCGGCAGCTTGCCTCCATATTCCCGAACTGGCTTCGCGAGGCTGGAGACACCCTCCATTTCTAAACACCGGAAGAAAGACTATACATTTTTCCGCGGACAGACAAAGTAAGTAATTACCTCTATCGTAGTTACAAGATAGCATAAAAGGTTCCAACGACGGTACGGAATACACAAGTCCAAACTACATGAATCAGTACAACGGTTACCACGCTGTACTCTCGTTACTTTAATTTCCGTGTAGCTGGCCATTTCACCATGACCCCTAATCCCATTATCATAGAAGTCACACCCCTTCATGTCGGACAATTCCTATTTGTACGCATCATAACTGATAATGGCATCATTGGCTATGGAGAGGGCGGCGTTTGGGGACATATCGAAGCCGCCATCACCACTATCAACCGCTTTGCCGAGTATTTGAATGGTCAACCTGCATTCATAATAGAGCACCACTGGAATACAATGCATCGGTTCAGCTATTTCCAGGGCACAGTCATCAACGCTGCCATTTCTGCCATTGATATCGCCTTGTGGGATATAAAAGGAAAGGCTCTCGGCGTACCCATATACGAATTACTGGGTGGTGCCTGTCGACACAAGGCACGAGTTTATGGCCATATTTACGAAAAGACTATAGAAGGAGTCCTAGCCGAATGTAGGCGCAAGATGGATCTCGGATATACGGCATTTGGACATATCGACCCCTTCCTTGACGAGGGTCATGATAGGGTTTATTTCAAGACTCACGTCAAGAAGATGCAGGATGCTGCCGAGAATGTGCACCGCATGCGTGCTGTTGTGGGAGACAAGGTTGATCTCCTCATTGAACTGCACCGCCGGCTGACCCCCGCGGAAGCCATCACTTTTGGCAATATGATTAAGGATGATCACCCCATGTTCATAGAAGATCCAATCCGTCCAGAAAATATCGACTCCATGGCTCGTGTGGCCGAAAAGATGGAGGTACCTATTGCAACAGGAGAACGCTATTGTACTATCTACGAATTCCAGGCGGCATTATCTAGACGAGCCGTCGAGTACGTGCGTATCGACGTTGCGTTATGTGGGGGGATCACAGGTGCAAAAAAGGTGGCTGCCATGGCCGAAGCGCACAACGTGCAAGTCGTTCCTCATAACCCGTTATCACCTATTGGCTTGGCGGCGTGTTTGCAGCTTGACGCGTGTATTCCGAATTTTGCCATTCAAGAGTACTCGACTGGTTTTGAGGGTGGTATTTTTTCGTCCACAGCCCAGCACCTCGGGGCTAATGTGGTGGATTATGTTCCAGAGGTCAAGGACGGCTTTGTTGAGATCCCCAGTGGTCCTGGATTGGGCATCAACTTGTTGCCGAATGCGAGTGATATTCGGCCTCCCCTTGTACAGCCTTTGACTATGCGGAAGCACGAGGACGGATTTATAGTGGATCAGTAGAGATCAGTGTGCACTTTTAGTAAAATATTCGTCACGGAAGCTCGGGAATGAGGGGCGACGAAACCGTTTAAACTTCCGGATGATTGGTACTCTCGGTATTAGTCTATCTATCCAGACTAATATGCATTAGCAATAATAAGATGAGACTACTTGGATCGATGGTGATAGATTAATATAATATGCTATATGCGCTGAAGAAACGTTCTGCCCCAATTTGGTCAACTCAACTACTAAAAATGACAAGAGCATTGATATTCGGAACCGGCAGCATAGGCATCATGTGTGCCATGATTCTGCACCGTGCCAGCGTCAAAGTAACGTGTGTATGTCGATCAAACTATGCAGAAGTCAAGAAGAGAGGATTCAACGTGGAATCAACCATTTTCGGGAAGGAGACTTTCCGCACATCTATTGTCCGGTTGGTGTCTGAAGCTATCAACGATGACCAATCCTTTGACTTTGTCATCGTGGCCACGAAGTCGCTCCCTAATACATCAGATGGGATCATATCGGCCATCTCTCCAGCCATGAAAGACAAGAAGACTGCACTCGTGCTCATGCAGAATGGTATTGGCATAGAAGAGGTCTATCATAAGGCTTTCCCTGGAAATGTCATTCTGTCAGCAGTCGTTTACATGCCTACTGTTGAGACAGAACCTGGTGTGGTCTTTCACCAAGAAATTGAAATAATTCACGTCGGGACATATCCTTCTCAATCAGATGCCTCAGCTAGAGAGCTTGCAGACAAGTTTGTCCAAGTGGTCGCAAAAGGCGGGGGAACGGCTGTCGCGCACGAGGATGTGCAGGGAGAGCGCTGGAAGAAACTCGTTGCGAATGCAGCTTGGAATCCTGTATGCGCATTAACACGCTGTACAGACCTACAGTTTCTGAAAACAAGCGATTACTCTCGAGGCTTCGTAAGAGAGGCAATGATGGAAGTTGTCGAGGTTGCAGCCGCAATGGGTTATGAGGAACATGTCGGCCTTGACACCGTGCAGATGCATATGAATCGGGCAGAGTCGCGAAATTCTCCAGGTGTGAGGCCAAGTATGATGATGGATATGAGCATGGGTCGTAGAATGGAGGTGCAGACTGTTATTGGTGAGGTGGTAAGGTTGGGCCACAATCATAAGGTATCTATTCCTAGACTTGAGGCTCTACATGTCTTACTTGTTGGGTTGGATTGGGCGCTCGATGATGCTACTTCGAAACAAGGCATACGATAGTGACTTTTGTAGAATATTTCTGAAGGATTAAGAGATCAGATTGTTCGTATTGGCTTACTGAGTGATGAGGACGTGTAGTTATCGGCAATTGTAAGAAGGTATTTGACAAAAGGAGATCGCGAAGTGATACATATGAACATAGAATACCACAGGAAAATATTTCAATAGTAACAGTATAATATATCATACGAAGACTCCCCGTCATCAATATCGGGTTAGTTTTATAGCATAGATACCACCGCTCACAATAGCGGCCAGCAAAGGCACCATATAGACGATAAAACTGGCCAAGAATCCCTGCAAAAAGAAGTTGATGTCGCCGGCGATAGGCTGACCATCTGGTTTGAGTGGCTGTATCGCCTCTTCGTACGTTGAATGTCCAGCCTTCCAAGCAGAGGTGATACTCGTGATGGAACTCTCTTTGTCCTGGAAGAACTGCGGGCTAGGAATCTCCATCATCTCACGACGATATCGTAACGTTGGATGTAAAGGATATCCTTCCGGAGCTGTAGGTCCAACTGCTTTCCAATCAGCTCGTATCCGGCTTTAGAGAATAAAACTAACCTAAGAGAGTTGCGGGAATGTAGTTAATGAAGTTGACTCGCGCCGGAATGAACTGCCCAAGATATTTAGTTTGAGCAGGCGTCCCGAAAAGGTAGAGAGCACTAATTCCCTTTGGATAAGCATGAAGAAGAAAGTCAATTGCGCAATCGAGACTTGTAACAGCTACGACTGGAATAGCCGAGGCTTCCTTGTGTACTGGCGACTTGATGTCGAAGTTTGCAGACATTTTCTCGCTAATAAACATCCTGGCTCTCAGCTTCTTGGCTCTCGGCCTGGCATCTAGTTTTCCATTGGCCTTGGAGTTGTCATCTGAGGTCTTCAGTTTGCTTTGAAGCGAGAGCGCGTGCAGTTGATTTATTAGCTCGTCCTCAACAAACTCGTTAACTAGGATCAAGTCAGGTGCGTATGGGCCTCTTCCCGAGAAGAAGGTGTTCGCGTGGAAGATTTCCCCAGCAGCTTTATTGACATCCGCCGTACGGTCAACAATAGCGACCGCGCATAAATTAGGCCTGGACCATAAAGCGGGAACACTTCCCAACTCTGCGCGTCCTGTTTGATCTATTATGAAGCACTTCTGGAGGAATTCTTCTCCTGGTCGTGAGCTGACCCCTCCAACAGTTGCCCCATCCAGTGCTTCGACGATACATTTCTTCAAAATAGTAGTCTCTGCCGTCAAAGTGTCGGGTATCTACTTTGTGAGTACAATATCAAGAAACAATGGTGTAGGAGACCCACCTCCACAAGACAGCAACACCCAGCAGCCAAACATGAACAAACTGTGTTGATGACACTGGAGAGTACGTTGTACCTCTCTGGAATGAGATACGCCAGTTCCCGTGGAATTCTTCTCTCTGGGCTATTGTGGCCTTTCTTAACATTATATTCCAGAGTAAGCTCTTCTTTGAGATCAAGGCTTTCGTATAGTGCTCGCAGATGGTTCAGTGTTGCTGTAATAAGAAATTTTGCTTCATCGAGAGATGCGGCATTGGCCTCACAAACAGCTTCTTGGAGCTCATCTAAATGGTTTACGATCCACGAGTGTAAGGAGATGAATTGCCCCTGCCGGTATCGAAAATCGGTGGCGCGACGGTCTGAGACCCCGCTAAGGACTGATTCAATTATACGAGAAGTCATGACCAACTAGGCGAATGTCTGAAAGGACGAGGACGTTGTCTAACATAGATAGGTCCCATAATACTACCGTGATGGCTAGAAACGGCTTTTTTAGCTGATAAATTGATAATATTAATTCATTCCGAGGTATTTGGACTTGGAAGTAAACGTTGGTTTACCTCTAATGGATTTGCTTACTTTCCGATGGTCTCTCCACCTTACCGAACCGACCAAACGACCGTCCTCTGCACCCTCGGCTGCCGAAGTAACCCGCAATGCAGCCGGGCCCGCCCTTTTGGTCTCGAAAGCTGAATGAACAGACATACCACTGGGTCGGGTTAGGACACGCACTTATCCGGAGCGACAATGTCTCTCGCAACGTAACGTTGTTGCCGCCCTTCGATGTGTCTCTTTAGTGCCTTTTTCTCATGCAAACAGTCCCTGTATGCATTGGCGTATGAAAGAAGTTAATTTAGTTCGGAATTATACATTATCTTTATTGCAATTAGCTTTATGAAAAGTAATAACTAGTCGTTGTAAAGGGGAATGTTTAACGAGGTGTCTCCATCTTCAACACCCTTTCACCTCCGAGTGGGGTCTGTCAACCGAGTGTAGTCTGTTAACCGGGCGAGATGACGATGGCAGTGATGGTTCGGGACTGCCCGACATACTCTATACATAATTTCTGTCACCCCACGTTCATTCTAATCTAACTTAAACACTGGTTAACCAATAGAGATAGCCAAGAGACTATGACAATGAGTCAAGTGCAACAGCCTCCAGTTCTTCTCCTTAGCCACGGCACCACCCTTCTCACTGGGGAACAATCCCATATCCGTGATTACTGGCTATCCCACGGGGACAAGGCCATCCAGTATGGAATAAAAGGTGTCATCATCATGGTGAGCTAGGGCTTCAAAGATTATAAAACTCCGTCTGATTAACCAACAGGGCGCCCATTGGAATATTCGGGGACGAAAAGTGCGCGTTGCCACCAACACAAATCCCATACCCCAGAATATTCCACTCGTGAGACGGTCAGAATACGCTGATTACAAGTGCACCGCTGATGTTAAGACCGCAAAACGATGTCTTGAGATGCTCCGAGCTGCGGGCTTCGATTCAGAGGAAGATCCCAAGTTCAATTGGCTGATTGATACCTTTCCCGTACTCCTCCGCATGTTCCCTAAGGGTTGTCCACCCGTAACAATTATATCGCAGAACCAGTACTTTGATCCCCACTACCATCTTGAGATTGGTCGAGTGTTGCGCCCGCTTCGAAAGGAGGGCTATCTTTTTATTGGCTCTGGCGGTGGCGTGCACAATCTATATCGCACAGATTGGAAGTACATGCGCACATACAGAGATAACTTCGCGCAGGAAAGGCCGCCTGATGAAACCCATCTCGAGTTTCGACAGGCACTGGAGGATGTCATTTGCAAGAATGGAGGAGGGCCTGATTTGAAGCGGGGAATTGTTCGTCTAATGAAGCATCCGAATTACCGCGATGCTCATGGGACTGATGACCATTATATGCCCACCTGTTTTGTGGCGGGTATAGTGGGCGAGGAGGAGGACCGTGGGGATCCTGCGACATTGGGAGCTGAAGTTTGGGAGTTGGTGAGTCCTTTTGCCTATGATGTAAAAATGGACATTATAGCTAATTTACAATAGCGCAACCAAGGTGAAACTCAGTTTGCTATTGGAGATTGGCCAGATGTTGCGACCCGAATCTTATAAGTATGACCATAAGCTTCCTAGGTAGACGACATTTTTAGGACATCTCTGGATATCTGCAAACAATATTAAGTGTTCTTTCGACGATGGACTATACTAGCGAAAAGTAGTAGTGACCTCCCTAGGCTCTAGCGACTCGCCGACAAACTGGATGGCCGGCAAGATTTCCCCGACTTAGAGTGAATACAGCGTCTTCTCTGCCCCTGTGTCTGTTGTTAAACTTACGCTTTCCTCAGGTATACATGAATAGATTTTTTTTGCTGAGACTCATCTTGCTTGCTCTTCTTCATCCGTAGACTTGTTGCTGGCTGGAATACACTTAAATCGTCCATATCAAGCAACAAAACAGAGATCAGCGGTGTGCGGACTTTGATGCGTTGATTCAACTAGAAACCATCGTACCTTGTGCCAGCTTGGCTATTTAGTATGACACTTATGAACCTCTACTACCGGTCCATCTTGCCAGTCATAGTGATTTCTACCGTGATTGTTTGTGTTTATCTTCTGCCGACTTTCAAAATAACAGCCGTGGTTAGAGATGGTGGGGTGTCTAGGTGGGCAGGGCTCAGGGATGGTGGGAAGAAGTTCCTGTTTTGATCAATAGAAAGATATCGCTGGGTTATTTGTTGACGAGCCTCCCTACTGTGATTGTTCACGACCGGCGCCTAGGATAGTTTCGTCCGCCCCAGAAGTCTTGAACATACGCCATTTTTTATGTGCTAAAACAATTGGCTTTATTTAGTTCTGTAATTGAGAATTTGGTATAGTCGGTGTGCCACGCTTATGCGAAAAGCTAGGAGGAATTGGCTGCCTTGTAACAGGAGAAGTGCTGCTCTACCGCTGCCTCCTTTAGGCTGCAAAGTATCCCTACACCAAAGAACAAGTGTGGCGAAAAAGACTGCGTAAGCAATATGAGGAGGTTCCACCATGGCTTGCTGGCATGCAAGCTTGATCCTCTGCCCATCCTGAGAAGATAGATACGAGTGAGGAATGTCCCTGTCGATCGAGATAGAATCCAGATGATCAGCTCCCTGCCCATATGTCCAACGTACTAGGGTCATGACAGAGGCAGCATGCCACGAAGCGATGGAGCTGTCGCTGCTTGCCACCCAATCTTGCACGTTACACAGCACCTTTGAGAAGTCACGGAGCAGATTGCTGCTGCTCGAGGTGCTATTCCCGGGGCTGTGTAAGAAGAAGCGGTGCAAAAGCTCCAGATCCGCATGTATCACCAGATTCATGCAATGATATAGAATGAGGTTGCATGGGGCGACCGGATCTAGTCGGATCTCGGCCTCTAACCATTTGTCACTCGCACAAGTGACATAGTCGCGTTTCAAGAAGTCTCGAGGCCGCCGCATTGCAGGTCCTGGCGTGGCAGGCGACGTGGACTCGAAAATAACGAGCCACACATAGGGGCTAAGCGCTGCTAGGCCACCAAGCAAATCCGACTTTGCAGATGCCGATGGAATACTGCATCCAGGCGTAAGCATGGAGCTCAAAACTTCTGGCCAGCCGGCTGCCAGAGATTCACGCTGATCTTGCAGAGCTGCCGGCTTCGGACACAGTATGTCTACATATCTCAATGACAGGGATGGTGGTCGTCTTAACAGGAGAACGCGATACAGGTCAAGGACAGCAAGCGTTTTGAACAATCTAGCCGCGGTCAGTATTCAAGCATCGATGACTCTTTGGAAGGCGAACAACTGACTGATAGTCGATCTGTGCAGGAGTCGATTTCCTGAACATAGCATAGTGCTGCACCGCTTCCAGCAATTGACCATGATAAGCCTCGGCAAGCTCGTGACTCCGTCTGTCTCCGCTGCAGTAACCGTATAGCTCCAAAAGCATTAACTGCAACGTGTGTTAGTAGGATAAAGCATCCACGGGGCCTGATAGTCAGGAGGAGAGGGGAGTATTGTACAGTCTTGGTAACAACCAACCATTCTGCCGGGTCAGTAGAAAGTTCGTCGTCTTTCATACTGCAATTGAACTGGGACGAGGTTAAGAGGGCTTACTCTGCATCAAAGAGATGGCACGATACATACTCTCTTTAGAACTAGTTTCCTCGAATGGTTATAGATGGCCATTGCCAACTTGAAGCTGCCCTCCACCGAGCTGAACAGCCCCCCGACGGCTGCTAGTGCCAAGATATATGACGCATCAGTGTGCCTATCCAGAGATACTTCATGGAAGAGATCAAAGGTCGCCAGTAAGTGTTTCAAGGCGAGGCCTATAAACACGTCGAGGACTTGAGTATCGTATATTGCCAAGCTCGGCAGCTCAGAGGTCCAGACCTGTCCAAATGCCTCGTCCATTTCGTTTAGATCAGATGCGCTGTACCGAAGGTTGAAGTATTTGCGTATCATGGAAAATAGGGGCTGGTGGTCAAATGGCAGCTCATGATGCGACGGGGAGCCAAAGTTGGAAGTCACCTGGACACCGGGAGGTACAGGCGCCAGGATGTCCAATAAAGGGTCGCGGGTGAAGTTGTAGGGATCGGAATGATCCATGAACGCCTCCGAGATCTACTCGATGATCAGAAGACAAGTCAGGGCCATTGGTGCATGGGCCAGTCTTACAGAGTTCAGAGGAAAGTAATGCGAGTATGAGTCTGGAGCGAAGGCAGAGTCACCGAGCCACATAACCATCGGGTCTGGGTCGAGAGGAGTGGTCTCAATGGGCTGAAAGCCCAAACCAATGCTCTCTCGCTGTGGCTCGGCGACAGCATCATGGAGAGGCTGGGCAGCGGGTGCTAGTGGTAGTCCTAAGTGCTGACTTGGATTAATTGAAGACCACTGGAAACTTTGGTTGCCGTGCTGAATTCTTGCAGACAATCGGTCCGCATCTGATTGGAAGGCAGTAGCTGCTTCTGCTGAAGATGGAGAGTGCGAACTCTGATCATCTAATGAAGCGCTCTTCGGCGTCGGGGGAGCGGGCGGCTCCTCATGCCTCGGCTGCTCATACGTACAGCTCATGCCAATGGCTTTGCAAGATGGGCACGGCTGGCTTCCGCTGCATCTAGTCTTGCGTTTGCGGCATGAGTCGCAGGCCACGCGCACCTTCTTGCGACGGGTGCTGCCGTATGCTTGCAGGTCGCCGTGGCTGCGCTCATCGTCGGCGTGGCAAGCTTCCAGATGGAGCTTCCTCACATCAGCACGGCGGAAGGCCTGGTCGCAGCAAGGGCACCGGAAGGGCCTTTCATTGGTGTCTACGACACATCACATTATATACAAGCAACGGTCAGCAAGAGAGTCCTAATGGCTGGAACTGTCATCCCCAGGCGATATGCTTGACAAACATACGGGTTCTTCGGTGCCGTTGTAAATGCTCAGAGCGCGCGAAGCGTGCGTGGCAGATATCGCACTACAGGACTGTCAATGGCTTGTCTACTTATTGATGGACGGCTCCGAAGATACACGCGCGAGGAACACCTATGGAGTGGTGCGTACCGTTTTGTTTTTGACAATGTGTGTGGGTTGGACTGTGCCGACCGGAATGCTGGGCTGCATCTCCGTTCGCAAACAGAGCTGGTTTTTGGATGTCGTTAGCAATGGACGATCATTTCAGATTTGTTTCTGCCACTCAAACAGAGGTATGGCGAGGGCATGACGCCAAGACAAGGCAACGACGAATCTCTTGACTTACGGCCGTGGAGGACGAGGTGTTTATAGTCTCGCAAATGGTAACGGGGCCCCGGAAAGATTATGTACATGCATGTATGCCATGGGCCGAGATGGAACGCTAACCCCCGCATATGGATCGTATTCCCCCAGCACAGTGTTTTGCTGCCTCGGCAGTCGCCCTCCACCGTCCGATCATTGTGTATTCCATACGCGGTATGAGGCAGATGCAGTGGCTGCTAAGCCCAGGAGTCCGGTCTCTTCAGCCTTTGGACCACTATTCACCAGAAATAGAAGCCTCTGCCTGGTGGTTCTCCTTTTACGAATACCTAGAAACTAATAATAGGTAGGTACCTACCTAGTAATAGTATAGATGAATAAGCCCAAAATTGAAGAGTCCCACAGGCCATTTTTTTTCGAGGAGTTGCGGTCCCTCGTTATGCCATCTCTATTGGATATACCGAAGCTACCAGCTACTTGTAATTTTTTGTCGCGCATACTGGCTAATGGAGAGCTTTACTTGTGCACATCGATGTGAGGATAACTTGACTACACCGCGAACTGGCTTGTGAGCTCTTTCTGCCCAAAATGTCCATTTTCGCCTGAAACTCTGGGTCACTGCTGCCCCAACAAGCACGTTGGATAGCAGTCAATCATGATAAATCGAACTTCTAACATTCTATAGACAAGATTGTCTGATACCTAACAGTCCTGCACAACACATGCACCTGTTGAAAGCGATGTATTAATGTACTATATTATTATTGTACGCCAACGGTCGCGGGAGCGGTTCCGAAGTTCCTAACCAAAACGGGATGCTTTGTGCGATGGGGTTGGCTCCTCGGAACCCCAGAGCTAAAGCAATCTTGCTTGCTGCAGTCGTTAGGGGGGCCAATGCTCGTGGATTTCCGCCTCGCCTCATGGCTGCCGACATTTCCGTCAGCGGTGCTTTAGCTCGCTGGAATGTCTGTATTATTTCCAAGGTCCTCTTTCAGTGTTACACCGTCAAATGTAAGGGGCTGGCAGTCCTGCAACACAAACGCCATTCGGGCCCATTCCGTGCCGGACGTGTTTCTCCACGCATGGGATGTTCCTCGTTGGACACACACGTCTCCAGGATTCATAATTAGCCTGTCTCCAGACTCAAGTATTGCCTCCACCGAGCCAAAGATGACGATTCCGTAATCTAGGCTTTGCGTACGATGCATCATGCTCTCTGGCCCTGGAGCAAAATCAACGATTCTACAAACGCTGCCTCCTGGGTTCACTAGGCCAAGCTTGTTGCCTTTCATGACAGCGTGATGTTTTTGGACATCTTCGTCGTTGTTGAGAGACGGAGGGCTTTCGGATGTAGTGTAAACAACTGCAAAGCTCATCGTGTTGCTGTGGTACGCCTTCCATTGCGCCGGAGCCGATGACAAAAACAGTTCTCTCCCCGACTTGTCATGTCCAGTGACGTTGATACGAACCTCTGGCAGCCCTTGGGATAGCTGCTGTGTGTCTGAGGCGCTCGTCATTTTGAACTAGTCGTGAAGGTAGGAGCAAAGGGTGTTTTTGGGTATGAACCTTGTGAAGCCGAATGGCAAAGAACTGACAACGCTGGCTTAGTTCGTGTCGTGGTCCCATTCCTAGACTTTATATCGGCCATGCCCGCATCAGAATAAATTTTGGAGGTCCCTACAGGATTGGGGTCATCCGACACTGAGCTCCCATTTCGAATCATACACCAGATGCTCCGGGTTTTGACGGATTCTCAACCCCAGATCTCAATATCGGCGATAACGTGGTGGCGTTGGCGTTGCTGACATCGTGCCCCATGAGTCCTGCCTCACCTGGGGCCGGACCTTATGGGGATGTTAGCATTCTTTTGAAGCCATTCCGATTGGTAGAGTGTCTCGTATGATGTTTGTTAGTTAAACCGGAGACACCGGTGACCAGCATGGAGCTACCGGCCTCGGCACATTGGTTACTACCGTCATTTCCTCAGAAGGCTGAAGGAAAGCAGCAGTGGCGCTCTCCCATAGTTTGGCTAGATATATGGCTCTGAGTCTACCGATGAATAGAAGCTTTAACCTGCCTGAAGATGGACACATATATTTTATCCTGCCTTACTCCTACAAGACTCACTAAGTCGAGATTTTAAACTGTTACAACTCGTCTTCAAGAACTCCAACATGGGATCCTTGGTAAATTTGACAAATATCTCGCAGCGCCATGTTGTCTGCAAAGTCGCCATTGTTGGCGGAGGCATAGGGGGACTCGCGGCTGCTATTGCGTTGCGCAAAGCTGGGCACGAAGTACATGTAAGCAAATACAATACTTAAACGTCATATACGTTTCAAACTGCAGTCTTGTTCATGCGCTGCTTAGGTTTACGAACAGTCAGCGTTCCTGAGCGAAGTTGGTGCTGCGATTCATATCACGCCGAACGCAAACAGCGTCCTTCACCACCTTGGAATTGACCATGAGAACGGTGGGGGAAGCTGTCTAGGTATGGTAAGTGACGATGCGACTTTCGTCCTCAAATTGATGTCTTGTGTGCCCAGGAGACTAACAATGTTACCTAGGTTCGATTCTACAAGCATACCGGAGAACTGCTGAAGAGCATATCGGTAACGGAGCAGAGACATCGCTGGCAGAAGGTGAGTCCATTATAACCGGCTATAGGATGTTCTTCTAATTGTTTACTTACTCCTTGTCAGCCATGGCTCCAAACCTATCGGGTCGATTTGCACCGCCATCTCAAGGAGACGGCCATTTCGAATCATGATGTGGGCATGCCCGTTCAGTTGCACACTTCGTCTCGAACAGTGTCTGTCGATGCTCACCAGGCAACGGTGACACTTGACGACGGCAACTCCATTGAAGCTGATGTGATAATTGGCGCAGATGGGGTCCGATCTGTTGCTCGCTTATCAGTATGTGAAGAGAGGAAATATATCGCGGATGCGCCCACACAGAATGCTTTCCGTTTCATGATCTCCATTGCGAAGATCCAAGACGATCCAGCTACAGCGTCTTTCCTGGATACTGTAGACTCTATGGACATGTACTATGCGGATGACCGCAAAGTGGTCATGTACCTCTGTGAACACGGCACTTCGCTCAACTTCGTTTGCTGCCACCCTGCATCGCTTAGTGGTAAGAGTTTTTCTCAAGGCTATGACCACAAAGCTGCCAAGGCGTCTTTGCTAGACGTCTACCAAAGTTTCTCGCCCGACCTTTTAGCTGTTATGGCTAAGGTATCCGATGAGGACGTGAGAATCTATCCGCTGTTGGACATGGACACCCTTCCTGCTTTTGCAAATGACCGACTGGCCGTGATTGGAGATGCTGCACACCCCTTCACGCCACATCTAGCTCAAGGAGCCGCCCAAGCCATCGAAGATGCGGCGGCTCTCGGCGTAATGTTGTCTTACCTAGACTCCAAGGACGCCATACCGGAACGACTACGGTTGTTCAATAAAGCGCGATATACAAGAGCGACTCTGATCCAGGATATGAGCCGCGTAACGGGTAATGAGCCCACACGATCAAATTCAAGCGCAGAATTGGAGGAATGGAAAGGTAAGAAACCGAGAAATTTCTCCATCCCACACAGGCTATGATAATGGTATGATGCTGATATGAATGCCTCCGCAGTTCATGATTATCTCACATACGGTTTCAGCCACGACGAAGTGCATAACTCAACTCAGATCCTCCGAGAATACATGTGGGCCAAGGCCCCGAGGCTCTATTGGCGACAGCCACTTGGATTCGGGCCAATGGATAGTCCTAGACAAGATGCTCTCTCTTGTCCTCGCCCCGACGGATTATCTGACGCGGTGTCGACGACTGCCACGGTTCGATTTCGCACAAGCGCGACTCTATTGCGAAATATGTTTCCTTCTACTGCGTACAGCTTCGCTAAAACTGACACGGTTGCTGAGGCAAGCTTTACATTTCAGTCCATCCAAAACTTGAGCTGGCTTGGAGGTAAAGGATACGAGCTGGTCATGTTCCAAATTCACGGGGTGCAGCACCGTAGTAAAGACGGCAGCGTTCACCAGGGGACTTACATTCCCATTGTTCTGGAAAATCTGGCCGATCCAATCATATCTGGTCGCGAAGACCTTGGTTGGCCAAAATTGTATTCCGAAATCAAGTTCAAGAACGATACCAGTGCTGGGGGCAACTTGGATGTTGAGCTTTCTTGGGGTGGTGTGAAATGGGCCTTCTTCTCCTGGGGCCGGTTGGACGCAAATGATGCGTCACGGTCCAGCCATACTGCTGGCGTCAATAGTGTCAACAGTGGCAATCTCGCAAATGGATCTGGGGCTGGTGAAGAACCCGTACAGAGCTTTGGTTCCTCCGGCGAGGATGCGTTGTTCGTACACAAGTACATACCAGCAACCACTGGCTCCCCTTGCAGAGGAGCGGCTGACGCAGATTATGACGTCTTGTTTTATTCGAGCAAGCCCAAGATTTTGATGAGCCAGGAGGCGTCAGCTGCCGGCTTTCAAATTCTAGAGCGGACAAATAAGCAGCTCCCTACTTTACACCATGTGGTCAACCGATTATCAGAGCTACCAATATTAAGTATTGTCGAAGCATCTGTGAAGAAAGTGCTCGGACAGGACCAGTTCATGGGAGCAAAAAAGCTCGACTAAGGCTTGTAGCTTTTCACTGAGCGGCAATACTGGTTTTCAACAGTTTTGTCGAGATTCATAATTTACATATCATTAGATGATTATTCAGTAAATATAAGTATCCATTAGCTTCAACCTCATTCGAATGCATCCTTATATTCCCTCCATTTCAGCCTCCTCAGAGAGACTGTTGGGAGCACTGTACCTTAAAATGCTAACGCAACCAGCGCACTGCGGCGGGCTCAACCGTGTGTCCCTGCCGCGGTTAAATTTGGTGCAAGTAACCACCACAACATATCCTGAAAGGTACTACTATACAATGGGAATCATTATCGTCACTCTTAAGAGAAGCAGCTTATGATGAATGGTACACTGGAGTAGTCTTATAGAAGTACATACAAATGTTAAAGTATACCTATGACTATAAACCTAAGATTTATGGGGTATGATGGGGAGTTCAAGGTAATTCGATTTCCCTCCGCCAAAATGAATGTTGTTCCATCCACCAAACCGCGCCGGGTCCCTGTCTACTTTACTTTCATGCCTAAACAAACCGCTGCCTGCGGTGTCGCCAGATGCAATCTCTAAAACCAGAGTGTCGCCATCGTTCATCACGACGTTAGTGGGCCAGATCTCGACATCGACCGCGTAGATGATACCGGGCGTAAGAAGCTCTTCGTCTGTAGAGAAGTATTGGCGATAGGGCAAATAGCTGCGGTGCTGAGGATGTTTGTCGTCGACTTTCCGCAAGCTACAGCGTAGCCAGCCCTTGGTGAGAGATACAGGATCACCAACTGCACCTGTGTACAAGATCTCCTGTCCTTGGGAGTCAAGATGACGTAATGTCACGAACAGATCCAAGTCTGCCTCCGCTACTGGGTTGGACTGCTGTTGCTGTACCAAGGGGTCCACGGAGACGTTCAGATGCGCCACAATGTGGCCAGTGATTTCTGTTTCCTTGGTAAATATAGTCGAGAACGTCACGAATTGCGGATGATCAAGTGATCCCAGTGCCTTATAAGTAATCTTCGATTCAGGAAGCCTCGTCACGTTTCCGTCGTTTGTAAGCTCATGCTGAGGGTTCAGATAGTATCGCACATACTCCGTGCGGGCAATCGGCCATTCCTGTTCGTCCCGACGCTGGAAAAGCTTCTCCCCATCCGGATTGTTATACCCAACGTTGCCTTTACGTAGAAGAACACTGACAGGGGCTACTTTTCCAGGAATAGTCCAGCCAACCTGGTCTTGGTCCTTGAGCCACGCATCCAGGAAGCTCAGCTGAAGCTTCACCTCATCTTTATAATAGAATGGCAAATCATGTCTCCCGGCTAAAAATCGTAGATACTTGAACTTTGAGCTGGAGAACATGTATCCCAGCACGTTCCCACGTAGGTGCAGTCCGGTATTGCCTAAATTGGCAACCGATAGTAAGGGAACCTGGATGTCTTCCAATTTGAAATCGCGACTCTTGTAGTAATCTTGGTCCCGGAAGCGATGCACTTCGTTGTCGATATTCTGGTCCCGCCGGTTTCTCTGGCGCTCTTCCTCTGATAGATCCCCCTCGATTGTATCATCACCTCGCCCAGCTGCTGCCCGACCTGGCCGCCCATACTGGTTTGTGATGACTTGACGATCCCACCAAAATCTGATGAACGCGTCGGATAGAATCCCACCATGGCGGCAGCGATCTCTATAATAGTCGGACATGCCCTCCCAAGGAATGATACAAGAGAGTCCGCGCGGTTGCGCAGCCGCGGCACGCCATTGGGTGCCAGCAAAGTAACTGACGCCGAGGAGGCCAACCCTGCCGTTGGACCACGGCTGCTGTGCCGCCCACTCAATAGCATGGCAAAAAGTAGCGGCTGTATCCTTAGACATGGAATCAAGAAAACCAGGAGACTGTCCAAATCCCCGCTCGTCACAACGCACAACTGCATAGCCGTGTGAGGTCCAGAAGACGGGATCAGGCGTTTCCCATGCGGAATATTTCGATTTCTGTTCCGGGTCTACCTCTGAGAATGACTGTGGATGAAATTTACTATATTCGATATCTTTTCCGTAAGGCCCATAGGTCATAATCACCGGGAGGGCAGGCTTTGCCGCGGTGAGGGAGCTCAACGGTCGATAGATGTTGCATCGGACAGGATATTCAGAATCGGGGATGGGAATGCTGACATTCTTCTCGAAAAGAAGGTTGTTTTCTTCATCGTAGAAGGTCGTTTGGATATCCCTGACTTGGTTGGCGGCCATACTGGACATTGTGGTAAATGTCGAGGAACGCGTCGAGAACAGTTGCTTGGCTATACAGATGGGATCTGGAGAACAGAAACACAAGACCCGGAGTCAGTTTTTCATGTCATCACTGAGCTCATATAAGTTTTCATTGGCAATATGCAGAGAAAACGCGAGCATCTCCGGTCTGCGGATATCTGGATGTAAGCTCGGATGTCTGGGAGCGCCGGCCGGATTACCCCATACAGCAACATGAAGGCTTCCCCCGCGTCAGATGGGGTCGTCTGTAGCCATGGCTCCGGAAGTGCCATTTGAGCAGCAGGGTACGGCTTCTACAGAAGGTAAATGGCCCATTCAGAAAATCCTCCTCGCTAATGGTTTTTTACCAAGTCTCATTAGACTGCCACCCCATTTGTCTGTCTATCTCACCCCAGCATTACCAAAAGTATGCCCCACTTGTTGCGTTCGAACTTTATCGCTAAGGAGTGGCGGTCGGATTGAATTTGAATCACTGGATGCACGTGAGCCGTCTTCTAGCTGAAGACTTCCAAAAAAAAGTTCGGTTGGTAGATAGCATCTTGGGCATTCTTCTTTTTTTAACTATGTGATTAGTTTTTGTGCCAAAATACGATCTCTACCTTCATTCATCTTCATCATCAGTTTGTAATCCTGAAAATTCACCTTTTCCTCGACTCACATCTTGTCAATGTCCCGGCAGTCCTTTAGCTGCAAGACTCAATGGCGAACGAAGAGCAAAATAACAATTTGTCAGAGTCTGTCCTGCTGTCGCTAGGTCAACCAACCAAGTGGATAACGTCAGAAGCAAACAGGATTCCCGACAAGCAGTTTCTTGATGATTTCAAGCAAAGGTTGCTTCGCAGTGAAGAAGCGAGGGGAGTTGTTGGCCAATCTCAGCTAAGCTTCAATCTGCGAGGCATTAAAGGCAGCTGGCCACCCAAACCCGGCAGCGATGAATCATTTCACGTAAGGTCTCTCAGCTTGGAATGCTCTGATTTGGTCCGTATCGGAGGCTTATAGCGGCCGCATAGACACAGCCGGAGAGTCCATCTGCAACTCCATACCCGCAGTCAGTGCTCAGCAGCTCAGATGCCTGTACTCTCAATCTGGAAGCCGAGCTAGACCAATTACGCCCAACGTTTGCTTCCACACTTCAAAGCTACATCTACCTGGATCGACTTGACGTACACACGCTCTGGGGTTCTAACACCGCTACACCACCATATCTTGACGTCGCTCTCGCAAGCCTGACCTGTCTCATGTCCGAGGACAAAAATGACTCTCGAGGCCACTCTTTGTTTATGACAGCGGTGAGGTTATTCATTGTGACGCTTGAATTGGACAACCGAGAGGCACGCAGAGTTGAGGGAGCACTGGCTGTGAGTCCATTGAGTAAAGAAACAAACATCGGTTATGTCCTAGCTAACAATGCATTGTAAAGGCAGTGCTGCTAGCGGTTTATGGTTTGTTAAATGGCCCTCCATCAGAGTGGAGAGTCACCGCGAACATGTTGGCCTTCTTCACGGCGGTAGTTCTTCCCATTGTCTCACGAATACTTCACGCATCCTGACATGAGTTCAAGGTTACGAGACGATTGGCGCCTGCGATTCCTGTTATTCCGAGCGGCTTCTTCAAGACTGCCACAAGGTATGGCTCATCGAGTCACCCTTAGAACCTACTGACCCTTTCCGTCCACAGTCACTACTCCATACTTCTCCGTTTTGGATTTCTGGTCGACACTGTAGCGGCACTTCATTTTAACCTACCACCAGGTCTTTCAAGTAATGACCTAAAGGTTCCCATGCTCTCATCAAATCACAGTTTTAGAACAGTCTATGACGGGCTATTCACCAGCGCGACTCTGCCCGAAGATGTACATAGCCCAGAAGATGGACTTCTCTTGCTAACGGCCATACTCTCGGACACCTTATTTATACAGAGAAACTTGGCCTCCATCACTGTCTCTGAGAACTCTAGCAGCCATCGACATGCTGAACTGCCGCGAAAATCCAACCCCTATGCCACTCTCTCGCCCGACGGTGAATATCATCGTCAAAAATTGGCATTGTTATATGCTCTGGATCGATGGCACGAACATTTCGGCGAGCTGATGTCGTCCAACATCTTGGCCTATTATTTCTTCTGCAGGGTTTGCCTATTTTACCCTCACTTGGGGCGTCTTACTGAGTCTGCCGGGTATACTCCGCAGGTCGAAAGCGCCATGCGCCTTCGAACTGAGGATAATATGGAGAGACGTGAAGACGAGGATTTACCTATTACAGAAGAAGCCCTAGATGCAGCTTGGAGAGTGCTTGACCACGTGAATGTGCGCACGCAGAAGGATAAATGCTCAATCTGGTTCCCCATCGTCGTCTTCTACTCTGCTCTGATAGTATGGCACAGCATGGTACATTCAGGGGTGGAAGCAACGGGTCGCCAGTACACTTCACTGAAGATCTTGTCGTCGTTCTGTAGAGAGTTGGACGAGATGCCATGGCCTTGTTGCAGAGAGATGTCGGCCACTTTAGCGCGCATAATGCAAGAAGACAAACAACAAAAAAGATCATTCGTCCTGAAGACGAGGTAGTAGTTTGTTTTAACTAAATGTTTAACAGAGCTGTTGATTGCCTCACTCGTCCGCTATGATCTTGTTCGACACGCTGCCTATCCCGTCAATTTCCAGTCGCACGACATCTCCAACCTTCAATTGGAATCTCGCATGCTCAATTCCAGCACCCAGAGGAAACGTCCCTGTGCCGAAAAACTCTCCAGGGTAGAGTCGGGTACTTTGTGATACATGAGCAATAGCCTCAGCTACTGTGAATTGCCACCGATCAGTACTGCACTCCTGGACAACTTGCCCATTGATAATGACACGGCCAGTGAGTCTCTCGATTCTGGGCATGATCTCGTCTGCAGAGACGACAGTGGATGATACGCTGTTGGCGAAGCATTTCGAGTGCTGTGGTCCGAAGCCACTATAGTGTGTTTGCTTGCAGTCAGCAATCGACTTGAGAAAATGCCTCGGCAAATCGAAGGGCTACCTGTTCATCTCCGCAACTTGTACGTTACGCACAGAGAAGTCATTAAAAACGCAAAAGCCTGCTATTGCAAATTTGGCTTCTTCGGCTGTGGCGTTGAAGAGGTGGCCACCGAGCAGTACACCCAGCTCAAGCTCCAGATCCAGATATTTGCAATATTTTGGATATTGTATCGGAGCTTCATCGGCATAGAAGGCCAGATGATTGGACTGGTAAAAGATTGGCTGCTGGCTCCATAGTATGCCTGGTTTGAAGCCAGGATACCGCCAGCCGGTGATGCCCGTGTAGGCCGCCGCAATCCAACTAATCACCGGACGGTGAATCTGAGTGAAGCCTGCGAGTGATGCAGAGTAATGGTTCTCGAAAAGCATGAAGTCGCGATATGAGCGTGGTTGGAATGGTAACCCTCGTTTCAAGGGATCAGAGTGATCAGGAGGATTATCCTGCAACACACTCAACAGCGGAGTACGTACCGTAGGTACGATGCCATTGGAATCACCATCTTTCACCTCCACGATTTGCCCTTCGAGGCGACGATACTTCATGCTGGCGTTCTTTGAGGGCCGGAAAAATTAATGAGGAGATATTCATCGGTGCCTGACGAATATGAAGATTCTTGTAAAGATGCTCGTCTCGATGTATGGGTTTCACATCTCAATGTTACCATTCCAAAGCCATGTTCGAATGCGGAATGGTTTGTGTTTGCTGCGTGAGTGGGGTCTTCCGATGAATTCCGATCTCATGCGTTGGCCTGGGTGGGGTTTTCCGACGAAATCGGTGATTCTGTCTTCTCCAGCCGGAACCCCATCTCTGTCCCGCGCAGCTGAGACCATTACCTGCAGGTGCGTATGACTGCTCACCATTGAGCAATACTTGTCAGCATGTGCAGCTCGGACTCCATAGAGACGAGACAGGCATCGATGATCAGATCGGACCGTCCGGATGTATAAGCTCTACCCCAGACTGAATGAGCTTGCGGAGGTCGGGGGGGTGGTGTAGTTAGTCTCGTTGTGGAAGTACAAAAGAGCTTCATGATTTTGAAGTATGCCAGCAACACTGCAAGGGCTTTCCAAATAACATCCACCAGACGGACTACCATCACATTATAGCTACCTGTGCTTTTAATCCTCTCAATCGACGACTAAAACGTGTACCTATATCCATTTAGGGTACGTTAAATTCTTTCCCCTAAATACATCATGGCAATTGGGTCAAAGATTTCGCTTCAGCGACTCTCGTATGTCATCTACGAGCACCCTGATGTTGTAAAGTTCTTGACTTTTGCGGAAGACTTTGGGTTCGAACTTGCAGCAAAGTCAGAGAACGGAGAAGTCTTCTTCCGTGGTTACGGGCCTGATCCTTTTCTCTATGTGGCCCGTCCCGCTTCTGGTGGCGCTCCAAAGTTTCACGGGGCTGGGTTTGTCGCGCGTTCAGCGATCGATTTTCAAAAAGCCTGCAACTTCCCCGGTGCGCAATTGGTAGACGTCTCTCACCGCCCCGGCGGTGGCAAGATGGTCCGCATAACAGATCCTAATGGATACGTTGTCGAGGTTGTGCATGGCCAAGAAGAGCGGTTTGTTCCACAAGAAGGCATCTCTGTTGTGGCTGGTGGAAGGCCACAGGTAAACGGGGCAGTCCAGAAGACGCGCAAAGGTTAGTATACCAATAAACGAGCTCGCACGATTTTTCCGTCTTTTATGCCATGGCCCTGCAAGATGGACGGACATATTCGCTGACCAAGAGGTTGCACAACGAGAAGGTGTTTTCAACCGCATGACCAGCGGTCCCTCCAAGGTTCACAAACTCGGCCATTTCGGGTACACGACAGACAATTACGCAAAAACATGCTCATGGTACAGCAGCAACTTCAATTTCAAAGCTTCTGACATTGTCCACAAGCAAGGTGACCCTTCAACAGAGTTTATGTCCTTCTTTCACGTGGACCTAGGTGCAGAGTATACAGACCACCATTGTCTTCTAGTAGCAGCCCATCACGGTAGCGGCAGCGGCACGAGTATTCACCACTCATCTTTCGAGGTGGAAGACCTGGATACCGAGATGATGGGTCATTCGTGGCTGGCGTCCAAAGGGTATAAACCGATGTGGGGAATTGGCAGGCACGTCATGGGGTCACAGCTCTTTGACTATTGGTATGATACTACGGGCTTCATAATTGAACACTACTCAGATGGCGACGTGGTCAATGAGGAATGCCCTACCATTCGATCTGCCGGAACTCCTGCCGCGATTTGGGGTCCGCCACTACCTACCAAATGGGATTAAGAATCCTTCTAGTTTCATGTAGTATTACAAAGTAAACGTATATGATAATCTTTGGCCTTTTCTGATTCAATTTTTCCTTATATAGTTAAGTATCCTGCCTTTGAATAGGTCTGCGAACCTAAAATTTCGTCCTGCTACAAAGCTTTCAATGCTTGTACTCATAAGAACGAGAATTGTTCAAGCAACCGTACACGCCATGAAAATAATATTGACATATACCTATAGTAACTATATAAGGAGCCGTGTATAGGTCGAATCATTTCTAGTCTGTCTTGGTTCGGCGACCGCTGTTTGAACTATTGTGAGGCCGATCATCTTCAAGGTCCGGCAGTCATGGCTAGCAGAAGACTAACCCCATAGTAGTGAGGTCCCAAGGAGAACAACGTATATTTTGATGTTAGGTTAATCTGTTTTCTATTTCTTGTATTTTTGCAATGCAAACCCCCTTGGATGAGTCTGAACATATGGTAGCGTTACATCGTGGTGAGGATGATCCTTATTATACAATTTCTGCTGTAATAGTCACTGGTCGAATGTTAAGTTTCAGGAATCTGTCATGAGAAAGATGTCTGTGACACGAATACCGCAGTTATTATCGCCACTCAATGATAAATACTACATATATAATCCCCATATACAATGTTAACAACATGAACAGAATTTTAGTTAGTCTTCGCCCAATAAGAAGAGAAAAGAAAAAGAGAATTGGAAACGGAAACGAGGCCGAGGTACAAGTGTGTACTATAGGGTAGCGCGCTACATCATCTATCCCGGCTTACCCCATGAAGCATTCCAGCTAGACCTGATGCGGGAACTTAATAAATCTGCCTGCATATCTGCAATGCAGCATGATGTGAAACAGCAGGTACCACTTTTGGGGTAAAAGGCTGGGGATGCGCACTCAGTGCATCTCATTTACCCCATGGTCCCGTCAAGAGACGCAGTAAACTACCTACCCCGTATGATAAATAATTTGCAACTTACCTAAATTAAAGCGTCGAGCTTAGGTTATTTAAACCGGGGTTGACTTTCAACCCTACAATACCATCACGTTTTTTTTCTCATGATACGATTATATCTTCGCAATATTTTTTAAGGCATGTGGTACTTGAAATCGAATTTTTCAACAACCTACATCAACCTGATTTAACTTCCCAAAAGCTCAGCTCATCATCCGACAGTATGGCTATTCAAACCTACAAGCTTTATCATTATCAGTACTCTATCTGTTCTATAATGGTAAGATACTGCATAGCTATTCGTGGAAAACCCAAAGACGAGACCTTGGCTATCGAGTTTTCCGAGCACGAGATGGACATTACATCGAAATTGGAACAGCTGTCCGAGGAATATCTATGCTACGTCAACCCTAAAGGACAGGTACTTGAGCCTAGTCAGAAGGGATTCCCTACACCCCATCGATAGTCTAACAATATTTAGGTTCCAGCACTGACTAGTCCATCTCTTCCGGAGCCAATCTACGACAGCGTGAAGATTACGCACCATCTTGCCGGCTTGTTTCCAAGCCTTATGCCACCTTCACACGCGGGCATTATATCCTCTTTACTCGAAAAACTTCATAGCATTAACTTTTTCACACTGACTTTTACGGGAAGATCAGGCGTCGCCAATATCATTGAGGAGAAGATACTACGACTTATAGACAGCGACGTATCACCCCAGTATCAGAAGGCTCTACAATATAAACTTGAAATGTCTGTAAATTTACCCTTTTGCCACATGTTGACTCCATGAATGCCACTAATACGTGTTGTAGTCAACGAAAAGAGAAGATAAACTGTGTTGGACTTGATGATTTAGAAGAAATGACGAAGCGTACAGTCAGTATATTGGAGATGTGTAGCGAGCATCTAGTGGAGGGAGAAAAGTGGCTATTTGGTTTGGAGACGCCCACTGCTCTTGACGCACACTTGGTTACGTTTATTGCCCGATTGAAAGACATAGACAGAGGTGATCTGGTTCCTCAGTCTCTCTTGACGTATGCTACTGCCGCGCAAAAAATGGCAGAGTGGAAAAACGTAGTACAGGGAGGGACGAATCCAGAGATAAGGAAATAGAATGGTTACTACCACAACAATTGAAACAAGCATTTCCTTTATATGCATTTCCTTTTATAAAGAATTGCAGTATATGGATCTGAGGCAGCTAATATGGGTAGGTGCTCTACACACTGCCTAAGCAAGGAGAGAAAATGTAAACTAGGCTTGCTAACACGCTAGAAGATAATAGTATACTCTTCAATGATATTTTTGGGGAAAATGAGTTTCAATATTATGATATTCGAGATAATTTGACCGAGTCCGAATGTTACAATACTGTTTTGTTTAAAATAAAACAAAAACTAGTGTACTTAATTTTTATTTTGGACGTTACTTACTCTGCAATTGTGGACTGAATCCCCCAACCAGGGCTACATGCCTAACATATATCAACTCTCTATTGCCCCATCTCTTCTAGCTTAGAAGACCATGCCCTTTACTTGAGCCACCTTTGCAAGATTAATGTTTCTAATCATAAGCATCCAAATTATCGCAAGGCCCATGACTCCAGTTCCGGCAGCAAGCATGCGGGTTTGTGAGTACGCATATGCTTTTTGGATTGCCAACCTGACGGCGCTTCCGACAGGGTAACTGAGCTGCGTGTCCAAATCCTCATAAATGACGTCCAAATCCGGAAGCGCTGATTCTGGAAGATATCGCTCAAGCGCCTTCTGAAACGTGTTTGTCCAGATGGCTCCTGATATCGTTGCGCCCATGGCGTCTCCAACCGTACCCACCACATTTAGCAATGCAAGGGCTGCAGCAATATGCTGATGATCAACAGCAGCTAAAATAGCCAGTTGTTCGATAATAATGAAAATGCTACCTCCAATCGATATGAAGACTTGGCACATGACAAGATAGCCCACGTTTTGGTTCGGTCGGCGGAAATAGATCATCAATCCCTGCGCAAAGATGTAAAGCGGGACGGCTATGTACAGAAGCCACTTAAACCGACCAGTCCTACGGATCAGGAAGCCAACAATCAACAGGAGGACTCCCGAAACCACGTTGAAGGTATTGTTCACATATCCAGCTTCTGCTAGACTTAGGTCATTCACCACTTGTAGGAAAGAGGTGAAGTAGTTCGCCCAACAGTAATACGAGATCTGATATGTAGCATCGAGAAGGCAGGCGCCGATGACAGTCCGATCAATCAAGAGGTTCCAGTCGAGTAGAGGTATTGGCGCTAGGAAGGTTTCGTATACGGTAAAGATAATAAGCATAACGAAGCCAACCACAATCATGGCAATGATGTATCCTGATGACCATCCATTAGGGGCAGAGTCGGCAATGTTGAAAGGAAGAAGAAACACCGTGAGACCGACGGAGAACAAAAACACTCCCATTGCTATTGCAAAATTAGCACTTGTTACTTTTGTCTCAAGCATCAAGTATCACCTACCGTCGAACTCTACGCTGTAATACCAGATGCTTTGCAATATTGTTCGGTTGCTTGGCTCCTTGGTCAATAGACCTTGCCTCTCGGCCTTGCGAAGGTTAATCTTCAAGATGAAGTATAATGGAGCAGCCACAATAGGAAAGACGATGGCAAAGACGCCAAAGCCCCATCGCCAGCTGATGTCGTTGTAGAAACCTTCTGATGCTTTGGCCCCGGCAAATGCCGTGATGATGTAAGGAGAAGATGTGAAAGCGTAAGCCAACCCTCGATTCTTCAGCTGCGATGCATCGGCCGTAATAACATCTACGGCGTATGTCATACCACCGAATCCAATGCTATAAAACACCTGTTTCATGTCGGTTGTTAGAACTCGTTCACACAAAGGCATATGTTATAGGTGGGTAATTTATATGAAGTGTGAAATTGGTTCGTCTTACATATGCTGCACAGAAGGTGGCGATGCCATTGCTTGCAGCCATGAGAATCAGGCCCAGGGTAGCAAAGACGGTCATGATGAGAAAGCCTTCAGCTCTTCCCCAGACGTCCATAATCTTTGACAGGGGCATATAAGTGGCTGCAGACATAGAACCGGCTACGACATAAATAACATTCAATAACGAATGAGATTCGAAAGCGCTCGTGGCGTACGGAAGCAGATTGGAGAGAATTGTTGACTGAAACGCGTTGACAAAGTAGAGTAACCAGATACTTTAGCAGTCGTGGATGTTAGCTATGTTTTGATAGAACCTGATTCGAGGAGGCTTACTTGAGGAAGATACCGATGAGTGTCAATTTCGACCAAGTGAGAGCCATAGCCTCGACATCTTGAACGCCTCGTTGCGCGTCTTCATTCGGCAAGTCTTGTTGAGGATCACCATTGTCGTTGTTTGTAGCCGCAGAGTCAGTCGCAAGGACTGCGACGTTCTTGTCATCCATCTTGGTGGCAGCTCAGATGTCTGTGCTGTCAGTTGTGCCTAATGTGATAGAGAGTATGGGTGAGATCTTAGGAACAACGTGTTTGAAGTTGGCTCAGATGAGGGAGCATCGACCAGAAATCACAAACCGGAGAAAATAGCGCATGCAGGTCTTTAACCTTTTACAGCATAGGACATGCCCAGGAGATAGTATAGCACGTAGAGTACTTGTAATAAATTACTAGCTGAACTTTTTGCGGACCTTGAAGGATTCCATTCCTAATTAGACGCTATACAAATTTTCGTCAGTCTTCGGCCATCTCCTCCGAGGCTTGGCCAGCGATAAAACGTGGCCCCCGAAGGACCGATCGTCGGAATGTTCTAAACGATATAGCGTCCGGATGACCAATGGTAACACATCGGAGTAGATACTTCTTGCAAATATCGGCATTCTTGTGCGTAGCACCATAAAATCTACCATTTCATCAATAAATGGGTCATCTAGCTTAGAATTGCGGACAAATACGTGTTGTGACTCCTACGAACTCTCTGCCATGGTCCATCTGCCGTGTCATTCTGTAAGTCCGGATGGAGTCACAATACCTAATTTCTGTTAGTCACGACTTAGAGGCAGAGGGGGGAAAATCCCTTTGTACGGTCCACGCTGCACCGTTTTTTGCCGTCGCTTGAGTTCCGTCAATTATCTGATCAGTCGATGTTCTCGAACTAGCACAATAGGAACAAGCAAGTTTGGCTCAACCAAGTGATGGTCTAACTTGAGTGAAATTAAGTGGCAAATATACTATAGGTGGGCCTCAAGGGAAGGCTGCTGTCTCGGCTACGTACTCATACACCGTAAAAAGTCCAGACCTAATAGCAGTAAGGGAAAAGAATTATCAGATCCGCTGTCGTGGGGATCAATTTGAATGTAGCACCGACAACAAGTGCTACTGTGTGAGAGACTGTGCGAGCTAACCGCACAGTAAAAAGCCTTCGGGCTCACTGTGCAAATTTTCCAACGGAAAAACGTGGGCCTACACACAACGCAGCCAGTCAAGTCTCAATGTACTAGACTGAAATAAAGCTAGCAACGTGCGCCTTTTCAATAGTTTTTGCAACTGGTGTATATATGATCTAATGCCAATGTTGCTGAGGCGGGGCAGCGGGGCATCTGATTAGATATACCGCTTTTATTCCATCTTATCAGATCTAAATCATCCCATTGCAAAACGGAAATACGAGGAGGCATTCTCCACGAGTAGAATGTCCAAAGGATAAAATCAAGGAATATGAAACGATAGCTCCTCACAGCTTGGACGCAACCCACTTTGGCTCCCGCTTCTCTACAAACGCCCGGATTCCTTCGGCAAAGTTAGGACCGTTGACCAGACGAGGATACCACTCGTTGGCCAGCATCGATACAGCCTCCTCTACGCTGCCCACTTCCCAACTTAGCCGAGCACCTAGACGGCCAATGATCAGAGAATCCGGGCTGTTCTTGCACATTTCTCGCGCAAGTCGGATCGCGGCACGAGCCACATCTTCTGATGTATCCACCAGCTGAGAGACAAGACCCCATTCATGCAGCGTCTTCGCGCTCACACTTCTGCCGGTCAGGACAAGATCCAAGGTCCGCTGCAGGCCAAGAGTCCGTGTTAGTCGCGGCAGACATCCAGCGACCGGGACGATGCCTCGCTTTATTTCGGGCAGCGAGAAAATTGCTGAAGACGAAGCAAGCACCATGTCGCAGTTTGCCACCATCTCAAACCCACCTCCCATGCATAAGCCATTCACAGCCGCTATGATGGGTTTTTTCCCATCCCGACGTGGAAGGCCGGCAAGACCGGGGGCAGCCATATCGTTGAATATCCCTTTCTTGTTCATCTCGTTCCATTCTGACCAACAACCAACATTAGTTTCCCTTCATGTTCTGAGCAAGTTATGGGTGAGGCTTACCCTGTAGGTCGGCTCCGGTGCAAAAAGCTCTTCCATTTCCTGTAATGATGCCAACCCATAAGGTCTTATCTTGGTCAAATTGCCGCCATATATCCGCAATCTCTTGGCTGGTGGACTTATTGATGCAATTCAGTTTATCCGGCCTGTTTATGGTGACTTGAATGATGTGGTCATCAGGAAAAGAGACCTCAAAATATTCAAATGGCCGAAGCCTAGATTTGAGAGACATTGTAGAGGAATCTTGTTAAACAGACAACAAAGATGCAATCCATGGAGAATATACAACTTTGCAAGATATATACAGCCGTCCCCTGACTTTATATGTTCTTTCGTATTCCAGTACCTATATTTCCGAACAAATCGATGCCCCTTAGTGCCATCGTTGGTGTCACCGACTAGTGCCAAGCCACCGTATCCAATGGAAGACTATTGAAAAGAAGGCCGGCATTCTACAAAAGACTGACTGTAATTAGCTGGTTGGGGCGTCAATAATCAATGTTGTCTCATTGCTGTATCCGCCTCTAGCATTCTCTACCCAGCTTTGAGTACCTACCTTACTTATATACACCTTGCCTCGCTATTGTAGTTGAGCTTTCCCGGGCCAAAACTGTACCAAGCTACCACAAAAGCTCCTCGACAGTAGCCATGGCACCCCCCGCTGTTGCAAAGACCAATTATCCTCTTATAAAGCTCCCGCATCCGTTCTTAACAACATACCGAGTACGATCAGTTGGCGATACAGCACCAACCAAGCTTGCCTTGATACTGGATAATGAGCCCACAAATGGCCAACCGCTGTCGCAACCGCTGCATCTCGCTACTCTCTCGTGGGTAGACTTGACAAGAATACCTGACGATCAGTGCCCACCTCCTTCCGACAACAGCCCATGGGCCAGAGCGCGTCGAAGTCCGGCGACTACCTTCCAGTGGAAAGGTGATACAGTTCCCACTCTGGGCCAGATTTGGAACGTGATCCACGCAATCTTTCTGGCCTATCCGACACTGGAATGCTTCAGGCTCACCATGTTGGGAGAGGGGAAACAAGTGGTGTCGAGGGAGCTGGCTTACACCGGTCTTGGAATAGAACACCCGAAGCCACGGATTGGCGTAGATGGGGACAATGCATCTTTGACCGAGCTAGTGATTCTTCGAAGTGCATTCTGGCAAGGCGCAGGCTCTCCGACAGGCCCTCGACCAATCTGGGTTGTAGGAGATCGTACTGATGATTCCTTGAGAATAAATTTGGCCCAGTACCCGCCTATGCCTGAGCACTACCAAATCACGAATAAGTTTCCAAGCGAGCCCGTTTATACCCGCCATCCGACACGTCGACCAAAGCCGTGCCCGGGCTCAATAGTCTATAGTCGGTACATACCAGAGATCGATGCCCATTTCTCTCTGGAAGCTGTCGATTGGCAGGATGATGAACATTTGAGGCTCTTCAACACATGGCAGAACGACCCCCGAGTTGCCAAGGGATGGAATGAAACGGGGACGCTGGAGCAACACCGAGAGTATCTACGCAAATTGCACTTTGACCCTCACGTTCTTTGCTTATTCGGCCGCTTTGACGAATCTCGCTTCGCTTACTACGAATTGTATTGGGCAAAAGTAAGTATCCTTTTTTGTACTTTCGTTATTTGAATTATCTAGGACGATGATTAACCCTGGCAATCTTTCTCTTCATCGTTTCTCATATTTCTATAGGAGGATCACTACGGCGCCCATTGGGATGCGGGGGACTATGATCGAGGACGGCACTCCCTTGTTGGCGATGCTTCATTCCGCGGCGCCCAGCGTGTCAATGCGTGGTATTCCAGTTGCATTCATTACTGCTTTTTAGATGATCCACGAACAGAAAACGTTGTTGGAGAACCCAAAGCAACTGGCTCGACTATCTTATCTTACGAAAACTCTCAGGGCCTCACTATTGGTAAATATGTCGATCTTGGCCACAAACGATCGGTGCACTCTATATGCAGTAGGGAGAAGTGGTTCCAGCTATGTCCTCTCTTCTGGGATGGACGTGAGCGGCCACTTGAATCCGCTGATCGTGCTGCGTGGAATGCCAAGCTCTGAGTGAAGGTTTACGCTACGGATAGTACATAGCACTGAGGCTGACCATTGCTTCCGATGCCCATTCTTCCCCGACGTACCTACTCTATAGATGTTTTGTCTAAGATAAAATAATTACTTGTTTATTGCTCGAATATTGTAGCAACATGGTTATACTGTACAAGATGATATGACTCCATTTCATGAGCTGTCGTAGTCTTGAGCTTGAAGAAAGAGAAGAAGAAAAAAATATTGCTATAATTTTGCTAGATACTGAATGGCATTGCCGCCATTTGTTTACTGAGCCGTGTTCTACCCTCCGCTTCCCCCATTCCTAGGTCATCATACTCACCATGGTATCACAAAGTTGCTCTCCTACCCAAGTCTCGCCTCCGCCCACTAACTCGCGCGCTAGAAGAAAACCTGATGCGCCTCGCCCCCTGTCGCGCGCTGCGTGGATCAACTGTATTTTGGCTAATGCAGCAAGCATTGCCCGTGTGCTGGTGTAATTTAACGCGAGGTGTGGGCCTGTACGAAGTTGCTTGGCGGCACTATCTAAAATTCGCGATTTACGTACATGTGAACTCCGTCGGAAGTACCGAGCTCTTCACGCTTTCTTGCGGCTTGACTTGTTGAGCTGCTACATCTAATTAGGGGGTTTGAGAAGCCGATATCGGTTGATAATTGAAGAATTTCCGAGCTCGTTCTAATGTCTTGACATCCTTGGCCTGGTGTCACCTTTCACAACCAACTCGGAATCCAGGAGTGCTATTGAGGCGATGTCATCACTTTCGAAGCGCAACGCATAGTGGACTCGAATCAAAAGGTATTGAGGAGAAAACTCTTCCATAAATAATCGAGTTCTATCTGATCACTGACCCTGTATCACTTTCTCAGTAGTGATTTTGTTTGCTCACGCTCAATGCGAACGGTGGCAGAGTCTCTGTTTTAAGGGACCATTGTTCGCTTCTAGGCGCCATGGGGCTGATACACAAGCTTGGAGGTTATCCTCGCCTCATATTGGCTGGAAATCCTACACGGCTTGATGCTGGAATGCTCTTCTGTGGAACAGTGTGCGCAATAGCCTCCGGTGTTCCGTTCCCATTGATTGGGGTTATCTTCGGTCAACTCCTCAACGACTTTAATGCAGCGACGTGTGCCGAGACTGAAGAGTCTGGGTCTGCCTCAGATCTCCAGAGTGGGATCAATAGCAAGATACTCACAATATTCTATCTGGCAATTGCGCAATTTGTCCTAATAGGTGCCCATCTCTTCTGTTGGAGTACGTACGGTGCTCGGTTGGCGCAAAGACTTAGGGAGCGCTATCTCCAAAACCTCCTTCGACAAGAGCCTTCGTATTTCGACAATTTACCTCCCGGAGAAGTCGCCTCTCGAATAAGTGCAGATATCCAGACAATACGCTCAGGCACATCTGAGAAGGTGGGAATATGTCTCGCGAGTGTATCCTTTTTTGTAACGGCATACATCGTTGCTTTTGTCAAAGACCATGACCTGGCTGCCATGTTGATCTCACTAGTTCCGGCGTATTTCTTGATGTCTTTTGTTGGAAGCCACTTCATCGAGAAATACGCCGGGCTGATGTCCGATTATGCCGCCACAGCTGCTTCAATTGCCTCGGAGGCTCTTTCCAATATCACCGTTGTGCAAGCTTTTGGTGCCAACGCCCGCCTGGAAGAGAAGTTCTCCGATGCTCTTAAATCGTCAAAACGAGAAGGCTTGAAGAAGGCTCTGGCTATCGGAATTCAATCTGGAGTGCTGTATTTTGTCGCTTATTCTGCAAATGCCTTGGCCTTTTGGCAGGGAAGTAAAAGTATCGCGGATTTAGTCAGCCACAAGTCTGGCGGTGTCACAGTCGGTTCTACATTCACAGTGATTTTCATTCTAGTCGAAGGTTTGTCATCAACATCAACAGAGCGCTGCGGAAGAAAATATTGACACGCATTCATAGCTACATTACTCTTGAGTCAGGTTGCGCCGTTTGTTCACCTCTTCATGGCGGCTGTTGCTTCTTTCGAGAAGCTTCGTGAGGATATGGATCGTGAACCGTTGATCGATGGCACTTCAACTTCCGGCCTTACACCATCCCAAGTGGCGGGGTATTTTGAACTCAAGAATGTGTCGTTCACTTATCCTTCCAGGCCAGAGATTATCGTCCTCGACCAAGTCAACATCTCTGTTCCCGCCCTGAAGCATACAGCTATTGTCGGTCTTTCAGGTAGTGGCAAGTCTACGGTTGCTAGTCTCGTGACAAGATTGTTTGACCCTACCAAGGGAGAGATCTTACTTGACAACTACAACATTAAAGATCTTAATACTCGCACTATGAGAAGCTTCATAAGCTTGGTCCAGCAAGAACCATCTCTACTTGATCGTTCGATTTTAGAAAACATTTCGCATGGCTTGGTTAATTCCAGCAAATCCGACCATTCAGATTTGAAGCCGATACTCCTTGGCTCAAGCCTTGCTGATCTTGCAAGCGAAGTGAGAGAGGGCAAAGATTTGTTGGCTGCAGCGGAGGAACGTGGCCCTCAAGTTGTCAAAATCGTTGCCTTGGCTCGAAACGCGGCAGTCCTTGCAGATGCAGATTCATTCATCGAAAAGCTACAATATGGATATGCTACACTTGTGGGATCGAGTGGTCGACTCATTAGTGGTGGTCAAAAACAGAGAGTAGCTCTAGCAAGAGCCCTTGTCAAGGACCCTGCTGTTCTGATCTTGGACGAGGCTACCGCGGCTTTGGATTCGCGAAGCGAACAGAGAATCCAACAAGCTATTTCCAAGATTGCGGGCGGCAGGACCATACTCACCATTGCACATCGCTTGTCAACTATTAAAAATGCAGACAACATCATAGTCATGCACAAGGGACGAGTTGTCGAGGAGGGAAGCCATTCGGCCTTGATGGAAAAAAGTGGCGCTTATGCCGACCTGGTTAAGCTGCAAACACTGGCAACTACAACCGATGAGAATGAAGCTGCCAGCCTAAGAGGCGATTCTGGCATACTGGATGGCACATCAGTCACTGATATCGATGTCGTCTCTGAAAAGGGTAGTGCAGCTGTGTTAAACGATGATCTTGACGAGGCGGGTGACTCCCGGCTTTCAGATACTCAGGATGCAGAAACCTCTTTCCCCCAGATAGAAGATGAACCCGAAACCCCATCCACGTCTTTCTGGGCGCTACTCAAAGGATACGCACCGGCATTGAGGCCACACATTCTTATGGTGGCAGCTGCACTTATCGGCTCTACTATCGTCGGTGGTGCATTCTCTGGCGAGGCCGTAATATTTGGAAACACCGTAGGTAGCTTGGACATTTGCAAAAGCCCGTCGAGTATTCGATCAAGCGGCAACTTTTATGGGCTCATGTTCTTTGTTCTCGCCATCATCGAGCTATTTGCCAACATCGTCAGTTGGACCGGGTTTGGATGGGTCTCGGAGCAAATTGTCTACTCAGCGCGAGTTTTGTCATTCCGCTCGCTGTTTGAGCAAGATCTCCAGTGGCACCAATCTAACGGGCGGACACCTGCTTTACTTCTCTCCTATATTACCAGGGATGGCAGTGCATTAGCTGGACTTAGTGGCTCTGTTATTGGCACCCTATTTTCGATTACGATTAACCTCATCGCGGCAATTGTCTTGACGCATATTATTGCCTGGAAAATTGCACTTGTTTGCCTAGCATTGGTGCCTCTTCTTCTCGGAGCTGGCCTAATGGAGCTCCGCGTTCTTGGTAACTTTGAGGAGCGCCACGAGAATGCGTACAGCAAATCTGTTGATATTGGCACAGAAGCAATCGCATCCATAAAGACAATCTCGTCACTGTCTCTTGAACATGAGACGCTAAATGTTTATCGGCGATCACTCAAAGGCCCGCGTCAAGAAACCTTCAAAGTCACTCTGCAAGCAAGCTTTTGGCAAGCCCTTACCTACTTCCTTGGAAACTGCGTGAATGCATTGGCTTATTGGTGGGGATCAAAACAGATTCTCGCAGGTACCTATACACAAACCCAATTCCTCATTGTCGTCTTCTCTCTTCTTGTCAGCGCAATGCTATGGAGTCAAATGTTTGCCCTTGCTCCGGAGCTTTCTAGTGGCCGGGCTGCAATGGCAAGGATTTTGAGCCTTGTCAATATGGGATCGGCAAAGATGCAGGGGGATCCTCAACTTATGCAGTCAAGCACGGGGCCCTCAGCAGTTAAAGATCTCGAGGCAATAACTGAGGCGAATAGCTTCCAATCAGGCTCCAATATTGCCTCGACCGTACAGTTTCGCAATGTACACTTCTCATATCCTGCTCGTCCAAATGTCGAGGTGCTGAGAGGATTGAGCATGGAAATTCCTGCCGGTAGTTTTTGTGCTCTCGTGGGCCCAAGCGGAGCGGGAAAGTCCACAATAATTTCACTGGTCGAACGTTTGTACACATCGCAGTCCGGATCCGTTGTAATAGACGGCTTCGATGTGACGGCCAGCCGTGGTGTATCCTTCCGTGATACAATCGCTTTGGTGCCACAAGAAAATGTGCTGTTTGAAGGAACTATCGAGTTCAACATCGCTCTTGGCGCTAGACCAGGACAAGTCGTCTCGGCAAAGGAGATTGAAGAGGCGTGTAAACTCGCCAACATCCATGATGTTATTCAAGATCTACCCAACGGCTACCAGACTCTTTGTGGACCTAATGGTAACCAATTTTCGGGTGGTCAGAAACAAAGGCTTTCGATCGCAAGGGCTCTCGTTCGTAAACCTAAGCTTCTCATTTTAGACGAGCCGACGAGTGCGCTTGATGCTGAATCAGAAAGGCTATTGCAAGATGGTCTTGAGAAGGCAACGAAAGGAATCACCGTGATCGCAATTGCGCATCGCTTATACACAATAAGAAAAGCAGACCGTATTTTCCTTATTGAGTCAGGTCAATGTGTTGATTACGGGCTACATGAAGAACTGTTCAAGAGATCACCGACGTATAGGTTGAACGTGATGCACCAGTCTGTTGCCGAGTAATATAGAGCTTGTTTCCTAGAAAGATGGGTATTTCACGTTGGATGGATAGCTTTTCAAGTACAAATAATAACATTTTTCTCACTATCGTTTCCCCTTATTTTCAGTTCAGTGTCTCCAAATACTCAAGGACCTTTCCAACAAGGAACTTTCGTGGTTCTTCTTGGTCATCATTGCTCAAGGCGTGGGATGCTCCAGGTATTAATCCACTATGCTCTTCATCCCATATTTCCACCGAACTGTTCAAATTAGTGGCTTTCTTCCATCTAGCCAGCAGTTCCTCCTTGTTAATCCAATCCGGCACTGACTGATCAGCCCCAGACAATAAGACCATCAGCTTATGCTTCAACAGCCCTCGTTGGTTGATCATTCCGAATGTCTTCCCCAGTTGTTCATCAGTCAAATCTGAACTAAATAAATCGTCGTCGCTAGGTGACTTGGGACTTTCCGGACTGGTAAGACTCAGGAATCTTCGGCTACTGAGAGGAGTATTGGCCGGATATCCAATCTGTGAAGTCATCGAGATGGGTAGCATGGTATCAGAAGATGGGTCGCTGACGGCAGCCTCCTTAGCCATCGCTGCTAGTTTCTCATAGACAGCTTTAACTTGGTTTGGTGACCTGCCGCCAATTCCATGATGCAAGACCCATTGAATCGCTTCTCTATCAGACACTGCTGCCTGCATTATTGCTCCATCAAGAGCTAGGCGCTCGACATGCTGAAGTTCGGGATCAAAGGGTGGTTCAAAGGTGTGAGGATTTGGCCTGCTGAGGTAGTGTATTACACACTGACTACCCGTTGAATGACCCATAAGGATAAGCTTGCTATGCCCATATTTGGCATTTTTATAAGACTTGATATATCTTATGCATTGAGCAATCTCATCGGTGTCTCTGTCAAGATGCCCAAGACCCCATGCTTGGTAGGACGATGTGAGATTCAGGGTGAAGAATGACCATTCAGTTGGCTGTAGCGCCCGCACTATGTCTGCGGTGTATGACGTTGTAGCAAGGCCATCTCCAAGGCCGCCAACAAACAGAATGCTATGAGGCTGGCGCGTAGCACTAGATGTATATTCAAATGTGACCAGAGTTTCTGTCTGTTATTCGCATCCATTAGCCTGTATAGCTACTTTATCAGGCACAATTACCTACATAGTGGTGTAAAATCCCAGAATGCCCCCCTTTGGGCCAGAATTTTGAGTACATGTACATCTTGTAATAGACAGTATGTCGAATGCTAGAGTGCTACTGTCTGGGCTTTTTCGTTTGCAATTTCCACCTTTCAAGTGTCAAAGAAATGTGAGAGGTCAATTTGTACAGTCTTGTTTCCGATACGTTACGAGGTTCATTGCAACATTCCGACATCGCATCATGCATCTGTCTGTTCCGTGAACGGGATCCTCTAGAGAAAAAATTTTCACCGGTTAATAAATGGCTAGATGAAACTAACAGCAATCTACTACTGCTGGCGTGATAAATCCTGGCAACCTGGGAGCTATTGCCGGCCTACTGCATCTGATAAGATGGAATGGTTAGTAGCTTCATGAACACGAGACTCAGCGGATCTGATTAGATTATCTCGTGTCCCGCCAAGCCGCCAACACACGGATTGCCGGCAAGAGTCGGGTAAAGCCAGCGCAGAGTCTGGTTCTGTGACCCAACGGCACATACAAAGTACTCGTAGTGCAGGGGGGGCATGATGGATGTCCGAATACTGTATTTTAGTGAACATTGTGGATACTACAGTTTAGTATCAACTGTGTGGCGACATTGGCTGTTATTACATGCGTGCTCCGTTCTCATGAGAACAAGTTTCTAAAGCAAGCGCTAAGAATATACCGATGTCCATGTTATGTGTCAATAGCGTACAGTACTGTGGAATTTTATCAGTCAAAATACTAAAGGCAAAATAAATATGAGAATTATTTGGCAACCATGTAAGGCGTATAAGGTGTATATGTGGAAACTCTATGCGATGTATTCTGTATTTCTGCGGTATTTTTTAATGGTTACGAGAGAAACACTGGCACTTGTACTCTTCGTTCTTTGATTGCTCGCCTAGAATCAACTCGCAGCTGTATGCAAAGAGACTCGGCCGTTCTCAGCTGAGCCGCTCGTTTACTTTGGTAATAATACCCTATTTCCAAAGCCGCGAGACGCGCTCAAAGCCATAACTATATGGCGCGCAACTGGATTACTTCAATCTTTTTTTCATCTTATACCAATACCTCTAAAGGGAATATTAGCTTGTTTCTTTCCATTTTCATCACTTTGTTTTGATCTAACTTCCTCACAACTTTATAGCCAGCTCCAGACTGGACATACAAGCACATTATGCCATCCAGTTTAGAGAATGTCTACATACCTGGGAGCTTTGAGGTTCCTAATCTTTCCGCGAAAGAGTCATCAACTCCAACAGGGATGAAGGATGAATACCTTCTCCTATCATGGCTTATTGTCCTTTTGAGGATGAAGGAAGATAGGCAAGCTAGCTGTGGCTGGATATATCAAACACAAGAGCCTGAGATTGAGAGCAAATTGGCCAGAGGGGAACTCTCAACGAATAAAGTATTGGAGAACTTGAAAAGTACCGTCGGCCAAGCCACCGTTGCCATCTCCAAGTATATGACCGGGGCCGTATTACAGTCTCTTGAGAGATATTCGACTCCCGTTTCTCTCTTATTGAGTACAGAATACCGGCTCAATGAAAATAATAAGGCTAAAGATGATGTAAGACGATCAATTGCGTCTAGTTGAAAGAGATCTCATAGCTAACACGAGTGAGAACAGAGTACCCTATACCTCGAAACATATTATATGAACGGCCATCTCCGGATACTCCCCGCACGCACCTCCGAAAATGTTTCTCAATATGTAATAACGCAATACGCCGAAGCATTGAGCCATACCATCAGAATGTGCATCTCGAACCATGATGCGGTTATTGAGGGCTTTCTTCATCCATTCCCGCACGATATGGATCAAATATGGCAGTGGAATCATCTTCTTCCGCAGACATACGACTGCTGCATGCATGATATAGTTTCCGGACGAGCTCAAGAATCTCCAGACAAGGTGGCAATTCTATCTTGGGACGGCAGCTTGACTTACGCCGAAGTTGATCGATGCTCGTCTCTTCTGGCTTTTTTACTCAGAGAGCGGGGTGTTGAAGCACACGAATTCCTTCCACTGTGCTTCGAAAAGTCAAAATGGACTGTTGTTGCTGTGTTGGCTGTAATGAAAGCCGGAGGAACAATGGTGCTTATGGACCCAGCACTTCCAATTGCCCGCTTGCGAAATATGGCAGAACAAGTTAATGCAAAGACAATGGTTGTCTCTCGAAACCAGTATGATTTAGCTGCGGACATCCTCCCACATGGGGATTTTATTATTTTGGAAGCAGATACATTTGCTTGCTTTGAGGACTTCGTAGCCTTTCCCGCTCTACCGGTTGTGCATCCATCAACGCTCATGTACATCATCTTTACATCTGGAAGTACAGGCACTCCCAAGGGAGTGCAAGTATCCCACCGCAGCTATTCCAGCAGTGCTTTCCCTCGGGCTAAAGCAGTTGGTTACAACAACAATTCCCGGGTTCTCGATTTCGCGTCCTACGCCTTCGATGTTAGTATTGACAGTATGATACTAACATTGGCTAACGGCGGCTGTCTCTGCATTCCATCGGATGAAGACAGACTCAACGACATAAATACAGCTATGCGAAGTATGAACGTGAACTACGCGGGTCTCACCCCTTCAGTTGCTCGAATATTAGACTTGGACGTCATTGCGTCGCTCGAAGGACTGGGTCTTGGGGGTGAAGCGGCTTCCGTCAGTGATGTTGCGCTTTGGGGCCAGTATGCTAGGATTATCATAGGATATGGCCCCTGTGAATGCACCATTGGCTGTACTGTGAATAGCAATGCAGCTGCGAATCGGGACTACATCACCATTGGGCCAGGCAATGGCGCCGCTATTTGGATTGTGGACCCAGATGACCACGAGTCACTAATGCCAGTAGGCGCAGTGGGTGAGCTGCTTGTGGAAGGCCCGATTGTTGGGCAAGGCTATCTTAATGATCCCAAAAAGACTGCCGCTGCGTTCATTCAAGATCCGTCGTGGCTTGTATCAGGCCACGGTCAACATAGCGGCCGCCAAGGTCGTCTGTACAAGACTGGAGACCTTGGAAAGTATGCTCCTGACAGTTCTGGTGAGATCATCTTCATGGGCAGGAAAGACACTCAGGTCAAGTTGCGTGGCCAGCGGGTTGAGTTGGGGGAAATAGAGAGCCAACTGAAAGCTAGGCTCCCCTCAGAGATCAGCGTGATATCTGAGGTGATTACGCCAGCCGGATCCGCGGCCCAACCGACTTTAGTGGTATTCATTGCACAACACGTCGGAAAGGCAAGCGACAATCGCCAGTTAGAATTGGCCTGCGTCTCTGGAGATTTGGGCGAAACAATGTTGAAAGCCAACACCGATGTGGTGAAAGTATTGCCTCGGTATATGATTCCAACCGCATACATACCGATCAACTTTATTCCAACGTTGATATCAGGAAAAATTGACCGAAAGCGTCTGAGAGAATTTGGTTCCACAGTGGACTTGAAGCAGCTTGATAAAAACGCGAAGAGCACGGCAACTCGGGCGCTTAGTGACCTTGAGCAACGCCTACGACAGGCTTGGGCTTTCATCCTAAAGTTGGACCCAGACAAAATCACCCAGGAAGACAATTTCTTTGCGTTAGGTGGCAATTCTTTGGCAGCCATGAGATTGGTGTCTACATGTAGAGATCGAGGGTTGGATCTTAGCGTGACTGGAACATTTGCCAATCCAACCCTCTCGGAAATGGCAAATGCTGTCTTCATATGCGATTACGACGCGAAGATCACAGTTCCGGAGTTTTCCATGATATCTCAGCTTGCTGATAGTGCTCGATTGGAGGCATCACGCATTTGTGGGACAAATGAAGCCGCTATTGAGGATATTTACCCCTGTACACCAACTCAGGAATCTTTGTTTACGTTTTCTCTCAAATCGACGAAGCCTTATATCGCCCAGCGCGTTGCTTGTATCCCGCCTAATGTAAACTTGGAACAGTGGAAAAAAGCATGGGAGTCGGTTGTTGATGTAAGCCCCATCTTACGCACACGCTTAGCTCAACTCCAAGACCCTGGGCTTCAGCAAGTTGTTCTAAAAGAGAAGATATCGTGGAAACATTCCACAGATCTTGATCAGTATCTTGAAGACGATAGAGCCATTGGGATGGATCTCGGGCAAAGCCTCGCTCGATATGCTATTGTGAATAACAATGGAGATGGCAAAGAATATATGGTTTGGACTGTGCATCACGTACTCTACGATGGATGGTCAGAGCCGATCATACTTGGAAAGGTTCGCGAAGCATTACAACACGGAAGTGCTTTGCCTCACCAGCCAGCACTCACAACTATGCGAGACTTTGTCAAGTATGTTCGCGACACCGATCAGATTGCGATGCAAGAGTTTTGGAGCAGAGAGCTTGATGGTGCAATAGGCCCTCAATTCCCTCGCCTACCCTCCAGAGACTTTTTACCAAATCCGGATACCATCTTCGAGTATCAAATAAACATAAAGTCAACTATCGGCTTTCCATTTACTCTAGCGACCGTTATCCGTGGCGCATGGGCCCTAGTCGCTTCACAGTTTACTCATGGCGATGATGTCGTCTTTGGAGAGACACTCACGGGTCGAGACATTCCACTGCTTGGTGTGGAGGGCGTTATTGGTCCATTGATTGCTACTGTACCTATCCGAATACGCATTGACCGGACAAAATCCGTCAATGATTATTTGAAGGCTGTCCAGCAAGCTATTCTCGCTCGTACTCCATATCAACACATAGGCATGCAAAACATCAGAAAGGTTCACCCAGATGCCCAACATGCTTGTGAAGCAGGAACAGGTCTGGTTATACAACCGGAATTGGAATACGACGGCACTGATCTTGGTTTTGCCCACGGAGATGTTGTTCGAGAAGCGTTATATTTCAACCCTTATCCCGTTATGCTAGCATGTAGTATGAACCCTGATGGATTCAGGATCTGTGCAAGCTTCGATAGCAGCCTGATAGATATCAGCCAGATGAAACGAATGATGGCACAACTAGAGACAGCTTGTTCACACCTTATGAGCGATCTCGGGAAAAGAGTCGACCAGATATCTTGCCTCCCAGAAGCTGAATTGAATAATATTTGGGGCTTCAATCAACTCCCACCGGTATCTTTCGATCAGGCGTCTGGGAAGATTAGGGCAGGCGCAGAAACACAACCAGGATCTACATATCCTCCATTTCAAGTTCCTTGGGTGTGCATTCCACAAAACCCATCCCTTTTATCGCCCATCGGTTGCCCTGGTGAACTTTGGCTTGAAGGACCACATTTGTTCACCACTGAAGCGATGGAGTCTCCTGGCTGGCTCTTAGCTGGGAGTTCTCAGTTTTCCGGTCGATCAGGTCAAGTTCGAGCAACAGGAGACATAGTTCAGCTACAAGAAGATGGCAAATTAGTGTTTGTGGGTCGAACTGAAAACATTGTACCTGTCAATGGTCATTCGGTGGACATCACAGACTTTGAGGCGCATTTCACTCAGTTACTGTCCCCATCTGTCATCGCTGCTGCGGCTTTATATCACCCGTCACCTATTGAGAAAAAGCAGCCTTTAGATGAAGGGCTGGTTGTGTTTATAGAACAACAGCCCTTGGATAAGGACAATGTTGAGTTGCTACCAAAAGGGTGCAAAGTGAGTTGTGCAGTGCCTGGCTCACAACCTTTTGAAACTGCTATCTGTGCAACTATATCTGCCAACTTTGCTGGGGTATTGAAGAGGTTTGACAAACGCATTCGGAATTCTTTGCCGTCGCATATGGTGCCTTATGCGTACGTCGTTGTAGAGAAAATGCCCATCACACAGGGAAAAATCGATCACGGCTTAGTTAGCCAGCTTGCGTCCAACATCTCTGAGAGTATAGCTTCTCAGCTACGCGAAAGTCTCACGAAAGAATGGTCGAAAATCGTGAGCCCGGCAAATCTTACGGCGTCGCAAGATATCCTACGATCCGCGTGGGCAGAAGTGCTTAATGTCAATTTGGATCAAATTGACGTTGACGATAATTTCTTCCGCCTAGGCGGCGATTCAGTATCAGCTATGAAACTAACGTCGAATCTTCGTAAGAATGGACATGGAATGAGTGTAGCAGATGTATTTCGACACATGCGCCTTCGCGACGCTGCCACGGTTTTAAAGGTTAACGAATTGCTCAAAGAGGATACATGGTCTTACAGACCATTTTCAATGTTGGGATCTATCGACATAGATCTCTTTCTCTCTGAATATATTCGCCCAAAGCTTGCCAATCCAAACTGGAGCATCAAAGATGTATTCGGTGTGACGGATTCACAGGCATTAGACGTTGGAGCAACCATTCAGAGGCCACGCACATCGATACAGTACACGATGTTGTACTTCGACCAGGGCTCAATAGACCAAACCAAACTGCTGCGTGCTTGTGCAAATCTTGTCAAAACTCATGAAATTTTGCGCACAGTATATGTTGAGCACAACTCAACTCTATTTCAGGTTGTCTTGGACGAGATTAACGTTCCAGTGACAATGAAGACAACAGGTGCAGACCTTGGTGAGTTCGTCACGAACCTTTGCACGAATGATATCGAGTCCGATTTTCTCCTTGGATCGCCATTCATCAAGATGTTTTATATCCAAACCCGAGATGGCAAAAGTTGCCTTGTCCTAGGCTTATCTCATGCCCAATATGACGGAGTATCCCTGCCTCGATTGCTTCGAGATTTGGAAACATTGTACGCTGGAGAAGAAGTGGTAAACTTTGAACCATTCAGCTCTTATGTTGCACGAATCCAAAACAAGGGATTACAAAAAAGATCGTTGGACTACTGGAGTAATCTTCTTAGTGGCTCGATACTTTCAATTCTTCCTGGCAAGTCGAAAACAAATACAGACAGCGCAGTATTCTTGTCAAGACAAACCAGTGTCTCCAAGGCACCTGAGGGCATTACCACAGCCAGTGTGCTTACTGCAGCATTTGCTCTGGTGATAGCTCGTAGACTTCGCAAATCAGACGTCTCTTTTGGAGGGGTAACATCTGGTCGAAATATTGACCAAATGAACACAGAGAATGTGATGGGTCCATGCTATCAGTTCGCACCCATTAGAGTCATCTTGAAACCCGGATGGTCCGCAATGGATCTCTTACGATTCGTTCAGAATCAAACCGCCGAATCTGCTGCTCATGACTTTGTTGGCTTCCAAAAAATAGCTAAACAGTGTGCAGAGTGGTCCTCGGGAGCAAACTTTTTTGACTCCATTGTTCACCATCAAGATTTTGAGGATTTTGATCATATGCCTTTTGCCAATGGAAGCTGCAGAGTCGATATTTCCAATCCACACGGTGACGCGGCTTATCCCCTTAAGGCAGTCTCTTTCCTTAGACAGGGGAGACTAAATGCTGGATTGGTTGGAAATCATGCAGATATAGCATTCATTGACTCTTTACTGACAGAATTAGTCAATACTGTCGAGGAGCTTGTCAACCCTACTTTAATTGGAAAAGCCATTGATTTTGGATTTAGTATTGAAGGATAACGGTAATCAAAACCACCTTACTCTTATAACATTTGTAACCTTGGGTTCCCTTTGGTTATCATTACTTGTTAAATATTAATAATCTACAAGTAATCTCCATGCAACGCGTGGTATCTCTTTGCCAACCGACTGTCGGCGATGACGCCACCATGGGGTGGACCTAAAATGCGGATGCAGGGTGCGGGCTTAGTTTGCCGATATCTACAGTACGTCAATACCTCTGGAACAAACTCTCAATCTCAAGAGCATTTCAAAGCACCCCTAATTCCGACCATCACTGCTTGGGACATACCAACGGGTCGTTGGAGGGCTGATGCGTTGGTTCGGCGGGCAAAGCCGTTGGCATAAATACCAACTCTACTATTGCTGTTTTGTCAAAATAACTATCCATCCAGCATTTCAATTCCACATTACTCTCATTATATGCATTGATCTGCCTTCTTTCACTACCATCATGTCCTCGTCAACCCATAACATCGTAGTTCTCGGCAGCAACTTTGCCGGGTTGGCTATCAGTCATTACATTTTGAGACACATTATACCGTCAGTGGCGAGCAACACCGACAAGAAGTGCAAGTTGACTATTGTATCGCCATCGACTCACTATTTCTTCAAAGTCGGTGCCCCTCGCGCCATTGCCCGGCCTGAACTGGTCAGCAAGGTCTCAATGCCATTCGCGGGCGCGTTTCAAGATTATGGCGACCTATATGCATTTGTCCAAGGCGAAGCCATAGCACTTGACCCTTCAACGAAGCTAGTCACGGTCAAGGGTGTCACCGATACCGATGAGAACAGGATACAGATCCCATACGACTCACTTATTATCGCCACAGGAACGACAAGCGCCAGTCCCCTTTGGACTCTCCACGGACCACACACAGTCACAAGCAACGCTATTTGCGACACCAATGCAGCCATTTCCAAAGCAAATACGATCCTAATCGCCGGCGGTGGCCCCACAGGCGTCGAAACAGCCGGCGAAATTGCCTACCATTGGCACGGCAAGGATATCACCTTATTCTCCGGCAGCACTCGCCTCCTCTCCAATTTGTCGCATAAGGGAGTTGGAACGTCGGCGGAATCACACCTGCGCAGGTTGAAGGTTAAGACGGTGCATATGGCCAAGGTTACTTCTGCGTCCAAGACGGCGAATGGTACCACGCTGGTGGAATTGAACAATGGCACCACCAGGGAGGTTGATTTATACATTGACGCGACGGGTGGTACGCCTAATACGAGCTTCTTGCCAGCCGAATGGCTGGATACCCGGGGATCCGTCATCACCGACCCTGAGACCTTGCGTGTGACAAGTGCTCCAGCTAGCGTTTATGCCATTGGCGACGTGGCATCGTACTCGAAGAGAAACGTCCTCGATGTTCATCGAGCTATCGCCCCCCTCGGGTACTCGCTCTGGGCTGACATGACCAAGAAAGCCAAGGTGAAAGCACCCCTGGCCGAGAAAGTGTACAAGCAGGACCCTGGAGATTTCCAGTTTGTTCCCATTGGGCCAAAGGGTGGTGTCGGAACAGCGTTTGGCTGGTCTGTGCCAAGCTTCATGGTATGGCTTGCAAAGTCGAGGACCTTCTTCATTGAAAAGGTACCCGCCAATGTCGCTGGCGCTAGCTATACAAACATCGATGTATCCTCCATACCCAGCTAATGCGGTACTTTCGGACTTGTTTTATCTGTTGATTTATCTTTTTGCGTTAGACCATAGAGCTTTATTGTTCTCGTGTTCTCGGGGCTCTGTTTTTATCTCGACAGGGCTACGTTTAATTCCAGATGCTTGCACTTCGCGCCGTTCGACGCCATTCCATTTGTCACAACCTGCGGCCTCCCAAGCTTGATTTTTTATCGGTGGTGATGAAATTCACGGTTGCTGTCATTTTCCACATGCCGTACGGCCAGGTCCCTAGAGATATCGGCTACAAGGATATCACGGACAAGTATACCAATGTGAAGAAGTGGTTTGACATAATGTCCGCATGCTAAGTATACTTACTACATTCACATTTGGCCGATTTCTTTGAAAGATTTCAGATGCACGCATGCAACTATGTTGTTACTGTTCCGGAGTCTACGCTTTGTAATTCCATGACGTAGTGCTCTGGTATTGTCAGCGGATCGCAGCCAGTTTAGACTCCAAGATAATCCAACTTACTTGCTATATACCACCTCTTACTTGAGTGATTTAAGACACTTTTGAGAGACTCTATAGACTGACGACGATGAAACTCATCAGAATTTTCTGAGCTGGAAGCAAGTATTACTGCCGCTTTGAGGATCGGATGGAGTGAAAATGGACAGAGATCCGAGAGGTTCGTAGGCGCCAAGCTTCCCTCAAATTGTTTAGCCGCGCTGACAACCTCGTTTATCAGGGCATCTCGGAACAATCCCGAAGAAAAGTGACAAGAGATATCCTGGGGTATTTTGAGGTGATTTCCAAGCTCGAAGACGGAAAGGAGGGCACTATGATATGCCACATTACTTCATGATCGCCTAATGAGAAGGTATTTGGAGATGCTTACCTGTTGCAGATATCGACCTGGCTAGCAAGTCGACTAGGAGATGTGACTTCGGACTCTGTCAAAACATGTTTGTAGGCAATGACGGTTTTTATCAATTGAATAGCTTCGGCCGCGTTGAAATCCTGGCGAATGGTGGGATTATTGACATGAGTTAAGGCTTGTTCGAGCAGACGAGAGGCTTCGACTAGGCTGGCAAGAGGTGTTTTACTGGCAGACAAATCGGCGGCGCTATGCAATAATGTCAGTGTTCAGATGCATTTGAAGAATAACCCCTTATCATACCTCGTAGCTCCCACCATACCGCTCTTCAAACCATCGGTAGGAAACAACTGAGTGGGTGATAGTATTTCCGTTGTTCGATATTTGGTTGACGAGTTCTGCAAACCAAGATACCTGTCCAAATGTTAGTCGTAGGAACTCACAGATTCTGATCTATAGCTAATTCAATTGTAGAAGATGTGACGGAGAAGGATCTACTGACCTGTTCAGTATTACAACAGCCTGCCAGATTCGAGCAACTTCTTCTGTTGCGACCAAGCCGCCCTCATGATTATTCTCCCACAGGTGCAATCTACCATAGCTCGTTGACGCTAGTGCTCTTATCGTGTTTGCTATATTTGTATCATGAGCCGCTGGATATATACCGTGGCTGACTTCAAATAGCTTCACAAGTACCTGAGACTGTAGCAGCTCAAGTGAAGCCTCATATGCCGCTTGGATTAGAGCGATTGAGCTTTTTACTAAAGCGTAGAGCGACCTTGCTTGGCCCAATATTCCAGATTCAGTCGGAGGAGTGTTGAGAAGAAGCATGCACAGCACAAGAAGGCTCTGCCCTGCACTGGGAGCTCTACAGAGTTCTGGCAGTCTCCCCATAAACTTCGGTTTAGACAAAACGGGAAACCAATGGTGAATAGATTCGAAATACTTTATGCAGCAAGCACGGCAGCCGCTCTCTCCACCGGTAAGACCAAACGCCTGCTGCTTAATGTTCTCCTTGATTAAAGCCGGGGCGAATGGGGTAAGCTGGTAAGAGCGTAATAGCGTCAGATGTTCAGAATTCGGGGGTGCCGCCTCAGTGTAGTTACATTCTCGACAGAGCCTGGGTAATGGCTTGTTTAGCAATTCATCCCGAGGCAACGCCATTTCAGGCTAACGTTACCTCACGCAGAGCGAGCACCTCGGGAGCGCCTTATCGCACTTACGCTTTTGCTTGCGGCAGGGGAGACAGACAACGGGGGCCTTCACAGAGTCTCTTCGTGGTTGGTTCATCGTCTCTACATTGCCAGACAGGTTATAGGGCTAATGAACATTCCGCGAAGCAGACCTCAGTCTGAGTGGGTGACGAAACGGTGTCCCCGCGCCTTGACGAATACAAGCGATGACAGTTGCTGGGTCAAGGAGAGACGACGAGGAAATTCACCGCTTTGTGCATCCGCAACTTGCATTCCTTGCCGGGCGATCCGCGTGTACCTTTATGTACGAGTATATGGCGTCGGATCCTTTTCTCCACGATCTATGTCCGCACCTTGCATCCGCACCTTGCGTCCGCAACCCGCATTAAAACCGGGGCTTATTCCTGCTTCGGCTCTCCCATTACCATATCCCCTCGCTGAACACGGTTGTGAGCATGCTAACGTGAGATAGTTAGCTTATTGCTTCTTTCGATCAAAACCGGGTATAACTTAGGGGAGATCCACAGTCGACTTTTGCGAGGGAATACGGTACTACCCTGAAACAGCTTGAGCAGCTCGCCAACTCGCCTAGATATTACGGGTGTCTGTCGATGAACAATTAAGGTTTGGGTTGTTTATTGGACGATTCGCCGCTGCCCCTTCAGATTCCCCTGCATATCTGAGCTCCACACCAACCTTCTGTGTCCGCATTTCGCATATTTGAAGTTTGAACTTGCTCTAGTAGATCTACCCGCCATCCACAGAGACGACCCGGCCCGCACTAAGTGCTCGCGATATTCCAGAAGATGATTGCCACGGAATACCACAACTTTGGATTATGCTATCTACAACCAAGCTGCCTAGACAAGGGCTCTGGCACCAGTAGCCAATGACATGTGAAAATCATCCGCAGAACTGACGGCCAATGCCTGGCGGACATGCCGCTAGCCGGACAGGCGGGCTTAGAAAACATAAAGTCCGGACGAGTCCTTGTTCCTGTGTACACAATAACGCAATAATATAGCAATGGCAATAACGCAGTCTTCGTTCAGTCCGAAGCTCGTTCGGACTGCCGGATACAGGAGATGCCTCCCCCCCTGCATACAGATGAGCAAAGTGCCACGACTCTTGGCTCCGGGGTCTGGGATGCGTGGCCTAAAGGGGACAGCGATTGAATGAGCTGCACGAGCGAGTGAAACTCAAACATCAGGCCACATTTTACTACTCATTTTGACTGTATTAAAGAGCAGAGACTCTGAACTTGGAAAGGGCACCTGTCTCTTTGATCGTTGACCTCTAACCCTCACAATCCACTCGTGCAAAAAAAGCGGAGCATATGCTCAATGCCGACATGCCTCCGACGACGAACACTTCTTTTATGATGAGTGTAATGGAAAGCATTTCTCATGTGCCCATTAAAGACGCCGCTGGGCTCTCTCTCTTCTTGGTACGTCTCTCTAATGAGTCGATCAGGGTGTCTTCTCGCGTAACTAAACCGCGTAGATCTTCGTGTACTGCCTCAGCATAAGTATTTATCGCCTGTGGTTTCATCCTTTGGCCAGATTTCCTGGCCCATCCCTGCTTTCCGTCTCTTACTTTCCATTCATGTACACGTACAGCATTCGGGGCAAATGGATGCGGACGGCCGAGAGACTACATGTCCAATATGGCCCTATTGTTCGCGTCGGACCAAATCACCTAGCTGTTGACGGATCCGTCGCCTGGACTGAAATCTATGCCAACCGAGGCGCAGGTAAAAGCGAATACCCCAAGCCGAGAGGCTTTTTCTTCAACGGCGATGAGACGAGTATCCTGGCCGCACCTCGTGATGTTCATCGCCGTCTTCGCCGTCACTTGAGTCACGCCTTTAGCGAGTCAGCTTTGGTCGAACAAGAGGGGATCATTGCTTCATACATCGATTTGCTCATGGCTCGTCTGTCCGAACGGGCGGGTAAGGGATCCAAGATCAACATTGTAGATTGGTTGAATTTCGCGGCCTTTGACATCATTGGGGACTTAACGTTCGCGGATTCGTTTGACAGTTTGCGAAATAGCGGCTATCATCCATGGGTTCGAAACATCTTCAAGAACATCCAGGCTGCTTCCTACACCTGGTTTGCCACCAACTACCCCCCGCTGCAGACGGTGATGCGCACATTCACGAGCAATGAAACGGTAAAGATATCACAATACAACCAACAACTTGCAGTGGAAAAGGCCTTGGCTCGCATGAGTTTGGGGCCCGAGCCCGCAGATGGACGTCGCGACTTCATGACATACATGCTTCGCAAGACACGGACAGGAGAAGAAGGAATGACACAAGAGGAAATTCTTGCCACCGCGCCTGTTCTTGTGACTGCAGGCAGCGAGACAACCGCCACGTTGCTTTCGGGGTTTTTCTTCTATTTGCCATCCAATCCAACCGCGTACTGGCGACTAACGGAAGAAATCCGCTCAACTTTCAACAGTGAGGATGACATCAACATGCGCAGTGCATCATCGCTGCCGTATCTGCAGGCCTGTCTCGAAGAAGCGTTACGCATATATCCCCCAGCTGCTGAGACACCTTGGCGAGTATCCCCCGGCGACATGCTTCTAGACCAGTTTGTTCCTGCCGGAGTATGTGCATCAATAGTCGCGTGATTGTGGGGAAAAAATGCTAACAAGATGCTTCTTTGACAGACACACATCTCCGTCTCCCAGTGGGCTACGTATCGCAATCCCAAATACTTCAAAGATGCATCTTCATATGTGCCCGAGCGTTGGTTGCTTCCGGCTCATCCACACTACGATGCCCAATTCAACAATGATAACAAATCGGCCTTCAAACCTTTTAGTCACGGTCCACGAGACTGCATTGGCAAGAACCTCGCATACGCAGAGATGAGGCTTATTGTTGCGCGATTTCTTTTCCGCTTTGATTACGAACTTTGTCCAGAACAAAGTGGATGGCATCACGACCAGCGGTCTTTTACTGTTTGGGCAAAAGGTCCTTTGTATCTTGCGGTACACTTGCGTGAATAATGATATCCATAAAGTGTTTCTGACTAAGTACATGTAATAACGATAGAAGAGCTTGGAAGATAGAACCTTATTATAACAGTGTTACAAACCAGCTTTTATAATCTCGAAAATAAGCCTATAGACTATGGAATTCTATTCTTCATCTCTAAGAGTTACAAAATTGTTATCATCACTGAGCATGGCGACGTTGAACAGAGGTTCCTAGAGAGCGCTGCTCAGCGAAACGGCACACTACAGGAGGACTTTGACTTACTTGATTACTCCACTGCTATTTATCTCGACTCACCGCAATTTTTATGTATTTATCCAAGAAGGACTAAGACGTGACAGGATGAAGCGCCGCTTCTAGAAGGAAGAAAACGGAAATGACTTTTTTGCAATAAAAGGTACGCGCTTAGCCTCGGCACAGCACGCAAAATACATAGATCCTATTACAAATGCCGCAATGAGTAAGAAATGTAATACTAGATACTAGCTATATTAACTAATGCGTTTTGTTATAGGACATAATGAATGCTGAAAAGCTTTAATATTAAAGTATACTATTCCTATATTTCTTATAGCTTTTGCAATCTATTACTACTATACTTTTACCCCCTTAAACTAAAGGTTAAATATAGCTAAAAATAAAAGAATCTAAAATATATTAATATATTAAAACCTAAAATAAAAAATTATAAATTTACTTATTTTTATTTATATTTTATTATTATAATATTTATATTATAACTTTATAAACCTTATTATTAATAATAAATATCCTAGTTAATTAAACTTTAGTAATTAAAACTAAACCCTTTTAAATTTTATAATTAAGACTAAGCTTAATTTAAATTTATACTTTATAATTTACTTTAAAAAATAACCTAGTTAATTAAAAACGATATTTTAATAGTTATATATATATACTTTTATTACTAGCCTATAATAAAGTCTTTTATATTAATATATAATAAAAAAAATATTTTTTATAATTCTTACCTTTTTAATCTATAGGCTAAAGTTAATATTTTTTACTTAAGGTTATAATTTAAATAAACTATATTACTTTCAAATTATAAATTAAAAAAGGCCTTCTCTTTTTCTTTTATTATTTTATTTTATAATAGTTTTATAAATAATATTAGCTTTAAAATTACCCTAGGGAAACGTAAGTATAATAAACCCTAAATATACTTTATATATAAGGTTAAAGGAATAGTAAATATAAAATATAAATAAATAGTAAAATAAAATACTTTTTATATATAATATAATATAATATATACTAGCTTTTATTATATAATTATATTTTTATAATTAATAAATATTACTAATAGCTTTATATATAAATTAACTTTATTAATATATTATAACTAAAGGAAAAAAATATATTATAATTCCTTACTATAGTTAATTAATAATTAAAAAAAATATAAAAGTATAAGTAATATTTAATAATAAAAATTTTAAAAGTATTATTAATTTTAGCCCTTTAGTAAATTATATTAGTTGTAATTTAAATAAAGTTATTAACTTTAATATACTTTTTAAATCTTTACCTTAGTTCAAAAATAATAAATAAAGCTTAATTAAATATATTATATAAAAGCTAATAAAATAACTTACTAAATTTTAAAAATATTTTAATAACTATTACTAAATAATAAAAAAATATTATATATAAAGCTTAATAAAGTAAATCAACTATTTTATACTTTTTTATGAATTATTTATAAATATTTAATTTTATTTTAATAAAATAATTAATAAAATAAAATTACTTAAGAAAAAAAGGGAATATAATATTAAATTTAAAGTAGGGGTATAAATGACTTATACTAATAATATATAATTATTTTAAAATTAAATAAATATATTAATATAATATTAGTTAATACCTTTATAATAATAATATTTTAAGCTACTATTTAACTTTTTATTAATAAATAAAAAGTATTTTAAAATAAAAAATATATACTTTATATATTATAATAATTATTTAATAAAAGTTAATTTACTTTTTAATAATTAAAATAATATATATAATATTTATAAAAATAAGTTTTATAAATTAGTTAATTAAGTTATATTTAAAAAAAATATATAAAGAAACCTACTAAAAAGTACTTAAAGAAAATTAATTAATTAAAGTAAATATAATTATTATAAAAGGTAAAAGTAATTAATTTTAAATATAAATATTTTATTATAAAGGTATTTATATAAAAAAATAAAAATAAAAAAATATTAATTTATAATAAAATATAAAGTAAAGAATTCTTCCCTTTATTATAATTATATTATTAAATTATATATTTAAATTTATTTCTTTATTTTTAAAAGCTTAAATTAAATTACTTTATTACTATCTAACTAAAGTTATTATAATTTTTAAATGTAAATATTAAAGTTTTTAAAAAAAAATTAAATTAATTAATTTATATAAAAAAAAGTATTATAATTAATACTAAGGATAATACTATAAAAGAAAAGTAATATATTAAGTATTAAAAAGTTTTTAAATTAGAAAAAAGTATTAAAGTTTAAACTATAACTTTATAATTTAAAAAGAGTTTATAAAAAAAAAGATTTTTATTTTATTTTAAAAAGTTTAAAGATAAATATAATTATTATTAAATACCTAGCTGCTAAAGAGTAGCTAAAATATAAATTACCTTTGTCTTTAACTTTATTACTTTCTTTTTTATACTTAGCTCTTTAATATATTAATTATTTTTTTAAATAAGTTTATAATATTAATATTACTATTTTAATATTTATTTTATACTTTACTTTTTTAATTTATTTTTATATTTAAAACTTAAAAATTAATTATTTAGTATTTTTATAATAAATATTATTTATAATCTAGAGTAATTTTTAAATAAAAATTATAAATATATAATAAACTAAGATTTTATAGTATTAATATAAGAGAAATTCCTAAGGGATAAACTTTATATTAAATTCATATTAGTAAATAAACTAAGTTAAACTAATAAGTAATAAATAAAAATAAATAGTTTTATTTATATAATTAAAAAATAATACTCTATAAGTATAATTAAGTATTATTTTATATTTATAATTAGTTATTTAAACTGTTTTAATAAATAATATAAAGTAAACTTATACACTTAGTTAAATTTAGGCTTATATTACTTATTAAATAAGCATAAAGAATATAAGCTTAATAAACTTATTAAATAAGTAAAATAAGCAAAACTTAATTAATTTATTAAATTATAGTTAATTTAATTATACTTAGTCTATAGGTTTATTAATATAACTATAAGTATTAGGTTATAATACCTTAAAGAAAATATAAAATAATAAACTGATTAAAATTAATTAAAAATAGTTTTTACTTAGTATATATTAATAGAAATATAAAAATAACTTTATTTTTATAAGTACTTAAATATATAAAAAGTAAAAATTACTAAATAATTATAATATTTTAACTTAATATTTATAAAATATAAAATAAGTTCCTAATGTAATAAACTAAAGTTAATTAATTTAAATTAATAAAGAAAATAGGAAGTAGCTCTAAGTTAATATAATTATAAAATAAGTAAAATATAATAAGAATTTAATTTATATTTAATTTTAATACTTTATTAATAATTATTTATTTAAGTTATTTAAAAAGTATAAAAATTTAAATTTTATATATTTAGTTATTTTATAAAAAGTATTATAGTCTATTACTCCCTAAAGTATTTAAAGCGCTTATATAAGTTACTTTAATTATAGGAGTATTAAATTTTATTACTTCTTTTTATTATTAATTATTTAGTTAATAATTATTTTAGGTACTCTTTCTTTATACCTTTATTAAACTAGATTATAATAATAACCTAAACTACCAGCAGCCTCTTAGTTAAGCTTAATGAATATAATATTATATTTATAATATATACAAAAGTAATATAATATATAATTACTTAGCGTTTATTTATATAAAAAGGGGAGCTAAAAGGAAAACTATTATAAAAGAATAATATTATACTATATTTAGGCTATTAATAAGCTAAATACTACCTTTAATAGCGTACCTATATTAATATAAAAGCGAGATTTCAGGATAGATTTCACAGAGTATTTTAATCTTTAGATACCGGGCTACCGGCCACCTTAGATTACTATAGGAACTCAGTATATTACATAAAATATTATATCCAGTTCGAAATACCTAAGAACTTGGAACTGGTGTAAAGCACTGTTTTTTTGATATGTAACTAGATGGTGAATTGAGAAAAGGTTCAGATATCCAAGTATATTCTGAAAGGTTTTCTATCACACTAATAAACTATTCAACAGTAAATCAATTCTAAGCTAAGTCCTTCGCATTTTCAATAACTGTTTGCTCAAAACCAGCCCAGCCGTTAAGCCCAAAGATATCTTGTAGAAGTTGCTCTCCTCGCTTAGTCGGAAACGTCATAACACTTGAATTTACACCCTCGATATCATCAGCAATTTTCTTGGATGGGTACAGTTTGCGCAGGATAGCCAGAATTTGGTTCCACGTATAAGGTGCGGCAGCGGCAAAGATGCGCTCATTTCTCACAGACTCGGAGAGCAGTGCAGCGACGTGAAGACGACCGACGTCCTTCACATTCACATACCACGCTGCGTCACATTAGTTTAGTCAATTACGCTACTAATTGTTTCGAACCTGAAAGACTCACCTGGAGGCAACTGCTTGACAAAGTCAACACCTTTCTCATAAACTTCCCTGATCCAACCGCCTGTACTCGAACTCCCCTGCGTGGTCAACACCTCACCAAAAGTCGCGTCAGGCAGGATAGCGTTGGCTCGGAACTGAGGACCCTCTTCCTTTATAAACTTCCAGAAGGCCCTCTCGGCCTCTGCTTTGCTGGCACCGTATACAGCATTCGCGTGCGCGACAGGGAACGGTTTTAACGTAACACTCCATGCCTCCTTGATCTGGGCATCATTCCAGGTTGAAGCATCGAGGGTCAAGGGTGAATTGGCGACAGAAGCGGCCACACTGCTAGAAGTGTACACGAAACTCTTGACCGACGGCTCCTTGGCTGCTGACTGGAGTAGAGTTCTTACACCGGCTACAGTCGGTGGAATTACTTCTTGGGGGTCCGGGCTGAAGGACACGTTCGACGCGGTATGGATAACTCCTTGGACACCTACGCACAAGAAGTACCAGTTAGGGCCAACCAAGCTCGAGGTGAAGGGATATGCTCATCACCTTTGACTGCTCCGTCAAACGCCCCTATAGTCGACATCTCCGGTACGATGACAGCTGAATATTTGCCAGCTCCATACCGAGCCGAAAAGAAGCTGGTGGTCCATACTGCTTTTTGCTCATCACGAACTGTACCCCTGACGTGGTAACCAGCAAGAAGCAGTTGGTCAATAATATGGGTCGCTATGAAGCCGGTAGCACCCGTCACAAGGACGAGAGACCCGGGGGGGAAGGCAGCGTCATTAGGGGAGAGTTTCAACATGACGATTGAAGTTATGTGTGGAGGTGTGCAATGTAGTGAATAAGTGAGGATGGGCATTCTCTTCCTGACACCATTACTTATATTGCTGGAATTAAGTGTTTTACAAATTACAAACTCGCTATAATTTGTCAGTTCGTATATGATTGCTAAGCCATAGGATATCTTGGCAGAAGCTATACATGTTCAATTACATGTGAACTATACTTCTTGGCCGAGGAGGCTGCAAACTACGTTCTTTCGGAAAACATAGGACACTACCCTCGAAAAACCAGGACGCCGCGAAAACTTACGTGTGCTCGGAGTTCCGAGTATTAGTTCACACCCCTGAGCCATTAACCCCACAGTAACATCCTTGCCCAACCCTTAGCTGTACATTAGCAATTAACTGTTACTAAAGGAATCTATCCAAGTACGCTCACTCCTATCTGAAGGAAACTGTGCTGAATAATTATTGATTGGAAATCACAGTCAACAGAGTTGTGACAATAAGAAAGGTGGAGAGTTGCCTTAGCGATGCATCATAGGCGAGAGATACGCAGAGATGACGCAAGATATCTTAGTGTAAATGCCTTAGGTGAAGTTCTATATCTTCTAATGGCTTGGATAACTTGGTGGAATAATATTCTTAAGACGACTACGCCCTGAATCTAACCTACGCAATAATCATTCCCAGTCCCGCGATCCCGTTTGACTCAGTTGTGGTAGTCATCAGGGCCAATGGCTTCGTCGGAACAGAGACGTGCCAAAAGCTACTTAAAGCTGGATACCGTGTTCGCAGAACAGTCTGGGATGTCCAGTATCATCGTGCTTGGATGCATGCCCTCTTTGACCGTAAATGGCCTGGAAAATTTGAGCTCGTGCGCGTCACGGACTTCGATGCCGACGGCGCGTTTGACGAGGCGTTTCAAGGCATTTAAATCTTTCTCTAATGCATCCAGTTCTATATCTAACCGAAATCACCAAGCCCAGGGGCTGCAGGAGTAATGTACGTCTCGACGCCCAGCATGTTTAATCCCGACCCAGATAAGGCCATCGATCCTATCGTCAAGGGGACAATCAACACTCTCGAGGCAGCATCCCGCGCTGGAGTAAAGCGCTACGTCCTCAGCTCCAGCTCGAAAGCCGTCGAGTCAACAGTCTACGACCAACCACACAAGCTAACAAAAGACACTTTTAATCACAAGGCCATAAGTAAAGCCCGCAGCGGCCTTCCCACAGACGCTTCTGAGAGGGCCTTAACCATGTACAGTGCTAGCAGGACGACGGTAGAACTAGCATTCTGGCACTGGCTGAAGACAAACAACCCCCCTTTTGTAGCCAACTGCGTTATACCCGACGGCATCTTTGGGCACGTCCTCGACGTGAGGTACGTTAATATAGGGTTTACCTTATCTCTGGCTATATTAAAGCGCGTCTTAGTAGGTAGTTGCTTAATATCTCCTTCCTATGCTTCTCGCGCGGACCCATCCGTAGCCTTAGCCTTAACCTACCTCGTAGCCGCCGCAATAACAGCGTAGTCCTTTCCTTAATAAGCCTGCCCGGCCTATTGCTACTGCTTATTAAACTTATATAGTTATTTTACTCTCGCCTATATAATTTACTCTAGCGTACTTAAACTTCTTTTATTACCTATTTTATTCTATACGTTAACGTTAATGGTTAAGTTATATCCTTTACTACTTACTATCTAATATTATAAAAATTTGCTACTTATTTATAATTAAACGTAAACTTTTATATAATAACAGCCCTTTAAAGTATACCTTATATTTCTTTAGTAGTTATTAACTATTTTCTTAAATATTATAATAAATAAGTATACTTTATACTTAATATGACGACCTCACTCTTATAGTTACAACAATAGGCCTATAGGGTAGCTGGTCTTAGATAAACATTAAACTAACTAACTAATTAAAAACGGATTATTAGATTATTTAATAATTTAATAATTTATAAATAAATTATTAAAACTCTAAGATAATCTACAATAGGATTATTACTACTTAGTAATAATCTAGCTTAGCTAACTAAGTATATAAGTTTACTTTATATTACTTATTAAAATACTTAAATAGTTAATTATTATTATAGTAATTAAATTAAATATTTAAATACTTCCCTTTATAGCTAATAATAAAATTACTTATTTATTAACTTAACTACTTTACTAATGTAAACTATAAAACTACTTTAAGGTTTATTTTTTAAAAATAGCTAACTTATAGTACTTATAGAACCTAGTTTATTATATCATAATAACTTTTATTTAAATAGTTACCTTAGACCTATAGGTAATAAAATACTAAAAACTTAGCAGCTTATAAACTTTAAAGTTTTAAATAATAATATTAATTATAAAAGTAAAGTTTAAAGTAATTATAATAGTAATATTAAGCTTAAAAATATATTAGCTAAAAATATAGTTAATTAAGCTAATTATAATAAACTAAAGGTTAAATTTAAAGCTTTTAAAATATAGTTTTAAAACCTTTAAAATAAAAAAAGAGAGAAAAGTAAAATTTTTAAATTAATAAAGCCTAAACCCTTTAATAAAAATCTATGTAAAATAAATAAGTTTTTTTTAAAATTTATAACTTATTTTAGGTATTTCTTTTATACTTTAAAAAATAATAAAAATAAAGTTATTTTTATAAATAGCTACTTTATAAAAAATACTAAAATATAATTTTAATTTATTATATAAAATTATAAAAAAGGAAAGATTAATTTAAAAAAGCTTAAAACGTAAACTAAAGAAATTTATATTAAGTATATAGAATTTTAAAAATAATTTAAAAAATCTTTTAGTATTATAAATAAGTAATAAAAGGCTACGTAAAAACTTTATTTTATTACCTAAAAGGGACTATTAAGTAAATATACTTTCACTTTTTTATATTTATTAACTAAAGTTAATTAAACTAAGGAAATAAAAAAGGAAGTTTATTATAACCTAGATCTTATAGTTGCAATAATAGGCCTATAGGTTAGCTAGTCTTAGATAAAAGACAGACCGACGGATTAATTAAGAATGGATTATTAGATTATTATAATAATTTAATAATCTATAAATAGATTATTAGAACTCTGAGATAATTTATAATAGGATTATTACTATTTAGTAATAATCTAGCCTAGCTAATTAAGTATGTTTGTTTATTTGTTTGTTTTATTATTAACGTCTACTAAGTAAGCTAGTTACATAAGTCCTTATCTGGGCACTAGGACGGTAGGAGCCGCCGAGTTTAGATCGGGCGTTTACTACGTTTTAATGTAATAAAGGAAATAGGGAAGTATTAATCTGTTTTACGTATCTGTTTCTGTAGGGGGGGGGCCGTATGGGCTTATCTCCTCTACTAGTTTCTGGAAATCCTTGTACCCCCCGTTGCCGAGGAAGTATTAGATATAGGTGGTTCCGAAGCGCGCTTCCCTCTCCGGTACGTCGGGGAGGAAAGGGGCTACTATATAGTACTTTACGAAGTGCCTTTATATCCTTAGCTCCCCGCATTTACAGGTGGGCCTGGCGTTATGTCTAAATCTCTTATAGTATTCTATAAAGTCCCTGTGTTTAGACCTTTCGGCTAGCAGCCTATGTAGGATTAGGCGTAGGAGATATAGCTCCGGGGGTATGGAGGGGGCTTTATAAAGGCCCTATCTACCAGTCTTATATAACTCTAGGTAGTTATCGTTCCAGTTATTATCCTGTATTTCCCTACGTTTCTTTTTTACCTACCTTTTGATAAAGGTAATAGTAGAGCAGTTTTTTAAGTAGTAAGGGAGTTTTAAACCCTCCTTTACTAATTAGTCGGCTTCTTCGTTTCCTAGTATATCTTTATGGCCTAGGACCCAGGCTACCCTCGTAGTTACCTATGGAAGTAGTCTTTAGGCGATTTAGCGTAGCCCTATGTAGGCTCCTTAGGATAAGGCGGGAGTTGGCCCTAGTATTCTATCTACTACCGCTAAGTTATCTAGGAAAAGCAGAATCTCTTGGATGTCCGGGTTTACAAAGGCGCGCGTCCTTGCTAGCTTTATAGCTTTAAAGGCGCCTACTGCCTCGGCGTCGTAGACCTCTGCGTTGGCAAGGGGGCCGTATACTGTAGTTCTCTTGAAGTTATAGTATATAATAGCTCTCCAGCCGGTATTACCTTATTTATCCTGTAACCTGTCTAAGTAAGTAAGGAGGGTAGACTTAGGGAGGCCGTTAAGTAGTTCTAGGTGTTTCTCCGCTGTCTTTAATTTTAGTAGGCCTTTAAAGTCCGGGCCTGCTTAGACCGCTCTGTTGTTTTTGGCGAATAAGGAGGGTCGGACTGTTTTCCCTACTAGGGCTGCAGTGCGTTGTAGTTAGGTAGGGGGAACCCTAGGGGGGAGTTTTTTGTTAATACATCTGTTAATTAGGTGGTTCCTGTCTAGACCTATAAAGTAAGCCGCTGTGCGGAGTCTGGTTTATACTACCTATACTAATGCCGGGGGGACTTCTGATTCTCTGTATATAGCGGAAAGGTTGGTTGTCTTTTACATAGGGACGACTGCTCTGGCTGCTGCTTTAAATGGGGGTTCCAGGATTGCGGTTAGTCCCGTTAAGCCTGTTCCTACTTATCTGTTTGGGTTCGTTACGCTCTGTCTGCTTTCGCTAGGCTAAAAAGCCTCCGTCCTATATAAGGCTACAGGGGCGACGCAGGCCTTAGCTGCTATAGCTACCGCGTCTGGCGGAGATCCTTTTTATATTTTATTTAAAGATCTTAGGAAATTAGCTGCTTTAAGGGCTTTTCCCTTTATAATCCCAAGGTATTTTTTAAAAAAGAGCTATAAGTCCAGGTATATCCCTAACCATTAGACTAAGTCCTAGGGGGCTATAATCTTTCCTTTAAAGTCCACTCCTTTATTATATACTTAGGTTCTGGTCCTATAGAAGTATATAAGTTTAACCTTATTTAGGTTGAAGAAGACTGCGTTTTTATTACCCTAGTTTAGGGTATCTTTTAATTCCTACTGGAGCTTTTAGGCGGTTTCTTTAGTATTAGCCCCCACTGCTATAATACTAATGTTATCTATATATCTAAAGCAAGTATTAGGGTTATTAAGCTTTAGGCTGGGGGAAAAATAGAGTATAAAGATAATAGGGGAGATAGGGGACCCCTGTAGGGCTCCGTATTCCAGCTCCGTCTCCAGGAGGGTAGTCCCGTAGCCGTTTTAAACAAAAGCCTTGCGGTCACTTATAAAAAAGTTAACCTATTTTATAAAGAGGGAGGGCTACCTTTATTCCCTAAGTCTATACACCAGGCGGTTACGTATAATAATATTAAATACGCCGGAGATATTAAGTATAAGGAGGGAGACGATAAGACCCTGGGCTAGGGCGACTTCGGCGTCGTATAGTAAGCAGGCGACTAGGTCTATCGCAGACCTTTTTAGAAGAGCCCTAAAGTATTATTCTAGCAGTATTTTATATTCTATCGCTAGGAGGGAGACTCTTCTAGCTATAAGTCTCTTAAGGCCTTTGCCTATATAGGAGAGCAGGGAAATAAGTCTATAGCCTTTATGTATAGTATATACCTTCTCCAGCTTCCTAGGTTTAGGGATAATAGTGATCTCCGCGCTTTAGAAGGGGAGTAGGTAGTATCCTATTATTAGGCATCTGTAGAAAAGGTTAGTTATATACTTGCTAATAGCAGGCTAGGCAAGCTGTAGAAGGGCGACTAATATACCGTCTACGCTAGGCGTAGTATTTCCTAACCCCGTTATAGCTTTCTTAGCCTCTGGCTTTAATACTGTTTAGTCCTAGTAGATGTTTTTATTAATAGAAAAGTCCTCTTTCTATAGGTTTAAGATATCCTCCTTTATTATTTTTTGCTTAAGAAGTTTATTTTTAAGGAAGGTTACTTTCTCCGTAGGGTCTAAGATACTTTTATCCCCGTCTATTAAGGGGGGCGGTTAAAAGCGGTCTATTGCCTTACGCTATTTAGCTACTGACTATATATTCCTAGTGGCGCTGGCTTCTACTATAATCTCGTCCCAGTGGGCTTATTTGCTGCGGCGTATAGAGTCTCTGAGGGTCTTACGGGCTCCCTCTTAGGCAGGGGAGCTGTCTGCCGCTTCTTTATAGGCCTTGTGGGCTGCTTTGTACTTTTCCGACTACTATGGTGCACTGTGGCCGTTCTGGTGTCTGGTCTTGCCGGCCCCCTCTATGGTTTATTTAAAAAGGTCCTGCAGGGCCTTGGCGTATTCGTTAAGGTTGGTTTCTGACGGTGTAGTTAGGTCGACCGTGGGGAGGGTCTAAGTAAAGGAGCGTATAAGTTAACCGAAGTCTTTCTAGTATTCCAACAGAATGTATTTTTTCCCTGCCCCTGGGGTTATCCTAAGGGGCTTGGGCAGGTTTATAATTACTATGTAGTAGTCTGACCTTATATTAAGGGAGTGTTTAACCTTAGTTAACGCAGGGTAGTTTATGAAGACTAAGTTAATGTACTTTCCTAAGTGTTAGGTAGGCGTGTTTATTAAAGCTGGGAGGAGATTATACTTCTCTGCCTATTCTGCGATTTTATTACCTACTAGGTCCGCACCCCTACCTAGTTTCTAAAGTTAGTGTAAGGCGTTAAAGTTACCTGTAATAATTAAGCGGGGGGGGGGAGGGCCTTATTTAGTAAGAGTCTCTATAGTTAAGTTTACTAAAGCCCTTCGATAGACGTTAATAATAGTATAACTATATACCTTTATTTAATATATATATTTATCCTCTAGGCCTAAGGGAAAGAGTTATTTACTAAAGAGGTTTAAAAAGATTTTAATAAATGTAAGAACTAAGGGTTTGGCAACCCTTTAACTGTTTAGGGGGTTATATACTTAATATCTAAGGTAATTTTTAATTTGCCTTTTGTTTAATACCTTATTCTATTAGGCGTAGGGTTCCTAAATTAGTATAATATTATAGCTACCTTCTTATGCTAGCAATAGGGCGATGTCCTAGTGTAGACCGCTCCTCCTAACGTTGGTTTAGAAGATTTTAAAGCTAGTATTTCTTCAGTAGCTGTAACGGGGCCTATTATTTATAAGCTTACGTTAAGAGGTCCGTTAGTTCTAGGGGGGGCGTTAAGTATGTTTTTATTACCTTTGGTTTCTTCCTCTTCGTCGTTTAGGCCAGCTACGTAGACTACTGACCTAGCGGGGGAGGTTCCCTCGTAGGGATCTTCTTTGTCTAAGTTAACTTTAATAATAACCTTTTTGGCTAGAGCCTAAGGGGGGAAGGGTGGAGTTAAGCTGGAGATTAGCAGCCTTATACAGAGGCCCGTTCGGGTCTCCGGGTTAGACGTTTTCTTAATATTAGGGACCGGGGCAGGGGCGGGTTTAGGTTTAGGTAGGTTGGCTTTATTATATTCCTGCTGGCCTAATTCCCGGATTGCCCGGAGTTAGGCTTTAGTTATCTATACTTTTTCCCCGTTCCTAATAACCAGTCTAGCGGGGTACTTTAGGGAGTCCGCTATATAAGGGCCGTTGTAGTTAGTATACTAAGGCGGGGATAAGCAGTTAGCTATAGTATTATTATATTTAAAAAACAGTTTACTGTATTTGTAGTACCTTTTAGTCCTGGTGTAATTCCGTAGGTTGTGGAATTTAAAGTACTGTAGGCACTAGGTAACCTAAGGGGGCTGGACCTGGATTTCCGCTGGAAGGGAGCTGCTAAAGAGTTTAAAGCTGGGTTTAACATCCTTATTAAAAGAGATAAAGTAGCTATATATATTAAGGGATTTTCCGAAGTTAGCTTTACAGTAGGAGATAGGTAGGCTCTTAGCCCCTGCCCTAGTATATGCCTCCTCCGGGATTAGTACGTCTGTAGGGTAGGTCCTGCTTATATTAGTATATATTTTTAATATACTGCGTATAAGAAAAACCTTCTATAAATATGTTTCTTTAATTTTTAGACCGTTGTTCTCTGCTACTGGCTAGAGCGCGATGATTTTGTTTTTAATATCTTAATTCTTACCTCTGAGGGTAAAGCTTAATTGGACCTCTTGGAAGTGAGTAATATCCTTGTTTATAAGCTTTAAGATCCTAATTAGTTCTTATCTAGCCTTAATAGCCGATAGTTTTCTCTATACGTAGTCTAGGGGGACTTGGATAAAGATGCGGTTATTAGGGCTTTCCTTAGGTTTATTAGTTTTATCTATATTCTTTCTGTTAGTAGCAGGGGCCAGCCCTCTACCGCCTATAAAGGAATACTTTAGGTTATTAATTCCCTTCTAAGGGTTTTTATTATAAGTGTTTTCTTATAATGCAATCTATGCCTACGTAACCCTGGGGTCCTTCTGGCCCGCTTTTCCAGTAGACGTAGGAGCTCCCGCTGTAGTAGGGGTCTTGGCGGCGTCTGATTTATCCTTTTTATTATAAGATGTATTAGCTAACGTTGTTTTAGTTGGTTAGGCAGCTCTTTCTTTACTGCCTAATTTCTCAGGGTCTTTAGGCCTCCCCTCAGGGTTAATATAGGAGGCGACGAAGTTTTTAAAAGCGGTATTTAGGCATAAGCAGACTTATTCTACTACCGCTAAGGAGAGCTAGGAGGTATATTACGCCAGGCAGGAGTTAATAGCTATAGCTATATTTAATACCACGTCTTATCTAGCCCGCTGTTATATATTAATTTCGTTAATTTAGTTTATAATTTTATTCCTGGTAAGGGATTTCCCCTCTTTATTTAGGTCGGTAGCTTCTTTTACACTATTAAAGATAGAGGCGATAAAGCCTCTTAAGGCTGTCTACGCTGCAGTCGCCGTTACCGCTGCGCTTAGTCTTACTTTGTTAAAACTAGGCGAGGGTATTTTATCTGCGCTGAGGGCTTCTCCGAAGCGTCTTTTCTTCTTAGGGGTAAAGGGGAGGACCGTAACCTCTCCCGTTTTTGGGCCTAAGGGGGTCACCTCCTTCGGTAGTTAGAAGGCTGTCGCTAGTCCGGGGGCAACGGGTTTCGTTCTGTTTTAGTTATCTAGAGGGTTTACAGATATTTCCATCTCTCCAGGGTCCCCAGATAGGACCGTAAATGAAAAAATCGTAGTTGTTTTGTCTGATAGCTAGTTAAACGGGTGGGAGTTTTTGGTGGTTAGGTACCTAAAAGGTGGGGTACCTGTAGATGTAGGAGGGAAGCTTGAGCTAATTAAGTATATAAGTTTACTTTATATTATTTATTAAAATACTTAAATAGCTAATTATTATTACTATAATAATTAAATTAAATATTTAAATACTTTATTTTATAATTAGTAATAAAATTATTTACTTACTAACTTAACTACTTTACTAATATAAACTATAGAACTACTCTAAGGTTTATCCCTTAGAAATAGCTAATCTATAGTACCTATAGGATTTAGTTTATTTTATAATAATAACTCTTATTTAAACAGTTACCTTAGACCTATAGGTAATAAAAAACTTTAGTAAATATAAATACTAATATTTAATATACTTAAAAATAATATTAATTACAAAAGCTAAGCTTTAAGTAATTACTTAAATAATAATATTAAGCTTGAAAATATACTAGCTAAAAATATAGTTAATTAAGCTAATTATAATAAACTAAAGGTTAAATTTAAAGTTTTTAAAATATAGCTTTAGGATTTTTAAAATAAAAAAAGGGAGAAAGGTAAGGTTTTTAAATTAATAAAGCCTAAACCTTTTAATAAAGATTTATATAAAATAAATGTTTTTTTTAAAATTTATAATTTATTTTAAATACTTTTTTTATATTTTAAAAAATAATAAAAATAAAGTTATTTTTATAAGTAGCTATTTTATAAAAAATACTAAAATATAATTTTAATTTATTATATACAACTATAAAGAAGAAAAGATTAACTTAAAAAAGCTTAAAATATAAACTAAAGAAATTTATATTAAGTATATAAAATTTTAAAAATAACTTAAAAAGTTTTTTAATATTATAAATAAATAATAAAAGGCTAAGTAAAAACTTTATTTTATTACTTAAAAAAAACTACTAAGTAAGTATATTTTAACTTTCTTATATTTATTAACTAAAGTTAACTAAATTAAGAAAACTAAAAAGAAAGTTTACTATAATAATATAAAACCTAAAGTTAAAAATAAACTTTTTAAAATTAATTATAAAAGAATAACTTTTATTAATTATATT